TTTATAAATATCTTCCTTAGTAATAACCCATGTACAAAGTGGATTGTCGTGAATATACTCTCTATAGTTAAGGATATCTTGGTTGGCTGTATCAAATATATTTATGGCATAATTATATCATGTTGGATGGTAGTATCTCAATGTTATATAATGTGAATTTGTGAAGTGCATAGATCTCAACTGAGGATGTGTTTTCATCTGTAAGCAAGTCTTTTTAATGTTGTTTGCATGGTGTAGTGGTTGATATCTGTTTGAGTTGTTTTTATTTGATTGAAAAAAGTTTTTGGAATTTAAGAAAAATTGGATTTCAGAAAAGAAAAAGAATGAAAAGATAAGAAGACAATTTTAGCATATTTTGGCAGTTACAGTTCTGCAAGCAGTGTTATATTAACTAACTAGTAGGTATAGATCAAAAAAGTCGTGTAAGAATGAATAAGTGGCTATTCTATATTGTTTGCTATGGTATGGCATAATACACAATAAAAGATAGTATTGTGCAAAGTGATAGTTGTAGTGGGTAGTGTAATTTAATAAGAGCTATTACTAGGATATCAGTAGAAGTAGATGTATTAATGCACATAGCACTTCAAAATATTAAATGTATGATAGAGAGAAGAGAATATAATGTGTAATTTAATAAATTATACAAATTACTAGAAATATAAGATATATTCATTATTTCTTTAGGTTTAATTTTGTACCATCTTGTTCACTAACTGATAATATCATCACAAATTACATCATTAAGTACTCTCCATCTGTTAGTCGTAACGAAATAATATGGAAAATTGTATATGTTGTGACAGTTCTAGTGCTTAAACTTATTAACAGTAGTTGAGTTTCAACGTGATCTAACAATCATGTTTACTCATACCTATCATTAACGATCTTTCTTTGGACAAGCATTTCAACTTACTTATTTAATTAACCCTGTGAATACCTGTTTTAAAATGCTTAGTTTCTATTACTGATTGTATATAATAATTTATATCTTCACAAGTATTAAACATATCAAGAATATTTACATGTTTATTAAAATTATTATAAAAATAATTATATATAAACGTATGTTGTATTTAATGATAATATATACTTTATGTTAATGAATCATAGAAATCCATATAAAGGGCCTATCAAAATAATAACAAGGTCAATTATATTATACATTTTCTTAATCATTAAGTAAAACGGACAAGTCACTTTATATGAGGTATAAATAGTGAGATGATGGTGTGTAAAAGATAGTTCATTTTTCTCTATTATTTAGTTTCTTCATGAAATTCTAGCATTAGAATTATTCTCTATATGGAATAGTAATAATTAAATCAAACCCTAACTAGCTAAAATACAACTGTGTTAGGATTGAATAATATTCTCTGCACGTCTTCTCTTTAATTATTATATATATATTATCGAATCAACTTGCTTCAGACTTAAAAGTTGTTAGCTTACCTGGTAGTTTATCCCCTAATTCCTATTTATAATAATCAACTCTATGTATATATATATCTTTTATATATTGTAATAAATATTCAATGGGATATTAATCAATATACTTATTATATGTTCGTTTGTATTAATATATACCACTATTATATTTGTCAGCTGTCTTATATCTTAATGTTTTTCAATACAATATAAGTATGGTATCTAAGAAGGTATGCAACCCACTCAGCTCAATAAAAATAACACACAATATTTCAAATAGTTCATGTGGCACATACTTGTGAATATTTCAACTAGTTCTATTACAATATGGTCATCTAGTACAACTTTGCTTTTTGATTGGTTGAACTAGTAAGAACCCTATATAGTGTCCATCAAATGGAATATGCAATTAGGAACATCACATTAGTTACTTCTTGTATAGTTGTTATGCAATATCATAAAAATACAGTCTCTAGGAATAGTATTTATATGACTTAACCTAACTACAATAAAATATATTTATTAAATATCGTTGCTTGTATTTGTTCAAATTGTATGCACATTAGTCATTACTCCGGGTTATTCTTCAATCCTTGGATGATTGATATTCTAATATACTTTTAAATTGGCAGTGTCATTCTTGAAGTGTTATAATTAGTGTTCTTGTATACTCGTTCTTTCTAGTGTATAGTAAATAAACAGAAAATATTTTCAAAAGGCTAGTGGGAAAGTATAGAGTAAATCACACTGGAGAAATCTAGCAGATATAACATGAAATATATTCTAATCGTGGCATTCATTGTTTAAACTAGTTACTTAACACTCACAAAGAAATATACTAGTCAAAACACAGTTACGTGCTTTGTATTTTTTAAAATTTTTAAATATTTTTTCTCGATGTCATCACAGAATTTTTTTGCTGCAGCAGTTTTTCCATCAACGATGAGATGAAAAGTAGATTAAGAGAAGAAAAGAGTACTTGTAGTAATTATCTTTAAATAGTGATGTTGGAACTTTCATTAGATAGAAAACAAGATTTCAATATGCAGTGGTATATTTTATTTCTAACATGAATTGGTATATATTCATAGTGTGATAATATATGATGTGTTTTTAAAATATCAATATACCTTCTTAGATATTATCATAGTTCAACTATTAAATAAAATACATTAGCATTTCAAGTTTTCTGGATAGAAGTTTATCTAAAGTGTTCTTTGCTACGCTAGTTTATTAAACTTTCATTATGTTAGTATATATGGATCATTTATTAATGTTCAGTTAAAGCATTGTGGTTTTATAACTCCATTATTTGTTATTGAATGTTAATAATTTCTGTGTTATACTGTTACTTTTATTATGTTATTAAAAGAGGGTATTATAGAATTAAAAAAAAAAAAAAACAATGTGATTTCAACGGATGACAAACAGGAACATGCTAAAGAATTGTTGTTTATGTGTCATTCAATATCAGTGAAACAGCCTAATTATTTTTCTATTATTCATAGAAGAGAAGCAGCGAGATTTAACATGTCAAATGGCAACAATTTTTTCATGTCATGTTTCTCTCTTTGGATACTTTTTGTACATTGTATTATTTGTAGAGAGGAAGATCGAAGAACTCAAACAGAATTCTGTACACTATACATATGTAACTACAATAATTGAGAATGTATACTACATATTAAATGACTACAGATACTAATTTGCAACCGAAACAGATATATTCTAATTTTATTAAAAGAAAATAACTTGCAAAATATATATTTTTTGAGTGAAGAAGCTATTTATTACTCAAAATATAAGTCCAAAAATATTCGAAGGGTTTCTCTGTTTTAATGCCTACACTTTCATAAAAAGAGGCAGTATAACTAAAGGAAAAAGATTTAAAGCGCCTTTAGATCAGCATTTAGCTTATATTGAATAAAACAAATTGCAAATAACAATAAATGCCCTTCTTATAGTACTTAATTTAGAAAGAACTTTGGAATACAAGAAAAAAATATTATCACTTTATAAAAATGGTTACACTATTATATTATCTTCCATACATTCAATTTGGTAAATATTGTTCAAAGAGTTCTTCAATTATCAATATTCATAGCTCACAATAAATACACATTCTTTCAAGCAATAATGTCATATATTAGATGGTAAATACACATGGAGTTTCTTAGCATAGCAAAATGTATATTCTTACTTAAAACTTATTACTATTCCTAGAAATTATCATTTTTGTTGTTTTCCTTCTCAGTTCTTATGTTTAATTTTATTTGTTGAATTTTTCATTTGTTAATTGTAGCAGCCACAAATCAACAAAACGATCCATATATATAATAACAATGTAGTCTGTCGGATATACTTAAAATACAAAAATAGCAATATCTTTATAAACGATAATGTAATCATAGCATGCAAAGAACAATATTTTCTTTCATGCCTGCTCTCTAAAACCTTTTTTTCACTACTTTTTTAAAAAAAAAAAAATTTTTTATTCAAGATATAAAAAAAAAAAAAAGAGTTTGGATTGTTTTTCCATCCATGCTATTGTTATTCTTATTGTTGTAATGGTTTATTCGGAAAAACAGATAGAACTGTTACTCATCAATGTAAACAAATTACATCCATTAGATTAACAATCTTATTCACTTTCGTTTGGTAACCATTGATTTCTTTCTATACGAATTAGTAGTGGATGAAATACAAGTGGGGGAATGACAATAACACGAAATGTTAAATGCTTTCAAGTAAGGAAATATATTTATTTATATAGGACTAATAATACGTTATTTTGTTTTCTTGACGTCTCAGATGTTATTGTCATTAATGCATGTGCTAAAATGAAGTGAAAAAAAAATTTAAACGAGAATTGTTATTATTCAAATATCTTAATACATAAAAGAATACTTCGATGGTTAACAATCACTTTCAGTAGGGAAAAAAGGTGCGTTATTTACAGCACTAAATTGATTTTTTTAATTTTTCACTAAAAATAAACTAAAATAAACTGTAAACAAAAATAGACGAGCAAACCCGTATAACAGTATGACAATATGAATAAGATTTTTTGAAGAAGTTCAAAATATTTATTATCTTTATGACATTTTATTTTTAGTCGTAAAAGATGTTTTGCATTTTTGAAAAATCCCATTATTTTGCTACTGATAAATAATTAATGTCGATGCTTCTTACATTTGGTGATATTCTACTTTGATTTATTGAACAAATAAAGTAGTAAATACATTCAATTGTGCGTTTTAGTACGTAATTTCTCGTATCATACTAATAATAATACTAACGGTAAAATATTTAGTTTTTTATTCGATCAATTGTTCATGTTTTATGAAGACATGTTTAGGACAAAAAAAAACAGATACGATGTAATTGTCAATGGTAACTCTTAAATTTTTAATCCAAATTTCTCATATAGCAAATATAAGCATATATATGAATAAGGTGGATGTTTCGAAGGTTTATTTTTTTCATTGGCATATATTTGCTTTTGCAATTTTGAAAACATAAGATATTCATACATCTTTATTGGAACATAAGAGGGTGACAAACCAACCATAATGAAAGTGATACATTTTTTTAAATGTGTTCTGGTATTTCTTAAGTTTCTATTGACTTTTGCAGATGCTATCACAATTTCTACTTACACTTATTTAAATAATAATGATCTCTCTAATGATATCACCATTAATCAAGATTACTTTTTAGCGTTAGTCAATGGGAACACTGAAGATTTCCAGCATAACTTAGTGGTGAAAGGTTCGCTTTTCATTGGTGATAAAAATCCAGCTGATAGTGGATTCACTACTACATTCACTGGTTCAACTCTAGAAAACGACGGTTTGATTGTAGTTGATGGTAGGAATCTTTCATCTGGTTCAATGACTGTGTCATGGAGTGGTTCTTCAATTACTAATAATGGAAAAATGTATTTCAATGGTTTAAATAGTGATTCGAATAGTTTTACATTGGATCCGAGTTCATCTTTGATAAATAATGGTTTGATGTATTTTAGTCAAGATAGTTCTTCTGGTTATAGTGGCTCCGTGCAGCTCAAATCAAATTCTTTCACTAATGATGGTACCATTTGTTTGAAAAATGTGAAAGCATATTTAGAGAGTTCTATATCAGGTAATGGTTGTATTACGATAGGTGAAAATACAGTATATGCTATTCAATCTGATAGTGAAGGCACACTTGGTTCACAGACTTTATATATGACTTCTCCTTCTTCGATGATCTATGTGGACTCATATGGTGTAACAAATAATATCCATGTTAGAGGTTTCGGTAATGGTAATTATTTGACATTTGGTACTTCAATAGTTAGACATTCTTATAATTCAGACACTGGTGTATTATATTTTAGTGTCTTTTTATTCATTAGTCATAAAATTAATATCGGTACTGGTTATGATAATGACGGATTTTCAATGACAACTATAAGTAACCATATTGGTTCAAGGTTACTGAACAACGCTTTAGTGTATAGTGGTTCTGACCCAAATGGTAAGCCTAGCGCTTGTATGGCATGTGATTCATCTTCTTGGATACCTGTTATTAGTATTCCTTCTTCTAGTTCATTGCCTACATTGTCAAGTGTCTTTTCTAGTTCTTCTATTATTTCGACATTATCTACTGTAAATTCCTCTGGCTTTATTTCTTCTTCTTCATCAGCAAATTTTTCTCCATACCCATCCTCTTCTTTTTCATCTTCTACTACGTCAACTACAGCTATTGTGGCATCATTTAGTACACCATCTTTTTTTGTTTCAACTGTTGATATTTCCTCATCATCTGATAGTAGGATGTCGTCTCTTTTATCCTCTAGTACTTCTACTACATCATCCATTTCTCCAAACAAGTCCACCACTTCTGATCTTTTAACGGCATCGTTAATGTCAAAAGCAACAACGTCTCAAGACATATCGTCCGAATCTTCTTCTTTTGCAAATAATACTACAAGTATAAATCACTCTGCAGTATTACCATCTTCTACTTCTATCAGATCATCATTCATCAGTTCTTCTATGTCAATGGATCATACAAGCACTATGGAATCAAGGGTCAAAACTAGTTCTACAGCTACACCAGTTTCTAGTATGCCTTTTTCACATTCTCAACTCCAAGACTCTAGTATTGTAAGTTCAGTATTTTTATCTTCTGCACAAAGCACAACTTTTATCTTGGCTTCTTCTTCCATCACACCTGCTTTAAAATCATCAAATATTTATAACACAGGCTCAAAAGCATCTATTGACCCTATTTCTAGAACGCATAGTTCATCAATTGAAAATTCAAACAAAGTGGATTCAACTACAACTTTCTCTACTACAATAAAGACTTCTTCCCTTTCCAGCTTTATGTCAGATGGACATACAGCTGCACCAATAACGAAAAAAGACAGTTCTTCTGTTGCATCTTCATTGCCAGTTTTCTCAAGTATGTCTAGTCAATCAAGATCTACTATTTTATTTAATTCTTCATCTTTATGGAACAAAGTTTCCTCAGATGGTATGAGTACTAGTTCTTCAAGTCTAGCAGCAACATCTACTTCTAAGGAAACACATTCTGTCGAGTATAGTGGAGCATCTTCTACTAGCATGACTAGTATATTTTCATCGGTTTTGTCTTCCATTAAAAGTTCTTCTAAGAGTGAGTCTGTTGCAAAACTCCAGTCTACAAGTTCGTCAACTGTAGACTCATTTAGTGTACCTTCCTTTTTTGTTTCAACTGTTGATATTTCCTCATCATCTGATAGTAGGATGTCGTCTCTTTTATCCTCTAGTACTTCTACTACATCATCCATTTCTCCAAACAAGTCCACCACTTCTGATCTTTTAACGGCATCGTTAATGTCAAAAGCAACAACGTCTCAAGACATATCGTCCGAATCTTCTTCTTTTGCAAATAATACTACAAGTATAAATCACTCTGCAGTATTACCATCTTCTACTTCTATCAGATCATCATTCATCAGTTCTTCTATGTCAATGGATCATACAAGCACTATGGAATCAAGGGCCAAGACTAATTCTACAACTACACCGGTTTCTAGTATATTTTCTTCACATTCTACCTTAACAATTAGCTCATTGTTTACTTCAACAGCAAAAACTTCACATTCTCAACTTCAAAGCTCTAGTATTGTAAGTTCAATATCCTTATCTTCTATCCAAAGCGGTGCTGCTATTTTGACTTCTGCTTCTAGCACACTTGTTCTAAGCTCATCAAATATTTATAACACAAGCTCAAAAACCCATATCTCGTTATCCTTGACTTCCAGTTCCTTTTCACTTTCTTCTTTAACTAATGACTTAGTATCCTCTCATAAGTCAAAAGCTCTATCTTCCACTATAAAGGATTCAGATAAAAATTTTACATTTACTTCTATCGATCCAATGTCAAGAATGCATAGTTCACCAATTGAAAGTCCAAACAAAATGAGTTCAACTACAACTTTCTCTACTACAATAAAGACTTCTTCCCTTTCCAGCTTTATGTCAGATGGACATACAGCTGCACCAATAACGAAAAAAGACAGTTCTTCTGTTGCATCTTCATTGCCAGTTTTCTCAAGTATGTCTAGTCAATCAAGATCTACTATTTTATTTAATTCTTCATCTTTATGGAACAAAGTTTCCTCAGATGGTATGAGTACTAGTTCTTCAAGTCTAGCAGCAACATCTACTTCTAAGGAAACACATTCTGTCGAGTATAGTGGAGCATCTTCTACTAGCATGACTAGTATATTTTCATCGGTTTTGTCTTCCATTAAAAGTTCTTCTAAGAGTGAGTCTGTTGCAAAAATTCAGTCTATAAGTGCATCAGCTAACAATTCAAATATCTCAAAAGTAAATGTCATTAGTCATTATAGCACTTATGATACCATTGTAATGACAACTACGACAGCATCATGTCCATATTCTGAATTGGACATGCTATCCGATACTTTAGTTGTATTGACTACGGTAGTAGTTGAAAATGAAAGTAAAAAGGAATCCTCTTTTATTTCTTTGGTTCACCCATCATGCATGGCACATACAACAACTTTAGCTACCTTATCTGAGTCTTCATATAATAATAAATCATCTACATTATCAAAGGCACAGATATTCAATCACTCATTAGTTGTTTTACAATCAGATAACAATGGAATAATATTAACTGAAACAGATCAACCTAAAAAGAAAACTACACTTGCTTTTACAAGGCCCATAGAATCTTCCCAGTTTAGACAAAAGACTCAGTCAATTGGTACAGTTCATACAACAATGACAATAACCGCTAGCACAAAGACTATATCCTTAACTGATGGTATTACTGATGTTGTTAGAATAAATACAGACTCGGCTCCACAAAAAATTACTAGCTCCAAGTTGATCTACACAGTGTCTACTTACATGCTTCAAGAAAATGCTAATAGTGGTTATAAGTCTCAAATGTTCAACTCTCTACTATCAATAATTGTATTATACATTTTCATGCTTATTTAGTGATTTACAGATTTTATCTACTCTTCCTCATAAATTGTATGTATTTTTTTTTGTATATGTGTTTATTATTTAATGTAACAATAATTTGCGTTTTAATAGAATGACATGATAGTGGACACCTGTAGCTTTAACTTATGAACCCATTAGTTTTGTTGTTTGTATATCGTTCGGTTTGCTTTGTTTGTACATAATATATAGATGCTGAAATTGAATGTTCAAAAATAAATAGATAAACCAATTCAATTTTAACAAATATTAATTGATAACAAAAATGTAGAGAATGTGTTGTTTGCTTATCAGTTGATGTAAATAAACCTCATCAACAAAGTTGTACCACATGTAGACGAGATGTGCCAGATATGAAAATATATAAAACCAACAATTTTTTCATGTCATATTTTTTTCTTAGTTTATCTTTTATATATTATTATACATCTATCATATATATAGAAGAAATTAGAAGAACTTAAATATAACTTTGTATACCATATCTATCTAAATATAATATTGAGACTGATTATAATATATCTAGTCACTACAGGCACTCATTCTTAACAAAGATATTTTCAATATTTACTAATAAATAGTTTTGCTCAATTACTGTATCGTTAATGATGTTTGTTAAAAAATAAATAGTATACATATTAAGTTTCTTGTTAAGGATTATATGGAGCAAATCGTTAATAATTTTTTTGAAAGAAGTAAAGTTTTGAAAGATTAATATGTATTTAATAATAAATACAATATATACTACTTACATGGGTTTTCAATAAATGAGAAATCCAACTTACTAAATACTTAAAACATAACAATGTTAAACCTTAAATCTACTATAGTTCAGGGAATGCCGTATTAGCATTCCTGAAACTCTAATTTCAAATGTTAAATCTACAAAATTATACTTCCATAAACAATTAAGATTATTTAAATTAAATATCATTTTAAATATTTTCATAGGATAAATGCTTGATCATAAACAGTAGAAATATGGTATAGTGCTTAACTCAAATTTCTTTATCAAGTTCTTCTTTGAAATGAAAAACGTAAGCAGATTTTTCAAATTTGTGGCTTTCACTGCATATAGAACATGTAGATTGTTTTTGGATCGATCTTGTTTTCTGGAAGATAATTTTGTATTATTAGGCATAGAATATTTCTCATAATTCTCTAAAAACTGTCCAATATATCTTTTCCCATGAGTAGAGCAAAAATTATTTCCCATGTCAAATGATTATATGAACAATTTATACTTAATCCATCAACTATATTAAATTAAACAAAATAATGAGCTCTTTCTAAAAAGTTTCTGAAACATATATATCACTATCTCTTTCTTTAAATTACAAAATATGAGTGAACCACAATTTTCGAAAGAATAAAAATAACAACGATAGAGTCATTTGTTTTATGATAAATAGATCAATAAATTTAGACCATTTTCTTTTCATATGTAGAATGTAGAAAAGATTTAAACAACGTAAACTTAATACACTGGATTAATCTGATCCATCAATGGTTATTTTATCACATCTTATATTTGCAGCTACATTTCTAGGTTTACTATGGTAATATCATCTAGTAAATTTTATTGCTCTTTTAAACCTATAACATACAATGTTATTCACAGTATCTGCTATCATGATATTAACATGTATCTTTACTATAGATTTATACATAGTAGACTAAGTTCATTTTAACCACTATTTCTTTCAATTATGTCTTTACTCTTAAACTGCTTACTTCATTTGGACATTAATAACTGGTAGATTGTATGGTATCACTCTTAAACTATGAACTCCTCATTAATATACAACTTCTCTTGATATTATGTCTTAGACAAGGACGATACCACACAAACATATCACACTTAATTACTCTTAGCATCAGCTCTCATGATCTCTTCACTATCCACCAATCTCATTTCATTCAAATTTCAATTGTCAATTTTCCTTGTTTCAAAATCTGAAAAAACAGTTCGAAAAAAAAAATCAATTACAATAATAGCCACTCTCATCGACAACCAAGTATATAAGTAACCAACTTCACTTATAAATAGCCAGTTATTATCTACCTTCTTTACATATTCATATGATATAATATTGAATATTATCAAACAGTTATTTAACATGGCATAGTTACACCACTGTATACCTAATAATCATTTATATTTGACTATCAGAAATAACCTCATAACGACTTACTCCATGCATAGACGGTGACTATGGAAGATATTTATTGATAAACTATGACCATTTTTTGTGTCACTATCACTTTTATTATGAATATAACTATTAAAGTATACTCCAATATTACATGAACACTATCCGTTACTAATATCTTCAATACAAAGATATAATTGTATTTTCTATATCACTTCATTATCCATTGAATGATACTGTTATAATAATTTATGATCACAGAAAATAGCCTTTTGAAATTAACACATCATGATAACCGCTATAAACATAGATATAATTATACTATATCAATAAAGAAATTCACTGTATGATACTTTTACTTATATCTCACTGGATATTTATCCTTACTAATTCCAATCTTATTATAGATGTATTTGATTTATGTTTGATTTTCAATGCTTATGGTAATGATGATAAAAGACAAATTGATTTGATATAATGAACAATATTTTGATTATATCTTTATTCCATTCTACGGTACTATTTTCCCTGTTCAATAATTTTTGTTGTGTCTTTTATTCAGATGATCTTATTTTAATGTTTGAAAAAATAATATAATAGAGAGAAATTTTATCTCGATCCTTAAACATTGAACAACATTTAAGAATATACTATGGTGGAGTATTAACATGTTAATCTATCAATTTAATATTCAGGAACTTTATTCTCTTTAAGAGTTAATCTGATATTATTATGACTGGATGTTTAATACTGTATATGGATCTCTAACTGCAACAAAGAATGATGAGAAGTTATTGAAATTCAAAAAAAAATAAGAGTTTAATTCCATTATAACATTAAAATAACAAGACGTACTATATTTATGAATTAATGTTTGTAAAAATATGAATATGTTATAATATTGTTACATGTTTCTTATTTAAAAAGAAAGTTCCCACATTATTGAAATCTTAGGATAATTATTATAACGATATTTTTCAAGTGTAGGAGAGAAATTCTCTTGTCTCTTTTGAAACTTTGAAATCTCTACATCCAGTAAAATACAGGAAGAGATGTCATATATTCATAGAACAATAATGTATCTATATTACAATTCATTTCATATCTGAATTCTTTGTGTATGGTGTTTCTAACATGTACAGTAGGTATGGTATATCATCGGTATGCAACTTTGTATATTTGAAAAATATCTTGATACCACACTTCCTTACAGCTTTTTTTTTGTTCTAATAAAAGGGATTTCCATTTCTTTGAATATTGTTAGAGTAATTTTATGGTGTCTTTCTACTATTCATGTGAGAATAATAGTTCTTAAATACGTTATTTCATTTCGGGTCAAATATAATGTTACAAAAATAGAAGTAGAAGTAGAACCGCTAGTCAAAAATGAAAGTAATAACAGTTAGCATATTTATATAAATGTACATATATATATAGTTAATTGACTTAAGGGGCAATAGTGTTCTCAAATTAGCATATATATATATCATTTATTTTCATACCTGTGTGTACGTATACATACGGAAAAGAGAGGAAATAATTAGGGAATATAGAAAGAAAAAGATTTAAGACAATCTATTTCACAATTAATGATCACTCATCTAGTTAACTTTTCGGTAAATGCAGGTAAAGAAAGATTGTGACTGTTTTTAAGATTATGACAAGTCTTTTATTATGATCATTGAACTAAACCAGTATTAAATCTCCATAATTACAATTTTTCTTAATTAGGAAGATTTAAGGATCTTATATCTTTTAAACTATGATCAGTTGATTTACATAGAAGTAAATTTCCTAATCACAATCTCTTTCTTGAATATTGCCAAAACATGTAACAAAAATATACATGTATTAAAATGTTTATATAGCAAGTATTAGATTGTATAATTGTATTGAATAAGCTAAACTATTTAAAATTAAAAGGTGATATTGATGGTTTATTAAGTATGAGCAAATCTATTTTGGCTGTACAAGATATTTGGAAATCAAAAAAATAATAAACATACAGTATGAAAAATATTAGAATATTATATATGCTTATATAGAAATATTTAATTACTAAATTATTTAGAATTCTTTATTTTAAAATTTTTTGTCTTTAATCAATTTAAATTACCATGAATAATAATAAACCAATGCAATGGGATATACTCCATTTCACGTACATAGTACCACCCTTACCTTCATATGACACAAGAGAAGGTACACCTTCATGAGATACTGTAACACCAGTCGATGATGAGGATAATTGCTCAGGAATATATTGGGAAACTTGTGGTACCATTGTGGTTGGTGATGTTTCTGGTTTTCTAGATTCGACAGTACCGACAACAGTACCAGTTTCTGAAGTAACGTCTTCCTTATCCTTTGTGGATTCAATAACAACTGTCGTAGATGCTCTGGAGTTTTTAGATGTTAGTTGATTTTCACCGTTGGCAAATGCTGAACCAATAGTAGCGGAAACAATAGAAGCAGCTGGAGTTACATTTGTAGCAGTAGTAAATGAGTTAGTCTCTTCTTGTTGGTTCTTTGAATAAACTAGTTCAATAGAACTATGCCCAATGATAGTAGTCATACTTATTTCAGAAGTTGCAGATGGTTCTGGACAATAAGTTGTAGTAATAGTAACTCCATTAACAACTGTAGTCAAAACAACTAAAGTGTCAGTCAAAATAGGTCCAGGCTTTTCACTAGAAATAGTGGAGTTTTTGTAGAGAGGAGATGATATAGAAATTGATGATGACATGAAGCTATTAGATGGAGCTGGGGTGATCACAACAACAACAACTTCAGTAGAGGAGGAACCGTTGCTGTTGGTGACTACAGTTGTGAAGGTCGATGTGGTTGGAACAGTGACTGCACCAGTTGTAGTAGTGGATAAGGTAGATGGAGCTGGGGTGATCACAACAACAACAACTTCAGTAGAGGAGGAACCGTTGCTGTTGGTGACTACAGTTGTGAAGGTCGATGTGGTTGGAACAGTGACTGCACCAGTTGTAGTAGTGGATAAGGTAGATGGAGCTGGGGTGATCACAACAACAACAACTTCAGTAGAGGAGGAACCGTTGCTGTTGGTGACTACAGTTGTGAAGGTCGATGTGGTTGGAACAGTGACTGCACCAGTTGTAGTAGTGGATAAGGTAGATGGAGCTGGGGTGATCACAACAACAACAACTTCAGTAGAAGATGAACCATTGCTGTTGGTGACTACAGTTGTGAAAGTAGAGGTAGTTGGAACAGTGACTGCACCAGTGGTGGTAGTGGATAAGGTAGATGGAGCTGGGGTGATCACAACAACAACAACTTCAGTAGAGGAGGAACCGTTGCTGTTGGTGACTACAGTTGTGAAGGTCGATGTGGTTGGAACAGTGACTGCACCAGTTGTAGTAGTGGATAAGGTAGATGGAGCTGGGGTGATCACAACAACAACAACAACTTCAGTAGAAGATGAACCATTGCTGTTGGTGACTACAGTTGTGAAAGTAGAGGTAGTTGGAACAGTGACTGCACCAGTGGTGGTAGTGGATAAGGTAGATGGAGCTGGGGTGATCACAACAACAACAACTTCAGTAGAGGAGGAACCGTTGCTGTTGGTGACTACAGTTGTGAAGGTCGATGTGGTTGGAACAGTGACTGCACCAGTTGTAGTAGTGGATAAGGTAGATGGAGCTGGGGTGATCACAACAACAACAACTTCAGTAGAAGATGAACCATTGCTGTTGGTGACTACAGTTGTGAAGGTCGATGTGGTTGGAACAGTGACTGCACCAGTTGTAGTAGTGGATAAGGTAGATGGAGCTGGGGTGATCACAACAACAACAACTTCAGTAGAAGATGAACCATTGCTGTTGGTGACTACAGTTGTGAAAGTAGAGGTAGTTGGAACAGTGACTGCACCAGTGGTGGTAGTGGATAAGGTAGATGGAGCTGGGGTGATCACAACAACAACAACTTCAGTAGAGGAGGAACCGTTGCTGTTGGTGACTACAGTTGTGAAGGTCGATGTGGTTGGAACACTGACTGTACCGGTGGTGGTGGTATACACAGTAGATTCTGCAGGTACAGCAACATCATAGATAATTTCAGTGACAGTATATCCGTACTGGTTAGTTGTAGATGTTGTTACTGTTGAAATAGTAGTAGCTTCAGTAATAGAACCCTCAGTAGTAACAGTTGTTGTCTTTGTAATTGGTTCAGATATCCATGCACAGTTTGGAAAATAATAAAATTGCTGTATATATATAAAGGTACCACCAATTTGATATTGAGGATCAGATGGAGTAACAACAAATGGATTATTTTGCGTTTGCCAACCACCATCACAACTTGTGTTGAACCAGTAACGGTGACCATCTATTGCAAAATTAATTTGTAGAGATCCTGGTAAGGTGTTAAAATTTTTAGCATACCATGGATAATAGTCAACACCTAAGAATACAATCATAGACTCGATTGAATTCTTGACTATAAGTGAGCTTGGTACAATTTTTGGATTAATAATATACATACCCTTGTAAACATTGAAGGTTTGTTCTCCAATATTATTTGTGTTAATAAGAACAATTGACCCCTGATTACCAGTAACTTCACCTTGACCTTCTATAGGATTATTGAAAATGATACCTTTCATATCATATCTACTAGGGATCAAATAAGATGCTTCATTTATTAAGCCAGCAAACCCACCAGACTTTATAACACCATTATTTGTTATAGCACCAAGGTAAAGGAACCCGTTTGTGGTCCCACCTTTATCAGCAGTATCATAATCAATAGTACCTGTGTTAATGAAGGAACCGGTTGGAGCTATAGTAAAATTAGTACCTGGTATAGTAGCAGCAGCATTTAATTGTGAAACAGTAAATATACCAGAGTTATCAATACTTGCAGGTGCAATAACAAAATCACTGGCAGAACCTGTTGATTTAATATTTTCGATGTTGATGTTCCCACTGTTTGTAATAGTTGTAGTAGAACCAAATTGTAGACTAGTTAACCCGTTTGTTGAATCACCGATGATATCTAAAGAACCTTTAACGTTAATATTACCATTGAAGGAATATGATGAACCAGATACTAATGCAAGAGTAGCACCTGACTCAATTACGATATCATCGGAAAATGTTTGATCACCAGACAAAGTTGTTGGTGCTGAAATAGTTGTGGTAGCTGCACTTATTTTGGTCACAAGTAATCCTAACAGGGACCATAAAAGTAATAACTGCATTCTAGTAATAAAAAAGAAAAAATTGAGTCAATGGCGAAATATATTTTACTTTACTTTTATTTAATCTTATCTAATTGTGTTTTTCTTTATTGACTTCTGTTTGTAAATATTTTGAGAAAAAAACAAAGAGAAAAGAAAGACAAGAGAAAGAAAGACAAGAAAAAAAGAAAAAGAAAAAGAAAGAGACATTTGCGTACTATGACGAAGATTGAGAAAGTAAGGAAATAAAGGTCAATTTATAAGTTGTATGTATGAAAATATTGATACACTTATATATGTTTGTTTTCTGAGTATTTTCAGTAAGTAATTATTAAGGAGACTAGTAAAAATGATTTTAAAGAGGGACCAATATGTGTCAGACTCTTAGTGTCTAAATATATGCATGCAGATATTTCTACATTATTTTTCGATCATTCCGAATCGGTGTATGAATGATGTAAAAGATTTGCATATCCTATTGTTTCCACTTTTTTGTAGGACTTTCGAGCCTTTTCGATCGAAATTTGGGTGAGCAGTTACACCCCTGGAAGCAGGAAAAAAGTAGGGCTTGCGGAAATATTCCAATTACTTGTCTCAACGTAATCATCTATCTTACCCACAAGAAATGTTGTTTTTTTTTGTTACTTTATTTTTTGTTTGTTTGTATAGCAAAAAATGTTGAAATAGATTGTTCCAAATAAGAATGAAAAAGTGTTCCTGATATCCAATACATAATAAGATACTGATTAATGACCAGTGTTATATTTTATTAAAAAGCACAGAATAAGAAGTAGCAATTCCAACAATAACTTACAGCTTGTTCCTAATAATATGGAATAATTATATAATTATATAGGTATATTCATTGTCTTTTGCCTTATAAATTATTGAATCTCTCTACTTGTGTGTATGTGTGTGTTTTTCACATATATTTCATAATTGATAGGTCTTCAGGATTGCATCTGTTTTCTTTTTGAATATAGAAAGTAGGGCAAGTTGTGTTTTTCTTTTTCCCCCTTCCCCCCCACCCAAAAATAAAAAAACAAAAAAAAAATAACAATAAAAATATTAATAGAAACTGGAAATTTTTGCACGATCCCGATATCTGATAAAAGAAATTATTGAACAATAGTCTACAATACATGCATAATCGTTATTGTTACATAATGTATTATATGAAGCAAGATTTAGAAAAACATTATTGTTAGTCTTTTCTCTCTCAAAAAAACTATCGGGTATTAATATAAGGGACTTGATTGTTTGGTAAATAATAATAGTGCGAATAATTATGGTTCTAAAAATGTTTGGTGCATATCTAAGAAAAAGGGAGAAAGACGTGAATGATGACTATATTCTTTTATTCTCTTTTTTTTTCTTTTATTTCTGGTAGTCTTAAACCTATTAAGAGTTTTCGAAGTTCTTCATTTTGATGTTCTTAGAAATAAGTAAAACCTACTTAAAAGATATACCAAAAAAACAACTTTAATAATAATTTTTTTTGACATCTACATTACGTTTGTGAAGTAGAAGATCCATATTATGAACGCAATATGTTGAATTACTAAGTCTTGATTAAATAGAAAGAAATTTGTTCTTTTATTTTTATTTTTTTTTTGGTTGGAATATTCTTTAAAATATTGTTAGAACCTAAAAAATAAAGCGTACAATTTTAATAAAATAAAAAATGTACAATATTTGCCCTAATGTTGTGAGGCTAAAAAAGAAAGAAACCGCAGACAAAACAAGAAGCCCATACCATGGCACTATTTTTTTTTTCTATGACTGACAATTTAAAAACCGTTATTTCTGGGGATCTTTTTTCTTCATTTCCTTTTTAGTACACGGTGAATAATTTTGGGAAAGAGAAATACCTCATTTGAGTTTTATAAGAAATTTCACAATACGGGAAAAAAATTTTCAGGGAAGAAGAGAACTTTTTGAAAGAAATTTTTTTTTGCCTTTATGGATGTTTTCCTTTCTGCTACTTCTTGCTTGAGTCTTGTATTATTTTTAAAATTAGTAGAGAACCACTTTCTGTTTTCTTTTTCTGTTGTACAGAGAATTAAGAATATCCTCTGAACTATAAAATTTTTTGTTGGCCAAGTTAGCTCATTTGATAACGATAACTATAAATGTACAAGCCATAACCAATTGGTTCTGCATCATTAATGTGTATAGGAAATGTCCAACTAGAGTATTAAATGGGAAAAAAATAAATAAATAAATAAATAGACAGCACGGGTTATTGTTTGCAAAGAAAAAAAAGAAAGATTGTTGTTTTTTTGTTACGGAACTATTGTTGTATTAAGGAATTATAATACATGTAACAAAAACAATACATGCCTGAAAAGGTATATAGAATTCGACAATCACCAAAATTTGTCGAAGTTTTATCAAAAAAGGAAATATTTAAATAAACACACAAAAAAACTGAATAAAAATAACTTTTTTTTTATTTTTGTTATATCACAATAAATACTTTAACACAACTTACAATAGTTCTTACTTCTATACTAGCAATTATTCAACAAAATAGATCAATACAAGTTGCTTCATACACAAAAGTCTCGCAATCGTATATTTCTTCTTACTGTCTTTTCTATTTTATTTTTGGTATTGAAATTAATCAACTAATCTGTAATGCCTGCAAATCTGTAATCTAGGAGATTTTAGAGTCTTTGTACTGCATCCATAGATTGTCCTATTTCTATAGGATTTAATCTTCTGTTCCCCCTCCCCCCTTTCCGCCTCTCCCCATATTAATAATTTATTAGTAGAGTTCAACAAGGTTTGTTATAGAATTTTTTTCTTTCATTTTATTTTTTTTGGAATCACTAAAGACTTTGCTGAGGATATTTTTCATTTTTCTATATAATTGAACTTACCTAACTTAATTTCCTTGATGCATTATACAGTGAGTTATTGCTTTTACTAACTTTCATTGGATTTAAAACCATTTACTTAACAACATTCTAACATTGATTGGTTTAATAGACTACTTGATGTTTTTTTTTTTAAAAAAAATAAAAACGAGGATTCTCAGTCTCTTCTGACAAATTTGATAAACTTGCTACTGGTTGTAACATATCTGAAGATTTTTAATTCTTACTAAATCAATGATAGAATACTTATTTCTATTGTTCCTCAATTTAACCAGCAAGATATTTTACTTAGTGTATACAAGAAAAATCTAAACTATATTTATGTTACCTACAAGTATGTGTTTATAAATTTAAGTATGCCTTATCTTTTTCTTATCAACTTAGTAGATTTATTATCTTGAGATTCATAACGCTATTTTAACAGCTGCTGATACCTTGGTTATAGTACCAGTTGTTTTTTTTTTTTCATTGTTTGTTCCAGTGGTTTATTCATTCCTACATCACATATCTGTCTGAGTCATGAAAGAAATTATAATCTGCTTATGATCATGTATTTTTAATATGCAATTACCTACCTTCCTTGGTCTTTCTAAATTTTTTTTTGATTATTTGCTTTTATTACAATAACGTTATTCACAACTAATTTTTTCAAGTGAGATAATGCACTAGCTTTAAATACTTTATAACCATCCAACTTGGCATTTTTAATTGTTTGTTTATGTAGAGGCCATATACCACACATGTACATATTTGGTTATTCTTTAGAGTTACAAAGAGTCTTGATTGGTATAATCAGTAAAGATTTCTTTATTTTAACAACACTACGTTGCTAGATAGTAGCAAATTGTTTTTGCAGAAAATTTGATTTTGCTGTATTGGATAGTACACAAAATATCATAAACTGCGTTACATTTGTTTGTATCTTCTTTTAATGTTCTACATGCATCTTCAAGTGAAAAATATTGTCTCTGATATGTTAAATGTATGTACTTTTCTTGATATTGCATGATAATTCAACAGGTACACCTAAATTGTACTTAGGCATTCGTACTGAGGGGATTTCAATTTTTTGTTATCTTGAAGGGGGAGAAATATAGTGTTTGTCAAATTGTTGTTTTTAGAATACGCTGTAACAGATAATGATTAATTCTTTATGTAAAAATTTCTTTGGTACTAAAACAGATATAAGATGAAAAAAAAAGGTAAAGAAAATTTTTAAAAGTTGATTGTTGTATGTTAGTTAGCTTTTCCTATTCATGCATCAATCCTAGAAGTCTTCCTATTTAATATAAAAAAATCATTTTTTATATGCTTTAGATATGTTCCTATAAGGATAAAAATATGTTTTTTTTTATTTTTAATTAACAAGAAAGAAGTATAGGTTATAGAAGGAATCAATTTTTGGTACTTTTTAAAGCCTTTTTTTATAAAATGTAGCATTTAGATTTTGAGAATTAGCACCTTTGTATATGTATTGAGTTAAATATATGCTCAATTACATTCTATAATTATTAAATAGTTTTAGTACTCAAAAATACGACAAGGCTATTCCCTTTTCTACTTACACAAAGTATGGAGTTAAGAATGTACAAAAAAATTGTAAATAAAATATGAATATAACACAAGGAGATGGCCTTTGGTCTTATATATACGATTTATTGAGTAGTTTCTCTCTGCGAACAACAAAAATAATAACCAAATAGTTTTATTGATGTTTATTAATATGTAAACTGTTAAAATAGAATGTTCTATGATGAAATAGATAGAACAATAAGATTTTAGCAGACATTAAACGATAAATTGTTGGGTAATAATCGTTGAGAGGTCACCAAAAGTTGTTGAGTTTGTTTATTAAATATCTTACTGTTTGTAGAGGAAAATGACTTAGTATTAACATATATAAAGCCGAGGATTTCATCATACATTACTTTTATCTTATTTACAATCTTTGTATATTATTATTTCTATGTTGTATATAGAGAAAGAAAGTGAAGAACTTTATTATAATTTTGTATACCAAATCTGTTTAATATAATATTAAAAATGTTTACTATATATCCGATGACTACAGGCGCTCACTCTCATCAATATCAAATATTCAAAGGTAAGCATAAATAAACTTCCATTACCAACTATCCTTTTGTAAGTTACGTTCAAAATTTTACCTTTACTTTGTTAAAAAAATATGAAAAATATCATTTTCACGCACACTTATTTAATGTTCAATAACACTAAAGCAACAAGCCAATGAATAAAATCTAATGGGATTTGAACTTTTATTGCATTAATACTTTTGAAGTTAGTAGTTTTGTAGGATACAATATGATAATTGAATGATCAATTCAAGCTGTTATAAAGGATGGTATTACTGATAAGTGAGTCATGTATTTCTTCTGTAGTATTTAATATTTCTACTCAAGAATAAAAACTGCCATAATAAGTAACTTGTTCAAGTTCTATAGTCTATTGTAAATTCATAAAGTAGAAATATAATAATAAACACTGTATAACATTTTTTTAGATTCAAAATATGTAACTATAAAAGTATAATCAAAAAGTGGATAATGATCAAATTTTCTATGGAGTTGAAGCAAGACTCATTATAGTGGTAACTATTAAATTTACTTTTGATGGAAAATATGGTAAAATATGCTAAATTTACTTAACTACCATGAATCTATAATTACTATGTGCAATTCTATTTTTGAGAAGCAAATAGTTGTAATATGACTAATATTTTTTGACAGTTGCATTTTATGAGTCTTAGAGTTCAGTACATATATTTAGCATACATAGCATATGATAAAAAAAAAGATAGTGCTTGTATTATTGATATATATATATATATATACTATTAAAGTGGCAATCAGCATTATGAGTAAAAAATACTTCCTAACGACTACTTACTCATACATGTCAGGTCACAAAATAAGAAAATGTATTCTACTCTTTGTACCAAATTGTTGCTCTTTCATAACATTCTAGATAAAGAGTAAACCTAGACCAATTCGCAAGATACTAGTTCAACTTTCTTAACATATCTTTTAACATTTTTTTTTTTCATATAATTTATTGTAAAAAAAAAAATACTTTTAAGAGAATCATATTTAAATCATCTATCTATATTTTTTACTCTAAATTCTTAAAACTTTTTGACATTTACAACTCTACAGGATAAGCCATCCTCTTTATGAATTAGAATTTTCTTGTGTAAATAATTTTCGAGAAATGTACAGATAGGTTTATCCAAGTATCTTTAAATGTTCAATACTTAATTCAGCCCTTAACCTTATTAATTAATTGATTTCTTTTTTTGTTTCCGGTCGAAAAAAACTATCCAAGAAAAATAATCGAATTAAGCACATTTGAATGTCAAGAATTGAAGGTTGCAATGCTCACATAATACATTATTCTCAACTCTTCACACAAAAATATAATAGCCAATACAAACCTAACAAGACTGTTAGTACAGTATTAGTGAACATGAACATGTTAAGAGTATCACATATCGATTCAGAGGAATTAGATACAGAGTTGTATGAACTTATATGGACAAAATTCAAATCGATTATCCCTTTAGTAAGAAACCAAGAAGAATGGAGGTTTTTCGTTGATACCCTAGTATTTCTATTTTCTAGTCATTACTTCAGTTTTAGTGGTGGTATAACAACAACTTATGGTTCTCATTTAAGTAATCTGGGTTTCACATGCCATAAAGTCTCCTTATACCTTCTTTCTGTCTTCAAAAGATATTTCAACAATAAGTTATCGAACAGATGTTCATCTTCGCCACTCTATAAAAGAATACGAACAATTATTAATCTATTGGATTTAATTAATTTTATACATTTTATTAGAAACTCTAACACCAAATATTATACAATTTTACATCGAATATTAAAAGTTCAACCAGTAAGTTTGGATACAGGTTCTTCATTCTACAAGAACTCCATATATTCAAGATTAGAGTATCAGAATAAACAGTTGTTATGGAATACTACTTTGGAGTTATTGAACATAACTATATTACCCAGCACAACACAATATTTCAATTATTTTCGACGGAAGAACAATATTAGCACAACCAATTCACCTACTTCTAAGCATGTTGTTTGTTGTCTTTGTAATGAATTTCCCACTAATCCGTATAGAATTCAATGTTGCAAGGGCATATATTGTTATTTATGTCTATTGAAAAGCATAGAATGGAAACATTGTTACAAATGTAATGAAAGTGGTAATTTAAAAGGAATTTCATATTTTGAATCGTAGATAAAAAAAAAAAAGAGGAAAGAAAAAAAACAAAAAGGAAGAAAGAAAATATGGACAGCATTGCAAAGAAATTGGTACCCAATTATTACATATAATCGATATCTTTATTATTTTTCTCTATTAGATTTATTTTACTCTCTATTCTATTTTTTTTTTTTTTTTTTTTATATAAATATTATACATAAAGAGGGAATAATGAATATTAACTAGAACAATGTATATATGTATCCAAAATCAATGATCAGTCGATCTTCATACGGACAGCTTTAACTTGAGTGTAGTTATCTAATGATTCAAGACCCATTTCTCTCCCTAAACCAGAGGCATTGAACCCACCGAATGGAACCATATGATGGAAGTCATTGTAAGTGTTAACCCAAACAGTACCGGCATTGATATTTTCTGACAACTTGATTGCATTGTTAATGTTGGAAGTGTGAATACCAGCAGCTAATCCGTATTCTGAATCGTTAGCCATCTTAATGACTTCGTCAACGGTTCTGAATTTAGTGACGGTGACCACAGGACCGAAAATTTCCTCTTTGACAATTCTCATGTCCTCTGTGACGTTACCAAAGACGGTTGGTTTAATGAAATAACCCTTATCGCCTAATCTTTCACCACCGGTGATAATGGTAGCACCTTCCTCCTTACCAATTTCAATGAATTTCAAAATTTTTTCCAATTGCATTTGAGAAGTTTGGGCACCCTGGAAAGTTAACTCATCAAATGGGTTACCAACCCTCAAATTTTCTATGCTGGTCTTAAGTTCTTGGATAAAATCGTCATAAGCTTTTTCCTCTACGTAGACTCTTGAACCTGCACAACAGACCTCACCAGAGTTATAAAAGATACCAGTGATGACATTTTGGACGGCCTTAGACATGTCTGCGTCTGCAAAAACAATATTTGGGGATTTCCCACCCAATTCCAAAGTACATTTCTTTAAAGACCTAGCAGCGTTTTGGTAGATGTGTTTACCAGTAGCAGTGGAGCCGGTGAAAGCGATTTTCTTGACCTTTGGGTGGGTAGTCAAAGCCTCACCGGTGATCTTACCGAATCCAGAGACGATGTTAACGACACCGGGTGGGATACCGGCCTTGGCGACATATTTGGAAACGTACAAAGCAGATAATGGAGTGGATTCTGCGGTCTTCAATACCACGGTGTTACCTGCGGCTAAAGCTGGACCAATCTTCCAAGCCCACATTAATAGAGGGAAGTTCCACGGGATGATTTGACCACAGACCCCCAATGGCTGTCTCTTTGTGTAGGAGAAATGGGTGGAGCCCGTGTTTATGGTTCTACCGTCGATCTTGTCAGCAATCCCTGCAGCGGACTTCAAGTAGTTGATGACCAACTGGACGTCGCCCCTTGCAGAGGCGATAGCTTTCCCGTTGTCCAGGGACTCGATGGAGGCGACGATTTCCTTATCCTTTTCGATGAACTCAGCCAGTTTATATAGTGCCTCACCTCTCTTGATTGGATCGATCTTACTCCAGGAGCCGTTTTCAAAAGCCTTTGAGGCTGCCTCCACGGCGATTTCGATATCGTCTTCCCTACCTTCGTAAACGTGGCAAATTTCTTCTTCGGTAGATGGGTTTATGACTTCGAAAGTCTTGTGTTGTACAGATGGAACGAATTTATTGTTGATGAATAAACCGGTTGGCTGTTCGTATTCTAGACCGTTAGGTAATTTGATGTTAACGGAAAGAGGTAGTTGCGAGAAACAACGAAGTTGACGGTATAGTGTATATCTAGAGGATTTAACAGTTTGAACGGATGCAGAAAACATGATTTTTGAATATTAATTAGTTTAGTTTAGCTTAATTTAATTTAATCTGTGTTGAGTTGTGTTGAGTTGTGTTCTTTTTTGTTTTTATTTCTTTATCTTTTTCTGTTATTAATACATATACTTAGATGCGGCAGTTGTAGTAGTATGTATATATATATGTATGTGTGAATGTGTGAATGTAAACAATTAAACAAAAAAGGAGGGGAGGAAAAAAAGGTGTATACAATTAACGGTGTTATATATATAATATAATGTAACATAATTCTCCACTTTTCTCTAATCTTCTCTTCTCTTCTTTCCACTAGCCGACTCCACAAATTAAAGCACAATAAATATGGCTCTAGCAAATATTTTCTCTAAGTAAGAGTGTTTTGTTTCAAATCCTAGAGAATGAATAACCGTTATGAGAAAAAACCTTTGCTCTAACTAACCAATGGGATAGGATATCCAAGAATAATATCCAGCCATGTTTTCTTTTCCCAAAAACATCCCCGACTTTGCCTCCACTCTTCCACTCTTCCACTCTTTTTTCCGACTCTAATGCACCTAAACCAGTAACTAAAGTAGGTATCGCCCATCTACATTACTAATCACATCTACCGATGTCCTTCTCATCTCATCCCCTTCATCTTCTTCATCGGCTATTCTTTTTCTCCTCATCTCTTTCTTCCGTTATTGAAAAAAAGAAAAAAAAGAAATAACATAACGTCATACGTCATAGTGTGAGAAAAAGGAAAGAAAACACCGAAAACACTTTTTGTTTGTTATTTTATTATTATTATTATTATTTTTTTTTTCTTTTCTTTTTTCAGTGTTTTCTGGGCTTACCCCGCTTTTCTTCCCCTTTCTTTCAACCTTTTTTTTTCTCTCTCTTCCTCCTCCTGTGCCCGCCGTCTTTGCCCCGCCCCTTATCTTATCTTATCTTATCTTGTATTGTATTGTATTGTATTGTATTATATTGTTTTATTTTTCTAAAATGCCGTTTGTACAATGGAGGAATTTTTGCTTTTTTTTCTTTTTCCTTTTTGCTTTTTTCTTTTTGCTTTTTTCTTTTTTCCGTTTCTAGTTGGCTTTGGGTTTTTTTGTTTTACGTTTGTATGAAGAGAGAGAAAGGGTGAATTTGGATAATGAAAAGAAACAAGAAGAACAAGGAGGAGAGGAGGGGATGGGGACGGGAAAAAAAGAGAGTGGAGAAGTAAAACGAAACGACTGCCCCAACAAATGAACATAAATAGTAAGCTCCGTTCCGTGGATTTTCTTTTCTTTTCTTTTCTTTTTTTTTTTTGTGAGAGGAAGAGAAAGGGGAGAGACAAACATCCACACGCCCACCTCTGCACCAGCCGTGTGTCTTTGCTCTCTTTTTTTTTTCCTTTTCCTCCCCTCTCCGCTGGATGTATCCATTCTTTGGTGAGAAATAAATAAGTCCGCAATCTCGGGCTTGGCACCCTACAATCAGGGTTTGAGCTATCGTTAGGGTTCGGGTGAGTTGATCTTGTAAACATTCATTGCTCTACCTCTTCTATATCTATCTATCTATCTCTCTAATACATTATATGTGTATGTATGTATACGTGTACAATCTTTAATGATTCTTTCCTTTTTCTTTTTCTTTTTCTTTTTCTTTTCCTATATACTGATATACTCTAAACATGGAATAGCCCTTTTCAACATTCCTTTCAATTCAGGTTCTAGTCTCTCTCTGTTCATTCTTCCGTTCTCATACAACAGCCTTTTGTTTCCATCCAGTTTTAAAATCTTCAAATGACTATACGGCAAAAACTGTATTAAATTCTCCCAACTTGACAAATCGTTATATGATAAGTTCAATTCCTGTATAGACATCAATCTAATCTCCATCCTTGGGTCCCTAGGCAACTCCCTCATCCTACCAATACCAACTATCTCTAACTTCTGTAATGAACCAGGTATCTTGCTCAAGGATATCAAATCTTCCACATCCCCGCCAAGTATACTCAACTTCACCATCCCAGTTGGTAAAAACTTCATTTCAGGAAACCTCTTATAACATCTTATCTCTAATTCCTTCAATCTTGGTAACGGTAAAAACTGTTGTGTTCTCGATTTACCCACTATTTTAAGTCTATCAGATCGTATCTTTAATATTTCTACCTTACTCATACATGTACTTGTAGTTTCACTCTCACTCTCACTCTCACCCTCACCCTCACCACTATTCATGTCTTGATGGAATATAACAGACACTAACGGATTCCCATTCAAATTTATACTTCTTAACGACCTCAATCTATCCAAGTTATATACCTCGGTGATCTCATTGTTACTCAAATCTAAATGCTCAACGGCGTGCCATCCATACTCCCCAACTTCCTCCATTAACTCCTCAAAGTCTATCGGCCCCCTGATACAATTATCGCTCAAATCTATTCTTTTTATCATCGATCCGCTAGGTAATCCGTTCAAGGATCTGATTCTATTGGAACTTATGTTCAACTTTTGCACATTGATAAATCCGTGTTGTCCTAACCATGACAAATCCGTCTTGAATTGATTATTTGATAAATTTAATATCTTCACATTATTACTATTATTACTATTATTACTATCATTACTATCATTATTATTATCATTATATATATAGGTGTCATTTATTAAGTTCTTGGAAAGGTTCAATTCTATCAAATTTTTAGGGATGCTGTTGCCACTATTAAACAGTTTGATATTATTGTTCGATAAGTCACATTTAATTAGTGATGGTAAACATAACGCTAAACTTGTGATATCTTTCAAATCCTGTCCCTTGGCATCCAATTCAGTAACCGTCTCCCAGTCTCTATCTATCAATAACGGAGTCAGCTTACGTATCAACTGCATTTTATGTGCTTCTAATGTCTCAATGCTCGATTCCAAATCTTGGAAGCCAGTCTTGATCCTAAATGGTAATGGGGTATCTTCTAGAATAGAATTTTGTCCGTTTCTTTTCGTGTTTTTCACTTGTCTACTATCATCATCATCAATGTCGTTGTTTTTGTTTTTGTTTTTGTTTTTGTTTTTGCTGTAATTAGTGTTAGTGTTATTAACATTATCATTATTGTCACTGCTATGACTACGATGATTATTACTTGTTCTTAGATCTTTGAAAAGATGGATTTTGCTTAACTTTCTTTCAGATGGATGCGTAGCAGTAGTTGTAGCAGTGGAAGAACTTATATCTGCTACGGTATGGTTTGCAGATATGTCTTGTGAATTCGTTTGATCTATATCTCGTACCCATTTACCTAAATTGTTTTCAAAATTTAACCCAGCTACTAATGGTGTAATTAATGTCATCTTATTCTTATTCTGCGATATCATATCATCAAAAACATTATTTGCGTCACGCAACACTTCGTTTGACGTCTCCAAATCTTCACTCTGCTCTTCCTCCTCACTACTGTTTATCGTATTGATATTATAATTACTACCGTTATCATTATTGCTATAATTATTACTGCTACTACTGTTATTATTATTATTATTATTATTATTATTGCTGTTGTTGTTGTTGCTGTTGTTGTTATTACTATTTTTTGTCTTTTTATTTTTAAACGTGTTATAAACCTCACCAGATAATTCGCCTATTCCCTTAACAATAAGGTCGTTTAGACTATTTCGTGTCAGATTAGGGTTACCATGTTTTAAGTTGTCTCTCCTTTGACCTTTCCTCAAATATGATAAAAATTCTGGGTCATCCATAGTGGTTCTGTTCGAGGATTTGTGACGTTGCTGTACTGTATCAAATGGATCGTGGCTCAGTCGCGTACTGCTATGAATAGTGACACTACTATTACTACCACTATCCTGCTCCTCATTCTCATTCAGTAGATCGAGACTTTGATCACTCTGTGAATACGTATTGTTGTTATCTGTATAAAACTTTGAATTGCGCATTGGAGACTGTAATTGACGGTCAGAAAAAAACGAAGAGTAAGACAAATTTGTTGATTTTCCATCATGTGAATAGTTCATTTGATTATGATTATCATTCAAGAAAAAATGACTATTTTCGTCAATATCATCACCGCTATTATTATTGTTATTATTATTGTTATTACTATGACGATTGAAATATCTATTAACTCCCCTTAAGTTACTTGACATAGAGTCATCAAACTCACTATTCGAATTCAAAGTATCATAATTGGACAACTGCTTATTAAAATTATTGTGATTATCATTCCATTTTGAGGAAACAACCGGGTTTTCAACATTTGAGACATCACTGTTGTTATTACTATAGTCTACGAATTCTTCATAAACTTTCCTAGCCATTTTAGCCACCAATTTGCCCGGTGTACTTCTGTATAAACAATAATTCAGTCAAAAATACAAGCTTGCAAATCTCTCTTCTCTATTTAAATAAACATATAAAGCTAATACCACTACAACAATTTTCTAGCATAACCATCTATAACTGTGCACCAGTATTATGAATATTATGATTTTTAGGATGATTGGATCAAGTGAAAAATCTCAAAAATCTAAACAAATAGAGAGGTCGAGGAGATTTTTTTTTTCTCTTCGTTACTCGCAGAACACGAAAATATTTTCGCACTATTTACGTCTCTGTTATTTTGCTCACAGAAAGTAAACAAACGAAACAAAAGGACGGGAACCTCATCACGAATTGTAGACTATTTTTTTTTTTTCGTTCCTCCCCCTCCAAAAAATAAATAAATAAATAAATAAAGATATACAAAAAAAATAAAAAAAGACGATTTCGGTTTGAAACAAACAAATTTTCATACTGAAAGACAAAGAAAGAATGAAGAATCCATTGATTTGATTGATTTGATTGATTGACTACTCCATTGCAACTGTTAGTAAATGCAACTTGCTGGTTGACCAGATTTTTGCAGCATTTGTTTGACACACTAGATCTTGGATATACAGATACTCTAATCACACACAACTATATTATTCAGTATAACAGGGGTGTTACAGTATATATCATCAGCCAGGGAAAGGAGATCCAAAACAAACAAGCAAGCAAAGCCAAATACATAAGGTTGAGTTATTGGGTAAAGAAATTATATATATCCTGCTTGGCACTTATTTCATACATATTATCTTTTCAGTTATATTATTAACAAAGGGGTAGACATAAAAAATTATAAAAGACATATATCTAATTGTTGTAAGAAAATTAAGCTTCTTCTACCACTACTTGTTTGCCAGAAACATTTCTTTGTTTTTTCTTTGTTTCTTTCTTCTTCTTCTTCTTCTTCTTCTATTCTACAATTACAAAATGAATGGCAGCCAGGTTCGAAGATCAGATGAAGATTTGATTAGAAATGGTTCAATGGTTTCAATAATAAACGATACAGGCTCAGAGAACCAATTTTTTAAAGCCCTTCCTGACAATATGAAATTGTCTTTTAATAGCCCAATACAATCAAAATCTCAATTTCCGACACCATATTCCTCAAACTTACTAGACACTACACAGAGACACAATATTTTAACAATGAATAAAAGCAATAGCAGTAGTAGTAGCAGTAGTAGTAACGATAATGATGCTAAGACTAACAAAAATAATGATATTAGTACCACGTATACTGCTCATGATTATGATACTACGTTCTATGGAAATCCAGATTCTTCTTTTATTGATAAAAATTCGAATATATATTCGAAAAACGAAGATAATGTACATGATGCAAATCTGAATAATACCATACATAAAACAGAAAATGATAGGAATATAAATATTAAAAGGGAAAAAAGTTTTAATAAAGATAATTTTAACAACAACATTAATAACACAACCGAAAATGATATAATAGAAAATATAAACCATATGAGCACACAAACGTCCAATGCGTTACAATTTTCGCATATAGAATCTACTAGTATAAAGCAATCTAAGTACCCATCGAAGATAAACATGAATTATAACAGTAATAACAATGTGAGTCGCTTGAATATTCCAACTGTTAATAACAATATGACAAATAATAATAACAATAACAATAATAATATTCACACTGATTTTTTATTGCCTTCACCTGTACAGTTTGGTGAATTTTTATACGATTCACCTGCTGGGATAAGTTTTTTCCATAATACCCCTGCAAAATCCCCATTAAAATTCATAACAGAAGATTTTAGCACTAATCATAGTAACGATAAAAAAACTAATAAATACGAAAATCAGTATAATGGACCTACCTCTTCTAACTCATTGCATTTTTTTAATTCAATCAATAATGTGGAATCTAATAATAACAACAACACAGATACAAGCTCTAATCAAAATAATAATATTAATAATAATAATACTAACAATACATTAATAGATATATGGGATAAATTGTCTAGTAATACAAGGACTCCGTTGCGTAAAATAGATATCAATCTAATGTTCAATAATGGACAACTATTAACTAATTCTAATTCATTATCACCTTTGAAAAAATTTTCTATGTCATTGACTCCATATGGTAGAAAGATTTTAAATGACTTAGGTACTCCATTTAATTACACTGTAAATTCAAATCAAAACCAAAACCAAAATAACAATAATAATAACAATAATAATATTGTTACAAACAGTAATATTAAAACGTACTTATTCGGTGGATCATCAAATAGCGCCATGATAGATTTCCAGAGAGCAAGAAAAGGTATAATATTTGATACCCCAAATGATATTAATTCATTAATGAAAAACAATACCATATTGTCTCCAAGTAAACTTAGCTCGTTTGATATTGCATTCAGAAGCCCTAAACTGATAACGACCCCCAAAAAAGATAAAAGAAACAACAAGAACAGTTTAAATGATAGTCATATACCTAAGTTAAAAATCGCAAGTGATAAAAACATTCACGATAATATTCAGTTGGATAGTATTGATAAAAAACTGGATCCTGATGCACACGTTGATGAATCATCACCTACTACAATTCAGTTAAATTCCTCAGTCACTAAATCATTGCCAAAGATGGAAAGAAATATTTATAACAAACTGCCTGACAGAATTCCTTTATTATCAAGAAACATGTCTCCTTTACAAAAGGTTGCTTTGGATATGAGTTTTTCGCCAACACCACATTCCAATCTTCATGCTCCAGTAGATATCAAACCGCGGCTTCCAAATGAAAGCCGATCAAGCAGTAATGTACTTACGTTTTTGCCAGTGTCTGATTTACCAAAGATGGGTTCTTTCAAGAGCGAACGTACGGCATCTACATTGACTAATAACGACACATTGATAAATTCACAAAATTCTCAAAATTCTCAAAAATCAGCATCATTACCAAAGTTACCTTCTATAACGACGTTTCCCTCTACAACTATTCTCCCACAACAGGTACAGTCTAAAAAAGGTGTAGTGAAGAAAAAAAGAATAACCAAGGCCAAACAACCGAAATTCCAAATCTTTGTTTCTAGTGTTCACAAGTTTAGTGACCCAAATTCATCTGTTCCAGTCACATCCTTAAAGCATGGCCATCATACCCATTCATCTGCTAATAATAAAACAAACAAACGTACTAAGAAGTAAGGTGATCTTGTTTGTTGATTTTCTGGTTTAGAAAATATAGCTATTTAAACATAATTATTTACGAATCTTTTAGTTTCATACATACATAATTTTACACATCGATTTAATTTATATACATCCTGAGTTTCTTGTTGTTATGAATTTTAGATATCAATGATAATCTCCACGGTATTTTTATATCCTTTGATTTTTGGTCATATCTTCAACTGGTCAAAATTATCTATGTAGATGTCAAAATTCTTCAGAGTTTTTCCATTCCGAAAACGGAGTCATTTTATAAAGGCACCCGAAGATAGTGTCAATGGAATTTTAGAGGAGATTATCCAACTAGAAGGGTAGTCACATTGTTAAACGTCTTTACATGTAAACATTTCTGAAAGGACCCATTCATACTCAAAGGAAACATTCCAATTATAAATAAATAATAATCAAGCAGTCCCGCTTTTGTCCTTTCTTTCCCTCCTAGCCCATTATTGTTGACTCAGATAATATATATGAGTAAAATATATTAAAATGCCAGATATTATTTCTCAAAAAGATCCTTTATCAGCCTATGATACAAGCAAGTTAGAAAACTTCGAAAATAATTACGATGTTATAGAATATTTGACCAATACTTCTTCTCTGTTGGATATAACCATAGATAAATATACCGAGATTCAATTGAAAGAATTGAATGATATGCAACTGAGTAGGTATTATGATTTGAAGAAGGGTAGCGTTAGAAGACAAAGTAGTATAATTAGTGGCTCAGAATATTCAAATTCTTCACCTAAAAATGTCACTTTTCCAACCACATTTCCTTTAACCCAAGCAAATGATAGTAATAACAACAATGGGGTAATAGATACAAATGTTAATAGTAGTAATAATTCTATACATACAGAGGTTATTAAATATCAAGGTTTGATGGATCATTTTCTTTCTTGTTCTCAGAATAGCATAGAACCTTACCAAGTGAAAAGAAAGTTGAGTATACCTCTGTTAGGAAAAGTTAGAAATAACCATAGATTAGTTAGTCCAGATGATGAGAATACTAGCACTGAAATAGATCCGCAGATAGAATTTGATATAGAAACAAATCTACTACATCAATTAAACAACTTCAATTTTTCGAAATATACTTCAGAGAATTCTCGAAAGAACAGTGCTAATGGAGCAACTACCGAGGAATCACAATTACATACAGGTGATTCATCGTATCCGATAAATGCAGATCTTAACTCATATCTTTCTAGTAGCAAGTTTCTCCATCAATATACAGATATGCTTCAAATGAATTTTGCTAACTCATATAGAAAATATTACAAAAAATTGTTAACGGTGAATCCGGATAACACAGACACTTTGAAAAAACATAACTTATGGATTCCTATGATTAGAGACGACTGTAAGGATCTGTTGATAGGAGATTATATTAAGAACATCGATATATACACTCGTAAGACATGCCCATTATTCGTGAAAGGTTTAGATTACATACCAGCCATGTATGATACATTCTCTGGGTGTTCAGTTATGAAATCGGTCTTTTCAGAGTATAAATTTCCAACATTAGTATACCATTGTTCCATTACAATGAATAGACAAATATTCACAATAGGTGGACTGATGCCGTGTTATCGATACGACTCAGAAGCACCTGATCCACATAGGTATTTTATGGAACCTATTAAGAACTTACCACCTCCCCTTTTACCTGAAATAATCAATAACCCAATTTTGGTCAACAATCCATATCTATACATATATTCTATTGATTCGTCGAGATTATCCAGGGTAACGCCTTCAGGACATATTCCACCTCCATTATTATGTGCTACTGCTTCAAAATTAACCGAAACACATATTTTATTCTATGGTGGATTTGAAATTAAGACAGAAACTAAATTTAAAAATAATGGGAAATATTATTTGAAAAGAAGTGCATATTTAAATAATACTGTATACATACTAGATACAGTTTCATTGCATTTTACAAAAGTTGATGTTGTGACTCAATCGTACAAGAATGTTAAATATCCAACTTTTTCTGCTAGATTTGGACACATGCAAGTATCTACCAAGGGTATTAAAAACATTGGTTATCCAACAGACATTGGAAAGGTTGATATTGGTACACCAACAGAATCCTCTACATCAAATAACTCCACAAGGAGTAATTCTGTGAAAAGTGATGTATCTGTTAAGATGTCTCTGAAAGAATCTTCAAGGTTCATGTCAAATCTATCTAATCAGGGTATTGATGTCTATACTATTGTTATATTTGGTGGGTATAGACAAATAGGGGATGATAAATACGAGGCAATGAATGATATGTGGAAATTAGATATCAAAGTTATAGAGCGTGGCAAAAGAAACTTCCTAAAATTTGCAGATACTGTAATTGCAGTTAAAATACCAGGTATAAATAATGCAGAAAATTGGCCATCAATGAGAGCATTTTTTGCCTATGATATTCCACCATTTAATGTCACTAACTATGATACTTTACAAGATAAAATATTAAAAAATTTGGAAGAGAATTTCGAGATAGAGTATCCAGATTCCAGAGAACACTGGAAAACAAATGCAGTGGATACTATAGATTTCTCTAATATACATAATACACCGATACGACATTCCACAACAAACCATAGCCGTAAATCATCAATCACATCGACAATTTCTTCTGAGAGACACATTGGCGCTACTGCTTCAATTCAAAAGTATCAAAGTACGCCAGTCGCTTCAACAACAACAAAGGCAAATACAAATATAGCATCAAACAGTAATGAGAAATATCAGCAGTTTTTTTTTGCTGAAGGTAGCCCTCCATTCATGGGTGGATTTTCCAATTCTAATTATGTCGGCGGTAGAACGATTGTCATTCATGGCGGTTCAAACAATACTGAAGTATTTGGTGAATTATGGTGTTTTAATTTAGATGAAGGTTCTTGGAAACGTGTGGATACCTATGGTACTATAATAAATGACTTAAGAAACCCCATTCCTGCACAGATGAAACTTGTCGGTCATTCTATGACCTCGTTAGGATATATGGCTGTTTTGACAGGTGGGTTCTCTGAAGCAGACGTTAACAGAACATATAAGACTACAAAGATGGGAATGGAATCAGAAATATCCGGAAATGATGTATCAAATAGTAATTGTCAAACACACGCAGTTAAAAATAGTGTTATCAATATAATGGACTTGAGATCTCGTTGTATACAAGGCTGCGTAAGATCGTCTAATAGTCAATTAGCTGTTACATTGAAGAATAATAACTCAGCTGAAACAAATCCTACAATATTCCAAAAAGAAACTTCACAAGATATTTCTAAATCTCATCTTATTTCAAGTGTTGGTGGGACAGTTGTCAAATCTGACGGCAGCTTATTTTTAATCGGTGGCTTAGCTGCTAGACGAAACATATTAAACAAAATGTACATGCATGGGTCAATATTGGAATTTGTGCTTCCAAGCAAATCACTAATAAGTTAAACCTATACAATGCATTGCTCCTCATGATAAACCATTGGATTTATTGTAGTTCATATTTCTGTGGATAGGAATCTCCGGAGTTACTACTAAATATGTGAGTTATCTGAAGTTTAAAAATCTGTCACAAATTGTTACCTTTCCTAAAAGGGCAATAACTATTCTCTCAAGAGGTAAAAAAAAAAGGAAAAAGAAAAAGAAAAAAAAAAAGAAAAAAAATTTTCACTGCTTCAATTAAGTATATTTTGGCTATCAGTTAAATAGAAACGTAATAAAACAAAAGGATTTTTGTGTTGTTTTTATGGTCTTTGACAATTGGTTTTCTGTTATCCAACATGTACTGTTTCGAATTAATCGTTACATTACTATGTTTAATGCAACTTTGAATTGAATTATATTTCTAGCTACTCTTGCAATATTACTATACAACAACAAACAATAATAAGTCCAGTTTAATAACTATTGTTTTTAGTGAAAACCATAAGAATAAGATATCATATTAATATTAGAATACAAACAGCTAACGAAAAAGAGTGTGTCATTTTATAATACCCTAATTGCAGTATCAGTGAAAAGTAATATTTCTTTAAGTTATTTTTACTCACTTCAACAAACTTAGCTATATATTATCCAAAAAAATAAAGGAATAAAAAAAATATTAAAACAGTCATTACAATGCTAAGTCCAGAACGTCGTACATCTATGGCAGAACGTAGACCGTCATTTTTTGCATTTCAACAAGCCACACCATTACTTGTACCTCATTTGGCAGGTATTGAAGACCCATTGCCAGAGGCTACTCCCGAGAATGTTGATGTATTAATAGTTGGTACTGGCATCGTGGAGAGTGTTCTTGCTGCAGCATTAGCATGGCAAGGTTCCAATGTTCTTCATGTGGATTCTAATGACTACTATGGTGATTCTTCTGCTACTTTAACTGTTGAACAAATTAAAAAGTGGGTATCTCGAATTAATGACAATAAGATTCCCTGTTATAAAAATGCGAAGTTATATGCTTCAAATGATATTGGTCCTACTTGTAAATATAAATCAAGAAGTTTTGGTATTGATTTATCCCCAAAAATAATGTTTGCAAAATCTGATCTTTTGTCTATATTAGTGAAATCAAGAGTATATCAATATTTAGAATTTCAAGCTTTATCTACTTTTCATACTTTTGAAAATGATTCATTCGAAAAATTATCAAATTCTAAGCAAGAAATTTTTACTAATGATACTTTACCATTAATGATAAAACGTAATCTAATGAAATTTCTTAAATTTGTTTTGAATTGGGAAAATCAACCAGAAATATGGGAGCCATACAAGGATAGATCATTAGCTGACCTTTTAGCAGAGAAGTTTAAACTGGAAAGACCTCAAGTCTTTGAATTAATTTTTTCTATAGGATTATGTTATAATACTGATGCTAAAATCCCTGAAACGTTACAAAGAATCCGTCGTTTTTTGATAAGTTTTGATGTATACGGACCATTCCCAGTATTATATTCCAAATATGGTGGTGCAGGTGAAATATCACAAGGGTTTTGCAGGTCAGCTGCAGTTGCTGGAGCTACATACAAATTAAATGAGAAATTTGTGTCATATAATCCAGAGACTAAAATTGCCACTTTTGAAAATGGATCAAAAGTCAAAGTTGAAGAAAAATTGGTACTATCACCTAGTCAAGCCCCTGAATATAGTTATAATATGCCAGAACAAAAATATGAGGTGCATAGATTGACTTGTATTGTAGAGAAGGATTGCTCTGAGTGGTTTAATGGGAATGAATCTGCAGCAGTTATTGTCTTTCCACCAAACTCATTGAAATCTGGTAACCAAGAGGTTGTACAAGCAATCATTGTTGGCTCAGGTTCTGAATGTTGTCCAGATGGAACGTGCATATGGTATTTATTCACTACACAGCAAGGGCCACGTGCAGAATTGGATCTTGATGCAGCACTAGAGGCAATGGAAATCAGTATTATTAGAGAATCCTCAGTCAAAATACCCCAAGATGAAAGTTTAGTACAAGTCTCAGAAGATGGGCATTCTACAATAAATTCATTTAAATTGGGTCAATCATTTAAAGAATACGTGAAAAGAGAAAAGGTACAATTTTTGTTTAAATTATATTATACACAGTGTACAATGGTCCCTCCATTCAATGTAGTAGACCCTTCTTTATTCATGCCTTCTTCTGGAGCCTCTTCGAAGTTTATTCCTAGTGCTTGCGACAATAATGTGATATATACTGCTATGCCAAGTAGTGAAATATCATATGATGAAGTTATCACAGCAGCTAAAGTGATATATGAGCAAATTGTGGGAAGTGATGATGATTTCTTTGATATAGATTTTGAAGATGAGGATCCAGTGACATCTAGTAATAGTTATGGTACTAGCAGAGCTATTCAATATGATGAAAACGCTATTGAGGATGAAGAAGAAGAAGATATCGATATGGATCAAGGTGATAAAGATGGAGATAATAGTGACGTTGTGGGCAAATTGGAAATATGATCGAAGGAGCGTAGAATTTTATGATACTATGCTGAAATCGATCTAATAAGGTGATGCTATAAATAGTCTTCTCCTAACCTCAGTTTTTTTTTTTTTTACATTCAATTTTTCAAACCGATCTTGGCTATTAAAAGGTTAGTAGAGAGAAAAAAATATAAAAGCAAATGTGACTTCATTACAGCAAGAATTTGTGGACTTTACATTAACATTGTTTTTGTTTTTTTTAAAAAAAAGATTCTTTTTTTTTGCACAAATACATAGATCGAGGAAACATATAAAATGGAACAAATATACAATTGATTTTGTATCTTTTTATATAATCTAATGTGTAACAGGTACGTATTAATATTTCATTCATCTATCAAAACAATTTACAATCAATAATATCTAAGACCTATTCAGTTAGTTGAGGTTGGGTGGTCTTCGGAATCAATAATTATTTTTCTCACTTTTTCAAGACGGTTTTTAATTTAATAAACCCAGACCTTTACAGTTCTCCCATAAATTACTCTTTTTGGAACTTTTATCTCTTTTTTATTTTTATTTTTATTTTTTTTAAATTTGTATCTCTCTCATTGAGCGATCAAATTAAATTTGTTTGCCTATTCTAGAAATCGAGAAATTTTGACTTGGAGACATTCAATTTTTTTTTTTACAAAGATGCTTTAGTAGATTGCAGTTAAGGCATTATCTCAACAAGATGAAGTAGGGAATATACAAGAGATGACTTCGCTAGAGTAAGTGTTTGTTCGACGTACTTTTTGATTTCTTAATAGTTGTTCTTATGATTCCATTTTAAAGTCACCACTGAGCAGTCTTTTGATATTTCTCCTGTAAAGAAGTCACACTTTAAAGAAAGCCAAATACAAAAAGAAGCAAAGAAAAATGTCTGACGTTGAAGAAGTTGTTGAAGTTCAAGAAGAAGTTGTTGAACAAACTGCCGAAGTTACCATTGAAGATGCTTTAAAAGTTGTTTTAAGAACTGCTTTAATCCACGATGGTTTAGCTAGAGGTTTAAGAGAATCTACTAAGGCTTTAACCAGAGGTGAAGCTCAATTAGTTGTCTTAGTTTCCTCTGTCACCGAAGATAACATTATTAAGTTAGTTGAAGGTTTAGCTAACGATCCAAACAACAAGGTTCCATTAATCAAGGTTGCTGATGCCAAGCAATTAGGTGAATGGGCCGGTCTAGGTAAGATTGACCGTGAAGGTAACGCCAGAAAGGTTGTCGGTGCTTCTGTTGTTGTTGTCAAGAACTGGGGTGCTGAAACTGATGAAAGAGCTATGATCTTAGATCACTTCTCTCAACAATAAGCAATTTAATATGTAAAGTTATTTTTTGGACTGATATCTTTTTTTAATTATTCGTCTCATTTAAATGTTACTTTATTTATTAGGTTAGCTTAGTATCATTGAATAATTATTTCTTTTTGGTTGATTTAATTTCTTTATATAAGTATTTATATAATTTATATATAAATTAATTTCAAAGAAATATACAAAGTTAGCATGTCATCATCAAGCTTCCTGTTGTTTTTTATTTTGAGTGACATTTAATTGTAAGACTTTTATGCGGGGAGGTCCACAAGTCATGCGGCATATGACAGGATATTATGGCTATGCAATTTCTGAATATTTGAATATTTTGATTCCAATATTCACTTAAGCCGTCAGATAATTAAGAAAGTTAAATATGATAAGAAGGTGAGAAAAAAGTGGTTAAAAAAATGGAAACGCCATATTATCAAATTGCACGGACGACGTAAAACCTTCTGTGGTAGTTTCAGCCTCACTCTTGCTATCTTCCATACTATTAGGGTTATTATCATTATTAAAATTGTCAGAAGCTGTGTTAGATAGTCCTAATAAATTATTAGTTTGATTCCATGGTTCAATTGTTGCAGGATGTGGTCGTTTTACGTTAGTTAAGCTTCTCAATTTTTTCATATTTTTTAAGGTGATATCAATTAACATTTCAATATCTTGTTTAGCGATTATATCTAAAGAATCCTTTGTAAGCATTGTGATTTCAATAACTACCCCTGGATAATCTATAGGTAATTGAGGTTTTCTATTATTGTTTATGTTATTAGAGTTTTGTTGATTCAAAATATTGTTATTATTGTTATTTTGTCTTTTATTTGAAATAATTATATTACTTGTTTGACTTAAAATGTTCACCCCAAGGACACCATTCGTATCTAATCTAATTAAGACTTTTGATGCAATCCTGCAACTCAATCTTATCTTGTCAAACCTGTTGAAATCAAAATATGCAATTATGGGAACATCATACAATAGTTTATTATTATTACTATGACCATTTAAGAGATCGAAGATTTCTAATTTTTCAATAATATTTCTATTGTTAGGCAAGATGATCTTAGAATAACCAATATCAGATTTTGCTATTAACGCAAATACATTTTCATTATAGTCCTCTCTCGAAGAGACTTTCGCATAAAGATAACATTCCTTAGCGTTATATTCTTTGAGATCTCTTAATGCATTATATAAAATATCACCTTTGATTATGCATTCAAATTGAACCAAATCACGCTGTAATTGCAATAACTCAGCTTCTTTATCCTTTAAAGCTTCATTAAATAGATATGTTGAATAGGAAACTTTTTCCTCGACAAGTGAATCCTGCAAAATAAGAGAGAACACTGATCCATAACCATCATAATTCATTGTGCATTCAATTATATCGTCTTGGTTTTTGTTGACTACATTGATAGTATCTAGTAAATGACTCAATTTGATACAAAGTTTCATACAATCCGATTCATCTAATATATTATTATTGTTATGGTGACTATCACTTGCATCAACTGTTGTTGATATGGTTTGATCATCATTAAAAGTATAGGATAAAAATAATTCTCTAGATAACAATAATTGTATTCTAATCGAACCATGATAATCCCTAATAAAGGATAAACCATCTCTGTCTATATAGATCATTACATCATCATTATTTATTGAAGAGGACCCGCCTCCACCAATACTGTAACCAACTTTATTTAGATTGTGAGATATATTAGTTGACGTATTCGAATATCCAGAATTTGAAGAATCATCATAGTTTCCACCAAATGGAGTTAAACAATTTAATGCTGTTGTGATATGATCTAAATGAACTGTGGACGCAGAGAATCTGGGGAAGTCCATTGTAGCTATATTTCTTTCCTTCTGTTTTTTTTTTTTTATTATATGGATTGTTGCTAGACGGGGGATATTAGTATTTTCATATTAGACACAATTTGAAGTACTTTGCCACAGTAAAATAGATTAGGATCAAACAAATAGAGTATTATCTATTAACGATAAATGAGCACATAGAGAAACAAAGAAGCAACAATGAGATGCTGCTTTTTGTATCATTAATACTTCTAACCAAATCTTCCAAAAATGTAGTGATGTTTTTTGTTCAAGAGATGTGTCAAACTTCAACCGGAAAAAATGTTATTGGAAAAGAAGAAAACTTTTGTGAACCCTATTTGCTGGTAACATACTTTCTCAATGAGGACATAAAAATATTAGTAGCCCTAATCGCGATTCGGTAATTAATTTTTGAAGTTTTTCTATTTTTCAATGTAACCCTCATAATGAATTTAGAATAGCAACAATATATGGGGTTTATTAAAAGACACATACACACACATATATATATATATTAACAAACATTGATGTTGACATAGTGTAGCATTAGAGACAGTGAATTGTAATTTGTTTTTTTGTTACTTGCAATTGTGATTATAGAGATAGGAGAGTCTCAAAGAGAAAGAGAAGGATAAAATGGTTAATAACAGACGTAGAAAAAGTAATCAATTGATTCTTGGGATCACACTAGCTATTGGTATTGGTACATCATGTTACTATTTATGGAAATCATTACAAAATGGAGAAGATAGGAAAATAAGCGATACTCCCATAAAAGATGCAACCAATGATAAAAGGAATAAATCACGTTGTGTAGTGGTAACATCTAGTGTCATTGATACAATGAATGTGATTCCTTGGTCACAATTGTTAGAAGATGAAGAAGATTTAGTTTTGATTGTTATTCCAAGTTGTAAGGACCGATTCCATTTAAAATTAGATCCAAGGTTTGCATATAAAGTTATACGTTGCGATACAGTGCTTGGTGTCTGGTCTTGTATTAAATCTTTAAAGAAGCAAGAATTGTATGTTAATCTTGAAGAATTTCCAGATGGCGAACGAAATATGCCTGATGATATACCTAGATATGTCCCACATATAACGTATTGGAAAAATGAAAAAGATATTCTGACAACATTCCCCATATAACATGTATATATATATGTATATATATATGTGTGTGTGTATGTATATGTATTCATTCTTTTTGTTATAATATATTTCTTCTTTGACCAAAGACAATATGTTCAGAACCTTGTGACGCCCCACCCATATATCCGTATTCATAGGTGGACCATCCTGTACCATTACTATTACCACTATTATTGTTAGTACTCTTTAGATGATCAGGCTTACGTTTAATTGGAGGGGGCACTCTTTTCTCTGCTAATTGGGGACCAAGAACAGGAAATCTGTTTGGATGTTTTTTATTGGCATATCTTGATAAGGATTTCAACGTTTGATAAACAGCAGTTGGATCCTTTGATTCATATAGATCTATTGTTTGAAACAACTCATCCTCTGGAACACCATACTGTCTAACAAAATCTAGAAATTGCGATATTTGTTCCATTTGCACAAAAGGTAAATTTGAGTGTTTCCATGTAATGAAGTTTCTTTGGTCTTGGTCATTTTCAAAGATTAAGGTGTTCGCCAATTGACAAAGTATAGTACCATCTTTCAAAAGATCTAATAATGGACTGTTAGTTGGTCGGTCTTTAATTCTCAATACACTGTCAAAGATCCAGTTTTTAATTTCTTCAATTGCATCCTTTGAGAATTTTGAAGCTCTTAACAATTTTAAATCTTCATCTAATGTGGTCACATCAGGCTTGATCCCATATATTTTCTCCATAATTGAAACAATCTAATGTTTTATATATTTGTAGCGTGGTCTAAGAGTACTGAACAGGATAGAACACGATAAGGGAAGACATACTCTTATATATCCATCCATCTGTCATCGTCATTATTATCATTATTATCACTCTGATCGCTGTTTATACTTCAATTCATTAATCCGATATTTTTAACGGATCTTGTGACTTCCACGTGATCTGATAGTGTTAAATCCCCGGCCATCGACTCTTGGATTTCAAAGGTCTTTTTTTTTATTTAGTTTTCCAGTTTCAAGACATTTCATTTGAGATACGATTGATTTCCATCTGTTTCATTTCTAGCCCATGCAGAATTATGGTGATTCGATATATTGCAGTTAGTTAATGTTGGTGGATGGAATGAGGGGCTTGGTTTTGGAGCAATATAAACATTTTCAAGACCTGTTGTTAAATTAAATAGGTATACTAGCAGATGGACGAGCAAATGAATGAGTGATTAAGGACTGTTATCTGTTTGCTTATATGGGACTTTGGTGTGTCTGAAGTATTATTAGAAATTATGTCAAACAACAACAATATCAATAATAATAACAGTATCAATAATAAGACTAATGATTATCCAAGGTTTACACAACCATTTATTATACCCTTGCCACCCCTACTCTCTGTAAACAATAATACCAATAATATTGCTAGTCAATATTGTCCTCCTAATGCGCCGATTTCATTAAAATTGGATAATTCTGTCCATTATTCAGAGGCTAATCGATCAGCTACTCCAGATGCTGATGTTCAAATTGTCAATAATAGTGAATGTACAATGAAGAAAAGAAAAAGAAATAGGCTATCATTTGTATGCCAGGCTTGTAGATTGGCTAAATCTAAATGTGATAAAGCTAAACCGGAATGTTCAAGGTGCGAAAGGTTAGAGATACAGTGTATCTATGATACTGCTACACAACCTTTACCTAAACATTTGTCAAAGGACTTGGCAATTCTGAGATTAGAAAATGAAGTCGACTACTGGCAGAAGAAAACTAAACTTTTATTGGAAGAACAACAAAATTTATTGAATCAATATCAAATTAAAAGCAAATATAATGAAAATGACACTACTATTAGTACTATTGGTACTATTACTAATAATAATACTGATATCAAGACTGACACTAATAATAATATTATTAGTAGTAATTTTAGTATTGGTGATAGTACTGTTGTTGATACAATTCTTGGACCTATAAATTATGATGATGATTTTTACCATAAGAAGATTTATCTAGGTAAAAAAAATCCAAGGTTAATAATGTCTAAATTTATGAAAAGGGAGGTTAACCCATTATGTGCAAACTATCTAATGATTAACGATATTTTCTTCGCTATGACTTTGATGTCAATCTTTATAGATCCAACTATTTTAAAGGAAAATATTATAAGAAATAATCTTCACGCCAGCAGTATCCCCAATAGTCGTGGTAATAATACGAGTAATGCTGATGATAGAACTAGTGAAACCGTGAGAAGTTCTGTTAAATCCGCTTATTCTGAATTAATACGAAATATGAATGCAAATCATTTAGTAAGTGCACTTACTGTAGACATCACAATGGCCACAAGTGGCAGCATTTTAAGGGATAATATTTACAAATTACAAAAAATTTTGATTGATAGATGTCAATCAAACAATTTGACGGAAATTAAAAGGATTAAAAATTTTTGTAATAGAATCCTTGAATTATCTTCTGAAGTTAATGATATCACAGATGTATTGAAAATTTGGATAAATCCAAATGTCAATGATCATTTGGAAGATATAATTAATCTAGAATATAGTATTAATAAGGGAGATGGCTCCAGTATGGATCCTACGGTAAACATAAATTATGAACAATATTATTCTCCATTATTAAAGCAGATCATTCAATCCTTTGAAACTTTATTACCGCCTTTACATACTATTGAAAAGTTTAAAAGATATTTTTATGAGAATTTATATCCTTTAGTACCATTTGTTGATTTGATCACTTTTGAAAACTCTCTCAAAAAGATATTGATACCAGATCCAAACAACAATCAAAAATGTAAGTTAATTTTAGGAGTTTCTGGCATCAGAGATAAAATTGAAAATATATGTATATTATCATGTATTTTAAAGATTTCTTTCCAATTCTTCTGTATGTTAGAAGAAAGAGGATCTTTTACTGAAAATTTAGTGAGGAATTATATTTCATTGGAACAACTACATCAATATCCAATTAAAAATGATATTATAGTCACTGTACTTCGTTGTCTAATATCGGAGAATTGGACTAAATGTCCTAATGAAAATATAATTACGATCACACTGTATCTGTGGTCATTTTTTATCTTTGCCCCAGATGAAGAAAATTTTTTTGCACCTAATCCAACGGAGTTTATTTGTGACACTATCATTATGTTATCCATCAGGATAGGTCTTCATAGAGATCCAAAAGATTACAGTCCACTCGATGGAGATGATAATAGGCTATTAAGAAACCACAGACGGTTATTATGGTTATCTGTTCTTTCCATGTCCAGTTATGAAAATGCGTTAAAAGGTAGAAGAGTATCGGTTAGAAAACTTCTAGATTCATCGATTGATATATGCTCTCCCAGCGCTTTTGAGAATTATATGAATCGTGTCCGTGAGGATTTGGTAGATGACCCTTCATTAAATGACATTGTGGTACCTCTTCATGAGTTGACTTGGAAAAGGACAAAATTGGCTCTTTTACATCAAAATCTTAATACTTTAACTATAAGTTATAATAAGGGGATCTCATTATGGGATATAGAAAAGGCTATGGCCTGTATTGATATATATTGTGAAAAGTATTTGAATGTTTCACATCATGATATCAATTTAATAAAAACCGAAAATCACTTTGTTGAAAATTTTTACGATATTAATGTTTCTAAAATTTTACCGGAAGCAAGCTTCATATCTGAATTTTTAAGCGTAACGTTACAAGTAAGGACCTCATATGCATTGATGCTTTATTTTGAAAACCTAGAGGACGAAAATGCAAATGATAAAGATGGCAAAGATGATTATAATGTTGAGAAGGTGGTGAATGAAAAACGTTTTATAGTATCAAAAAAGGAATCTCATATCCCTTATTATTTACGTTATTTGAAGATGACCATAAATTATTGTTTGAAATTGATTGAATTATATGAAGATTTTTACTCTGAAACTAATATTCTTTCATCAGATAGGGTCTCGTTAAAAGGTAATAATAATGTAGACTCTAATATTCAACCACCATATCATATTTCTAAATTTTTGCAAGTATCTTTATCGACTGCAATGTTTACATTACTAGCTATCATTGTGAGAATCGCTATTAACCAAATTTTTTTATCAGAAGACAATAAATATGGTAAAAATAATAAAAAAATTGATTCTTTGGTGATTGTTCAAAATACATTAAGAACTAGATTAAAGGATATACATGATTTAGTTACACATCATTTGAAATATTCATATTTTTCAGTATTCAAAATATTATCGATGTATGATTTATTGATTCGTAGAATTGTTTGTGATAAATTAATATGTGGATTATTTAAACCCATTACAAAAAGAGATGTAGATCCACGAATGGCGAAATTTTTTAAAATGTCGTTTAATATTCCGTTTAGTGATGGTAATGCAAAATTAATTGATATTTTAAGAAGCAAAAATCATATATCATTGATTGATGAAAACAGTTTGGTCCAATTACCAACAGAAATAAAAAGCAATCAAAGAGAGACATCAAATCTACATTTCGATTCTAGGGAATCAAGTGAGGATACCAACAATTCTAAGAATGCTTTAAATCAAGTTATCACGACATCTCAAGAACCATACCCATTAGTCCCTAGATTAGTTCCAACCGTTGAAAATTCAACCTCTATAGATCAAGATAGAATCAATGATAATCTCAACAATACAAGCGTTCCAGGGTTCTTAGATATGAATTTAGAGATGCTCAATAATGATAACCAATTTAACGTAGAGACATCATCTAATGATCAAAACAATACTACTCCATATAATAATTTTACCTTTGATGAAGAACAATTATCCAAGACATTTACTGGTATATTTGGTGATTTAGATCTTTTTGATTACGATTACTTTTTCAGTTATAATAATAATAATGAAATTTGAAAAAAAAATTCTATTTAAAGTTTTAGAGGATCACAAAAAACAGAGATAATTATATCATAAAGCTTGCTTGTAAGCTATGTATGAATGTAAATAAATAAGTAAAGTACAAAGTATTATTTTTTGTTATTATTGATATATATTCTTATATATAATCTCTTCATACACAAAATATGTTTTAATATAAGTGAATTGAAGAAATTCTTCAATATTGGGTGAATATGAGGTGAGTAGAAACTAAAAATCGATTTAGTTCTTACCTTGATTGGCAAAATAAGTAAACCAGTGGATTTGATCAGCTAAAGCTTTTTCCTTACAATATTTGACCCATGGATCAGAGATATCACCCCTAGCAGCAAAGCCATGACTGACACCAGAGAATAAATCTAATTGATAGCAGTTACCCTTTTCCATTAATTTGGCTTCAGTTTGGTGTCTTAATTCTTCTGTGAAGACAGGATCAGTTTCTGCAGCAGAAATTAACAGTGATTTTTCTTTAGTGATAGCAGCAACTTCTTCAATGGTGACAAAAGAAGGATGGGCAACAGCACCAACATCGGCGAGACCATCTTCAGCCAGTTGTTGGATAGCAAATTTGGCACCAAAACAGTAACCAATGACACCAACGAAGGATGGTTTTTTTTCATCCCTTAATTTTTGTAAAAATGGTTGAACAGCTTCGTTTCTTGTCTTCTCTGGGGAATGTTTACTTAACCATTCCTATAGGTGAGTAGAACCATCTAATTTAATAACAGGATCTCCGAATAAAATATCAGGGACTAAAACGGATAGTCCAGTTTTATTAGCTAATTCATCGGCGATCAATTGGACGTTGTTGAATTTATGACCGTAGATATCTGTCAAGATGACAATATATTTATCTTCATAGGTAACTTTAGTAGACTTACAACAGTGGGAAACCTGAGGTTTGGCAATATAAGTTTCTAGACCAAAGATTTCTTGAAGGGAGCCCTTTGGTTGACCTTCGTGGCGGAACCCCATAAAACAACACTTACTTGGTGGATTTGAAGCCATTTTTTCTTCTTGTTTTACTTATTTTGCACTTTTGTCGACTGCAAAAATGTATTACTTCTTATTATCATTGGGGAGAAAACGAATGTTTAGAGATATAACAATTACGTAAAATATATTCAATTTATAACCTAATTTATTATCGACTTTTCGAAGTTTTAGATTGCTTTTTTGCTATTTTTAGCTTTTTCTTAGAGACCCTCGAGCAAACAGGCGGCTTTTTGTTATTCAAATTATCGGTTTTAAATGCCGTTTTGCAGCTTTTGTATTCCGCAAGATTTATTTCCAATTTTGGAAATACGTTCCAAAGGAGAAATAACGTGTTTTTGAAGAATGACGGGAAGTAATTTTATCGTTTCGAACGAATTTGTCGATCGAGTGTGGCAAGTCTCATCCTGTTTCTTTTTATTTTTTAAAAACTTGGTCTTAAATAATACACAAGGGTAATAATAACAACATCTCGATCAGCTTTATTTATACAAAAGAAAAATTAGAAGTGATCCACATTCTAAACAGTGTAATAAAGTCAATTAGTTCAAGATTACATAATTCTGTAGTTTTAAGTCGTATTTTTCCTCTCCTTTTTTTTTTCGACTGTTCGTTTGTTGAAAGTTCAACAAAAAGCAATATTGGATTGAAGACGAAGCGGTGAGACAGATTCTTCGATTAAATAAAACTATAGTGGAATAATTTAGAAATAATATTTGTTTAGCATACTTTTAGCAGGATGACTTCAATTGGTACTGGTTACGATTTATCAAATTCTGTTTTTTCTCCAGATGGTAGAAACTTTCAAGTAGAATATGCAGTTAAGGCAGTAGAAAATGGTGCAACTTCCGTAGGTATCCGTTGTCAAGATGGTGTGGTATTTGGTGTGGAGAAACTAATTACATCTCCATTATTAGTTCCAGGAAAAAACCGTAAAATTCAGACAATCGATAGTCATATTGGATGTGTTTATTCAGGATTGATTCCGGATGGAAGACATTTAGTTAATAGAGGTCGTGATGAAGCAGCAAGTTTTAAAAAAATTTATCATAGACCAATTCCTGTTGATGCACTTGCTGATCGTTTAGGCCAATATGTACAAGCACACACCTTATACAACAGTGTTAGGCCTTTTGGGATCACTGCCATATTTGGTGGTGTTGATGACGTTAAGGGTCCTCAATTGTATATGTTGGAACCAAATGGTAGTTATTGGGGCTATAGTGGTGCAGCTACTGGAAAAGGTAGACAATCTGCACGTGCAGAATTAGAGAAATTGATAGCTAAACATACAAAGAACATTGATATTAATGAAGATGATACTGATAATAAAACTATTCAATTAAAAGTACGTGATGCAGTGAAAGAAATTGCCAGAATCATATATTTAGCGCATGAAGATAATAAAGAAAAAGAATTTGAAATTGAAATCAGTTGGTGTTCAAATGAAGAGACTCAGGGGAAACATAAATTGGTTCCAAAGGAATTACTTGAAGAGGCTGTGAGTTTTGCTAAAGAAACATTATCCCATTTGGAAGATAGTGATGACAGTGATAGTGATGATGATAATAACGAAGGAAGTGCTACACAAGATAATGAAGGTGATATTGTATTAGAATAAAGGCGTTTTTTTAGATGATTGACGTAATATCCATGGTATGGAAATATAAGTATAAATGATTAAGTAATTCAAAATTTAGGAGTATTAACATGACATCAATTAAATGTAGTTTGTCTTAAAGATTATAAATAGAAAGTGTGTAATTTTGTCTATTCGTATAGTGAAAATATTATATTAGATAACTTATTTCAACTAATTCCTAATTAAATTATTTTTTTTCTATGTATATATGTGTGTGTGCAAGGTTAGGTACAGTGATATACCATTCGAATATTGGAGAAATTATACTTATTAGTTAATTTTAGTGACTTATATAATAAGAAAAATATGAGAGCATGAAGGTTGGTCTATATAAGTATATGTTAGATTCAAAAATTTAAATAAGTTCATTTTTAAAGAACATCCTTTTATTTTTAAATTCATTTGGGTGGGCACATCAGGTTTAGTTGAAACATAAAAGTATTAGGAGAAGCTAGAAGCCAGGATTGAAATAGAAAAATATGCATAAAGGCGTAAAGATAATAGCTTATTAAAAAGTAAAGATATAAAAAAAAGTAACGTTTTTTTCGCAAGACTTTCATATTTGATAGAGAGACATATTCCTCGTATAACATTCAAAAAGTTTATGGGATCCATTTTTTTTGGTTTATTTTTTTATGATTTATGAAGAGAAGATAGCGTTAAAGAGAGTTATATATTGAAGATGTGCTATTATAATATAGGATATATTAGTACTTTTAGGGCAAGTTCTTCGTGGCTTTTTTTTTGTTATTTTAAATATTTTAACTTTTGTTCTATCTTAGCAATCCAAATTATAAATAAAAAATTTTTTTCCTTTAGTTCACAAAAGATGACTTGTATGAATTATATAGTAAGGAGTTTTCTCAAGTAGTATACTAGAATATAGACATTAATTACATATATACACACACTTACAAATTATATAATTGGGTTGATTTTAACTAATAAATAGATTAGTTTTATTATTCGGGTTATTCTTCTTCTAAGTGAAACCTATCAGATAGAATACGAATATTGTTGAAATAGAATGTTCTGTAATAAAATAGATAGAACAATAAGATTTTAGCAGATACCAAACGATAAATTGTTGAGTAATAATCGTTAATAGGTCACCAAAGGTTGTTGAGTTTGTTTAATAAATATCTTACTGTTCGTAGAGGAAAATGGCTGAATGTTGACATATATAAAGCCAAGGATTTCATCATACATTATTTTTATCTTATTTACAATCTTTGTGTATTATTACTTTTATGTTGTATATAGAGAAAGAAAGTGAAGAACTTTATTATAATTTTGTATACTAAATCTGTTTAATATAATATTGAAAATGTTTACTATATATCCAATGACTACAGGTGCTATTTCTCAACAAATATCAACACTGATAATTACGTCTGGCATTATCTCTCAATAATCAAAGGTCTCTTAAATAAGCCTCTCAGTAATTTGCCACCAATATCAATTCAACGATTGTTTGTTCGTTCAAATACACTCACAACCTTGAACTCTGAGTTTTGACTGTTCTAAATCCTTTACTTCGATATTCGACGTTACTTACGGGTTAGATGTTTCAGGATGTCTAATTAAGACCTCTTACAGCCTACCTGACATAGATATATTATACAAAACTTAATAATATCACTGAAAATCATAATATCAAACTTGAATCTATTCATTGCAACATAATTACCATATCAAAGTATAAAATCTTGTTCTCACCACTATTGTCTTTAAATAAAAATACTGAAACAGGTCTGAAACAATATAACTAACATATGTTTTTTTTCATTAATGATTACTGAAAGTTATATTTTTCAAAGTACAATAAAATATTATGTCTAACTGTTGAATTGCCAAATAATTAAAACTTTACACATTTGACAAATTCCATAAAAATTCCACAACTTAATACTATTACCTTTCTTCTTTATTAAGTATTGTACTATACATTTGTGACTGAATAAATAGACTTTTTTCTATAAACAACAATTAAAATATCAATATATTTTCTTTATGTAAGCCCTATTTAACAAACTAGATTACATTTATATATGTAATTCTCCTCTGTAACTTTTTTTTTTATTTTTTGAAAATATTAAATGCGACAATATGTTTTTTTTAAATTATTGTTAAAACTACATAAGTAATCTAATTTATTGCGATTCTAATCTGTTTTATCAAAGAATATTTCCCCAAGGTTGTTCTTTAGGAAAATTTTCCTTATAAAATTACTCAATAAATTTAATTACACATTTGTAGGAAGGTTATTTGTTGAGAATGAACGCCTGTAGAAATTGGATAAATAGTTTAAATTCTCAATGTTATATTTATATATATATTGTACAAAATTTTGCTCAAGTTCTTCGATTTTTTTATTTATATATAATATATAAGGATAATTATAAAAAATGAACAAGGGAAGAACCATGATATGAAAAAAGTGTTGGCTTTATATATTTTCATATTTGGCATATCTCGTCTATGTACAACACCAAATTATTGATGAGATTTGTTTACGTCTACTGATAAGCAAACAATATGTTTCCCCCATTTTGTTATCAATTTATACTCTCTAAAATCTAATTGGTCTATCTGTTTATTCTAGAATGCTCGATTTCAGTATTATTACACTTCTTACTTATATTGAACATTTATTACTTCTAGTTATTATTAAAAAATTTCTACAATTGATTCTTCTTGTTTCTGTTAACCAAAAAGTAATATACATGAATAAAAACATGTTATAAAATGATATTAGTACCTTAATATTTTGAATGTACTTTTTATCCCAACATTATAATAGGTTCCATTTCCAATTAAAACTGAAATCTTACATACACAATAAAGCCTATGCTTGATAAAATATCTTTACCATACCATAAAATACTTCTACATACTTATCAACAACATGGCCATCTTTCCATGATAACTACTAATAAAAGAATCTTATGATTTTTTAAAAATTTAACCGAACACAATCAAATTCGGCCGACTTATATTCGGCCGAACTAACCTCCCTTCCAAAAAGGGTAAACACAATACATGAACCATAAACCATAGAAATAAGTACGAGGATACTTCAATTCTCTCGACTTTAGTACTACACCACACTTCATTAATGAGGAAGAACATAACTCTATTTTCAATTAGCTATTGACAAAAAAAATAATTATATAAATGTATGCCATCTTTGGGATTCTTGAATGAACAGATACTTCTTTATAACCCATTCTCCTTATATGACTTCAACACACCAAAACAAACACAAGTGCGTTCTTCAAACATAATAACGACTTACTATTACTTTGATCTTCATTTACAAAACAACAATAAAATTAAAACAAACAAAAATAAATAATGAGTTTAGTTAAACAAGTTCCATTTGGCCAAACTGGCATTAAAATATCGCCAATAATTGTGGGTTGCATGTCCTTTGGTGACCTTAAATGGCAGTCTTGGACGATAGAAAATGAGGATAAAGTATTCGAAATTTTAAAGTATGCATACGATCATGGTCTAAGAACTTTTGATACGGCAGATGTTTACTCTAATGGTAAAAGTGAAAGACTTTTAGGAAAATTTTTAAAAAAATATAATATCAAAAGAGAGACTGTCGTTATTATGACAAAAGTATTTTTCCCTGTTGACGAAGATATGCAAGTGACTTATGAAACTATGAATAAGGGGTTAGATACTGCCGAAGGTATTCAATTAGCTAACCAAAGAGGCCTTTCACGTAAACATATCATTGCTGGTGTGAGAAATTCTGTAGAAAGATTAGGTACATACATTGATGTCTTACAAATCCATAGATTGGATCACGACACACCAGTGAAAGAAATCATGAAAACTTTGAATTGGGTTGTTGAACAAGGTTATACAAGATATATTGGTGCATCCACTATGCGTGCAACTGAATTTGTAGAATTACAAATGATTGCCGATAAATATAATTGGTTTCAATTTGTTAATTTACAAACACAATATAACTTATTATATAGAGAAGATGAAAGGGATTTGATCCCATTTGCCAAAAGACATGGCTTGGCTATGACCCCATGGTCACCAAATGCAGGTGGTCAATTAACTAGACCTGTTTCCAAGCAAAAAGATACTGAAAGGGGATCAAAAGATGCTTTCTTCTTACCTATGACAGATGCAAATGTTGAGATCATTAATAGGGTCGAAAAAATTGCCAAGAAATATAATGTTTCAATGGCCATAGTTTCTACAGCATGGGTATTAAGTAAGGGTTTCTATCCAATTGTAGGAATTAATTCTATTAAAAGAGTAGAGGATGCAATTGAGGCATCTATGATTCAATTATCTGAGGATGATATAAAATACTTAGAAGAACCATATAAACCATCTGAATATTTACTATATTGATTCGGATTCAATTCCTATATAGTATTTTTTCTTTTTCTTTTCTTTTTTTTTCAATCTTTTTTTTTTCATATATCTAGTGTGATTATGTTATCTATTACTAAATACATATATTTTTAATAATAAGTATATCATCAATTATTATAATGCAAATGGAAATATGTAAACATGTTTTTTTTTTTCATTACTCTTATAGACACATTGTGCGCTATTCTTTATTCATGTCATCTGACCAAAAAAAAAAGAAAGGCAATCTCTCAGGTAACATTATTAAAAATTTCAACAAAATAAAAAATAGCATCAAACTTATATTCCTACATTCATAAATTATCAAAATGTTTTTTTCTGCCCATATCCTCAAAGTTTGGTATTAAAATGCAATGACTAATAGTCTTTTCATTCAAGCAAATTTTTAGTTTGTCCATAAATCATAACAATTAATAAGATGAAATATAGTTAATATCTAGAGAAATTAAAAAAGATTATCTCCAGAAAAGTACTCGTACTATTAACGGTTTTCAAGCTTGTTTTTACATATTCCTGTTAATAAAAAAGTATATTCTAGGGTTTTCCTTTTTTCTAAGCAGTGCTAAATTTTTTTTTACATTCCGGGTAAAATGAAAATTTTTCTTTTTTCAAATCTCGTGACAACAACAACACAACAAAAACAAAAAAAAAAAAGAATAAAGAGTTATTTATTATTGCTTAACGTTTGATTTCACAAATAAAATCTATTGAATAAAGACTTATTACCGGATATTACACATAAACTTTATATAACACTGAACACATCCTGTCTTTGTTTGAAGTATCTCACAATATAGCAATCATACATCTATATACACCATGACAACTGAGATTTTTGAAGACATCAAATTGGAAGACATTTCTGTCGATGATATTGATTTCACTGATTTGGAGCAGGAATATGGTATTTCCGCCTCTACTTCTACCAATGATGAAATTGACAATTTTATTCATTTTGATCACTATGTCGTTGTTACTGGTGCTCCAGTTATTCCTGAAGCCAAAGTCCCATTGTTAACTAAAGCTTTGACTGGACTTTTCTCTAAAGTAGCCAAAGTTGTCAATATGGAATTTCCAATTGATGAAGAAACAAAAAAGACTAAGGGGTTTCTTTTCGTTGAATGTGAATCTAAGGCTGATACCCTAAAAATTATTAAGGCCTATCACACAAAAAGATTGGATATAAAACACCGTTTATTCATTTACACTATGCACGATGTTGAAAGATTAAGCAATTTGACTACTGAGGAAAAAGAATTTAAGGAACCAGAATTACCACCATTTGTCTCCTCTGGTGAATTAAAATCTTGGTTATTAGATGAAAATGTTCGCGATCAATATGTTATTCAAAATGAAAAGTTGACTACAGTCTTTTGGAATAATGATAAAAAGGATGAAGTCACCGAAGAAGCTGTTGTTGAATCTAGAAACAACTGGTCAAACAACTATGTTAGATTCTCTCCTAAGGGTACCTACTTATTTTCATACCATCCTCAGGGTGTTACTGCTTGGGGTGGCCCACATTTTAATAAACTAAGAAGATTTTATCACCCAAATGTCAGAACCTCAAGTGTCTCTCCAAATGAAAAATATTTAGTTACATTTTCTACTGACCCAATTGTAATTAATAAAGATGATATTCCAGAGGATATTGAATGCCCATTTACCATCAAAAATGAAGGTCATCAATTATGTGTTTGGGATATTACCACTGGTCTTTTAGTTGCTACTTTCCCAGTGATCAAATCTGAATTTTTACATTGGCCATTAATCAAATGGTCTTACAATGACCAATACTGTGCCAGATTAGTTGGAGACACATTAGTTGTTCATGATGCTACCAAGAATTTTGCCCCAATGGAATCAAAAACCTTGAAAGTTTCAGGTATTAGAGATTTTGAATTTGCTCCTACTGAAGTACAGTTATTGCCAATCAGATCTAACAAGCCAGACCCATCTGTCTTGCTTGCTTATTGGACTCCTGAAACAAATAACATGTCATGTAAAGCTACTATTGTCGATGTCGGTAGAAATAACGGTCGTGTTATTAAAACTGTTAATTTAGTCCAAGTCTCTAATGTCACTTTACATTGGCAAAATGATTCGGAATATTTATGTTTCAATGTTGAGCGTCATACCAAATCAAAGAAAACTTTCTTCTCCAATTTAGAAATCTGTAAGATTAATGAAAAAGATGTTCCTGTAGAAAAGATTGAATTGAAACATCGTGTGGTTGATTTCAAATGGGAGCCTCATGGAAAGAGATTTGTTACTATCGCTCTTGATGAAACCAACGACGACGATAATAACAATATTGCCATGCCAAGAAGTGTGGTACAATTCTGGGCTCCAGAAAAGGTTGACAAACCAAAGGGTAAGCAACAACAACAAGGTAGTGTTATTGTTAAAAAATGGGTAATGATCAAAGAATATGTCAGAAAATTCTCCAATACTATTTCTTGGTCACCAGCTGGTAGATTCGTTGTTATTGCCACATTAGTTAAACCTAATCTAAGAAAACCAGAATTAGAATTCTTTGATTTGGATTTCAACGGTGAGAAGACCATCAATGATTCAAATATCAATGTGCCAGTTCAAGCTCGTTTGAAGGACATTGCACAACCACCATGTGGTAATGTCACTGATATCTGTTGGGATCCATCAGGTAGATTTTTAGTTGTTTGGTCCTCAGCATTGAAACATAAGATCGACCATGGTTATAAGATGTTTAACGTTGCAGGCCAATTATTAAGAGAAGAAGCCATTCCAAATTTGAGAAATTTCGTCTGGAGACCAAGACCACAATCTTTGTTAGCTAGTGCTGAAAAGAAGAAAGTAAAGAAGAACTTGAAAGAATGGTCTTTGCAATTTGACGAGCAAGATGCTATGGAAGCTGACACTGCAATGAGAGATTTGATCTTGAAACACCGTGAAATGTTGGCTCAATGGAGTGCTTATAGACAAGAAACCGTTCAAACCTTGGAAACTGAATTCAATGCCACTGTCAACAAAGTTGGTGCTTTGGTTCCATTATCTATGGACGGTTCTGAAGACGACGATTATACTGTCGTTGAAGAGATCAAAGAAGAATTAATTGAAGAAAAGAGAGAGCGTGTTTAAGAGGGATGAGGTAAAGGTTATCTATTTCTTATTTATTTGTCTTTGAAACGTTATTATTGTATATTTGTATCTTTTTTTTTAATTATTATAAGTAATGTTTCTTTGTAACATCTGAAATTTCTCAGTATATTTATTTTGCTCATATAAAGATAAACATCATTAAAGATAATGCAGCTTACAGGTTGCTTTTAAATCTGACCATTTTCAATCTGTCCATACGAATTGTATAATTACCGCATAGCGAATGTGTCACAAAATAAATATGACGTAACCAAAATACTCGAAAACAGAAATATTTTTGTATTCTTTTTCCAAATTTGTGACACTTTGTGTGAGAACCAACCAAAAAAAAAACTAAAAAAAAAAAGAAAGAAAATTTTTCTTGGAGAAAAAAAAAGAAAAAAAGAAATTCCTCGAGAAAGAAATTAAGATACCAGGAAAAAGAAAAAAAAAAAGAGAGAAATGGTGCTTGAAAAATTAAATACGAGATAAGAACACCTTACAAAACCCAAGAGTAACTAGAGAAGTAAAGGACGGATTTTATATCTACTTATATGTATCCTTCCAACAAACATAGCAACGTTATTCCACTCTCATAGATTCAGTCTTTAAATTAATTAAGATTACAATATTACAGTATTTGTGTTTTGTGTCCTAAGTTTACAACGAACATAGATAAGATAATATACATAAAATTACCCATTATATCTTAATTTTTTTATATTAATTAGAACAGTGCATAGAGTGATTTATTCATTCCTTTTTTTCTTTTTTTTCCATCTTTTGATTCCACTAATAAGTGCCCCTTTTATTATATCGAAAGATTAAACCCCTGGTTGTATACTAAATAGAGTCATATAACGTAACTTTATTTCTTTTTCATTTTCTCTCTACCTCTCTCGTGCATTAGTGTCATTAATAATATTATTATTTTATTATACTCTTATTGTTAAGTTTAGTAATTAGACACTCACCTATTTACACCATGTCCACATTATTTTTAATCAATTGTAATCTTCAGAAATTAAGCTTCAGCGACTCGAACTTTATTGAATCTAAATTCCAACGTGTTTTAGAAATGCCTACTCCTCAACAATTATTCGAAAAATTCTATTTCGATAGAATCCAGAGGTTTCCTAATAAATGGAACTACGAGACTGGTGTCTCTTTAATAGTCTTAGGTAATACAGAGTATAATATTGAAGACTTTTTAACTATTCAATACAGATTCTTCCCAACTTTTAATCTGAAATTTGTCACACTAATTGATTTTATCATAAATTGGAAACAGATTATTAAGCGAATTCAAATCGAATATAATTTATGTAAACTAAAAATCAAAAGAATGAACCATTGGATGCATCATCATCATCCTCATCATCATGATCACCATACTACTCTTGTGGAAGGTAATCATAAAGATGAGAGATGTGTGAATACAAAAATGGAGAATAATGATAGTTCAAAAGCTTACAGAAGTTGTGAGTATAGTATATATACTATGTTGGACCATTTAACTAATTTAAGGAGTGCAAATAATAGATCAAAATGTGTGATACCAAAAGTGATTTGCAATATCGAATTTAGTGCAATTGTGTCAAATCTTGAAAAGGATAAAGAATCTTTACCACACAGTTTAGAAGATAAAGATTTTTATTTGAAACTTTTCAATTCCTGGGATTTTTCTGCATTGAATTTAACTACAAGAGAATTAATAATTGGTGGATACTTTTTACTAAATTTTTTGGCTCAAAATGCCAAAATTGAAATTTCACAAAATAAATTATTGCTTTTATTGTTTACACTAGAATCCTCATATCATCAAGTTAATAAATTCCATAATTTTAAACACGCCATAGATGTAATGCAGGCCACTTGGAACCTATGCCAGATCCTATTACCAGAGAACCATGAACTGACGTTACTGTTATGTCTCGCTGCCATTGGTCATGATATTGGCCATCCAGGTACTAATAATTCCTTGTTCAGAGATGATAGTGATTTATCTATATCGTTCAAGAAAACTTCAATACTAGAGAATTTTCATTTCCAGACTTTCCACGAAGTTATTAAATCAATCTGGCCGCAAGTATTTGAATTATCAGTTAAAGATGCAACTATAAGGGAAAGTAACGAAGATATTACAAAGAAGATAATTTTGGCTACAGATATGAGTCTGCATGATAATTATGTCAATATGTTGACTCAACAAAAGAAATCAGAAATAACCACAATGGAAATATTGTCCTTTATTATCAAAGCAGCAGATATATCGAATGTAACAAGACCGTTAAATATATCAGCTAAATGGGCATATTTGATTACATTAGAATTCAAAGATTGTTTTAATTTACAAACTTTTAACCAATCCAATAAAAATGAAGACTTTTCTTGCGGAGACATACCCATGATGATAGATCGTGAAGCTGAAATTGATGAAGATATGAATTTTGAAATCGAGCTGCATAATACAATTATAAAAGAACCATTCCAATTGTCGCTTTTACTTAAGAATTATCCAATGATACCTAAGGGGCAATTATTTTTCATTGATACCTTTGCATATGATTTTTTCGATAAGTTATCAACTAAATTCCCTGAATTAAAATTTCTCATCAACAATATTAAGTCTAATAAGGAGTTTTGGCTATCTAAAGTAGAGTGAAAGTGTGTATATGAGGTTTTAAAAAGATATCATTATGATTATTAGTATTATTAATTTTACAAAATACTTCGAATTTATTTAAAAAAATTATATACAAAGATAAGCAGTGTGCTAAGTTACTGGGAAAATAAATTAAACAAAGTATCAGCAGCAGAGGTGCTAATGATAACACCTGGTTTGTATTGCTTTAGTCTTTTTCATTTTATTTTTCTTTTGATTCATTATCATATCACAAATAAACATACATATATACATATAAATTCTGAACACTCGAACATATATATGTATACTGTATAAATTATTCTTTTATAAGAATCAATTGTAAATGACAATCATTTATTTACTTTGATATGTATATCTAACAAGTTAAATTAATATATACCGAAAGTTTATTTCTACTAACTATATAATATAACTTTAATTCAATAAGCAGATTTATCTATTAAACTCTGTTCTTTGCAATCTTTAACGATATTAAACGCTTTCAGTAGTTTTCTTCTTGCTCCAAGGGCACTAACACCTTTGGCTTCCAATTCTTCATCAGTCAGATAAATTAATGTATACCACGGTAGGTTACTCAAACAATTAGAATATTTATGTAGTCTCAATGATTTTAACCAAGCTGGAATATTTTTCAATAACGATGGGTCACATAAATTTTCAGATGTCATTGAGTTATTTGTTGGAGCAACAGAATGATTATTTGTAGTAGAGCTAGAATGTCTATTATTATTATTACTGTTATTGTTATTGTTGTTGCTCACAAAGGTCATTACATTAGATTTATTATTGTTTGCATTTGAAGGAGATGAAGAAGATTCAAAAGAATGTTTTGAAGTGGTCTGTTGATATATATTTCTCTTTGTCATCAACATTCCAGGATCCACAGATTTAGATCTTTCCACATTAAATGAAGAATGCTTTCGAGATACTGGCTGTGGGGACCAAGGATGATAGGTTGAATTATTAGTATTTGTTCCACTACCACTACTATTACTATTATTATTATTATTGTTGTTGTTATTATAGTGATTGTTGGTTTTACTTTGTGTAATATGTGCTGCATTGTTAGAAGTAATAAACTGTGTCTCATTAAATAATAGAGAATCTAGTTTTGAAAATTCAGAATTGTATTGATCTTCAAGGAGAGAATTGGAAATTTTACTATTGTTGACAGTAGAGAGGGATGCGGAATCTGCAAAAGACATATTAGTATTAGGAGATTTTAGGACAGAATCTATTTTTGTTTTTGTATGGAAAAGAATGTCGTCACTCAAAACAGATAATATATTATCAATAGCTATTATCTGTTGTTGAACAGATAAATTTTTCATCCAATGATTTATACATCTGATATCCTGAAGAAATCCAGTTGTATTCGTGTCGGTAGAAAGAAATATGGGGATACTAATAGTGCCATTATCGTTTATAGATGGTACATCCAAATATTGGTTATTGAGATAAGATGGATACATTTGATCTAAGGGATAATTGGCATTAATAGATTGTTGTGGTAAAGGAGATGGAACATGTGAAGGAAGAAGAGTATTATAACTTGTATTATTATTATTATTATTATTATTACTAATGGATGTTGTATTATATGGTATGTCAATACATGGGACATAGGAAGCATGCTTAGATGCAGACGATAATGGGACTGGATATTGTATTGAAGGCAACTTAGTTGATTCATAAGTAACTTTATCTAACATATCATCAAATGAAAGCGGATTTTTAGTATTGTTGGAATTATGATTAGTATTTGTAGTATGATTATCATTACTTTTGGAGGGAAAATAAATAGAATTTTGTGATTGATTAAAAGAAGAAGAAGTCGATTTAGAAGCAGATTGTGGAGACATCAAAACTACTCCAGGGTATGCATTTCTACCAAATGGAGACTGTGACCGAAAATTATGCGAAATATTATCAGAGACACTATTATTATTATTGATGTTGTTGTTATAGTTATAGTTATCAGTAGTAGTGATACTATTTAACATATTGATTGGTGAAGTAGTAGAATTATTAACAGGAAGAATGCCCATTTCAAACTGATGAATAGATTGTAGAAAATAGAGTGAACAGACAATGAAACAGAGGACTTAGATTATAATAATCAATTTTACACAGAAACACTCACGTACAAACAAATGTTAACATTCCTCGAGGAATTCATCCGTTCTGACTTGTAGATGTACTTTTCAATGTGATCTTATCAGCATCTGCAGCCTAGTTATCATCATCATCATTATCATCATCATCGCTATTCCTCTCTCTCTATCTCTCTTTCTTATATTTTTATAAAAGATCGATGGAAAGAGCATCGATCCGAAATTTCTGGAGCAAAAAGAGAGAACAAAGAAAAAAAAATTTTTTTCCATAAAAAGAAAAAAAAAAAGAGAGGAATTAAATAAAAAAAGAAACGAGGCCCCGAAAGAGAGCGAAATAGTTTATGGTAGCGACAGTAAGGGAAGAATAGATGATAGAGAAACAAAAGTATCGACTTAACAGCAATCAATATACGTAGCCCTACATGGCTGGTGATTTCGTAGATGATTGAGATCCAGTTTAGATGGTTGCTGCATGCTTCATTGTCTTGGAACAACATCGATCAAAAAATCGAACATGTCACTTTGTTTTAGTGCCTCTGCAATGTCACCACGTTGTAGAGTACGACGCTTATGAGCTTCACTAGCACACCAAGCTCTCATTGTGACTTCAGTGATGAAAATTTCGCAAGCCTTGGCAAAGATAACCGGGGCTTCTGCGCTAATCATTCTGACTTCTTCGTCTGTCTTCATCACTTTACGTATTCTCGCAAAGGGCAAAGAGTGCGACCTAAAATCTTCCTCATGGTTAGAGCCGGGTTCGTTTATTGCTTCTATTTCATTGACCAGCTCCTGCCAGTATTGGATCATAATCTCGAGGTAGTGACCAGTCAACCCCTGACCAACATTTCTAAATACATCATAATCCTCTTCAGGTAGTTCAAAAACTTCTTCTTGACCCTGGTATTGTTGTTCTTCAATGGGGATATCAAACTTTTGTTGTGGATTTCTATGTTCTTCAAGTTGTTGTTGTTGTTGTTGAGGAATATTTACAGAAACCGTGTCTAAATTTTCTTTATTTACTGTTGTGTCTATCTGTTGTTCAGAACGAACCAATTCTATTAACAAACTGGTTTCCAAAGGAGGTGCAGGAATATCCTGAAAATTCTGGGGTTGTTGGTTCTCCTCCGAGATATTTGTTGTGTTAGCGTTGCCAGTATTATCCATGACGATATGTGTTTACTGTTTTTTTTTTTTTTTTTTTTTTTTTTTTTTATAATCTTTTACATGGAAGATTTCCTTATTGAACTGAGACACTTGCAAGTACATTCAAAAGTAGGAAGGACTCCTCTTTTCCTTCTTTTCAATCAACAGTATTCATTCTTCTCGACTGAGCCCCTTTGAATTTCTTTTCCTTTCTTCTTCTTACTTTATTTTTTTTTTCTTTTTCTTTTTTTTATTTTGTTTCCAAAAAGAAAAAAGCATTATGCAATTTTGTTAATTTTGCTGTAGAAAAGCATTGGAATACATTGAAACTATTGAACAAGAGAAAAAACATGTAGGGAGAGTGAAGTATTAGCATTAGTATTGGCATTTGTATTAATATTAGTGTGATTATGATCAAGTAATTGAATGTTTTAATTATTGTCTTTTCTTTTTTTTTCTTTCCTTTTTTTTTATATCATTTTATTTTCTGGAGGCTTGTAGAAGATTGTTCCTTCTTCTATTGCATATACGTATATTATTACCTATCTCTCTATTTACGAATGAAGCAATTTCAATCTTTCAGTACAATTGCTAAAGAGGCTCTATTAGATTCCCCTGACCTAACTGCTCGACAGAAATCAAATTCAAATAACCATGCAACAGTAACTAATACTATCACAAAACCAGCATCCACCACACTTGAATCTGATAGCGCAAAAGAACTTGATCCAAGATTGGATAATGTCATTACAAATTATAACGAAACAGAATCGTTTATTGAAGTAGATATCATTAATCCAAAGATCCATGAACCAATACCCCACAATGATGCAAGTAGTAACCATACAACATTCAATAGATTCACAGACTATGAGATTGTGACAAGAACGAATCTGCCCCAGTTTCCTAAAAGAATCAGCCATGTACGTCGTAGATATTCTGATTTCGAATTGTTTAGACATTTTCTTAAGAAAGAAATCCAACTGAATGAGAGATTGAATAAGATTAAACTACCTCATTTGCCAAGCAAATTGATCTGGCAGAACAGATTCGATCCTTCGGTAATTGAACAAAGACAGAAAGATTTGGAACAATGGATACGATTCGTTGCTGGTCATCCCTTAATTCAGACTAATTGTCCAACTTTGATTAGATTCCTACAACAGGAAAATTTCACAGGTTAATTTGAAACATATAAATACTGCATATTCAACATATATGCATTTAAATATCCATCATATATATATATATATATATATGTAGTAACGATAATGAGAATTATAAGATTATGACAACTTTTTGCACTGCCACAATTTTGAAGTTAGGGCTTTTTCTATTTTTTTGCTTTTTTTCTAATGTTTTTTCTTTTTCATCTTTTATTTTATTTTATTTTATTTTTAGCCCTTGAAGCAATATACTAATACTAACATATATATATGTAGATGAAGATTTGCAGACCGTCCCGTTTCTAATTTAGGAATATTCTCAGTAGCTTACGGTATTAGTGGCTTTTTCTTCCTTGGCTAACCCTCCTGTACTGACTTTTTGTTTTGAGACTTCTAGACACTTGAAGCACAAGTGTAAATATGGCGTTGGTATCGAAATCCAGATTAATTTCAATAGATGCATTCTATAAGGCACAGGATGATGTTAGAATTAGAACTAAGACAGGGGCATGGATGACTATCTCCTGTCTTTTTGTTACTTTCCTACTACTGTTAAACGAATGGATCCAATTCAAATCAATAATAGTTAAACCAGAATTGGTCATTGATCGTGAAAGACAATTGCCTCTAGACTTCTCAATTGATATTGTTTTCCCAAATATACCTTGTGACATATTGACTTTTGATATAATGGATGACATGGGTAACCTTCTCATTTTTAATGACAACCCAGATTCTCAGTTTGTTAAATATCGTATAAACAACATTGGTCAGGAATTGGGGGAATATAAACCTGTCTTGGCCGAGTCCTCTTCTATCAGTGATAACAATAACAAGGACAAGTCTGCATACTGTGGTTCTTGTTATGGTGCCATTGACCAGTCTGCTAACTCTCAAAAGAGTGATCCTAACGAATACATCTGTTGTCAAACGTGTTTTGAGGTTCAAAGGGCATATATATCGGCAGGTTGGGCATTCTTTGATGGTAAAAATATTGAACAGTGTGAAAGAGAAGGTTATGTCTCGTCTTTACATAAACATTTAAATGAAGGTTGTCGTTTGAAAGGTGACTCCAAATTGAAACGTATCAATGGTAATATCCATTTTGCTCCAGGTTATTCTTTCCAAAGCCTTAACGGTCATTTCCATGACACTTCTTTATACGACAGACTGAATAATATCAATTTGAATTTTAACCACATCATTAATCATTTAAGTTTTGGTCCACAAATCGCAAACATCAATAATAATAACCAAGAGCACTCATTCTTAGTCCAAAATGATAATCATAACATTCTATCTGTCGCAACATCGTCATTGGATGGCAATCAAGTGTTACCAGATTACAATTCTCATAATTATCAGTTCAATTATTTTATTAAAATTGTTCCAACAAGATATGAATATAAATATCACACAAAAAAAATCATTGAGACTGCACAATTCTCTTCATCTTTCCATTCTAAGCCTGTTACCGGTGGCATTGATTCAAATGATCCCTCTATAACTCATCAACGTGGTGGTACACCAGGTGTTTATTTTAACATCGAAATGTCCCCTTTGAAAGTTATTCAAAGAGAACAACATAAAATATCTTGGTCTGGGTTTTTCTTAAACTGTATTACCAGTATTGGTGGAGTCTTAGCAGTTGGAACTGTGTTTGATAAAATCATATATAGGGTACAAAGAAGTTATTCAACTTATAAAAATAAATAATAAAAATATTTAAAAATCTAATAAATATATCAATGAATAAATAATATGGTAATGAATAAATAAGTTTCTGATCGTTATTACTATAGGCAACGAATATTATTTTTCACTTTGTTAACATTTCATATCTAATACATCCTTTGTCTTTTTATATCAAAATTTTGATTTTCTTCGATCTTCTCAAGTAGAAGAATATTTTGGTCCATCATTACCTTCTGGTACAACCCAATTAGTGTTACCAGTAGGATCCTTGATGTCACATGTCTTACAATGAACACAATTTTGTGCATTAATCTTGAAGTTACCTTCTTCAGTGTATTCATAGACACCTGCAGGACAATATCTTTGTTCAATACCCTTCCATTGTGGCCATGATTTCTTTGCATGGCTTTCTAGATCCTGGTTTTCACCAATACGTAAATGACATGGTTCATCATGGTCATGATATGTACCAGTACGTGAAATTGAAGTCATAATATCAAAAGAAATTACATTATCTGCTTTAGGGTATTCAATCTTCTTAAAATTCTTAGCTGGTTCAGTGACTTCACCATCACTGATATATTTACCATTGTTAGTATGATGAGAGAAAGTCCATGGTACTCTTCCCTTTAAAAACATAGTATCTAATCCAGAGTACATCATACCACCATACATCCCCAGTTTAGTATTAAATGCTGGCCTGACATTGCGCACTTTATATAACTCATCCCAAATCCATGATTTCTTGATAGCAGCTTCATATGAACCTAATTCAAAAATTGATGGACCATTATCTTTTTGATTCAGAACCTCTACAACATTAGTAGAATCCAACTCAATGTTGTTCATCTCACATTCTTGAATTAAAGTATCCATGGTCTTAAATTGTCTTGCTTCCAAACCTTTAAAAATCTCTTCAGCAGCTACTATACCACTTTTCATTGCAGTATGACTACCTTTAATCTTTGGAACGTTCATGTAACCAACAGAGTCGCCCACAAGAATACCACCAGGGAAGGTCATTTTTGATGGGATGCTTTGTAAGCCTCCCTCGTTCAACGCACGAGCACCATATCCAATACATGTTCCACCCTTTAATACATTCGCATAGTATGGATGATGCTTCAGCTTTTGGAATTCTTGGTAAGGAGAGATGTATGGATTTTTATAATCTAGACCAACGACTAAACCAACTGTAACTAAGTTATCACCAAAGTGATATTGAAAACCACCACCATAGGTATTATAACTTAATGGATAACCCATAGTGTGTGAAGTATATCCGGGTTTGAATTTAGATGGATCCACCTTCCAAATTTCTTTTATACCAAGACCATAAGTTTGACCTTGGAATTTGGGGTCATTGTTTTGATACATTTTGAAATGTTTGATCAGCTGTTTAGATAAAGATCCTCTACAACCTTCAGAAAACACAGTTTGTCTAGAATGGAATTGTAAACCTTTTTCAAAGCGATCATCTCGCGGTTGGCCATTTTTATCTAAACCAAGGTCTCTTGTAGCTACACCAAGAACAGATTTTTGATCCCTATCATAGATGATATCAGAGACTGCAACACCAGGATATAATTCGACACCAAGCGCTTCTGCCTGTTCACTTAACCATTTAGTCAATTGACTCAAAGAACATATATAGTTTTTGCCTTTATTCTGTAGATCAGATGGGATAGGAACGGGTATAGACAAAGTTTTGTTAAGCAATAATTTGAAATCATCTTTTGTCACAGGTGTCAAAAGACCTTTACATGGTAAAGATTCTCCTGGAAACAATTCTTTCAAAGCTTTTGGATCAATAACGCAACCGGAAACAATATGATTACCGAAGTCAGCACTCTTTTCTAATACAACAATTCGATATTTTTTCTCTTTATCTATTTGTTTCAATTTAATAGCGGTAGCTAAACCTGCAGGTCCACCACCTACAATGCAAACATCTACTAATTCAACAAAACGTGGGATGTTAGCAACACTGCTATAGTGTCTTCGCAAAAGAGAAAACATTATAACGAATTACTTTTATAATTATAATATCAAATATTTTTGCCCTAATTTCTAATGGCAAAAGCTCAGGCAGTTTTAAAGAATGACTAAAACAGTAGATATGCTAGAATTGAGGGTTAATTTCAGTACGGAAGGAATATTCTTGACAGATCCATTTTTCCTGTATTTACATTGTATTTCAATTATATATATTTACAATCTATAAATTCACAGAAAAGAAACAGGAAATAAAGTTAAAAGAAGGAAATTCCTCGAGGATTTAAAGAACAATAGAAAAAATGTGACTTTAAAGGAAATGGATAACTCGTTTCTATCATTTTTCACGATAAAAGACGGAGTCAACTAACTTTTATTGTGGATTGTATGGGTGTTTTAGAATAAAGTTTTTGTGTATTTCGCTTAGTTATCAATATTATTAATCACCAGTATCACTCATAGTATAACGCTGGGATTATACCATAAAATATTGTGGAATCAATAACTGCTCAATGGCATTGTCAAAAGTCATATTCAAATAGTCCAAATACATAGGTATAACACAATTATATAAAATAGTGTGACAATATGGGGAGAGAAAGTTACATGTTGAATGTTATGCATACAATTAGCAGGCTATATAACAATTAGTCTTGAACACTAAAACATACTATCCAAGTCGTCTATTGAAATTGACTCTGGTTTACTAATGTCCCTTGTCAAGAATCCACTTCTAACCATATTGATCCAATACTCTTCTTTATGTTTTTGTTCCTGACTTTCATCGTTGTAATTGTTATTATCATTGGCAGTTGTATCACTACCTAAAGTGACAGTGCCACCGTTGTTTTTCTCAGCTAGTTTACTTTGACTTCTAGAATTTAATATAGGAGTCTGTAGTGTTAATAGCTGATGGATATTGGTGGATGAATTGTTTGGAGTAGAAAAATTACTTCTTGGTAAATATTTTGATATTCTTGGTGCTGCAGCTACAGCAGTGATATAATTACTTTCACTACGGTCAGAATTCGTAGGAATGTTTATCAATCCGTTTCCGTTACCACTGCCATTACTTTTATCATTGTTTATCGTGGCAACTGTAGACACGATTGTGGATTGAGAATCTGTGGCCATACTTTGATTTGTTGAAATGGAACTATTAGAACTATATGAAGAATCTATATTTGAAGTCTTTGGTCTCTTATTTGGAGATTTTATACTATCATTATTTTTTTTGTTATTTTTGTTTGTCACTCCTATCGTGGTCATATCATTAGCTGCTCTCTTTTTTGTATTTCCTTGAGAACCATTTTTCTTATTGGATTTCATAGCTTCATTAAAACTCATATTTTCATTATCATGGATATTATTAATCAAAATGTTGTTATTTTGGTCATAGTTCATATTGATATTATTGTGATTATCTTCATGAGATGTATTATTTAAAGTAGCAGAAACAGGTGATGTGGAATATGGAATATTAAATTCTGGAGGAAACGTAAAATTTAAATTATTAGCTTGTCTATAATTATAATTTGTGGCATCAAAACTTGTAAGATCGACATTTTGCGGTATATTATTGAATGAAGTAATCAAATTATTATTATTATTATTGTTGTTGTTCTTACCATTATTACTGTTCTTTTTGTTCGACTTATCGTTGTTGTTATTTTTATCGGTTGATGTCGTTATAATATTAGCAGCCATTTGTTTTTTCAATTTACTAGCCACTAATTGGGCTTGTTCTTTATAATCTGGGGCCAATATACCTCTATAGATATATAACATCCTTCTTGGAGAAGCGGCAGACCATTCCCTAGAAATAGCATAAATCAAAGTCTTTTCCCCCTTTTCGATTTTTTTAACGTAAGCATTCAATTTTGCAGATATTAGATTTGACAATTTTGTAGATAAATTCGACATCTCGGGATGTTTTATCAGCAAGTAATCACATAACTGTTTCACTGTCATACCATTTTGTTCAGGATCCATCTCATACAATATAATGAATACAGCAAATAGAACATCATCGTCGAACTGCGTCTTGTCTTCAACAGGTCTTGGTCTTTCGCCTGTTACGGGGATCAGCTTAGAGATTTCAACAATTGGATTGTTTAGAGGATTATTAGAAACTGCAGCCTTTGTGTTGTTTGATTTTTTTGAAGTGCTAGAAGAGCTAGAAGAGCTAGTGACGGTTGTTGAAGTAGTTGCAGATATACTGTTTATATTATTTGTTGTTGACAAAGATAGAGAGTTTTTATTTGGACCTGCCGATGAGGTAGAGGTAGGGGTTGTCTGTGCGGTTGTGTTAAGATGAGTCATTACATCGTTCATGGTGTTTTCACTTACAGGTGGGTTGATATCATTGATATTTACGATATCTGACCCTGAGGAAAGACTGTTATTTATTTCTGGAATATTATTAACACTATTGGAACCGGCTGTAGTTGTATTAGCCATTTTATTGGTGATGTTACTGATTGGAGATATTATACTGCTATTATTATTAGTAGTAGTAGTGGTGGTACTGTTGCTATTGCTACTACTGTTATTGTTGGTAGTAGTAGTAGTACCAAAAGCAGAAGAAGGAGTGGTGCTATTATTAGGTGAATTAGAGGTCATTGAACCTGCCAATGAAGGAGTCATACTAAATTGAAAGATTGGCGATGTTGAATTATGCAAGATATCATTTTTACCGTTATCCAGTAAATTTAATGGTCTAGAGTTTGTTAAAGCCATATTTTCATAAATGGAAGAATCTAGAAGAGTGTAACCAGGTCTAAATATATATGCACTTTTTTTTGTTAAAATAAAAAAAAAGGACGATGTTCCAATGAAAGAGGTGAAGAAAAACAAAAGGGTGTCTCTTATGAGATTAAAAATATGTATATGTATGATATATGTACGTACGTATTGTCAATCTCTGATTTATTGTTCTAACTAAAGAGATTAAGGTAATCCCCAAACTTCAGGCACAGTATATGCGGGCAATATAAAACGCACTTCTCAATACAGCAACCGTTGACAGAAACAATAGAACACGTAACCAAAAAAGTAGGAATCACTCTATTTTCAGCGAAGAAAAATGTTGTTCAATTTTCTCTTCCCCTATTTTCTGTTTTAGTCTTACTTGTAATGAAGACAACAAAGAAAAAAAAAGTCCAAAGGGTAGAAAATACCAAGATAGTTACACAAGGAAAAAGAAAAAACAATGCAAAGAAAGAATTGGAACATAAAACTCCGAAACCCCTGACGTATGAAAAGAAAAGGGCGAGAAGAGAGATGAAGAGGTGTAAGGCTGTTGTGAAAGTAAAACCAGATTGACGGCAGCTCTGAAAGCCAAAAAAAAAAAAATAGAAAAGAAATGAGAACATCCGGAGGAAAAGCTGTAGGGTTAACAAACAATTATAATATAAACTGTTAACAGAGAGAGAAAAATGATGGAACCAGAACACCAAGAGAAGTCCAAGCTGTAAATAGATGGACGGAAGAAAGACAAGAAGCGAAGACGTGGACTCGAAAACATAAATTAAAGATAAAAAAAAAAAGAAGTATACAAACACTGATTAATCTTACCTTGAAAGTTAGTAGAACAGATACAAACTTGGACGCCTGTCTAAAAGACACCTAGCTACTACGACTTGAAACCACTCACGGTACGACCTGTTTTCTATCAAAAAACAAAGAATGAGGTCTACAATTTCCTGTTATAAAGCGCTAGGGCTTCCATCTCTTGAGTGGGAAAGGATCGACTTGCAAAGAGCACTTTAGAATCGGTGGAAATCTCAGCCAACGAGGGCCATTATAGAGCACATCTGATTACCAAAAAGTCATAGGATTAGGGGCTTGGAGGTGGAGAGGGGAGAACATAGCTGATTCTACTTTGGTAAAAAGGAATGGTTTGTGAGTCCTCTTGGTTGGACTTGGCTTTCTCCTGTCTGTAAGCTTTCTTTCATTAGATTCTAGAAAGGGTTACCTAAAGCAAAAGCAAATGCGTGTTCCTTGAAGAAAGCTATTCTTTCAATTCTTTCTGGACTGAACTTTATCTTCTCCTAGAAACGCTTCTCAAGAAAATCTGTGAATTTTTCTGATAATATAAGTTTCACAAATTAAACGTACAGTTCATTCTAAAAAGGGAAAGTAACTCAAACAGCAAAAAAAATAAAACGTAAAACTTCCCAAGACTGTTTTTGTTTTTTTTTAGTTTTTTACAATAAACATCCGTACATCTGTAGATATATATATATATATATCACATACATATCCATACACAATGAGGTGTAAGGTTTTTTGATTTTCAAAAAAAATTGTTTTTATCTTTTTTTTTTGTTTTTTTCCGACAGGATTATTATTTATTACTATATCCGTACACGCTTTGTTGGTATTGTGTCAGAATCAAGATTGGCACGTTTTTCAGTGTCACAAAATGGTTTTTTCTTTGTTTTCTCTTGTGAGGACAAGTTACTTGGTGTAGTTGGTGTCATAGGCAATTTATAATTGACTGTATTGGATGCTTGTTTTGTAGTTGTAGATTGTGGTGATGTTGTCGTGGCTGATGCGTCAGTAATTTCTCCAGAAACATGAACTTTTCCAGTTTGATCTATGAAATAATCCTTCAGGATAGTAAATAAAATGTTCTGTTTGTATTTCAAACGTACACTAACCGGGAATTCAAAATTTGTTGCAAATAAATATTTTCTAATCTTGTTAAATATAGAGATATCGTAGTCGTTACGAAAATGGGTTGTGTCAGGTGGGCATAATTTTTTTTGTTCATAACTGAAACGGTTGATAACCAGTGCGATCTGGAAAGTACATTTTGCGATTTCTTGTAAATCATATTGCATCGATAAATGGATATCAAATAAGCATAATTCGCAAATAATTAGCATCCAAATCTTGATACTATTTATATCGTTTCCTAGTTCTTGCAAGTGAGGAAACAGTAACGCATCGATATAAGTGTCATAGGTGTTACTTGATTGGATGTTCCATCCAAGGTTACTTAGAATGATAAATTCCAGGGAACAGATTTCTTTCGAATCGTATCTGTACTGGGTCAATTGGGTCAGTTGAGATATGGTGGGGGCACGCCTTTTCAAGTCGTGGAACTTAGACGCAATCCAAAGTGAGACAATAGCGATCAATTTATAGTTATAATCTTTGATGATGTAATTAGATGAGATTCTATCCATAATAGATATGGATTGGAATAGAGTTGGAGTAGAAAGTTTCAATTTCAGATGATATGTGATCAACGAGTCGATCATGCGAGACCTCAATCTGGAGTCGATGTGCGGCTGATCCAAAAAATTTTGCAAATTTAATTGGCATGGCGATGGCAGGAAGTTTTGGTTTGTGAATACATCTTTAGATAGATATTCTGTTATTGAATTTTGGTGGATTGATAATTCGTGATTAATTAGATTTTGGTTGGAAGATTTTATGGAACTGATCTCGGCTCTTTTCATGGCTAAATTAAATAAATTTGGTAAGGCCATTTTCCAAAGATGATAAAAAGAACAAAAGGGAAGGAGAAGGTATTAGAGAAATGCAATTAAATAATATGATAATGAATAATGAATAAATAAAGAAATAAAAAAGATGCGAATAGAGGAAAAAAAAAAGGAGAAGGATGAGGGATGTGGGAATGTTAAAATAAGAAAGGTTAAAATCGTTAAAAATTAGATGCAATCAAACAGAATTATGCAAAATAGCGGTAATATATGCAGAAGACAAATAAATGGATGGAGAGGATAGAATGGATAAAAAAAAAAAAGAAAAATGAATGATGTGTTATGAATAAGGTATAATTTTTTTTTTGTTTTTTCAATATGCAAATGAGATGTTTTAATAAGTTAGTTTTTTTTTGATAATATACATGTATATATACCAAGTATATGTATGTATATGTATTCTAACCTAACAAAAACTGATCTAATGCATTGAAATTGGTTTGTATAAGTGTAGAAGATCAAATAAGAAAATAATATATTGATTTATATTTGTTTAGAATATCATTTAAGATTCTCTAGTGTATTTATATATATATATATGTGTGTGTGTGTGTGTGTATGCATATATGTATATGTATGCGGAAATAATTAAAATAAGATCCGGATTTGACAAGATATACTACTAGTATGCTTTATTCTTGCTCATCTACTTTAACAAATCTCGAAAAAAAGAAAAGAGGGGAGGGAAAAAAAATAAAACAAAAGAAGTGATTTAAACCCTATTCAAATCTACAATAAAATATTAAACCGAATAGAAGAGTAGTAATAAATAACTAAGAGATGAGAATATAGAAGATAGCTAAAACAATGCATTGAGATCAAAATAAATCAACTATAATAAAGTGGTTCCCGTGCTAGACAAAAGACAATCAAAAAAGAAAAAAAAGAAGAAAAAAAAAAAAGAAATTGCTACTCAAAATAATATTGGAAGGCTCAAGAAAGACAATAGTCGTTTGCGAACAATCACGGTAATAATAATAGTGATAAAATAATAGTGATAATAGTAGCAATGAAAAATAAAAATAGCAATAGTAACAGCAATACGATGGATATACTAATAAAAACATGGTAATGTGCTTAAAATCCAACGTTTTAAGTGCAGTGTGCGAATATTTTGTTTCTGTGATGTTTGTGATGTATTATTTCCCTCTCTCCCTTCCTTTGCTCTTGTAAAAAAGGAAAAGGAAAAAAGGAATCCTAACGGTGGGATTTCCACCGGCACCAACAGCCAGTTTTGTGGTTTGTGAAAGAAAGAAAAGAAAGGCGATATTTGTTAGCGCTAAATGCGAAACATAGGCAGCCGTTTTAATTTTCTTTATTTTTTGCTTTTGTTTTTTTTTTTTTTTTCTTCTTTTTTTTTAGCACAAGGGGGCAGAGAAATGAGGGAAATGAGAAAATGGGGCAAAGGAAAAAAGTTTCCTAATATCGTAATATCTAATCAAATAGGTAAAAAATAAAAATAAATGAAAAAAAAAAGAAATAACAGAAATCATAGTTATTATTAGAGAATACTAATATATAGTGGATAAGATTTGTATGTAGTGTGATCACTATATCTACTGAAAATATGTTTGGATATTTTTCTTGTATATGTGATATTGTATGAACTATTCTGAGATAATATTAAAACGTCGTGTTAAAAGCTAGAAAAAAATAAAAAGAAAAAGAAAATCACAATAATTGCTTTCTTTCTTCCATTATATCTTTCTTTGTCGGGCTCGTCTTCCAATCACCATGGTGTATACTACTGTATTTGACTACTGTATGTGATTGTTACAGAAGAGGCAAATTACAAGGCAAGACTGATAAGGCTTAGATTTCACAAAGAAACCTTTGGACACTTGTTTTAATTTAAGTTACTTGTTTTTTTTTTCATTTGCATGGAGGCGAAGATGATGGCAAGATGTTACAAATGACGGTAAATGATCTGTTCTTCTCTCCTTCTTCCTTTTGATCCTCATAATATTCATCTTGAGTAATCTGGTCTCACATTAACAAGTATCATTTAGTATATCACAGAAGTTACCCTCTTATCCTTTTCCTTGTTTGTTTGTTTGTTTGTTTTTTAGATTCCGCTGGGGCTTTTTGGGAGTCATTTTTGCGGAAAGAAAATATTCCGCTGGTAACCGGGTAATCTATTTTTTTTTTTTTCTGATTATGGAGGGAACAGGAAAAAGGAGTGGGGGGAGGAAAAAAAATAATAGAAAACTGGATTAACAAATAACAAATGTTTTTAAAGGATAGTTGGTTTGGAAATCTTGCATTAAAGGGAAACTTTACTCGTCAATATGGGTTTAAGTTAACTATTCTATATCTATACTTAAAGATATCCTCTTAATATCATCGCGAATTCTTTTTTTTTTTTTATTTTGTTTACATATATGTATAAGAAAAAAAAAATTAGAATATGTTGAATGCCAATAGATATATTGGATTTAGATATTTGAAAGGGAATTCTTCATTAATCTCTTCTACAAGATTCTATAGTACATCCTTAAAAAGTCAGATAAATGAACATGTAAATAATAACAACGATATTAATGATAATAATGATAGTAATGATAATAGACGTAGATATAATCGTGGTGGATTCAATAAACAAATACTACAATTAAATGAACAATTATCTCAAAGATTGAGTCAGTCAAAAAACTTATCAGAATCATATCAAATCTTTAACGATCTGATATTGCATTTTGAATCTAAATATAATAAATCACACATGGTTAACAATGGACATTCCATCTTCAATAATACAAGATATTTGAATACAACATTGACCAGATTATTTAAACAATCTCTATTACAAGCAGAACCACAGGTTGATCCATACCAATTGCTAAACGATTACTGCCTCCATCATTTGGCTCGTCCTAACCACTTTTTCACACTGATGAAGCAGTACTTGATAGAGAAAAGGTATCAAGACGTTCTAAGTCTGTGGGTTAAATATTTGGACTCTTTACCAACTTTCAGGATCGATCAATTTCTCTATATCCATAAAGGGATCCAAACATATACAATAATTGCATATTTGTCACTGAACAGTACACAATTTACACCAGATTTGAAATATTTATTAACTTTTTTAAATATTCAAGATATCGATATTGTGGACCTGTATGAAAGAATCAAGCTATCTAACTTTATTACTGGCACTGGTGATAACGCTAATCAATTCATTTGGACCAATTTCGATTCTCTTTTAAAACAGTACTTACATCTCCACTCTAAAGCCTTCCAAAAAAGAATCAAGGATTCCATTAATGTCTCGGAGCTGGAGTCCATGTATAAGATTTATGAACGCTATGTGGCAGGAGACGACACAAAACCTAACGTGGACATATTAATAGCATTCGTCAAAAGATTTATATCATTGGATTCTGCTCCTTTAGCAATGAGAGTATTCGATACTTTTAAAGAAAGAATGATTGATCCTCAAGAAAGACTATCTCTTAATAATCAATTATTGTACATTGTTTCTCGATTAGGTGGTGGTAGAAACAGTACCACAAAGAGACAAATGATTCAAGCTGTTTGGAACACATATTTCAAGATGGAATATTTTCAAAAACCAATTCCAATCGAGTCCTACTGTTCCCTTTTCGAATCTCTGACTGATGCAAAGGAATTCAAAGTACTTGAAAATATATGGGATCATGAATTACCAGCCAGTGTGAAATCAGACCATACAATCAAGCAATGCTATTTATCGTGTTTCTTGAAGGATAAAAAACAAGAAATGACATATGAGAATATGGTTAAAAGATTGAAAGAGGAATCAGTGGTTCAGTATCCAAAATTAATCAAAACCATATTATTAAATATTATATTGGATCCCAAGACAAAGAAGGAGCAATATATTGAGGCATGGGATAAGTATAAGCAAGCCATTGAAAATAAGATTGATTCTGATTTTGTGGCCATTGATATCTTATCAAACTACCGTTACTCTATAAACAAAGATGACTTCAATTTTATGCAAGCTTTGAATAATGATAAACATAGCCAACATAAACCATTAGTCATTGAAAGTTTTATTACTATGATACCTACTATTCACCCAATACGTAAAATGTATCATCAACTAAAGCGATACGAAAATGATCCAAGTATCATCAGAATGTTTATCGACGCAGAGTTTAAGAAGAATTCAGGTGATGTAAAGGTAGCAGACTCCATAGTTAAGGATTATATTTTTAATGCTACTTCAGAATTAAGAGATTATACTCAGTTAAATTTGGAGGAAAAATTAAAAATTAAGTTGATATTAGATTGTATAATCACCAATTGTTCACGTAATAACGCTAAAGAAGATATCGATATGATATTGAAATATATAATCATTGCAAATCAGTGGTCTATAACATTACAAAATTCAACAATCTATCAAGTGATTAGACGTCTGAAGAAACTGAAAGTTACAAAATTACCAGCTACTACGCAACAAAATGTGAGAGACTTCTTAAAACTCATAACGAGTAAAAAAATTAGATTCAAATTGAATGACGAGGATATGAAGAGATTTAAACAAATGGGGTTATTACAATGAGAACTAATATAGTTGACTTCTCTTCCTTTCTTTTCTCTCTCTTTCTTCTTTTTTTTCTTTGTTTTTAGTAGATATACTGTATGTTTCTGATGGACTACCTTGATTTATTTCTGCATTTAACATACACAACTACATGTAAATAGCTATTCTATCTCCAAATAGATGTTAAATAAAGATAATTATTATTATAGTAAATATTGATTTTTTCCCATTTCATTTGAAATGCATGTCATGCCTTCTTGTTTTTTTTACCTTCTATAAATGGTGGTGGTGGTAGTAGTAGTAGTAACTCAACTACATTGTATATGTTGTATAAGTTATTAGAGGAAATTTGACAGAAAAAATTATTTCTGCTTTTTTTTTTTCCTTTTTTTATTTCGATTTTGGAAAATTTAACTTTTTAATTCAAGATCAGTTAAATAAGTAAATAAACACACTGAAAAGAATATATGCAGAGTATGGAAGTGTGTGATTTCTAAAGACTGCTTAATTTAAAGATAGAGGATGTTGTGATCAATAACATATCAGACTCAGCATCCTAATATTATTAACAATTTCCTATTGTCATCATTCCGCCTATTTTATCCTCTTTTTTTTTCTTTTGCAGTAACTTTTATATTATTATTCCAGTTTGTTTTCTACAATGGACCCTAATATATCACTATCAATCAAAGATATCATTCGGAAAGAACTCAGTAAAGAAAATTCAAATGGATCAAATAGTGTTAAATTGGTTAATTTAAAAATTTCAACTTTATCTGAATCTACTCTATCTTTATTGTCCAATGTGGAAAGATTATCGTTACGAAAAAATCAGTTGTCCAGTTTGCCTGAAGGATTTATTAATTTAAAAAAGCTAAGATATTTGGATTTAAAGGGTAACGAGTTCAGAGAGATACCTTCTGTATTATATGAAATGCCTAATTTGGAGATATTAGATATGTCACAAAATAAAATAAAGTTATTGCAACAACAGGATGTGAATTTATTTAAATATTGGAACAAAAATCTTAAAATATTATCATTAAAAAATAATAGAATTCAATCTGTTAGTAATCTATTATATTTGACCAAATTAGAAAACTTATCTGTATTGGATGTAGATGGGAATTATATTCCAAAAGAGGAATTGGATATGGTATTGTCAATGTCCCAACAAAATAGTAATAGTAATAATATTTATTTGCCACCAGAAGAAATCTGGATGTCTGCTCTAAGGAAATATGCAAGTTCTATCATGGGCGCAAATTCTAATAACACACAGTCTTTTTCAAATAAGAATAACAACAACACTAATAGTAATAAAACTAAAATAATATCGAAAAGAATGGGTTTTATCAATGTGGATACGTCAACATTAAACCCTACTGATAAATTGAAAGATACCGAAACAGACCCAACTAATAATATTATGATACCTTCATCTATGAATGGAGGTATTGATCTTTATAATCATTCTAAATATAATGATTATTTTAAAAGACTATCTATTCTTCCTGAAGAATGTTCTGTTAATGAGACACATAAAGCATCACATGCAGAAATAGTAGTATGTTGTAGAAAACTGTTATTCAGTTTTACCGAATGCCAACAGTCTATCAGAAAGATTGCATCATTTTGTAAAGATAAAGCTATTGCAGTCAATGTGGTTTCTTTATTATATTCAGTCAGATCACATATTGACCATCTATTAGAATTATTAGAGGAAGCAGAAAACGAAACTAATTTTAACGATCAAGAGATGATTAAACTATGTATCACAATTTTGACCAATTTTAAGCAATTAGTGGGTAATTTAAGGAAAAATTTTAATATATTTTTTTTGGGAGATGATTTATGTTTTATTAGGATGTTTTATATGACACTGTTATGTTCTTATAATGAGATATATAATGCATGGTGTTTCATTAGTAATACTGCTGATTTGGAGGCACATCAAAGATTACAGCAGCAGCAACAAATAGGTATAAAATCTGTATCAACTTTACCAAGAAAACAGACTCTAAAGAAAAATGATTCATCGGCAAGTTTATTTGCATCATCTCACAATAGTGGTATTACATCTTTATCATCAAAAACAGATATTAGTGGAACCTCTTCGGGTCATACCATCGAAAATATTATCCAAAAGCCCAGGATGAGAAGTAACACATTACAAAGTAAAGCTCTTCATAGCCATCCGATAGATACAACTCGATCCTTTTCTAATTTAACCAATTTGAGTGGCAGTATCAATAATACTAACAGTGATAACAGTGATAACAATAATAGCAATAATAATAATACACCGATGTCAACAAGTACTCATGATCATGCAAGTCATCCTTCTGGTAATATTACTACATATGGTCAGTCATCATTAAGTGGTTCAAGTACAATCTCAGGGAATTTATCTGCTTCTTTAATTAATGTTAATGAAAATAGTTTTACTACTAGTGTACGTAATACTGTAGCTGATCACAAAAACAAAGTTATAAGGTCACCAATGATACTGACGTCGCAGGCTACATCAGGTCAATTGTATTCTCGGTCTGAAGATGTTAACACACTTACAAGTGGTTCTATTGAAATGTCGAGGTCACACTCAGCTGCTAGTAATACAAATATCAATAGTAATAGTAGTGGTACTAGTGTTGTTACGAGCGAGAATGATAATAAATCCAGTCTAATGAATAAGGGTGTCGAAACTAATATGTTAGACAAAATAGATCAAAAAGTTGATGAGGCATCCGAAGCACAAAAAAATGTTGATACTCAATTATATCAAATTTTGACAAACGTCATCAAAATGGTAAGTGTAGTTTATAATCAACTAACTGGTGAAATCTCTAAGATTGCTGTCGCTAGTACAAGTGGTCAGAAAATACTCACAGAGTCGTTGTCATCAAAGATCAAAGATTTGACTGATACTTGTTGGCAAGCTATGGAATTATCAAAGTCTCTGAATGATCGATTAAAATTATTATTATCTCCGGATCCTAATATTACCGAGAAATATTTGAGTACTGCAGAAAAATTGAAAACATGGGAAAAGATTAATGCATTTTTAAAATCAATTATTTCTATACTTGGTAATACAAAGGAAATTATGAGTGATTTACCTTCGCTAAATGAAATTAGGCCGAATTTAGCCTCTCTGGCAAAGATTACTAAAGACGTCACAGTGATTTTAGACTTATCTTCATATAAAAGTGTTACTGTAACTGCTGCTCAAATGCAAAAGCAACAGCAATTACAGCAACAGCAACAACAACAATATCAACATACTGCACAACAACAAAGGCAGTTACCATATCAGTATCAACAACAAATAACTAGTAATATACATGTGCCACTGTCGACTCCTCAACCAAATATGCAGAATCCATTTGACAATATTGATACCACGAAGGAGTAAGTGTAAAAATATGATAATCGTTATATAATATATATAATTCTATCATGTGTAACGAGTTTAATGGACAATGACATATAACAATAGATAAAAAATCATTGATTAACTTAGGTATTTTATTTTAGTATAATATTATATACTAGATAATTGTTTGAACCCTATTGTATGATATGCTTCCACAATAAATTTTCTTATGAGTTTGTATTAAAATACAAATATATATATATATATATATATTATATGTTTACATATACAATTTTATGATGGAGATAACACAATATGCAAAATGGAGAGAATACAACAGGTAACAATAGAATACCATAACTATGGATACAAATAAAAATAAGAAAAAAATAAGATAAATGGAATGGTTTTAAAAAAACGCAGGGATGGAGAGGAGGAAGGAAGAAAATGATGAATCATGTTTAACAAAGGTCTAAACTTGTTTCATATATTTTACTCAATTCATAATGGAAGCCATGGATATTTAAATGTTCGAAAAATAGTGGTAATCTAACTCTTGACCTTTCCGCGATACCAACAAATCTTACTATATCTGTTCTATTCAATTTTATGGAATTATTATTACTTCCTGTTATTAGTTTGGCAAAAATTTTATCTAAGATAAAGAAAAGTTTAAAAAGTTTTGATATGGTATCATTATCCTCCACTTCAATCTCAAATTTTTCTATATAATCTATAACATCATCAGCAATCTTAATCACATATGAACTTTGACCAAAATCAAAGATTGATTTATTTTTCAAAGGTTTGTTGTTAGGATCATTCATTAAATCTAAATTTATAGCATCATCACTTACTAACGAATTAGAATCATTAGTAGCATCTCCCATTTCCTGCAACAAAAAATCTGTACTTGATGTATTATCAATTGAATACCATATAAAATCTAACAAGGATTTTATATCCTTTAATAGTTCAGATAATTTTTTGTAACCATTTTCATTATTTAATCCTCTAGATTGTACAAATTTTCTCTGAATATCCATGAATCTTTGATCTACATAAGAGACAAATTTAGATTGTTGTGTCATTGATAAACGCCTACCACGTTGTGTGGTTACAGATGATGATTTATTCTGTAATAGAGTGGATGATGAGAATGGTGAGGTGACATTTATAGAAGGTTTAAAATCCTCAACGTTATCAAACATAGGTGAGGAAGTTGTATTCAAGGAATATTCGTTTTCACCAGCAATAGTAACGTCTTCTGCGTCATTAATAGATCTTTTCATTCTTAAGCATGCAGGCATAGGCTCATTCATGTTATCTAGATTGATTCTTGAGGGTACGGTACTTGGAGGCAGACTTTCGTCAAAGGTAGGATTCAAATCTAAATCCTCAATTTCCTTTTCATCTAATTCGTTAACATTGTCTAGATTTAATTGTTCATTTGCCTTTGCATGTAATGGAGTCTTTGGATCTTCTGATATATCTTCCATTGTAAAAGTGTATTAAATTGGTATTTTTTTTTTGTTCTTTGATTTACACACTTGGTCAGTGAATTATATGTAGTAGTTGTTATATATTGTTTTTTGATAAAATATATGTTAAAATAAAGAAAAGAAAAAGGTCTCTTGATTAAAATTAAACGATCAATAGGTCAAAAAATAAATAATGGAATAATTTATCTTGATGATCTAGTGTATTTGTTTTTTTATATGTTAAATATATATATACAGATGGTTCATCGAAAAATCGCATTGATCCCTATTTTTCTTTACATTCTCCTCATTTTCTCACCGCATTTTTTTTCTGTTTTTTTTCCCAATTATTTTCTAAAAAAATATCATTTTCTTGTTAGGGTTTTATACAATTGTCTACACATTTTTTCTTTTTTTAAATAGGGTATAATTTTTTTTCTGTTTTTTTTTGTTTTTCCCCTTCTGGTATAATAAAATTGTGTATACTACTTAATTTTACCATATATATGGTATTACCATGTGTGTATAATAAGATGCTTGTAACATATTGTACTATATGTCGGATCCCAAGACCACTGAAGTAATTTAGATTCTAACTAGAGTCAGTTACATATATCTTAAATGGTTGTTTCGGTTAATAATGGTTTATGAAAGTCTTTTGTAGATATTGGGGGGAATAAAATACATCTTGATATTCTTGTTATGTATCTAATATATATGTGTTCAGTGGATGATCATTAAGTATAGACCACAGGGTTCAGTGAATATGGTAGTATTATAAACATTAATAGGAAGGTTTTAAATAAAGATTTAAAATATAAGCATTTTTTTCTCATTTTATATGTGAGTATAAAATATATACAATTAATGAAATGTAAATCATGTGCTTAGTTTTTTTTTATGAAGTTTAGCCGCCCAAGTTGGATTTCAAATATATATAAAGGGGAAGGAGAGTGAAGATATAATCAAATATTGTTTTCTTAGCGCCTAGTTTGATTTATTTTTTGTTATACATTTTTAACAAAATAGAGAGACAGAAAAGAACGTACACGTTTATACAAGGGATAAGTCGGTACTAAGAGAGGATATGGAACGCACATTAGGATATTTAGAAATTATAGATAATGGTGTAGATACTGCATCAGGGTTTGAGGTTACTAGTGAAGATTTAAAATGTGAAATAGATGGATATCTGGCATTGAGAAAACACTCTATGATCAAAATAGGTCGTCATAGAAAGGAATGTCAATTGGTTCTTTTGGATCCATCTATTTCTAGTGTCCATGCAATTGTTTGGGTGACACTTTTTGATGAGGAGGCTACACCAATGTTTTATATTAAAGATGTATCTTTAAATGGAATTCAAATTAATGGTTTTTCTTTAAAAAAAGGCAATACATATCTTCTTCAAGATAATGATATTATTAATATATGGAGTGATAACAACAATAATAACAACAAAAGTTCAAAGATTTTATCAGAACAAGATTATTGTAGACCATTATTTAAATTTATTTCTCGTAGGTCACAAAGCTTAAGCTCTAGTGGATTGGATATTTATGAAAAATTAAATATATCAAAAAGAATTGGTGATTGGGAAATTGGAACGAAAGTAATTGGGAATGGGACCTTTGGGCACGTTTTAGTGTGTTATAGAGATCGGAACTGCAACAATATAGCTTTAAGTACAACTTCTATTCAACGGAAAACACGTAGATTTAAAAAGACAGAATATGCAGTAAAAATCATTAAAGTCAAACTAAATAAAATAGATAAAGAAGCTAAAATTTTATTAACCTTAAAACATCCAAATATTATCAAAGTTCATAGAACTTTTGATGATCTTAATGGAAACCTATATATTTTCCAAGATTTAATACCAGGAGGAGATCTATTTTCATATTTGGCTAAAGGGTCGTGCTTATCCTCGATTCCTGAATCAGAAGCTTTATTGATCGTTTTCCAGATTTTGCAAGCTCTAAGATATTTGCATAGTAAAGGAATTGTACACAGAGATCTGAAGTTAGATAATATATTATTGTGCTCTCCAGAACCGTGTACAAGGATTATTTTGGCTGATTTTGGCATAGCAAAACATTTGACCTCAGACTTGAAAAGAATGCATACAATTGTTGGAACACCAGAATATTGTGCACCTGAAGTTGGTTTTAAAGCTGATAGACAAATTTATCAAAACTTTTCACGTGTTGCCACTATCGATAATGATCATGCTGGTTACGATGAAAAGTGTGATCTGTGGTCCTTAGGTGTAATTACTCATATAATGGTAAGTGGTATATCTCCATTTTATGGGGATGGTACAGAAAAGTGCATTATTAAGAATACAAAGAATGGTCGATTGAATTTTACAACATCACATTGGCGAAAAGTATCAGCTACTGCCAAAGATTTTGTAAGGGCATTATTGACTGTAGATGTAGAAAAAAGATTGGATAGTGTTGCAGCGCTGGATCATTCTTGGGTTTCAAAGCATATAGATCAATTAAACCAAATATATGAGAAAAGATTATTGAAGACGGAGACAAACCAAGAAATAGAGGAGGTTTCCAAACATAACAAAGAATCTTTGAATATACTTGACAATGATCATTGGAAGAAAAAACTTCCTAAAGGTTCTTCTAACCACATCGTAAAAAAAGTCTTTAAACCAAAATTTTCTACTAAGAAATTAAATAATAATAAAATACAGCTGTTTAGATAGAAAGAGATGGGCAGTTAATAATTCAACCTAAATTGGCATTGTTATATTGGATTATCATTGTTATATGAAGTATAATATATGCTTTAAGTACAAGTTTCCTTAATGATTTTTTGATATCAATATAATGAGATTGTTAAGTCTTGCTGGATAAGCTTGAAGTAAATAAAAAAATAAGGCATAAAAAGGAATATTCATTAACGATGGTTTAGTATTAATAGATATAATAGTTGATAAACTGGTTTAAGGCAAATATTTTAAAAAGAAGGTTAAAATAATATATATATATTCACAGTCGTAGGTGTAATTATTTCAAATATTTTGTGATATATTTATTGAAATTGAAGCTTCCATTAAATTAAAATTTTTATTTTTGATATTGAATGTAGTGGTTTTACATGTTATATATGAAATAAGTATACTTGTTAATCTTTGCAGATCTTGTTGAAGCATTGGGTTTGACAAGATATATTCTCGCTATTTGAAAATCATATCATTGATCATCTCTTAATGGAAATGTGGGCGTAAAATGTTTGATATGAACCACACATATGATAAAAGAACACCTTTTGTTGGATATGTTTCAGTGCTATAAAAGCAGTTTATCAAATTACATTTAAAAAAATAAAAACATATTATTTATTTGTGTAGTTAGTTATGTGATATTATGTTATTGGATTTTTTCAATTGAACAGAATAATATACCAAAGTGCTGGAAAAACCTGGTTATTGCTTAGAAGATTTTTATTTTAAAAAAAGTTTATAAAATCATGTGGTCTACTAATTGATCCAGTAGTTATTTTTTCTTTTAAAAATTAACTGTGTTTAAGATATGATGTAGAATTTTTGGAGTTTTGGATCGTTTTATAATGCGGGATGAGGTACAGTTAGTCTAAACAATGTTAATTCAATCTTTGAATTCATACATAAATTCTATTATTATGAAATTAAAAATTTACTGAAATCATTTAATGATCATCTTATTATTAAACAAAAGTCCCTATTTTAAATTGAAGTAGTGATGCGTTTTTAGATTGTCTATCTGAGATTGTCATAAAACTGTAATTACTAATTAAGGTATATTACATGAGATATCATGATTCATTAACAGTCATTTCAGTAAAGAAAGATTTTAGTATGAAGAAATTAAGAAAGAAAACTTCATTTAGGATAAAGAAGAAATTTGCAGATAATAAATTAGACATAATAATTATTATTAAATTGATTCTTTCTTACAGTAACTAAATTAAAAATCGTCGAAATTACCAAGTAGCGATGGATAATATGATTTCAAATCAAAAGATAAACCTAGATATGATTGAATTGATTTATACAATCACGTCAGAATAACTCGGGATTTTTTAGATTATCCGATTTGTCATAGAATCTCATAAACATATTTTACAATAATTAGCCATTAATTATGAAGTTTTTTAAAGATACACTCCTTTTCTGTATATCAAAGAAATTTCCTAATCTAATTGGCAATGAATTAACTCAAATTAACAAATGTATATTTGAATTTAGTATGAATAGGATAATGTATATTTTCAAGGAATTTTGTAGAAATATTGCTATTAATGACGTCGAATAAGATATGTAAATATTGGAAAACCGACAAAAATCACTGCAGATATATAACTTAGCAGAAGGTAACATAGAAATTAGTAGTAGATTGTTTGAAAAGATTGGCCAAAAGGCGATTAAAGTTAATAAAGCTGGATCGTAACAACAAATTCTCCATGGAAACATATAATGCGTGCGTATATAACTAGAATAGAATCAAAAACATGATTATTTAAAAAATACTATTTATAAATATAGCTTATGAATATCTAAAAATGCTGTATTCTTATAATTTTTGATAAAAACATTGATATATTTTATATGTTCAAATGCATTGAATTCCAATAATATACTAACAAGACACTCAATACTGTTTCTTTGTAACGTGGTTAGTTCTGTTTTTAATATATTGTTATTGTTGTTCTTGTTAATTGTTTTTACCAAAAATTCAATTAAGGTATTGATGTATGTATAATTGTTATGAATGACATTGGAATTATTCCAAGCGATAGCTAGAGCCGGTAGAATTTGTAGTATCGCACCAAGCAGTGGTTTGTGTTTTAATAATGCAATGTTAAATAATTTGGCATAGACACCTTGCCAATTAAATCCCTCATATCCGCAAGCAATTCTTGAGCACCAAATTCTTTCCAAGAATTTTAGACCGTATATCGTATACTTGATTAAAGATTTGTCTTTTTTAATATCTTGCGCAGAAGGAATACTTATAATAATGTCATTAAGTGTTTTTTTTTGAGTATCTGGCGTTAATTGTTCGTACCATTTTATAAAATCGTTGATCCCATCCATCAAATCTTCTTCCGTAGAACGTAATGCGCCAGCATAGGTAGAATAATGTCTCCAGAATGTTCGTGATATTGAATTATTGTTGAGCCCTAATTGTAAGTTGAATATTCTTATATTTGGAGAATTTGATTTTGTATATTGAGAAAATAGTTTTAATGATAAATAATTTTTCACAATGTTTGTAAGAATGTCAATGCATTGGTCCTTTACATTCTTGGATGGTTCTGCTGCAAGATACAATATGGTTGGAAGCAATCTTGTTTTGATATCATTCTCACAGAATTGAGGATACCATTTAGATACAAATTGACAAGCACTTTCTCTTGTAAATCTGCCAACATCACCTTGTTCTGTGATAGTGTGGTCATTTAAAAATTCAATGATTATATCCATATAAGTCTTATCCTCAAGAAATTTTTTAAAGGCACTCTTATTTTGTGTCAAAGTTGAAAGTAATAAAGATTTTGAGTTACATGATAATACTTCTTTGTGCACATGTAAATATTTTAAGAACTTATTTTTTGGCAAAAACGGGAAAGATGAACATATTAAAGGTTTATTATACTTTAAAAACTTAACATATTTGTACCAAAAATCATCAAGAGTATCCTTATTTGAGAAGTAATAGGTGTCGTCATTTGTACTTAGGATTTCTACAGTATTGTTGGTTACCAATTTAAATGAATCAAACCAGGGACTATCTTCTGTAATATCTTCCATCACTCTATAAAATAATGATACCTTTTCCGGTGTGAAAAATTTTGGAGTATTGTTAAGGAGTTTGTAATGATAATATTTTAGAAACGATAATAACTTGAAAATATCGTTTTTATGAGAAGAAAAAAAACAGGTTTTTGTTAATTCAAAGTCTATCATTAATGAATCTGGGTTAATGAAATCGATTCTGTTATCCAATATATTTAATTCAATAATAAAGTATAACAATTTATTATATGTTAATTCGTTTGTGACGGTATTATGTTTTGTATATTTTTGAATCATTTCTATTAGCGGATATTCACAAAATTGTTTATGAAATTGACATAGACTGTGTATTGAAAGTGTTACAATATCTAAATCGAAATTTTCTACTATATTATGTTCAAAGATCCATTTAACTATATGGTTGAAAATATTTTGACTATGTGGAGATTCATCCTTTTTAAATATTTCATATAGCAATTTTAAATTATTTGTGTATGAGTCATGCAGACTATGAATAGGCAGTTGAATTAAATTCATTATTGTTGCACTGTTTAAAACTAATCTACCGTGTTTACCCAATAATTCTTGCAACGTTGCATTGGATGATTTTCTAATTAAAAAATCTCTATCAAATAAAGTAGTGGGTAAAAGAAACTTTAATAAATCACAGATAACTGAATTTGGTAGACTTGAATATCTGGAACATGACCAAATAATGAAATTGGCTGCATCTTTAACTTGTGATCCTTTAATGACATTCCCAATATGCATTTGTTGGAATCTATATGCAAACGGTAAAATTTCACCGGTAATAATTAATAGCATATGAGGTAGAAATTTTATAATGATCTTAGAGCATTCTGCAATTATGAGTAGATATGAATGCAACATATTTATATCTATTACATCCATTGGGATCGATGTTATTAGAGTTAATATGGAATGGATTATTTCCTCAATACATCGGATTGCCTCTGTATCCCCATCGAAATCATTAATCATTCTTCTTAAAAGTTTACTATATGAATGAGCTAGCATAAACCTTACCTCAGTGTAATTAGTATCTAAATGTTTGAAATACCAATCCATGATATCAGTTACAATAGACCAATTCTCTTTCCAACATTGTAAAAGAAATAGTTTCGGTAAGATTTTCAAAATTAATAACTGTGAATTTTCCAGATCCTTAACGTTCACGTTTAGACACAATTGAGTAATTTTGTTTAGATTATCATTTGAATCATGGATTAAAAAATTACTGGTAGACTCGATTAATTGAGTCTTTAGATAGTAATTTAAAGTTTCGAGATCATTATTACGCAGTAGTTCATTGTCTATCTTTTCACAAAAAAGAGCGTAATTTTTTTGGTATAAAATGGCATGAATCTGTGTCACAATGTGGTTTAACACTTGATTTGATTTAAAATTATAAGTCAGCTGCCAAATGTATTTATCAGTAGAAATATTAAAGGGAGATAGAATGACGATTCGACACCAGGAGAGTAAAAAAAACTGTGTTTCCCATGGGATATCGGTTTTTAACAAAGTTATTATTGAATTTAAATAAGTTATATCAGTTGATAGATATTTATTGACAATTTTATTAGAGCAAATTTTAGTCAAATTGTAAAAAAATTTCGATTGAATGAAATGTATTTTAGATAATTGAATATTAGGATCATCTATGGCCAAAATAAAGCTTTTATTAATGTTTGATATGAATTCATTTAAATAGGGTTTCAGTATACTTGGGTCATTTTGGAAATGGTTGATTGCTATTATTGTTTTATGTAGAAGACCGTCATTTGGATTTTTGACACCCTTTCTAATAAGTTGCAAATTATATTCGATATTGTTGTTATCCATTCAAATATTGAACGGTTTCAGTTAGAGAGGAGAAATAGTTTGCAAAAATAAATAAATAAATAAGGAAATATGTATGTGTGTGTGTGTTTATTTGTATATATATATCTATCAGAATAAATAAAATTACTTTAATCTGATGGTGATGATCAGGGAACTTCTTTTGAACATTCTCGTGACCTGTGTGTATTTGCAAGTATATCTTAATGGCAGGATGAGGGATAGAAAAGTAAGTCTAGCAACAGGAAATTTGAAGAGAAAAAATAAGAACATAACCTAATTATTTTGCAAGAATGAAAAAAGTTTTGAGAAGTGGAGATTGTAAAACCCTAAAGGTTTTTTTGTAAGAAAATCGAAATTTGCAAAAAAAAAGAAAAGAAAAAAATAAATTATATTGATAAAAAAAAAATTATATCGGGTACACGATACGGAGTTTTATTTTGGATGCACCTCTGGCATCTGTAAAATGTACCAAGCTGTTGATTGAAACCCTTCTGCCCTGCCTTAAGAACAAAGTCTTGTGAATTAACAACTTGAGTACATCAGGTCGAAAAAAAAATTAGTTTAGATTTTTCCAACTGTTATCAATTATTTGATGTCAAAGGTCTTGTGGAATATATCATGGAATCATCAATTTACACAGGTCTCATATATATATATATAGAAAAAGATAGGTTGTATTCAAGCAAAATACTAGTAATGATAATGACATGTTCCTTATATATATATATATAAGTCCATAAAAACATCATTCAAAGTACTTAGTGATAATTAGAAAATTTTATTTCATATCTTCTATCTTGAAGTATGACGGTATTGAGCATTTAGCAACCAAGTGAAAAGAGGAAAATTGGGCTAAATAGTAAATGATTGTAAACGTTAACATCCATTAACTAGTTTTAACAAAGTAGGGTTTGGATAAAATTCTCAAAACTTTGTATTAGGGACACTTATTGCTTTTTTTTTTTCTTGTCATTTTTTGTCTGTCCACAAGACTGTTTGTCTGATAAACCAAAGTTAAAATCAACAGAGGAGAACAAACCACACCGAATGACGTTTTTTTGTCTCGAACTTTACTGAAAAGGAACGTTGATTCATTCTTTTTTTCCCCTTCCTCTTCCCCGAGAGACTGCAAAAACAAAAAAACAAAAAACAAAATAAATCAACGTTTCTTTTAGGGGGGATTAATAAAACAAAGCATCACAAAAAAAAATAAAAAAACAATTGAGTAGAACAATATGCTAAACAATAGAACATGTGGAATAAAATAAAGCGCCACTTGGATTTTCTCCTGGTTTTTTTGTTTTGCTAAGAAGATGATTCTTTCGAGTGGCTGCTGTAATTCCCATTTAGGAAATATCTGGAGGTTTATCGAAACGGTATTGTTGTCTGTATTACAAATAAATTAGACCAAATATTCTATTGTTCAGTAATTTTGTCGAGACTGTTTCTTTTGTTAATTGGTGGATTCAAGATTAAAATAGAGAAAAACATAAACTTTACTAGTTTTATTAAAAGTGCTGGACTAGTAATTGACTTTGACTTTAACTTTCAGCTTAATTGAGTTTCACTATTATTCAATTTCAAGAAATGAGGTCCACGGTATATCAGAAAAATCCAAGGTAACTTTTGTGTCTGTGTTTATCATATGTTATTTACTGTTTGAATGTGATACCATTGGTTCTTTTTTCCTTTATATAGTATAAAGACAAAAAAAAACATTTACAACCTTTGTTACTAACGTTTTTCTTTGTATCTTCCATTTTGTTCTTATCTTCTTTGTTTTTTTTCTTTATTCTTCCTTGTTTGTTTACTTGTTTATTGATTTATTTTATTAAGATCATGTTCACAATACTAATGGAGTTATAAATTGTTTTATACCCCTTTTTTAGTAGGTGGAGATAATGATATCATTAATTACCTTTAATTCTTTGGTATGCCTTAATTAACTTGATCAGCAAACATATGTATGTTTTTATATGTCTATGTATACATATATATACATATATATATGTCTGTGTGTGTGTATGTGTGTTTGTGAAACCCCTTTGTAAAGATTACAACCAGTAATGTTATATGATAATTGTTGTAATAACTATTCAATTTACAGTAATTTAATTTCCCTTACCTTGCTTGATTCCCATAAAAGTGACTCTTTTACTTTTTTGTTTTTTTAACTATTGTTGGTTCATGCTTATAGTTTTGTTTTTTTCCTTTGACTAGGTGGTAAGGACTTAAAAACAACAACGTTACTAGTAGCCAAGGTGTCAAATAGCACTTTCAATAAACACTTTTTATTTTCTTTTTTTGAAAAGTATCATATAAACGATTCGAACAAACAATATACATATAACTAATAATATTAATAATAATATTCTTTAACAAGATATTATGACACTGGAAAGTTTTGACAGTTTTACAAGTAGTAATATGACTACAAAACGTAATAATCCTCTCAATGTTGAAAAATCTAATGGAACAGTAGAGGGTTTAGAGGAAAAAATTTTCTTTAAAGATGATAAACATATAAACTTCATCGACATTGAAGCACATCGTTCCACTCAATCTATACCGTTTGATGCAGATGAAATTGAGTTAGTAGAAAGAGAGGGCAAATTACAGCAGGGCTTGAAATCTCGTCATATCCAATTGATTGCCTTAGGTGGGGGTATTGGTACAGGTCTCTTCGTTGGGACAAGTTCTACATTGGCTACGTGTGGTCCTGCAGGTTTGGTCATCTCTTATATCATTATTTCCACAGTCATCTACCCAGTTATGAACGCTTTTGGTGAAATGGTTTGTTATCTACCAGGTAATGGTAATGACTCTGCAGGTTCTGCAGCTTATTTGGTCGGTAAGTATGTTGATTCGTCTCTAGGTTTCGCTACAGCATGGAATTACTATTATTGTTTGATTATTCTTACCGCTGCGGAATGTATTGCAGCCTCGGGTGTTATAGAATATTGGACCACTGCTGTTCCCAAAGGTGTTTGGATTTTGATTTTTTTGTTAGTTATCATTTTATTGAATTGCAGCCCTGTTAAGTATTATGGGGAATCAGAATTCTGGTTTGCTTCAATCAAAGTGTTATGTATCATTGGGTTGATAATTTTGTCCTTTATTCTCTTCTGGGGTGGCGGTCCAAACCACGATCGTGTGGGATTCCGTTATTGGATACATCCTGGTCCGTTTGTCTACCATATTACAACAGGCTCCTTCGGACGATTCTTAGATGTTTATACTGGTATTATTAAAGGTGGTTTTGCATTCATCCTAGGCCCTGAATTAGTCGCTGTGACTTCTTCTGAATGTGAAGATCAAAGAGCAAATATTGCTAAAGCATCAAGAAGATTTGTTTGGAGATTAATGTGTTTTTACGTTCTTGGTGCATTATCCATCTCTGTTATTGTGGCATCTAATGACCCCGTGTTAGAAAATGCATTAGTACAGGGGAAACCAGGTGCTGGATCTTCCCCTTTCGTCATTGGTATTCAAAATTTTGGTATCCAAGTGTTGCCACATATTATCAATTTTTGTATTTTAACTAGTGCGTGGTCAGCAGGTAATGCATTCATGTTTGCAAGTACCAGATCCTTATTGACAATGGCAAAGAATGGACAAGCTCCCCAGATTTTGGGCCATATCAATAGATTTGGTGTCCCATATATGGCTTTAGCTTTATCTAGTGCCATTGGATGCCTGGCATTTTTAAATTCGACTGCTTCCACTGCAGACGTATTCAACTGGTTCTCAAACATTAGTACCATTGCAGGTTTCATTGGTTGGCTATGTTCGTGTATTGCATATATAAGATTTAGAAAGGCAATTGAATACAATGGTCTATTAGAAAGACTGCCATATAGAGGTGCTTTAATGCCATATTCGGTGTATTATTCCCTTTTTGTGGTGGCCTTGGTCATTTTGACTAATGGTTATGCAACTTTCATCCCAAAATATTGGAGAGTGGCAGATTTCATCGCAGCTTATATTAATTTACCTATTTTTATCACACTTTGGTTTGGTCATAAGATATGGACACGTACTTTTTTCAAGAGATGGTGGAAACCTGTAGAAGTCATTGATGTCACTACTGGATTAGAGGAGATAGAAGAAAAAACTAGAGAATTGGATGAGGCGAGAGTTTATCCAACAACCATCTGGGGTAAGATTGTTGACGCCATATTGTGAAAAAACAGAAGACAATAAAGGGACATCTTTGGTGCATCTTTGTTGTTTGTTTGTTTGTTTTGTTCATTTTTATGATTCTTGGCATTTGTTAATATTCTTTTTTTTTTGAATGATTGAGGATGTTACTTAATTTCATTCTTTATATTCTTTCTTAGGATGATCAAAAGTGTTTCTCCTGTTTATTTTTTGTAATTTATATGTCTTTGCACCTGATAGGAGCACATGTATAGTGACAATATTCATTGTTTGTATTGTATTTTAGTAAATGTATTCTAATTTGACTACTAAAGCCTTTTATGATATTCTACTTTAAGATGTTCTTTTTTTTAATATATTATATATCCAAGGTATACAATGTCTATATATAAGACTACTATCTGATACAATCGATATGTCTGTAACACGTATAACAGTTTATTCTCATTCGTGAGACTTGATTTTTCGATTTTTCTGTCTAGGTTTCTGTTTCCAATAGTTACCGATAGTCATCGGAAAGCATTGGATTTCCTCCTTTTCTCTTTTCTCTCGAGACAGTGAAAAATTAAGGATGATTTACGTTTTATGACGAATTATACGATAGAAATTTTCATTAATAGTGGAGTCTGTTGATTGAAACAGAAAATTCATTGTACAAACGAAAAAGTCTCATCTTTCTTCCTCTTTGCAAGTTTCTTCATATGTTGTCAATCTAGTCATTCTTTAGGCGGTTTGACTGGTCTGCTAAATACTTTTTCTTACTGAATTGATGAATTCTATATTGATACATCGATTTCGTACTGTGGTTAGACAACCTAAGTCAAACAGATAGTGTAATCCAAAAATTTTGAAATATAAAAACCTTTATTACATGAAATCAAGATTACAAAGATTGATAAATTTGAAGTACACCCCTAAGTCAAATGATCTTAGAAAGACATCTATTATTGGTACAATTGGTCCAGCTACGAATTCTGTAGAAACTATTACAGAATTGAGGAAGGCTGGTTTGAACATCATTAGAATGAATTTCTCGCATGGTTCATATGAATATCATGAATCTGTGATAAAAAATGCTAGAGCTTCTGAGAAAATCTACCCTGGTAGGGCCTTAGGGATTGCTCTTGACACTAAAGGTCCAGAAATTAGAACTGGTATCACAGTTAATAAAATTGATTATCCAATTAATGCAAATCATGAAATGGTTTTCACTACAGAAGATAAGTTTAAAGAAAAGTGTAATGATAATATCATGTATGTAGATTACAAAAATATTACAAAAGTCATCGAGCCCGGTAAAGAAGTTTTTGTTGACGATGGGACTCTTTGTTTTGAAGTATTGGAAATTATTGATGATTCCAATTTAAGGGTCAGATCGTTGAATTCAGGTAAAATCTCCTCTCACAAGGGTGTCAACTTACCTAGTACAAATATAGATTTACCTGCCTTGTCAGAAAAGGATAAAAAGGACTTGGAGTTTGGGATTAAGCATAATGTTCATATGATATTTGCTTCTTTTATCAGAACTGCCAAAGATGTGGAGATGATTAGAAAAACTTTAGGCGAAAGAGGTAAAGATATTTTGATTATCTCTAAAATTGAAAATCAACAAGGTGTGGATAACTTTGATGAAATTTTGAAAGTTACAGATGGTGTGATGGTGGCAAGAGGTGATCTTGGAATTGAAATACCAGCACCAGAAGTTTTAGCTGTCCAAAAGAAACTAATTGCAAAATGTAATTTGGCTGGAAAACCAGTTATCTGTGCTACTCAAATGTTAGAATCAATGACTTACAATCCAAGACCAACTAGGGCAGAGGTTTCAGATGTTGGAAATGCTATCCTTGATGGAGTCGATTGTGTTATGTTATCAGGTGAAACTGCAAAGGGTATATATCCAGTTGAGGCTGTTAGGACCATGGCTGCTACAGCATTGATTGCAGAAGAGGCTTTTCCCTATATCTCACATTTTGAAGATGTAAGGGATTTAACACCCAAACCTACATGTACAGTGGAAACTATTGCAGTATCTGCTGTCTCTGCTGTTATTGAACAAAATGCAAAAGCAATTATTGTTTTATCCGCTACCGGACGTACAGGTAGACTTGTGTCTAAGTACTCGCCCTTTTGCCCAATTATCATGGTTACCAGAAATCAAAATACTGCAAGAAATGGGCATCTTTATAGAGGTGTATTTCCATTCTATTATGATCAACCTCGTGTTGATGAATGGATTCTTGATGTCCATAAAAGATTACAGTTTGGTATCGAAAAAGCTAAAGAATTTAATATTCTCAAGGAGGGTGATGCTGTGATTACTGTTCAAGGTTTTGCACCAGGTATTGGTCGTTCTAATACGTTACAAGTTTTAAATGTTTGAACAAAAATGAATGATAAACCCCTTTTTTTATTTGCATTCTTATTTATTATTTCTTCTTTGTTTTTTTCCATTGATTTTTTGGATATAGTATGTATATATATGTTTAATTAAGTGAAAACAACATTTTGTGCTTTTTGTTAATATTTCTAACGAATTACTTCTACGTGTAAGAAAAGGGGTGATATTTTTTTGGCAATTTCTATTAGATATTAGTAGGGTTTATAGCTTGGTTTAGATTTAATTATAGATTCTAAACCTAGGTAGCATTGACACTTAAAAAAATATTTGTGTCTAATATAAATTTGAAGGAATGATGAAGTACATAACTTTTGAGAAGAGATATTTTGATACTAATTGAAATTCAAAAATGAATGAAAACAGGAATTGTTATAAAATGATCTGTAGTTAATAGGATATATCTTTCTATTTTATTTTTTCTGATGAAGAGTGGTGAAAACTCTGTTAAAATATTTGAAAGTTTATTGTTGAGGGCAGATATTTCGTAAATTGTGGTTTCTTTTTAGAGTATATTATATGTTTTGAAAAAAAACGATATTGGTCTTTATCATCAGTAGGAAAAAGGTATGTGTTGATGCAAGACCTCCATAGCAAAAATTTATTAAAATTTATTATAAAGATGATATGATAAAATGATACGAACTTATAGTAGGATATTGGTGAGATTATAGGTTTTTAACTTAGCTAAGAGAGAAGGATTTCGTGTTATATTGCATGGTTTTTTCTAGTCTATGTAACTCAGTTGGTAATTGATTTCTCTTTGATATAAACTTTTATAAACTTTTTAGTTATTTACCATTACAATTTTGGACTATTAAAAATAATTCTAATTAAATTTTAACAAAATATATAAACATTGTTATTTTAGAATTCATTTTTTGTATAGTATGTAAGGGATTATCCCATGTAGCATATTAAAATATAGATATTAAGTTTATATAATTACTTATAAATTATAAAGCTGTTGATTCTAACCAAAAAATCAATTATATAATTGTTTTTATTCCTATTATGTTGATACATGTTGAATAAAATTCAATAGATATAAAAGGAATATTAATTTGACAAACCTTCAAATACACTTGCTGTTTGGGTTCAAAGCTGTTCTGATTCTTTTATTTTGAGACTTGTAGATAAACCAATTAATATTGTTAGTTGTAATTCTATTGAGATTGATAAAAGAAAAATTTAATGTGAAATATGTGGAAATAACTCAATTGGCAAAAAGCTGAAATTGCATACAAGAATAAGATAGGGAGTGCAAAGAAACAAATTTCATAATCTTTCTGTAAACATTTTAAGTAATTTTATTATATATAGAAAACATTGGAAAATTCTATTTATAATAAATATATCAGTAACTTTAATTAAAAATGATTACCAGTTTTATTAGCTTTCTAAATATTTTTTTTTTTTTTTGAAAATTATTAGATAGGAAATATGTATCTCAGGATTTCCAATCAAGGTTTCTTTGCTTATTCTTTTTGTGTAAGGAACCTAACTGGAAATCCAGTAGATATGCAATTCCGAGGGTAACATCTGAGTGTCTGGGTGGAGAATTGGTACGGCCATGTGCTCAGTGGCTCGTATAAGGTATTGAATTTGATTGGAGGATTTCCAGGGAGTGAGAATTATATCAGATCTTGTCAAGAGGCCTTTGATTATTGAGAGATATGCCAGGGATAATCATCTTATTTAAATACATCTTAGTACTGATATTAGGAGGCGACTCTTAATATCATACAAGAAGAAAAACAACAAGAAGTAATAATACAACATCAGGTTTATTATTTAGTAATATATAGAGTTTACGTAAGAGTGTTTATACTCATACTAATTGATACGATCCATCCAGTTACATACAACAACTCTTACATTTTGTTGGTAAAAAATTACATTTTGTGATAAATTGACAAACTTCGTGATCAACAAAAAAAAAATATGAGATTTTCAAAATAAACAAATTCAGTTACATCATACTTATGGCTTTTTAAAACATGTTGAAATATAATTATTAGAGCTATGTTTGATAATCTAAATTCATCGTACTAAGTGATTAAAAGTTATGAAAATTTATAGTAAAGAAGATTCAAAGATAAAATGAGTATACTGTATAATATTGTATCTTGTATATTACTTATATAGAAAGAAAAGGACTAAGCAATAAAATAACAATTTATAGTACCACTAACTTCCTACTATAAATAATAATAGAACTTATAATACCACCAATATCCTATTGTAAGTTACATTATCTTATTATATTAGTTTAAAATGAACTCGACTAGAATTTTTGATTCTGAAGCCTTGCGTCAACAAAACAAAATCCTCTAAATGTTGTAAAAATATAGAAATTCAAATATAATACATCTTTATTCTTATTAAAAATATAAAAAGAATATATATATAATTATGTATAATTTAAAAATAGAATAGTCCATAGTATAAAGTTATTTTAAACATCATATTCAATATTGATGTTCCGTTCAGATTGAAAAGTCAAATGATTTTGATGTAAAATTGGAATAACTACATTAAATAAAATATTATCCCATTGTTGCAAACAAGATTGGGTAATTGTAGTATCATTAATAATTCTTGTTGAACATAAATTCAATTCGGTAGAGATAATATTTGCAACTCTCAATACCAAATGAACTCTATTTGTATTATAGAGCTTAATCAAGTATCTCTTAAACAGTTTAACATCCTTTTCATGTGGACCTGTAGAATCTGTGATTGTCTCCCTTATCCATTGAACAATCATGTTACAAATACTTTGAAAAGAATCCATATTTTGAAATTTAATAGGTTCAAAAATAGAAACTCCCCCAATAAAATGGCTTGTCTTCTTTGATTTTTCAACCTCTCTCTTAGCAATATTTCGTTTTAAAGTTTCGGCCTCGCTTTTCTTAGCTTTTGAATAAATTCTTCTTTCCTGATTAATCTCATTTCTAATCTGAGTTGGTAACTCTTTTAAAAAATCGATTTGAAAAGTGGAAGGAATATCGTCAAAAACATTGTTGGGACCAAAATTAGTCACTTTATATATACGTGAATTTTTTAATGGTGAGATTTGTCTTCTCTTTTGCTTTGATTTATTTGCATGAACAGGACATAGTCTAATACCAGGTATATTTGGTGGCATTAAAAATGGTGGTTGAACTTCTGCTTCTCCTGCTGTTATTATTGGAGATGGTGTTTGTATTCTTTTAGAAATATTTTCTTTTTGTAACACATCATCAATTCCTAACTTATTGGGCACATTATTTCCAGAATTTTTGATCGCTACTTGAAAATGGATCCCCACACCACGTAATTCCAAAGGTGGACACGCCAATATTCTAAAAAGATTCTGCAATTCAGTACAAATAACTCCAGGATCGTCACTCGGTACTCCTAAGTTCGAGCTTTGAGAAAATGAGTCACATTTACCACATCCCAAATATTTAGGTGGATCAATCGGGGCATATTTACTTCTTCTTAATATTTTTAAAGTAATAGATGAAGTACAATACTTGTATGGGGTCAGTTTTGTTTCAATTAAATGAAGAGAGGCCCTTTTCAAAAACTGATCGATCTGTTTTATTGTTTGAAAACGGATCCCCCAATTAATTTCCAAAGAAATTGTTTTCTTTGCAAAGACATTTTCTGTATCATATACCAGTCTTCTTGTTTCCTCATCATCTTTACCTTGCAATGCCAAGAATACTTTCATCCCCAATTTGTTACCAAATATGCGCTTCAATGACTCCAATGTGGGGAACTTTTCCGATAATTGTGATAATGTTTTAATAGTGGGATCTAAAGAGTGTAAGATGTTTAGCATTGAAGGACCCAACCCGGGTAAATCAGATACTTCTAAATTCGACAGGAAGATATCATCAAAATCAAAATCATTCAGAATAATATGTATCCCATTGGGCTTAGCCAATTTTAATGCCAACCGTGCTTGCACTTGGGTGTGCCCGACTCCAATACTGACTGTACAGCCTTGCGTTAATTCAAATACTTTATCTCTGATGTCCTGACACAATTTGTGTAACGTATCAGAATAATACATTGGAGATCGGGGCAACAAGGCAATGCATTCATCAATTGAAATAGGGATCACTTGATGATTGAAACAAGGGAAATCGTTGTTCAACGTATCGAAAAGGATCCGTGAAGTTAGTTTAAAAGCATTGAAATCATAGGGCAAAGTGATCAGTTTTGTACTACTAGGCAAAAGTGAAGATGCATGTGATACCCACATGCCATTCCGGATACCATATTTTCTAGCCACATAATTACAACTAGCAATATCTGAGTTTCCATGGCCATGACAAACAACAATTGGATCTTTATCAAGTTGACAAGAAAGCAAGTGTGGTGGTCTATATAAATATGCCACAGTGGCAAAAAATGAGTCGAAATCGATATATAAATAAATGAATTCATCATTTGGAGACACATGGCGATGCCTATTATTAGACAAAAAATTTGATCTCAATTGTGATTTCCAGTCGGAAAGAAGGTGTAATCTAGAGTTTGACAAATAATTACTTATGAAACTGGGGTCATTACAGTCTGTATTTTGACCTAGCGAAGCAGCAGTAAGATTGCTATTCGATATTAGAAGTTTTCTTTGAGTTTCATCTGAATTAGACAAAAGCGAATAATCTTGCCAGGGCAACAATTTATTATTTTCGATTGAATCAACGATCCAATCTGGCTTCACCACTTTATACTTTTGAAATTGTATTCTTTTTTGCAAAGGCAAGTTTGAGGCAACAATATGTGTGACACCAGACAGCTTGGTCAAATAATGCTTAAATTGACCACCATGAAAAACTATCTCTTCATGTAACTTCAATCTATTCCATGGTTTTGTGTAACCATTGACATATATGATACAGTTCTGAAAAATATGTGATTTAATACCTTTATTCTTTTCATCTCTCTGCAACTGCTTTTGTTCTTTATCCGAAAAATAGTTTGATCGCGTATAAACCATATGCTTTATGATCAAATAGTTACACCCACCCACATATGCTGCTATGAAGTACTTAATTAAATATTACCCTATACTATCAATACATAATTCAGTTTTTCCAGTCACACATACAACTGTACCAAATACTTTCAAATGTAAAAATCTCAAAGGAAATGAGAATTTTACAGTTTTTTGAAGCAACAGCATTAAGTGATTTCTTCCTCTTGCCTTTCATTTTTACCTCTGTTTAATCTCGGAACAGCATCTTAAACTCCGAAGGAGGAAGACGAAGGAAAGCTCTTTTAAAGCCGCGTTAGAAATTCTGTCAAACCAAAAAAAGAAAAAAAAAGAAAAGAAAAGAAAAGTTAATTTTGGCAGGTTTTGATTTCCGTTCTTTTTTTTTTTCTTTTCTTTTCTTGTTGTCCTCGTGTCCTTCCGCGGTAAATAACAAGAACTGACGTTGCACCCATACATTATGGGAGTCCGTGTGGGCTCCATTCCGTTTGCCCTTTACCCAAAGAGGAATGGAGCCCAACAACTTGATGGACTTTCCTAAACGGGAAACCAAAGGGCCAAATTTGGCCCTCCACTATCGCAAAACAAAAGAAAAAAACTTTCTAAAAACTGAAAAACAAAAAAAAAAAATTGAAGATTGTCCCACATCCAGACACCATTGCCTGAAAGAAAAAGTAAACAAAACAGATTTGCTGAACAATATGGACCCAAAGTTCTGATATCTCGAGGAAAAAGAATGTGCGAAGGGACAAATTTTAAGGCAAGGATTTAGAAAATTTATCAATTTTGTTGTTTTTAATTATTTAATCGTCCTTTTTAAAATAAAAGTGAAAAAAATTAGGGTATACATTCTTTCACACTATCCAGTCTGGCAATTTTTTCACAAAATAAGAAAGGGTTTTCAAAATAATGTTTCTTGTATTCCTTTTCAGACTTCCAGTACTAACACTTTTCTTATTAATTACAATAAGATAATCACTACTGAAATAAAACCAAGAGAGTAAGAGTATGACATACGAGTGGCTAGTGAACAAGACGACAAAAAATTAAAAAGAAAATCTTGGTTTTTTTGGTGTCGTAGAAAAACCTTTGATATTTCAATTTTTTATTTTTTTTTTTGTTTCTTAGAACATTATTTTTGTAGGGTTTTACAAATAGGGTAGTTTCTTTTTCCTTGGTTAAAAATACTTAGGTGTTTAAAAAGTCGAAAAAAAAAAAGATTTCCGAAACTAGTATAATGATTCAGTTTATTCCTTTTTGGAAAAAATTTTTCAAATCTCTGATACTCTGAGACTATTATTCAAATGAAGACAAAAGATAAAAGAAAAAAAAAAAAACAAAAAAAGAGGAGAAACAAAAATAGAACAAAAGAAATTACGAATACTCGTGCCTAAAATGTTTCTGAATCCATTGTGTTTTGTTGATTTTAATATTTTTCTTTGTGGCTACCAAAAATTTCTGTTTTTGGATTTTTCTTCCAGAATGAACATCTCGAAAGGAATGATGTATTATATTAATAACTAAATAGATAAAAGGACGAGCGGAAAAACACAATAGTAATGTAGTATTATTTTTAGTACAATGTTTCTACAAACAAAAGAAGAATAGAGGTATTTTTTTTTAATGATAGTTCGAGTTGTTTATTTACTTGTTTACTTATTTATTTGTTTATTTATTGATTTTTTTGTTGGTTGTACTTTCTTTTTTTTTTTTTTTTTTTGTTTTGTTTTTCGTTTTTTGGTTGGATTGTGTTTCAACAGATAACAAAAGGCCACGTTTCCATATCAACTTCAGGAAAAAAAACATTTATGTTGTATATATGTATATATGTATATATGTATATATATATATAAATATATCTATGGATATTTACACATATATATATGTACCTGAACTCAACTATGTGTTCGACATTATAACTTTATATTAAGATTCGTTACTCATATGACATTTACTATCCTTGATCTAACCAACACACACTTACACTTGAGTTTCTTGCGTTCTTCTTTTGTCCCTTGTGGTATACCTAACTTAGTATCATCAATTAATATTCCCATTCTTTGTAAAACTCCCAGTTCTAATATAATACACAAACACCAAGTGAATTTGTTTTTCTTAACAAAAAAAATATAAAACAGAATAAAAAAGGAGCAAAAAAATAACTCACATCAATTCAAATATGAACACTCAATATGTTTCTAACTTCGAGATCCCACAAAATACCAACAAAGACACTGCTACTTTCAATGACTGGATGTTTCAACAATACGATAACCCATCAACTGTTGTGTCTTCATTCCCAGGCATGAACAAAAAAAATGTCTTCGAAACAGAAGATTCTCCTTCTTCATCCACGTGGTTTGAACCACTGGAAGCCATTCTGTCTTCTGCTACTTCGTCATCCACGGGATCTCCTATATCCACCGCTTCGTTATCGGAAGTGAAGTTAGAACCAAAGGACGATTCCTTCGAATTCACCTTGAATAAGATATTAGAACAAGAAAAGTTGAAGCAAGAGACGGAAACAGAGACGGATACGGAGACCGACACGTTGAAAACAAGTGTGAAAGAAGCTGTAGTGATACCGAAAAGATCTAAAAACTCCGGCACTGGTAAAAGACAATTAACAGAACACCAAAAACAAGCTCATAACAAAATTGAAAAAAAATATAGAATAAACATCAACACAAAGATCTCCAAGTTGCAGCAAATCATACCTTGGTTAGCAACCGAAGAGACCACATTTTCCTGTCAGTTGGATGATAATGGCAAATGCTCAAACAAGGAATCTGCTTCAAACATTAAAAAACCACGATTAAATAAAAGTATGATTTTAGAGAAGGCTATTGATTATATTCTTTATCTACAAAACAATGAAAGATTATATGAAATGGAAGTAATGAGATTAAAATCTGAGTTAAGTCAATATAAATCATGATATTCCTACTTAGTCCTCCTACCCTCTTTACTTTCCCTTACCTCCAATTTATTCAAATACACTCTAATAAATTTTTAATGATACACATCTTAAACTAGCATTTAGAAACAAAGCCCCTCTAAACACCCCTTCCCTTCTCTAAAAAAAAAACCACACAAAAAAAATAACAGCAAGACGACTGAATATTCATAAAAGAAAATGCAAAGTAACAACAACGCAATAATATTTCATTGTAATGACCTCATTTTAATGACATGACGATCAAAAGGGAGAAAAAAACGAAGATCCCTTCCCCCTTTAACCCACTATAATTTACTATTAATCATATACATACTATATACACTCTCTACATAACGTTTATAAACTTTGAAGATAAATTTTTCTTAAATGCACTTTATTTGATACATCTTTTAACATGTTTTCTTTGTCGCTATATCACCATCCATAAATAATGTAACTTGTAAAAGCATTTTTCAGGTTTAGTTACTCACTGGGTCTACCATTTAACAACTGTATCGTGTCTACATTATTAATCATATCCTCTCGACCAGCAAATGAACAATTTTGACACTCTGCAATATGTCAATCGTAAACAAACTGGGAAACAAACATAAAAAAAAAAGTAAATTTTTTTGTGAAACGTCCCTCCAATCCAGCAATTACCTCATTAGGAAACGTAATGACAGACTGAAAAATGAAAAAAAGAAAGAAAAGAAAGAAAGATAACCAAACTGTTTTTTTTTTTGCTTTCTTTTTTTTCATTTTTTCTTTTTTTGTCGAAGACTTGAAAATTTTCTTCTTGAAGATCGAAAACGCTGAGTCACTATAAAAACTGCAGTAAGATCTCATCGAGCATGGAGTTTTCGAATCAGGACAGATTATTTAATATGTTTTGTTTTACTTATCGCAAGTCTTTATTCAGACACATATGTGCATATCTATCTACATATCCTTATATTCATACATGCATTTCTGTTTCTTTATGCGTCTTTATGTTTTTTTAGATCGTGCCTTGAATAATTCTAACTATAGTATTCAGAAATTCACCTAATACAGAAAAGAGACACACTACATCACGACACATTAGTCTCAGTAATACACTATTTCATTCTTCTTCCCCTCTTTAAGAATATATTTATTTCTTTATTTTTGTTTGACAAAGACAGAAGATGATTTTGGATGAGGCTGCATTTAATAAACAATTCAACTCACATCGTTTACAACAATTAGATAAAAATGTATTCTTCGGCTCCTTACCATCGCTAAATGATCTTGACTCATTGAAAACCAACAATATTAGATTTCTCATCGGTATTGATATTCCAACAGAGACTATGTCACAATTATACACCCACTCAAACCTTTGTAACTTATATTCCTCCAATGGTATCAACGATATTATAATGATTAATTTCCACACTTCTTTAATGCCACAACCATTTAACGTTAACGATCCAACAATCTCCTGCTATATCAATAATAATTCCTGCATGTTGAATAAATTGACTGCACAACTAAACCCCGAAATCTTCAATACAAATCAGGTGATCTACGGCAACAAGACAAACTATACAAATGTCAGATTCAACGTATTCCAATTGAACAACTATGACCTGTTCGAACAATTCAACGATTGGTTGGAGATTTTCAAGTCCACAGGGAACGGCGTGCTTATATTCGGTGATCACGAAAATAATGAAACTTTTATAGCATTATTAATATCTTGTGTGATCAAAAAATCGTCAAACTTGAAGATCATGGATGCATTCCAATTCATCAAGTCTCTAAAGAATGATTCGAATGACAACATCCAAGAACAAAGGATTTACTGGAACAGTGGATTGTTGAGCTATTACGAAACAATAAGAAAAAACTCTATGGTCTGGAATGCTAACGGGATACCCTCTTTATCATATGGATCATCAATGTTCCAGAATAAGACCATCTCACCTAACAAGAGAAGAGTAATAAATCTTCATCCACAAAACCAAACTCCAATGTCGCCCACTTCTCCACTTAAAGGAAAAGTAAATCCTGTGGGTTCTTTTGATAGATGTAAAAGGGCTCGTTCCGACTGATCAAGACCAAAACAAACCAAACTAAACCAAACTAAACCAAACCAAACTAAAACAAAAAACAAAACGAAACAAAAAAAAAGAAGTAGACATATATAACTATCGATTTCATCTTCTGATCAACCTCTGGTAGGTTCAGCTCTGCATCTATTTAATTCACATATATTATAATACTCCTCCTCCATCCCCTTTTTCTCACTCAATATCAAGCTTTTATTTCAATTATGCATGAGAAGGTGTTGTACTACTACATCACAACATTTCCATATATATATATATGTACAACTGTTTATTCAACTATACTGTGCTATACCAACTAATGTAGTCTATGTAACGTTAATGTATTCGAAGTATTTGCGATGACGTTCGTGTTAAGTGATCCAACTTTCTTTTCTTTTTTTTTTTTAACGGAAAGGGACCAAAAAAATTTTGAAAAATTTAGAGAGAATTAAAATAAAAATTGCAAAGAGAGAAAATTTGTATAGAACACTAATAGAAGTATATCGAAATACGTACACCCTCTTAGCCTCTACTAATTAGTGACCACCATTTTACTCCTTTAATACATATATAATTAAATAAAGTACCAAAGAAAAAGAAAGTACCACTAGGAACAATACCTATATGTACTAAACTATCCTAGAAAATGGCTAAGAAAGGGAAAAAGAATCAACAAAACTATTGGGACCAAGATTTCGAAGAGGATTTACCTCAAGGTGAAGAATTCGGCGTTTCTTTTACACCAGTAGATGACTCCTCCAATACTACACCAGCTAGTTCTGTAGAACCTCAACAAGCTGGTGATGAAGATCTTGCTGCTGAAGGTGACTTTATGTCCACCTTAAAAAAATCTAAGAAGAAGCAAGAAAAAAAAGAAGAAGCTAAACCTTTATTAAAGTCCAAAAAGGAGAAGGAAAGAGAGAAGAAGGAAGCTGAAAAGCAAAGAAAAAAGGAATTAGCGGCCAAGAAGAAGGCTCAACAAAAAGCACAAAAGGATAAAAACAAAGAATTAAGTAAGCAAAATGCTGAAAAATTAGCTGCTGAAAAAAAGGAAAAGTCTGCAGCTTCGTCCAAAGCTTCATCTCAAGAACCAGCTCCAGTTAAAACTACCACTTCCAACACTACCACAGCTAAAAAGGGTAAGAAGGTTCCTGCTGGTTTAGCTGCATTGAAACGTCAATTAGAATTGAAGAAACAATTAGAAGAACAAGAAAGATTGGAACGTGAAGAAGAAGAAAGACTAGAACGTGAAGAAGAAGAAAGAAAGGCTAGAGAGGAAGCTGAAAGAGAGAAAAATAGACAATTGAAGAGAGAAAAGGAAAAAGCTAAACGTGAAAAGTTAAAGGCTGAAGGTAAATTGTTAACCAAAAAACAAAAGGAGGAAAAGAAATTGATAGAAATGAGACGTGCTGCCCTTTTAGCATCAGGGAATATCAAAGTTGCTGGTCTTACTAAGAAAGCTGATGCTGCCGCTGATGGTGAAGTTACAGGGGAAAAGAAACCAAAAAAGATTGTCTATGGTAAGAAGAAGAAGAGGGTCACTCAAAAAGATAATGATACAAAGGCAGTTGCCAAGAGTGAAAAAGAAGATAATGAGAAAAAGAACAATGCAAATGGTGAGGAAGTTGGCGAAGATGTCTTAATTGACGATTGGGAGAACTTAGATTTAGGTGAGGATGAAGAAGAAGAGAAAGAATTTGCTGTTTCTTCTGCTGAAACTGAATCTGTTAATACTGAACCAGTTAATGAATCAAAAGCTGAAGCCAATGCTGACACTCAAAAGGACTCTCAAGTGGAAGACACAAAAAAGAAAATTCCAGAAGTTTCCACTCCAGCAGTCAACGAAAGTACCAAAAATCCAAAGAAAGATTTACGTTCTCCAATTTGTTGTATCTTGGGTCACGTTGATACTGGTAAAACCAAATTACTGGATAAGATTAGACAAACCAACGTACAAGGTGGTGAAGCTGGTGGTATTACCCAACAGATCGGTGCCACATATTTCCCAATTGAAGCTATCAAACAAAAAACTGCCTCTATGGCCAAATTTGAAAAACAGACTTTTGACGTTCCTGGTCTATTGGTTATTGATACCCCAGGTCACGAATCTTTTTCCAACTTACGTTCTAGAGGTTCATCATTATGTAACATTGCCATTTTGGTTATTGACATTATGCATGGTTTAGAACAACAAACCCTTGAATCTATTAGATTGTTAAGAGACAGAAAGGCCCCTTTTGTTGTTGCCTTAAATAAGATTGATAGATTATATGATTGGCAAGCTACCCCAAACAATTCTTTCAGAGATTCTTTCGAACAACAAACTAGAGCTGTCAAAGACGAGTTCCACACCAGATTAAGTAATATTCAATTGGCATTGGCTGAACAAGGGTTGAATTCTGAATTATACTTCAAGAACAAAAACATGGCTAAATATGTTTCTATTGTTCCAACTTCTGCCGTCACTGGTGAGGGTGTTCCTGATTTGTTATGGTTGCTATTAGAATTAACTCAAAAGAGAATGTCCAAACAATTAATGTATCTATCTCACGTTGAGGCCACTATCTTAGAAGTTAAAGTTGTCGAGGGTTTTGGTACCACTATTGATGTTATTTTATCTAATGGTTACTTAAGAGAAGGTGATAGAATTGTACTTTGTGGTATGAATGGTCCAATTGCTACGAACATCAGAGCATTATTAACTCCACAGCCTTTACGTGAATTACGTCTAAAATCTGAATATGTTCACCATAAAGAGGTCAAAGCAGCCCTAGGTGTTAAGATTGCTGCCAATGATTTAGAAAAGGCTGTTTCTGGTTCTAGATTATTAGTTGTTGGTCCGGACGATGACGAGGAAGAATTGATGGATGATGTTATGGATGATTTGACCGGCCTTCTTGATTCTGTTGATACATCTGGTAAAGGTGTTGTTGTTCAAGCATCTACTTTAGGTTCGCTAGAAGCTTTATTGGATTTCTTAAAGGATATGAAGATTCCAGTGATGTCCATTGGTTTAGGTCCAGTTTATAAGCGTGATGTTATGAAAGCTAGTACAATGTTAGAAAAGGCTCCAGAGTACGCAGTTATGTTATGTTTTGACGTTAAAGTAGACAAAGAAGCTGAACAATACGCTGAACAAGAAGGTATTAAAATCTTTAATGCTGATATTATCTATCACTTATTTGACTCATTTACTGCATATCAACAACAATTATTGGAACAACGTCGTAAAGATTTCCTAGATTACGCCATTTTCCCATGTGTTTTACAAACATTACAAATTATTAACAAGCGTGGTCCAATGATTATTGGTGTTGATGTTGTTGAGGGTTGCTTACGTATTGGTACTCCAATTTGTGCTGTGAGAACGGATCCAACCACCAAGGAAAGGAATATATTATTATTAGGTAAAGTAATGTCTTTAGAAATTAATCACCAACCTGTCACTGAAGTCAAGAAAGGTCAAACTGCTGCTGGTGTAGCTGTTCGTTTAGAAGACCCATCTGGTCAACAACCAATTTGGGGCCGTCATGTTGATGAGTCTGATACCTTATACTCCTTGATTTCTAGAAGATCTATCGACACCTTAAAGGATCCAGCTTTCAGAGATCAAGTCCAAAGATCTGACTGGCTATTAATTAAGAAATTGAAGCCAGTTTTTGGTATCGAATAAGCGTAATTAGTTTCTAATTTCATTAAATTATCACTCTTTTATAAACAAAACAGATAAAATAAAAATCATTCTATGTAAAATACTCTATTGAAATATTGGTGGGTAAGAATTATTGTATTTTCTAAGTTTATTAATCTTACGATTCCTGCAGTATGAAATGTTCATTGTTTAAGCGTGTATGAGCATTGGTATATAAATAATTAAATATATATATATATATATATATTATAATATTATCGTTATTACGTCTCTCTATTATATTCAACCCTAGTATAATTAAAATAAGAGGGGGAGGCAAAATCTTCCCTAATAAACTCTTTTATACTGCTGAACACTCAACCTTTAGCAAAGTTAACTACCAATAAGCAAGATTGAAAACTTGTTATTGCTTCTCTATTTTTTTTGAAGTTTTTAAATCACGTGAGCCATTAAAAAAATTTTTTTTTAAATAGTGAAGAAATATTTTGACATCACAAAATTCGATGCCCTTGAAGATTAGTTGTTATAGATACATATAATTCATTGAATAAGGCATTCATGTCAGATTGAGATCGTATAAACAATAAGTTTGCCTAATTAAAAAGTATCGGTGTAGTTTATTTCCTAATACAAACCAAGACCAAAGATATAAGAAGATTATCAATCCATAATGGTTGCTACTAAAAGAACAGCTGAAAGTTTGAGAGCTGCAAGATTTATCAAGAAACATAAAAAACTTATAACTAATCCAAAAGAAGATGGTGTCTCCAATTGTATTATTCGTGTTCCTGTAACAATGTATGTCTCATTAGCTCCAATGTATTTACAAAATCCATTACAAGGGATAATGAAACAACACCTAAACCCAATGATTATGAAATATAATAATAATATTGGCGGGGTTGTTATGGGCTATGAAGATTTAACCATTATGGATGCCGATCCAAATGATGGTGGGGAAAAGATAGGCAAATTAATTAAGGTCACACCTGACACTCCTTTCAGTTTTATGTGGTGCAAAGTTAAATTATATGTCTGGCAACCTCAGGTTGGTGATGTGTTAGAAGGTAATATTTTCATTCAATCTGCATCTCATATTGGTTTGTTAATCCATGACTCCTTTAACGCCTCTATCAAAAAGAACAACATTCCATACGATTGGACTTTCATACAGGATGAACAACAAGAAGATGTCAATGAAGATAGTCGAGATGATAATGATAGTTCTAAGCCAAAGAATAGAAAGACTGGTTCATTGGGTCATTGGGCTGATTCCTATGGTAATCAAATAGATGGGAAATTAAAGTTTAGTGTCAGAAATATATATACTACAGGTAGAGTTGTATCAGTCGAAGGTACCCTATTAGAAAGCGAAGAAAGTAATTCTGAGGCAGAAAAATTACCAGTAGTGTCAAATAAAAAGATAGTGTTTGATGAAGAAGTAGAGGAAGAAAACAGAGAAAGTCACAAAGATTTAGTTTTATCTGAAGTTAAAGAAGATAATGGATCATCTATTGTTTATGAAGCTAATTCTAGCAGCAGTGATTCTGACGATTCTGATGAAAGCGATTAATTTCCACAAAGTGAAAATGTGAACAAAAGAATCTATACAAACTACTTTTATAATTGTATATTACAAACAGCACATATTAATATTTATATATAAATACAGAGTATAATTTTCTCATTATATTATTATTAAGTTGATATTGGGTTGATAATATTAAGATGGATTCAAGATAATACTGATTAAAGATCCGAATAGGTGGAGTATTCATAATTATCTCTTTTTACAAAATTGATGTATCCTAAAAATACATTAGTGCAATGATGATGGTTATTACGAAAAGAGAGATAGTGAAAATAATAACTAGAAGCTTTTTATGGACCAAATATATAAAATATATCAGCAACATATAATAAGAATATTTCACAGTAAATTTTGAGTATTAGGGTTATGGGTAAAGTCAATAAAGAAAGGTTAGGGTTTTCTGGAAATTTTTTTTGCTAGTGCCATGAAATATGTATAAGTAACGAAAGATTAACGCATACAAAAAGAAAGAAGGCCTTTTTCACTTCAATACCCTCTGACTTGAGGAATGAAAACCTTTAGGGATCAAGAAAGTCAAGAAAGATAGAAACTGAATTATGCTATTGAAAATCAAAAGACCGTTATTGATTTTGATTAATATCCTGGCTTTTCAAGTTTTTTTTGTGGATTCCATTAAGTTAACTACTGTAGAGAGATTCACAAGCAATCATTCAGACCCTGTGACTATATGGAGCATTCTTAATCATATAGTTTTAGACAATAAAGAAGGCCGAAAATTACTAAATGACCTATATCCTATAATAACAGGGTTAGATGAATTTAGCGAAAGTGCTGAGGATTATTATATTACAGAAAACTTTGAAGAAAAAGAAGATATTAAAGCAGATTCTACTTTATTCCAAAAAGTAATAGACACTCTGAAAACTTTTGATAAAACTAATAAAAATTCTAAATTTGAAACAACTTTTAGTGCTCAATTATTTAAAACTTACTACGATCTATATCCCTTTGGCTTCCTTGATTATGTTGATCCAGATCTTTATAAAGTAAATCATTTTACATTAAATGGAAAAATATTCGATAAACCGGATGATAGCTTCTATTTGAGGTCTGATGATCTAAAGAAACAATCAAAACTAACAGATCTCGAATTACTATCAGAAAATGATAACCCATCTGCTATCATTGGTACCAATTCCCAAGCACCTTTATTAATTTTTTATGGCTGTCCTAACTTACCAGATTTTAAGGATTTTAGCAGAAATCTATTTATTGAAGCCACTGAAACAGAAAAGATTCGATTCTTTTGGAAACCAATCTGTAACATCAATTCAACTTTCCATATCAATCAAGATTTTTCCACCTCTTTCACATTGAAAAAGAATGAAGAAATAAATAAATGGCAATTATTAGAGAATCTAATAGAAGTCCCAAAAAAATTCAAAGATAAATTAATACTAAAACCAATAAATAATCAGAATATTTCAGATCTCGATATTAAAGTAACTTCATTAATCACCAGATTTTACAAGAAAAATGGTAATTTTAGCTCTACTATAAAGTATTTTCAAAGTATTGTGAATAATTTCCCTTTACTGATAAACACTTTGGTGGACACCAAGTTATTAAAAGGCGAAAAGAATAAAATTATCAAAAGTAATTCTATTTTAAAACAGTATGGAATTGATTTTCATATGCTTGGAATTTTTATTAATGGTCAAAATATCAAATTGTCCTCTTTAAATCATTACTCATTGCTCAATACAATCTTCAATGAATGGAAACGTATGGTCCAATTGAAAAAGTATTTATTAGATTATAAATTAAGTGATAAGACTTCTATCAATATAAATACCAAATCGTTACTAAAATATTTTACAGACCTCTCAATATTAAGCTTACGAGAGTCACAACCAATTAAAATTGACCTTCATAGAATCAAATCATTTTCAGATAATGTTATTTATTTTAATGATATTGAAAAAAACTCTCAATACGATGAATTAAGTACTGATATTGAAAGTTTTTTGGCTGAAAAATCTAAGTTTGGAGAAATACCTGAATACAGAAAAAACTGGAATGAAATTATATTTGTTATAAACTTTGATAAAATTTTTCACACTCAAGAAAAGAATGATTTGGAAGCTTTGACTGGTTTACTTCGAAGTTTAAGAGTTGTTAAGGAAGGTTATCCCCAAAGAATCGGGTTACTTCCTATAGGTAGTTCGAAATCCTCTGCTTTATTAAGTAAGATCTACGATTTTAAACTCGAAAATGATTTAGATTCATTGATTACTCTCCTTGAGGACATAGCAAGTGGAAATATTGATAATTCATTATTTAGTGAAAACTACAGAAATGTTCCTGATACAAAATCCCTATTAAAATCATTGGACATTCGAATGACTACTTCAATTATTATTAATGGGGAAATCTACCCATTCAAATATAATTCTTGGTATTATCTAATTGCCAAGGTTATTAAGAAAGACACTGCTTTTTTAAAAAATGAAATTAAGAAAGAGCTCAAATCTGGCAAAAATCGCAAAAACATTGATGTAAGAGGTATTCTGCATTTGAAATCTTCAATTACAAAGAATGAAAAGTATACACCAAATTATTTTTCAAATAGTATATATACCACAATGGATAACACTATATTAACCACGCACAAACAAAGAATTATCGAATGTATAAATAATAATAACTTAAATATACTCCACACTATTACTCTTTTTGATAATTTTGGAACTGTTGAAGGACTTCAGAGATTAAGCAATCTGTTAAGTACTAAGTTTGAAGGTGTTCGTGTTAGAATATTCCATTCCGGCGATTTATCAGACTCCACATGGAAGAAATTGAAATCACAGATAAATAAATACAGGGAGAAATCTGAGCAGTTGAAATTTTTAGACTCTTTAACTAAGAAATCTATACAAGCAAATCACAACAAAAAATCTCTATTACAGATTACAAAAATGACCCTACATAAATGGTTACCGGATGTTCCCCCTTCATATTTTGATTCTAAATTATTTTTGGTATTGAATGGTAGATTCATTCATTTTTCTAAACACGAGATCCTTACTACAACTGAATTTGAATCCATAATTAAAAGAGAATCCAAAAGAACTTTAGACACTATATTTGCCCTTGAAAATATATTTCCTGGATTTTCAGAAACAGCGTTAGACCCAGATTTTGTTGAAATGATATCTGCTTTATTATCAAAACTTGTTTATCACGGTTCCCAATACAATAACGACGGGTTTGATTTTACTACTGAAACAGTCTTATTAAGGTTCAATATAGAACACTATCTTCATAGCAATGGCTTCACTATATTTGATGATAGTGATCACAATTCTGTAGAGAAATTAATTGATGTAACCATTATTGTTGATCCAGTCGAAGAAAGAACTCAAAAATTGTTATCATTTATACCGTTTTTAGAAAAAATGAATATTGTAAACTTTAAAATAGTTCTTTTACCCACTGAAAACTTGCCATTCATTCCAAATGAAAGGGTTTTCATACCTACTATTCCTAATAGGTTGCTTACCAAGGAAATAATAAATGCCTTTGATGTTGAAGTAGATATACCTGATCACTTTGCAGTTTCTAACCTTTCTCAATTCGATGGGGTCATAGTTGAGAGTTATGTGTATGATTCCAAAATTACAATAAATGAGGGTAACGTTCATGGCATTGGTGGTCTAAGCTTTAATGTTTTAGATGAGCATAATGAGATCATAACTAGTTTTACCTCAATGAGTACTTTTGGATATGGTCAATTTATGATCCACGATTTCCAAAAAAAATATCACATTGTGTGTATCACACCAGGATATGATGTAGAATTAGTGTCAAATGAAATATATTCAGATTTGGTTGACGAGGGTGAATTTAGTATCTCCAATTTGAATATGAAGAGAATAACTATACTAGTGACAAATCATGATAAAGCAATACCGGAAAACAGAATATCAATGGAAAGTACTGAAATAAATATTTTTACAACGTTAGCTCATTCTGATTTAGAACAATCCAACTTCAAGAAAAATGTATTACAAATCTGTGCTTCTGATCTTACTAAAAATTTTACATTTTGGTTGTTAGAAGATGCCTATATGAATGAAGAATTGCATGACTTTGCTACTATTATCAATAACATTTCTGATATAAATGGGAAAGTAAAATTTGTGAAGTATGAATGGCCAAGATGGTTACGTCCACAACGTTACTGTGAACGTAAATTGGACATTTCTAGATTTTTATTCCTTGACGTATTATTCCCATCAGATATAAAAAAAATAGTGTATATGAATCTTGGCACAACAGATAATTTATTAGACCCCGAAAAGATTATAAGATCCGAGACTAAAAAGGCTCCATTTAGCATGTTTAAAATGGAAGTGGACGGTTACTGGAATTACGGCTATTGGGAAAAGAGGTTGAAAAACAATGGATATTCGTTTTATTCAACAGACCCTGTATTTTTAATCGACTTAGAAGAGATAAGATCCAAGGATATCGGTGATCTTTTAAGAATTCATTATCAACGTTTATCAGCAGACGCAAATTCTTTAGTAAATATTGGTCAAGATTTATTAAATGACATTCAAAGTGAAGTACCTATTAGCGGATTAAAAAGATCACTAAAGAAGAATAAATTATTACTATCTACCAGTAAACAAATACTAAGTAGATGGGAAAATCAGATTATAGAAACACAAAAGACATTACAAAGAGATAAAAAGACAAAGATTGAAAACACTAATAATATTTTTAATACACTATCATATGATAAGTTCCATGATGAACTTTAATTGAGCCAATCAAAATGCCCTTTTGACTCCCTACCTGTTCCACAATATCTAGAAAAAAGTATAAGAAAGAGCCAAGTTTTTTCTAGTGATATGATCATCATTAGATGACTTATATATATTATGCCTAGCCTCTATTAATTAACGTTTTATCTCAAATCTTAATCCTACAATTGCTTAGTATCATTTATATTTATGTTTAAGCTTTACTAGACTGTCGGAATAATACCGGAAACAGAAATTCCCGACCTTTTATAATTTGTAAATATAGTGCGGCATCTCTGCGGAGGATTTCTTTTAAAATCCCGCATTATATAATATTACCTGTGGAATATTTGCGATATTTTCGGTTTTATTTACTTACTTACTTATTTATTTTTTTTCTGACCCACTAAACCCTCTCTATTGTGATGATAGATGAAACTTTTAATTATTCTAAGAGTAAAGTAGACAAAAAAGCACATATGTATATTACTATCTGAGATATCGTATCTGGGTAACATTTTTATAGTAGCAAAAAAAAAAGAAGATCATCACTCCCTAAGTTTAAAAGAAATTAAACAGCATATCATATACTGCCGTGAAAAATAGACAAAATTGATTAACATTCAGATCCAAGCAAAATATTTACCCATATTATTTAAGTTGTGTTATTTAGGTTTATCGGGATATGAGATCTCAAATAAACCCCAATAATATGAGAACGGTACCAACAGTATCTGAGCTAGTTATATCTAAACTTAAGGAACCTGACCCAACAAAAGTATGTAGTAATACCGATCAAATTTCACGACAAGTACAACAGGAAGTCCATAAAAAAAAAGAAATCAAAAAAACCCATAGTTTTAGGACCCAATGGTAAAAAAAGATTATCATGTTATAACTGTAGGAAGAGACGTAAAAAATGTGATCTAGGGTTTCCATGCGAGAGTTGTAAGAGGCTTGGTATTGAATGTAATATCAATGAAGAAGATTTAAGGAAAAAGAGATATTCTTCTACTTATGTTCAATCATTAGAGGTACATATAGCATCCTTAGAGACTACTTTGAAAAATCTAATAGAAACATTTTATCCTAATAATCAACAAATATTGGATAAGATGATGATAGGTGACATATTACCTGACACTATAAATGAAAATAATAATGGGGATTCCAGTTTAATTTATAACCAAAATATTGAAAACAGATTGAGACATGAGCAAAATATTAAATCCAAAAAGGATAAATTTACAATGTTACCTAATGCAATATTTAACAATGGCAACAATCCCGACCACAACAGCACCACTACCACCACAAACAACAACAATAATAATAGCAGTATTCGTAATTGTACTAATGATGATAATCAAGCCAACAATAATAGTAGGAATGGCAAACACAACTCTACAGTAACGATTCCAACCAAAAAAAAAGTTTATCCAGAATGGAAGAAAAAATCATTTGTAAAAGGTAGTCTATATCCTGAAGGTCCTGTTCCATATAAACCAAGACCAAAACCACACTCGAAAACTTCAACAGGATCAGTGAATTCAATTGGTTCGAATTCTTCATCAGCAGTTTCTTTAATAGGAAGTGATTCCAGTATTGATAATCGTCACTCCAAAGATAGCATTTCACAAGGTATAAATGACATTGATAATCAACTTAATCAGGAAAACTTAAATTCATCTAATGCAATTCTAAATAAAGATAATAGTACCGCCTCTAATAATAATAATAATAATAATAATAGTAAGAATGATAGTAATAGTATTGATGCAGTTGATGATAGAATAGGAGAGAAAAGAATATCTGATTTGAAAACAACCGTTATTAAAAGACCAGTAAGCAATTACAGTAACGAGTATTGTATTAATACAGATCCATTAATTTTACAATCATTATCTAATTTTTACAGGTGGTTATACCCGGGTCATTTTATCTTTGTTCACAGAGAAAGTTTTTTGTATGGGTTCTTCAATCATGCAAAGAATAATTATGCAGATTCTCATTATTGTTCAACCGAATTAATTTATGCTATGTGTGCCATTGGATCAAGGTTATCACCTGAGTTACAGAATATGTCTGAATGGTATTACGAACAAAGTAAAAAAACTTTGTTAAAATTAGTGTTCGATGAACAAAATACAGCATCAATTACTACTGTACAAGCATTGTTCTGCCTTGCATTTTACGAATTAGGCAAAGGCTGCAATCAGTTGGCATGGTATTTCTCCGGCCTGGCGATTAGAGTGGGTTATGATATGGGATTCCAATTAGATCCAAAGGTTTGGTACACAGAAGATTCAAAGAGTCAGTTAACAGACAGTGAATTAGAGATTAGGTCAAGAATATATTGGGGATGTTACATTGCAGATCACTTTATTTGTTTAATGTTGGGCCGAACGTCCACTTTAAGTGTAAGTAATTCTACTATCCCAGAATCTGACGAACTACCGGAAGTGGAAGGCACAGAAGAATTCAGGTTTATCGGTAAACATGTTTTACAAATTTCGTTGCCATTAAAAAATTTGATTATCCTTTCTAGAATAGTGCAAGTGTTCACTTCTAAGATATTTATCGAATCTGATGACACTAGTGTAAGAGTGCAATTATTGATTGTGTTTAATTCACAAGTGTTTCAATGGCGACAATCCTTACCTGGGTTTTTACAATGGAGTAAGAAATTGTTACAAGATGAAGAGGTATCAACGGACCCGACAGTGTCCTATTTCTGGTATTATTATTATGTTGTGTTATTAACGTTCAATAAGCCCTTTTTAGAAGAAAGCGAAGAGTCTCGTGGCGTTGTTATTGAAATTCTGGAAGATTTAATTACATTATTTAATAATTTCGAGAAGAAATTAGGCAATTACAATTATGCAACGTTATATCAATTATTTGCATGTCTACTAGCAATTACCTGTTTAAAAAAATTACTGATTATAAATGAAAGCAATCGGGATTGGGAGAAACAATTACGATTTTTCCATTCAATATTTTACGAAAAATTATCACCAGCATATAAATTACCAAATAAATTACAAGAGGATGATAATTTAGAGGATGAACAAGAAAAGCAAACTGCTTTAAATCAAGTCAATAATATCAATTACACTCATGATTTTTCGCTGAGTAATGAGATTGATGATATGATTAAAGAACTATTTGGTATTGCATATAACCCAGCACAACCATTGTAAACAAGATACAAAAGCATACAAAAAACACAAACTCATGCTTTATAGACTTTAAGCATATTATTTGAAGATGTTGAATAAGTTAGCATTCATTCATTTATATGTTTGCTTTATGAAATTATTTATAGACCATTCTACTAATATATGACATACAGTATGTATGTATATATATGTACATATGAATATATAACCTGAGAATAATTTCGGAAAATTACATTTCCGTATCTACAAGGTGATTGTGAATGTATCGGAATTGTAAAAAAAACCGTTGACAGGTATTCCGAATACTAGAACTTTTCTTCTAAGGAAAAAATATATAGATATAGATATGTATATATCTATAATTAGCACCTGTATTGTTTTATTCTCTCCCTCTCCCCTTTCTCCGTTGGAATGATATCGAAATCCATTGTTTATCAAATGGGTCCCTTTGTTTTTTTTTTTTTTTTTTTTTTTTTGTTTTTTTCAAGGGGAAAGACCATTTCGTCATAAAAAAAGAAAAAAAAAGAAAGAAACAAAAAAGAAACCAAAAAACGAAACTGGAGAAAAGTTAGAGAGTGCAAAAACACACTCTCCTTAAAAAAATTAGATCGTCCACTGATGTATTTTATTTGACCTCGTTTCTTTTTTTTTCGGACTAAATTATTCTATACACAAAAAAAAATCTAGGGTTCAACACTTTTTTCCATTTCAATATCATCAGAATACTATATTCTTTATGTTAGGTTTCGATATATTAACTGACTACTCTGGTGAGACATGTAATGAAAGCGAACTTCTGTTCTTTTTTTTTTTTTTTTTTTTACTATTAAACCTAGTACTTTATTATTCAAAATAATATGTTTAGTGGAGTACCTATATTTTTTTTCTACATAAGTGTATCTATTCCTTCATGTGTAACTCTTGGTTAGATTTTCATATATTCCAAACAAATCACTGTTCCAAACACATACACTCCAGAATAAATGTTTCTTAGGTTAAAGTGACAGGAAGAAGAAAAAAAAAGGGAACAACTGCTAAAATTCTCATTTTTAGACACAGCCCCATGATTTCCTAAATAAGAAAATTGATCTATCTACTTTTCTTTCCTTCTTTGTTATTTTTGCGGGAGCTTACAAAAAAAAAAAAAAAAAAAGAAAGCAAGCGGAGAATTCTCTAGAAGTCGAGAGAAAAAGAAACACAGAGCCAGCCAGTCGTCTTCGAGCCCTCGAGAACTGTCTATAAGATTGAATGTGTGAAGTCGAGTGTTGTCTGCGATGACTCCGAGAGGGAGATGTAACTGAATGAGTAATGCATTCACAGAATAAAAAAATTTGGTAAGAAGGTACCCTTTCTTCTAGAAAAAAGGAGAGAGAGAAGGAGAAAGAGGCAGGAGAACGGGGCTGTAATCAACATTCTATATCCCATACATAGAAACATATTGTTACATACATACGTATATATATATGACAGACTCTAAAGGGGTATAATAGATCACCACTTCTCACTTTTCATTCCATCTGTCTTGATTTTCTCTTGACGTTACTATCTTACATCTTATGCTTGTATAGCAGTTTCTTCTCAAAACTAGACCCTTATATCTTTACAAGAATAAACAATTTCTACTCAATTATTATCGTAAACACTTATAACGAAGAAAAACTCACATTATACCACAAATTTTATAATAGTTATTTTTTCTACGGTTATGGATTTATTTTCACCAAGACCTGAACATACTCAATTAGATAACGATACAATAAACCCAAAAAACGAACAACTACCAAAAATAATTCCATCTGGTTCATTCAATGCTGTTACATCGACTGTTATTAACAAAACAAAATCATCGGCTGAATCGAATGGACTAGGTTTCCTATTACCTCCTTTGCCATTACACACAAGCTCGATAAGTAACTACAACCTGGATAACATAACTGTTCCAGAAAGTACCCTGGATCTCTCCAGTTCTTCCTCCACAACCCTTCAAAAAAATCCTGGGTTCCCATCTCCACCGCAATCACCAAAACTTTCAATTGAAAGAAAAACTCAAATAAGTAAAGATAAAACTAGGAATAGTGATGAAATATCTCCTTCTGTATCCGGCATCAATGAAGGGAAAAGCATAAATGCAACAAGGTTCAACCTCGATAAAGATATATTCTTAGTGAGACCAGATTGGGAACAAGGGTTAAATGTAACAAAATATAAGAGATCCAATAGACGATTCATGTCGTACTATCGCATATTCAAGGATAAAGATAAAGATTCTGCCAGTGTTCTTCCTTTCCAGAGAGAATACAGATATTCATTAAGAAACAATAGATATAGAGATACCAAGGAAGATGTAGATCATTATTACGATGGTTCCGTTGCATCCCAACGACTCGTCCCCAACTCTAAATGTATCACACCATCATTTGCAACCGGTAAAGAACCAAATACATTGAAACAGGGAAAAAAGTGGATCACTAAGACTTCTATAGGAAGTTCGCCTAAAAAAGTTATGGTTTATTCGCATAACCATACCACACCAAATATAAACTGGGAATTATTACCAGATTATTCACCAAGTTTGGCCACTTTACCTACCACAAATGTAAACAAGTCGATGAGAGTAGAATGGAAGGGATCTATGATGGATTTGTCCAATGATCCGTTGAGAGATAAGCTGCATCCTGCAGAATTAAATTTAGCACAGATCCTAAGATTACCATGCTCACTGTATTTAGATTCGAAGAGAAGACTGTTTATGTCAAAGGTAGAGAGAATGCAACAAGGCTTGCCATTTAGAAGAACTGATGCTCAAAAAGCATGCCATATCGATGTGAACAAAGCATCAAGATTATATTCTGCATACGAAAAAGTTGGTTGGTTAGATGACAAATTATTTACCAAATATCTATGATCATATACAAGAAAGTAAAGTAAAGAAAAAGAAAAAGAAAAAGAAAAAAAAATACAAAACTAACAGCCATAAGTACTATTATACTCATTTTTATTTTTTTTTTTATTCAATTATTTTAAAATATTTATTAATATTCTGTTTGGTCGTTTCTACATATATTCATATATCCATACTTATATACACATAGTATATATATATATTTTAGTCATTTCAAAATTGATTTACCATGTAATTCAGATCTCTGAGGTTTCTCCATACTAGTATTTGTCACACGTTGATAATATGTTATTAATATATGCTCAGATGTATCAATATTCGTATTATTTACAATTCTGATTGACCTACGAATTTATATCACTTTAGTCATCCACATTTAACTCATCAGTATTGCCCTTCCTCTCTTCACCTCTGGTTCACTTGCACTATAAATACTACAATAATACACGGTTCTTAGGAAAGGAATTCCAAACCCGCATGTTTGGAAATAAAATCCATGCTGTTCCCGTAAAGAATTATTTTCGGAAAAAAGATGGCGGCTTTTTATCTTCTTTTTTTTTTTTTTTTCACTCCATTTGATAAAAAAAAGAAAAAAAAAATAATTATTTCTGTAATTAATTATTCTTTATTTCAGAAAGAAACAAGATAGACAGGTTAATAAATGTTCCTTACATGAGTTTGTTTTATCATGATAAGAAATAGTTTGTTGTCACTTAGACATACATACGAAAGGACACACAAACACGTATACACACACATATATATATCCAAGCATATTTGCCCAATTAAAGTGTAAATTATAATATAAAGAAAAACCTGCAAATTCATTTATACGCATTTTAATAAGGACGAACAAACAAACAAACAAACAACAATAAATAAATAAATAAATAAATAAATCACAATGTCTTCATCTATAATCACTTCTTTGACACCAAATCAAGTTAATGATGAATTAAATAAAATGCAAGCCTTCATTAAGAAAGAGGCAGAAGAAAAGGCTAGAGAGATCAAATTGAAAGCTAACCAAGAATATGAAATCGAAAAGACAAATTTAGTACGCCAAGAGATAAGCAACATCGACTCAAATTACGAAAAAAATTTGAAAAAAATTTATCTAGAAAAACAAATCATGAAATCAACTATTGATAATCAAATCAGATTAAAAGTATTAAATAAGAGAAATGATTCCTTGAATGAAATATTTGAAGAGACTCAAAAACAATTAAGAGACAAAATAACTAATGATGAAACATTGTACAAAGATATTTTACACAAATTGATTCTTGAATCGGTTTTAAGATTGTTAGAGAGTCAGGTTGTCATCCAGGTTAAAGAAAGTGATTTACCTATTGTGGAAAATGAAGAATTTCTAAATAAGATTACTGAAGAATATAAGACCACTACAAATGGTAAAAATCTTAAAATAGCTGTATCAAAAGATTATTTGAGCCCTGAATTAATTGGTGGTGTTATAGTGAAAGATTCTTCAGAAAAAATTAAATTGAATAATACTATTGATGAAAGATTGAAATTATTACATGAAGAAGCTTTACCTGCCATAAGATTAGAAATGTTTGGTATAACTAAGACCAGGAAATTCTTTGATTAATTTCTACGTACAATGCTCTCTCTCTCCCCCTATATATATATGTATATACATGTTTCTGTACTTTGTATGATTTCATCTTTTATAGTATAAATAATAAATATTTTTAACCATCTTTCATCTATTATGACTTAATATATGACTATTCTGATACTACATACATACATACATAAAGAAAGCAAGTATAGTTAGTACTCATAGCAAGGTAATATTTGACTATATTTTTGCTGGATTATATTTAATGCTTTATGCAACCTTTTCCCGCGGATGAGCAGCTCATCCGCGGGAAACAAAAACAAAACGAAATCCATCTCTGTCCACGTGCAAAAAAGATGTTATACATTTTAACGTCGGCGTTTTTTTTGTTCGAGAAAAAAAATTTTGGCCTCTGAGCATCTGTTGTTATGGTAGCGGCTTCCTGTTCACAAAATTCCATATCTTGCTTTTGTGTTACGCTGAAGCAAGAAAGGGAAAGGAAAAATGAAGTATTGATGAACTAGATGAAATGACATTGAACAAAGTCACATTGAAACAAAAAAAAAATACCATACAACATTATCAATCGATAGGTATGTGTTCCTAGTTTTCAGATTTCACTTGAACCACAAAACTAGTATAACGCTACCATTCTATCACTTCATAGACACGTATAACTGTCATCATCTTCATATTTCCAATTCATTCCTATCCGTCCCTATGACCGCAATATGATACCCAGATTGTTTACTATACCATTAAGATATAGTACTACGGGAAATAATACTCTCTACCATAATAAACGACATATATTGTTATTACTAAATCATCGGTTATTCACTGTGTATCGGAATCATATCCGTCAATGTCAGAATTCTTTAGAAAAACCTCAATCTACACTCAAGAATAATCAAGCTGGATCTCCTTTAAATTCTAAGCTATTACAATTAAAACCAATCAAACCTAATGCTCTTTTCATCTCATGTACAGTCTTCAATTCTAAAGGGTCAATAGTCAAAGTCTCGCAAAATTTTAATAAATGGAATTTTCTAAGAGATCATAATCTGTTTCCAAGAGATTTAAGAAAAATTGATACCTCCTCAGTAGACATCATCCCAACTATTCTGGTGAAGCCTCATTGTATCCTTGTAAATTTACTTCATATTAAAGCCTTGATAGAAAAGGATAAAGTGTTTATATTTGACACCACTATCCCTGAATCTGCAATGAAATTAGGTGTCCTGATGTATGATATGGAGTCTAGACTATCTCAAGTCAACCCAAACTCAAATAATTTTTATGAACATAGAGCGTTGGAAATCATTTTAATTAATATTATGAGTTGTTTGGAGGCAGAGTTTAAAGAATGTTCTACTGTTTGTAGACAAATCCTTATAGATTTGGAGAATGAAGTTAATAGAGAGAAGTTAAGGGAACTGTTAATTAAATCAAAGGCTTTATCTTCTTTTTATCAAAAGACCTTTTTAATTAGACAAGTATTAGATGATTTACTGGAAAATGATGACGATATGGCTATGATGTATTTAACTGATCCAAGAATACCTCATACAGATACTGCAAGCAACTCCATACCTCCATCCTTATCCTCATCCGCACCCCTTAAAATAACATATAATGGCAAGGAAGTGAACGGAGATACACCTAATGAAAATAGAAAAGATGCAAATGAAGAAGATGAAAATGGAGAAAAAGATATTGATTTTTCTGATTTAGAAATGTTGATAGAGAATTACTATACACAATGTGATGAGTTCGTTCAACAGTCAATTTCTTTAATAGAAGATATTAAATCAACAGAGGAAATAGTCAATATTATACTAGATGCAAATAGAAATTCTTTAATGCTATTAGAATTGAAAATCACAATATATACACTTGGCTTCACAGTAGCTTCACTGTTACCTGCATTCTACGGTATGAACCTTAAAAATTTTATTGAAGAATCCTCTTTTGGATTTCCTGGCGTAATGCTCATCTCCTTTTTAATGGGCTTATTTGTAGTTAGAGCAAATTTTAGGGCTTTGAAATCTGTGACTAAATTATCTATGTTTAAGACAAGTTCTGAATTAGAATCAGGCCTTGTTCAAAAGACCAACTCTAATAACAATATAAACTCGTTTTCATTTAATAAAAAATATTCTGCCAAACTTTCTTCTTCCCATTCATTTTCTGCATCATTATCCCCACAACTTTACTCTTCTTCCACAATCTCACCATCTTCTGTACGGAAACATTCATATAGAAATTTATTAAAGGTAATGTGGTGGTCAAATTTCAAAGAAGTTTTAATTCGTTATTGGTTTGGTGAAAAGTATACTCCTAAAAATATGACCAATTTAATGTCATCACATATCAATACTAGAACAAGCTGTTCTGATGAAGAAAAAGATGTAGTTTGGAAATGGTTAATCGATAATAAAAAGAATTAACTTTTTAATTTATATCTCTCAAATTTTATTCAACTTTGCTTTATATCCTTTAACTTGATCTTTTATTGTCTTTTCATTCCTTAGTTCCTTTTATTTTTTGTAAATATTTTTCTTCTATTATATTAGTGAATACCAATGAGTACTGCCACCATTCACTACTACTTTCTCTGTGCACATAGATATATACCTTTTTAGATTTATTTTATAAAGATTTCACTTATAGATGTAATATTATAGATTTGAAATATACTGGATAAAAAATATTTATTATTCGTATCTACTATTATATACATAATCATACATAAAAAGATAAAAAAAATAGGAATTATTTATAATTTCATTTGTTCAGATCATGACGCCATTTAAATGGTCAATTTCTCCTTGAACACAGCACTAATCTCAGCAACAGCATTTTCTGCTTCAGTTTGTTTGTCACCCATACCTTGAAAAACATTACCTTTACCACCAGCTTTACCGCCAATAATAGAAGAAACTTTCTTGGCTAAAGCAGCACCGTCAACACCCTTTTCAATGGCTTCATTGGATATATAACAACCATGAGCAATCTTACCTTCTGGATCATTACCAGTTAATAGGTAGATAGTTTTATCCTTAGCTGAAGATTTCAAATAGTTAACAGCTTCAGTGATGGCCTTGGCATTGGTTGGAATATTAATAGCCTTAACAAAATAGGTAGCGTCCTTGTTAGCTTCGAAATAGTTCTTGACTTCATCAACTGTTTGCTTGATTTCTTTCTTAGCTCTAGCTTTAACCTCGTCCTTGACCACTTTTTCTATTTTATTGAATTTTTCCCTTAATTCATGTTTAGTAATCACAGAGATAGACAATTGACCTAACTTAACACCTAATTCTTTTAATCTCTTTTCTTTAGCTGGAGAGAACGGTAGCTTTTCAGCAGCAATCAATTCTGTTTCAAATTCACTAGAGATTCTTTGAGCTTCAAAGGCTTCGGTACCTGTCACAGCTACAATTCTTCTAATACCCTTAGCAATACCACTTTCTTCTAAGATAATGAAGAATTTAATATCAGAAGTCTTTGCAACATGGGTACCACCACAAAATTCAATAGAATAGTTGTACCATTCTTCACTAGTTGGATCAGCCAAAATATCTTCAATTGGTTTACCAACAGAAACTACACGGACTGGATCAGGATAAGTTTCACCAAAAACAGCACGAACTGAAGAGATTGTTTTAGCTTCTTCCAATGGAACATCCTTATAGTAGACAGTTAAATTAGATTTAATTTGCTCGTTACAGATTTCTTCTATCTTACGTAATTCTTCAAGAGATACTGCCTTCTTATGTGAAAAATCAAATCTTAATTTTTCTGGAGCTACAAGAGAACCCTTTTGATCAACTTCACCATCAAGAACTTTTCTCAAAGCGAAGTTTAAGACATGAGTACCGGTGTGATTATTCTTAATTGGGAAACGACGTAATTCATCATAAGCAGAAATAACCTTATCACCAACGGATAATTTACCTTCTTCCAAAGAACCAGTATGGAAAACATAACCATTATACAATTGAACATTTTCAACATTAAATTCTGCAACATCGTCTATGACAATCTTACCAGTATCATATTCTTGACCACCTTGTTCAGCATAGAAGGATGTCTTGTCCAAAATAATACCGTATTTTTTACCTGGCTCATTTATTTCATCAACAAATTTAGTACCATCATATAATTTTAAGATAGTAGCTTCAATGTTATCAAAACCATACTTAGCAGAATCATCAGTTTTAGCAACATTTTCTTCATTTAATTCATTCAATTCATGAACATTTAATTTAATCAAAGTTTCATCACCCTTCTTACCACCTCTCTTAGAAGCTTCATATGATTCTTGCTTAGCCTTTTCAAAACCTGGACCATCAATCTTCAAACCCTTTTCTTCAGCCATTAATTCAGTTAAATCAACTGGAAAACCATAAGTATCATATAGTCTCCAAACCTGTTTACCATCTAATATTTTAGAACCAGAAGTTTCACAGGCTGCAGCATATTTTTCAAATAATCTTTCACCACGATCCAAAGTTTTAGCAAAAGAGGCTTCTTCTTCATCTAAAATTTCGAAAAGGAAAGCAGGATCTTTGGCAACTTCTGGGAAGATATCCTTCACTTGTTCTATTAAAGTTGGTGACAAAGTAGAAAAGAAATTACCGATAGGGTAGTTTAAGTACTTACGAGCATAACGAGCACCTCTTCTTAAAATACGTCTTAAAACATAACCTCTACCTTCATTGTTTGGAATACCCCCATCTGCTAAAGCAAAGGTTAAAGTACGTACATGATCAGCAAGAACTCTGTAAGCAGTATCAATACCATCTTTATCCTCATCACCAAACTTACCAGTGTATTCTCTAACACCAGTGATTTCTTGAATACGTTTAAATAATGGGATAAAAACATCAGTATCATAATTGGATCTAACATCTTGCAAAACAGAGACTAATCTTTCGAAACCCATACCAGTATCGATATGTTTGGCAGGCAAAGGCTTCAAGGAACCATCTTTTTCTCTATTAAATTGCATGAAGACTAAATTCCAAATTTCCAAGACATCTGGATCATCTTGATTGACTAGGGATGAGGCATTTCTACCACCAATTCTGTCATAATGAATTTCAGAACATGGACCACATGGACCTTGATCACCCATTTCCCAGAAATTATCCTTGACATTTCCTGGTATGATGTGATCATCTGGGACACCGACATCCTTCCAAAGTTGTAAAGCTTCTAAATCTGGCTCAAGGCCTTGTTTTGAGTCACCCTCAAAATAAGTGACGTATAAATTTTCTGATGGGATCCCATAGACTTGAGTCAACAAAGTCCAAGCATATGAAATAGCTTCCTTTTTGAAATAATCACCAAAGGACCAATTACCCAACATTTCGAAGAAAGTGTGATGGTAGGAGTCTCTACCGACGTCTTCTAAATCATTGTGTTTACCACCTGCTCTAATACATTTTTGAGAATTATGGGCTCTTTTCAAAGTGGAGAATTCAGAGGATGGATCAACAGTACCTAAGAAGATTGGTTTATATTGGTTCATACCAGCGTTAGCAAATAAAAGAGTTGGATCATCGAATGGAACGACAGGAGAAGATGGAACAAAAGTATGGTTTTGTTCTTTAAAGAAATTTAAGAAAGTGTCACGTACATTTTTAGCTGTCCACTTCTGTTTATCACCGACAGTCATTTTGCTAGTCTTATTAAATTGTATAGAATTCGTGGTAGAAGTAGTAGTGGTTGTTCTTACGATAGTTCTAAAGTGGTTGTTAGAAAATAATGGTGAAACAGAACGACTGTAAATTTGTCTAATAACTGAAGATGCCGTTTTGTACTTTTGATTATATTAATATATATATATATATCTGTGTTTATAAATACTTTCTCTATCCAGTTTTTAATGTATTTTGTTTAATGGAAAGAGGGAATAAAACGAACAAAAAAAAATTAGATATCAGAGGATATATATATATATACCGTAATATAAGAAGAGGTATATGTGATATATATGTATGTATATTGTTTTCAGGTTCGATAACAGTGATCGTTGAATTAAGTGTAATCCTTTGGAAAAAACTAGAACAGTGAGTTAGCTAACAATCTTTTCTCGACCATTTTCTAGTTTGTTTTAGTTTGTTTTCCACAACTCATCGCCAGTGTTGAAAAGTAATAAAAAAAGAAAAAAAAAGAAATTTCTTCGAGCGACAATAAAAAAATAAAAAAATAAAAAAAAGAAACAAAAATCTTGAAGTTTCCTATTTTATATTTAATTTCCTTAAATGGTAAGCTGTATTCAAAAGAGGAAACCATGTGCTTGATTTGTCACTACATTATATATAAACATACATGATTGAGTATAAATAAATATTAATCAATATTTACGACACTTTAAACATGTTCGATTTATTGCAGTCTATGTATAAATTTGCTAGATTTAATTTACAGGTATGAAGTCTGCACATTTTTCTATTCTCTCTCCTCTTTTCTTATTTTATAAGTGATTATAAAAAGGTAATTTAAGTCCATGATAGTTAAACCTTTGATTCATTTACTTTTTTTAACTTTTCTTTTCTTTTTTGGTTGAATTTGTATTATCATTTATACTTCTGTGGTTTAATAATGTTGCTATTCGATATATACAAGGAAAGAGAAATAAATTCTCTAGCAAATTTATATCAAAAGAAGGGGTGAAAACGAAAAGGTACATGAGAAAGATAGAAGTATAAGTCTGTAAACTTTGTTCTCCATATGAAAAAGCTGCTGTTATATCAATGTCTATGGGATTATTTAAAAGAAGCACAACCCTGATTATAAATCGTTATGAAAATGAATAACTGGAAAGGTAATAAAACTGTTGTATAGTCTGTTTTTGCTGGCGCCAAAATCACACACTAAATCTTCATTTTCTCCTGTAATGTGGTGTACGGATGTAGTTCCCCCTTCGACTGCGTACCTGCCACATACCCCTTATTTTTTTTTTGGTGTGCCTTCGTCGTGTCTCTATTTATATAATTTCCTCTTTCGGAAATTTCACAAATTTTGATTTGGTCATAAAGTGACCCCTGTAAAAGAATATTAGAGTTAATACATTTTACAATAAGAATTATAAGAAAGTACATCAATTTATAATTGGATATGCTATATTAAAAAAAAAGTAAAAATTATTGTTATTACAGTAGACTATTCTATATTTGTATACATATTAAGAATAATAATAATATATGAATATCTTCTAGGTCAACAAAGTTTAGACTTCTTTCTATATTTCTTTTCCAGATCTCTTTGTTAACTCTAATACAAGTTTAACAATAATAATTATCCCATCATTACTTGTTTAAGATATAGTTTCAAATTATGGAGAAAATATTACAATTGGATGAACCGTTAGATATCCCACTTTTTGATGAGGTAGTATCTGTTTTCTATGAAGGGAAAGGAACTTCTCAAGAACAGAGAGTGGCTGGTGAAATATTGAGTCAGTTTCAATCTTTACCAAATGCATGGTTACAAGTAGATAAAATATTGGACTCTTCAAATAAATTACAAAGTAAATTTATTGGGTTAAATATCTTGGAGCAATTAATCACAACTAAATGGAATTCTCTACCAAAAGAACAGCAGTCAGGGATTTGGAATTTCTTAATAGGAATGATTTTAGCGTCAAGCAATTCAAATACAAATATCGAGTTGACACATAAAGCAGATTATGTTCTAATTCAAATCTTGAAAAGAGACTGGAATGAATCTTTGATAAAAGATCTGATTGAGAGTTCCTCGGCGTCCTTATCCCTATGTCAAAACAATATGTACATACTTAGAATTATAGCAGAAGAAATACTTGTTAACAATAATAGTGGTAGTAGTGATAGTTTTGAAGAAGTTGATTTTACAATTTCAAAAGATTTGACGAAAGCAAAAATATTCAAATTGAAAAATGCTTTATTTAAGGATTTCCAATTTATTTTGAGGTTCTGTTATGAAGTGCTTAACAATGTCACCTTTGATTCCAACTCAAATAATATAAAAGATATAATTTCGTTGGCTAATAGCACCATAATCACTTTAAATAGATATTTGGCTTGGCTGCCCATTAAAAGTGTTATGGATTCAGATATTGTTACTCTTTTAATTGAAAAGTTTTTAGTGCAAAATGGCACTAGATCAAATACTTTAAAATGTCTAACTACTTTATTCAATATTAAAAACCCTAACTATGTATCAGGTATTCCTGATTTTGAAACGACGATAATCCAATATTTTAATTATATTCTTCAAATCATCAGCAACAACTGCAACGACAATACTAATAACAATATCCTTTTTCTAGAATCTAGAACAAATTTCAATGATATATATCAACAATCAAAATTAGAAGATCAACTATTTATACAAGATTGGGAAATATTTTTGTGTACATTTTTGCATTGTCATAGATCAATTATAGAAGGGATTTGTAAAGATTTAGCACCCCAGTATAATAAACTTCTTTTAAAAGCACATCAATACATCTTACAAATGACTACAATAAACGATAAAGAGATATTTAAAATTGCTTTAGATTACTGGCATGATTTAGTCTCTTCATTATTTATTGAAATCGAAAATTATCCATTCAATCAAATTAACCCATATATGGATGAAGTATCTTTAGGCACTGGTGCACTAAATCCAAGTCTTTTGAAACAACTCCCTTTAAAAAGAAATTTTTATTCTGAAATTTGTTCCAAGCTACGTGAAATTATTATTAATTGCATGGTAAAACCTGAGGAATTTCAAATTACAATGACAGAAGATGGGAATTTCGTCAGAGAGGTGTTTACTGAGACTGAAAATATTCAACTGTATGAAACTGAAAGAGAAGTCTTGGTATTATTGACTCATTTAGATGTAGAGGATATGGAAAATCTTCTCTGGAAGCAACTAGTACAATTAAAAGAAAACAATATACTCTTCAAAAATAGTGGCGAACACTTTAATAAAATATCGTGGGCTATTGGTTCAATTTCTGGTACTATGAGAGTGGAGACGGAACAAAATTTTCTTATTAAAATTTTAAATCTATTTGGTGAACTTTATATGGCTTCTTTAACTAAAGAACAAATTATAATATACTCTTCCAACATCATGTATATTGTAGGTCAATATTCAAGGTTTTTGAAAAACCATTGGTCATTTTTCTACAAAGTTATGCAACAATTATTTAGTATGATGCACAATGAAAATGATGCTATTCGTGATATGGCATGTGATACATTTTATAAAATAAGTTCTAAATGTAAATATCAAATGGTGACCATGCAAGAGTGTGATCAAGAAAATAAGCCTTTTATTAGAGTGATTTTAGAGGATATGCCAAATATTGTACCGGATTTGAACTCCAGTCAATTAAACAGATTCTTTGAAACATGTGCAATGATCATCAATCAAGAGCAAGATTTTTCAACTCTAAGAGATCTAACAGTAAAATTAATGAGAAATGAAAATTTGACTTGGCAAAGAATAGTGTCACAATTTCGTCTAAATTCTAAATTTTTTTTAGACCTAAACAAAAATGACTCTGACGTCAATGAGTTTAATAATTGCCAAGCCTTGATTCACGTATTGAGAATCAATATATCTGTATCTAAAGCTTTGAGTTATAATTACTTTGAACAAATGCAATATATTTATTTAGATATGCTAGATATTTATGTTAATATCTCAAGTTTAATAAAAGATGCTATCCAACAACAAACTAGTAATAATACTAATAACAATAACAAGATAATAGAAACTCCACAGATAAGACTGTTTAGAATTATTAAAAAAGAAATTTTAAGATTAATGCAGTGTTTTATCCAAAATACAAAAGATTCTAAAATTATTATTCTGGATATTTTAACACCTTTTATGAATGCAACTCTAAGTGATTATCAAAATAGTCCTTCTGAGTTAAAGGAATACGAATTATTAAAATGTTTAACCATCATATTACAAAAATGTGGTGATCAGTTAATTAATCATGTAATACAACTATTTCCCTTAGTTATCGAACCTACATTGATGATGATTAACAAAGATATGATCAGTTATCCAGATCACAGAAGAGAATATTATGAATTACTAAATGCTATCGATAAGAATTGTTTCCAAGTATTTTTAGAGTTACCAATATGTAGTTTTAAATTATTCTTTGATTCAATCTGTTGGGCAATGAAACATACAAATAGAGAAATTGAAAGCCTTGGTATTGACAGTGCATTAATTATGTTGAGTAATATTGATACTCATTATCGTGATACAAACATTTTTAAAGTATTCTTCCAAGAGTATTATCTTTCTTTAATAAATGAAACTTTCTATATTTTAACTGAACCAGATCATAAATCTACATTCACTGAACAGTCCATGTTATTAACGAAACTAATAAATTTATCATTCAATGATGATATATCTGTGTCTATCTATGAAAAAATTAATGGTATAGCACAAGATACTACAAATAAAGACTATCTTATGCAATATATGGCCAAGCTATTGTTATCTGAATTTGATAACTTGAAGGAAGAACAAGTTAGAACGTTTTTAAATGTATTAGTTACTGAGATAGGAGACTTAGATTTGTTTAAGACTACATTAAGAGATTTTTTGGTTCAAATCAAAGAAATGGATGGTGATCCAACAGACTACTTATTCTTCGAAGAAAGAGAAATGGAACTTAAAATGCAACGTAAATCTAAAGAGGAAAGAGCATCTAGAATTGCAGGATGGGCACGTTCTTATTAACATTATCATTAATGTACTTATGTATACATTTATATACTGGTGTTTATGTTTACATTTATTTGTATTTACATGAATATAATGATAGATAGTGTAATGAGTAAAGAAGTTGAAACACAAGAAAATCATTTGATCTTTTTGTTTTTTAGTTTAATGGTTTCATTGTTTACATAAATCCCTTTACCTTTATAAGGTTCTGGCGGATGGAAATCTCTTATTTTGGCAGCTATTTGCATGACTTGTTGTTTGTTACAACCTTCTAAGATCAAAGTTGTTGGGGCAGGCAATGAAGCAGTGATTCCTTCAGGTATATCCAGTCCTTGTGGAATGGAAGCACCGACTTTTACACCCACATATTTTCCATCTTTTTCTAGTTGGGCCCTATAACCAGTACCAACAAACTTTAAAATAGCCAAATGACCTTCATTGACACCAACAACATGATTATTTAAAAGAGATCTTATTGTTCCCCACATAGACTTTTGTAATTTTTGTTCTGGATTTACAACAGAGACTTTAATTCTTCTATGTTCTTCATCGATATCAATATTAGAAAATGAAGGTATCTCCATTTCAACTTGTCCCTTTGGGCCTTTCACAATCACCAATTGGTTCAAGACAAATCTTTTAATCCCATTCTGAATGAGTTTTGGGGGGTTTAAAGGTTCTACTTTAACTTGCGTCTCAGGAGTAGTGAAAATGCTAAGACTGCCTATATGTGACCTCAAAAATACAGTAGAAGATAATGGTCTCTTGGACAAATATCTTGTTAAAGAGACCTGGCTTGATGATATAACACCTTCTAATAACATGATTGGACTATATCTTGTTTCCTCCCTTTTTCCCTGTATGCACTCGTGTCCAGTTTCTTGCTTTATTCAAAGCACTGCGAAAAAAAGAGAAAAAAACTAGCAGAATACAGTTATATTCTAAATTTAATTTCAAATCTATCAAGTAGAACCAAACTAAACTCTTCCTCGTTTTAATGTGCTTGCTCTACTTTCTCTTTTTCTCTCTTTGTTTGTCTTATCATCTGTTTTCTTGTCTCCTTGAACAAAGTTCCAATCCTCAAAAGATAGACAGCAATTATTTTTCATAAATTTCCAAGAATTCGAAAAATCGCAAATTTTTTTGTAAAACCTCATCGCAAAGAGTTTTTATCTATTTCAAATGTATATGCTACAATTGTGTATATGTTCTTGTCTGTCCAACAAATAGTTTTCGTGAAAGTAATCATAAATAACAACACATTATTATTACTAACAAGTAAGCTAAACATCATTCACAGGTACCCAGTAATAATAGTAGTAATATCAAAAGCAAAATGGTTAGAAAATTGAAGTATCATGAACAAAAGTTATTGAAGAAGGTAGATTTTCTGGAATGGAAACAGGACCAAGGTCATAGAGATACACAAGTGATGAGGACATATCATATCCAGAATCGTGAAGATTATCATAAATATAACAGGATATGTGGTGATATCCGTAAATTGGCACACAAATTATCACTTTTATCTCCAACCGATCCATTTCGTCATAAACATGAGAAACTTTTATTGGAGAAATTATATAATATGGGTATCCTATCCACAAAATCAAAGATATCGGATTTGGAGAATAAGGTCACTGTAAGTGCAATCTGTAGAAGGAGGTTACCTGTAATTATGCATAGATTGAAGATGGCTGAGACTATTAAAGATGCAACTGAATTTATCGAACAAGGTCATATTAGAGTAGGGCCAAATCTAATCAATGACCCTGCTTACTTAGTAACTAGAAACATGGAGGATTATGTCACTTGGGTTGATAATTCTAAGATTAAGAAGACTGTTTTGAAGTATAGAAACGAAATTGATGATTTTGAATATGCATAAACATATGTATATACACTTAAACACATACATATACATATATATATATAATTGTCTCTGTAACATAACCACATTCAACAGAAAGGTTTTTTATTAGGTTGTTTAACATTGTGTTCTTAGGTAGCAAAGCTACAAATTTCCAATTTTGTTTGATTGTTTATATAACATTTTATAGTTCAATGTAAAATATTTCCTGATACAGAATACCGATCAATTTTTGACTTATAAGTTCTCATTATCAGTATATTATTGGTTGTCTCTATTTCCTTCTTATTTGCTTATTTAATATTATAATTATTGGATGAGCCTAACTGTTTACGCAAATCTTCTTGTGATCCACTACGTGGTAATATTCCACCCATACTAGGTGGTTGTATCATGTCATTATTTTCCAAAATGCCACTTACCCTTGAATGAATATGTTGAGTGTATGGATCCCCTTGCTGCTGTTGTGGTCCTAGGTTTCTTATTGATCCAGCTGGCTTAAAAGTTGTCGATACTTGTAACTCTGCCGGGTTAGTCATAACAATACATTTCCTCATTTGATAAGGTGATGCAATGTTGCTCATTTGACTATTATTACTTACAAAACTCATAGAGGAATTATTAGGATACTGTGGTTGTTGTTGGAAATGTCCATTATATATTTCATCAGCATTGTTGGAATAAAACATTTCTGGATGATCCATTGGGTTCACTGCAGTTCCATTTATTCTAGCTGGTTGAAGACCAGGTAACTGTAGTTGTGATTGTGGTTGTTGAAACTTTGATGCTTGTCTGAATGAAGTCAATGAATGAGAAGAATTTGAATGGATTAACTTTGCTGGTATTGGTAATTCATCTATCTCTTCTAATGTTTGCGGATGTACATACTGTGAAGGTATGTTCGGTAGTGGGGGGTAGTTGTTATAGAATTGTGGTTGTTGCATGGGTATATTGGAGTTATAATCATATCCGCATTGTTGTTGTTGCTGTACTGGTAATTGTGATGAGGTTGGTATATATGCAGAAGACGGAATTTCTGAGTATATAGAAGATGCAACTCTATGGGAAATACGGTTATCATTTAAGTCATTATATTCATTATCCTTATTATGCTCTACATCTTGTTCATCGTATCCTTCAATTTTAACTTGTGATTTATTTACATTCTGGTTTTCCAATATTGAGTTAGAAAGATCATGAATAGAAGACGTTAGATTATTAGAAAAATCCCTATTATTATATTCTTGTGGATTTACGTTAGAAGATATATTCATATTATTCATATCTTCATGATCATCAACTTTTTTATTGGTAAGTTCATAGATATTCTCATCTTTATCTAAATAGACTTTATAAATACTCTTCATCCTTTGTATGTTTTCTTCTTCTAAGGATAAAGGCAAGGTTGAAGCATATTCTCTTTCATTGTCTAATCGGTGTCGATCAGTATATTCGTATTTATTTTCATCTATTTTATCACTAAGTTTTTCTTGATTGATATTACTGTTATTGTGATTATTATTGATGTTGTTGTCATTTGTAATATTATCCCTATCATTTCTGTATTCAAAATCAAAATTATCCTCATCTTCATGATCAATAGGTTGAACATTTTGTACAAATGTTAATTTCTCAGGATCCATATTTACAAAATTATTCTTCTCTTCATTCTTGTTGATTGATGATACATCTTTTAAAGGTGATCCGTTCTTTGAATTAAAAGTTGATACAATATGACCATTTGTGGAACCATTTGTAATTATCACAGGATTAGCAGACCCACTATGATTAGTTATTACACGCATATTAGACATTCTATTCACTGAGGTAAGTGATGCTTGATCCATATTCATAGATCTATTATGCAAGGAAAGTTGACTACCATTCCTTGAAGCCAATTGATATCCGCCTAAACCATCATTTTGGACCTGTTTAGCAAATTCTCTTAGAGATTCCACATTCTCAGTTTCTGGCAACTGGAATGGATCAGTAGTCCACGAAGAATTTCTATTACTAAATGGGTTTGGCATTGGGTGTGGATATTGTTGTATAGCGGCACTTGGTGGAGCCATAGGCATGTCATTATAAAATGCATGATTATTCTTTTCGGTAATGTATTGATTTGAATCACTTGAAGAAAGCTGATGATTAATTTCATACGTGTTATGTTGTGGCAAGTATTCAGAATCACCCTCAAATTCCGGATCATTATCTTCTTGTTCCTCTTTTTTACTTCTCTTATAGATTATATATAAGATTATGCATAATAGAATAGCGACAAATGCAACGGGAACAGCAACAGCAACACCTACCGTGATAGAAGTGGTACGTTTATTATTTGCTGGTAATTCACATTCTTGTTTAGAACCTGTACATTTAGTGTTTTTTGTTTTTGAGGCACTTGAATTGTTATCACTACTACTATCAGCCCTTCTCACTAAAACTTTAGTAGGAGTAGGACGAAATGCATTTTTATATATTGTCGAATAAGTTATGAATGTAGATCTCAATGTATCAGTATCTAACATGGTTTTTGAGATTATGTGAGGAATTATAACAATATGTTTTACAGAGGGGGGTATAGTCTTGTCTATTTTATAACGAACGGATATTAATTAATAATGAAAAGTAGGAGAGGGGGGAGTTATGAAGTTTACCAAATTTTGTTAAAGCGTGAATATTATTTAATTTTACTATAAAAAAAAACAAAAAATTGTTCTTATGTTATAATAGACTAATAAGCAAAACTAAAATATAATGCACTATTAGAAATCTCTATCTAAAGATGTTTCTCTTTTAAAAAGAAACAAATATTTGATTTTCTTAATTTTATGATTATTCAAACTTTCGCTTTGCTTAAATTCTTGAAAGAAAAAATGGTATTAATCAGAAGGCTATATTCTCAAATATCACACAGAGTAGGTATAGGAAGAGGAAGTGTTGTAACGTCTTCAATAAGAGACCATAATCATTTGATGAAAGTTTTTGACCGGCTGTCTTGGATGTAATTTCTTTATGTTCTTTCTTTCTCGAGAAGATCCGATAACACCTCCCCACAAAAAAAAAAATAAAAATAAAAAAATAAAAAACAGAAGAATAAAAAATTCGAACAACATTGTTTAAGTTTTTTTTTTTGAAGCGCGAAAACGCGAAAATAATTGAAGTAAAAAACTAAATAAGCCTTAAATACAAAAACTTTTAAGTAGGGTTTGAATTTTAAAAAAAAGATATTCTGGTTAATAAAAACTCTTTTAGTTAGGGTTGTTCAAATTTTTGTTCTTTTTCTCCTAATTGGAAATTAAAGAATAGTCATTAATATAAAGCAAGGCAAAAAAAAAAAAAAAAACAGAAAATAAGGAAAAATAAGAAAATAAAGCATTGAATTTTGGGTGATAATATTAATTAAATGGTTCCAATATATGGAAGAATAATCCTAGCAATATCAAACTAGGTGGAAACAGCGGAAGGTCTTATTATATTTAGACCTCGGAAAACTTATTTATATATATTACTATTGTGAGTGATATTATGACAGAAAATGTAAATGAAAAAACTGCTGCTGCGAAAGACAAGGGAATTATCCGGAAATTTTTGGAAAATAAATATGATCAATTATTGAATTCTATATTAGATGTCACTGAAGATCAAATTGTTTTAAAATCTAAACTAGCTCATTCTGACGTAGCAGAAAATCAAATAGATAGAAAACAGAAGAGAAAATTAAACCACATAGATAATTTGTTGCTAGATAGGGAAATTGAAGGGTTAAATTATTTCACAGAACAACAAACTGTAGTATCCAACCCCACAATTAATAACAAAGAACTTATTTATCATGCAATATCCACTTTTATAAATGCATCTATTGATAAGATAAGATTAGATAGAATGACAAAATCATTTTCATTGCCAGCAACACAAGAGAAAAATGACACTTCTATAGACACTATCTTGGAGAATGATACTTTCCTTGATATATTTATGGAGAGATTATTATCTAGAATTATAAGAGATAAGTTACCCGAAAGAGAACATATAACTGAGAAAGAAACTTCACATAAAGAAAAACATGCTCAATTGGTATCCCCATCTATTTTAGCATCAAACTTGGGGAAAATGTCCAAACAATTAAATAGTATTTTTGAATTTCAAGATTCATTTATTAGATTATTAACTTGGAAAACTCCTTCCTATACTATCTTAACTTTACTTATAATTTCATTAATCCTTTTCCATCCATTATACTTAATTCTATTACCCATACTATATATTGCATATGGACTTATTACACCAAGTTACACTCAAAAACATAATTTGAGAAACTTCGATTACCATTTAAAGAAACAATATGGTAAATCTTTATTAGAGGTAATTTCATCTGGTGGCAAGCCAGTAGCATGTACATCAAATCCATTTAAAGATCAGATAAATGATCCTATTGAAGATCTTAATCTAGTAGATTGGGAAGATTCCAACTCTGGATTAAAATTTATTACTACTATTCGAGATTTTCAAAATATGACAACAAATCTATTAGCATTGACAAATTCAATATCTAAATTTATATATGAAACTGCATCATTTAAGGACGAAAGGAAAACCACTATTTTATTTCTAAAATGTATAGTGAGTTATATTTTATTCAAGGTTTTTTCTTCATGGATAAACTGGCCGCTCTTTTTCAGTTGCTTGATTTGGTTATTTTTTATGAGTTTGAATCCAAAATGGAGATCAAAGTTTAAGTATGCTGTAGGGTTGATACAGCAGAGATCTACTACAAAAAAAAATAATTTGGAAACTGTAGGTCAGAAAAATGAGATTGGTAATATCATTATTGATACTACTCCTCAAATAAAAGAGATTGAAATATTTGAAATTTATAGAAAGGGGCTTATCCCAGGTGAATGGAAGTTTTTTTTATATTCTAATAATGTTTTCGACTATAATGATCAGTATAGAAAAGCTCAAAAATCACCACCCGGTGTTAAAACTTTAGACGAATTGTATCCACCGAAGACCTGGAAATTTGATAACAATTCTACATGGAATATTGATAAGAATGTTCAGGAGTGGGCATATTACAGGGGACTCCTAGATTTGGAGATTGACAAAGAATTTTTATGTGATAATATGTTTAAAAGACGTAGGCTAACCAGAAAAGTGTTGAAGTAGTTGAGAACAAAAAACAATCAATGTGAAAATCGTTTTTGTTTTTTAGTAGTGGTACTGATGATGAATTATATATTCTTTTATAATAATTTATAAAATAATAATATTGATGAGAGATGCAAATATTGTTGAAATTGCAATGTTTTTACTTAATAAAAATTTGCATTAAATGCAGAACAAAATATTACTGAGAGAAAGAAAAAGAAAAGGAGAAAGAAGACATGTAGTAGAATTAATGAAAAAAAGAATGCATATTATTTTTTTGTCTTGTTCTGTCATGATGGCACACCTTCAAATTCAGATTTTGATACTTGACTGACAATAGTTCTCCAGTTTTTACGATTATCATGAATTGGTATTGTTAACAAACTTAAATAAAATACAGCTACCAATAATAAAAAGGATACAATGGAAATTGGTAAAATCATCTCTAAAAAATTTCTAGTTGAAATTTCGCTACGGTATGGACACATTGTATTTTCACCAATTACCCAACAATTGCTGACGGAAATAGAATTTAAATTGATCCAAAATTCTTTTTCATCATAAAACGAGAAATCAGAATTATTAAGATAAAAACTTAATGAAAGACTCTCTAACGGAGTGATAGGTAATGAGAAGTTATAACCATCAGGACATGGCGAATTAATGTTATCATCAAAGTGGAAAAAGGACATTTCTGATGAAGTCACAAGCCAATCATCATTAGTATTATCCTTTTTACATAGTCCACTTAATTTATTGTAACAATCTCCAACATACCATGTTAATGTGGAGTTTGAACTTAGGTATTTTATCTTGGCACAATTATATATTTTGATCGAATCCTTACCCATTAATAATTTCGAGTTGGAAAGTCTTGGTTCATTATTCGCCCATGTCCAAACAATACTAGGGATGATCAACTTAACAATGGTTGTAATATTTGAAATATCATACGGGTTTGATATAATAGGTGATAAACCACAATCAATACATTTTGTAATATTTGTTGGTGTGAATTGTGAATTAAGAAATCTCCATGAAATTTTTTGCATTTGATTAATTTCACTATTAGTTCGAGGGCATGGTAAAGTAGAATACATTGTTTCGTAATGTAAAGTTTCGCCAGGAAAAATATAAGGATTTTCGGTAAGGTTTAATTGGGAAGTTATTTCAGCAATTATTAATCTATTGTTATTTGTGAATAAAAATTCTTGTGCTGTTGGCCATCTTGGAATCTTCGTAATGGAAAAATTTGCATATTGATGTGACAAGAAATCTTTGGGAGTAAAAATGTAATTAGACCCTAAATAAGTATCGAAAAGATGTGTCATATTAGTAGTATTGCTGGAATTTGAGTTTATTGTCACATTGGTGTTATTTTGAATATTAAGTAAAAGCACTTGAATATTTGCCGATAAATCATAATGACTCTCTATCAGAAATTGTTGTAAAATAGTTAAATATTGCTGAAAGGTTATATTTGTCTCTACTATCATCCAAGTATTATTTCTAATCTCTAAATCTAGTACCATAGTTTGTAAACCTGTATTAAATAAGGATGATAAATTATTGAGGAGTGCCTCGGTTTCATTTACTTTGAACAATTTTGAGCTATACTGTTCATTGACTTCATTTATTCTATCTATACTTTCTTGGTTGAATAATACTTTTCTCAAGTCTACTCCAACATAAGGTATCTGATCAATTGTTATGTTTCTCATAATATCACGTTGTGATCTGATAGCATTTTGTCTTTGGACAGAGATTGATGGCCATGCTTCCTCATTGAAGAAATTGGTGATACTTGTTGCTGAACAGCATCGTATTATGACAGTGTGAAGAAACAATATCCAAAATTGGATGATAATCAACCAAGTTGATTTTGCCATTATATTCTTTTTTTTATTATTTATATTATTATGATTATGAAAAGAATGAAATGTTTATATGAAATTCTGAAAGACAATATATTATTGTTATTCTTCTGTTTTAAATATTGATGAGCAAATATGAAAGTTTAACAGCTGTATGAAAATGGCAGAACTCTAACAACTCATTGGAATGACAAAGTAAAGAATATTACAACCTGCTGTGGTAGTTGTTCAAAAGTTAGTAGCATTTATTAAGTTTCAAGTAGACCTTCAGCTCTTATCCATCCAGTTTATCCTATTTTATGTTATATTATTTTCTGTAGAGAAGTTAGGGTTAGACGTAAAAAAATAGGGTAATTGTCCTAAACCTTAATTGGAGGTTACAAATTTCCTGTTTGGGTTGCTATTTACATGTTATCCCAAAAGGGTAATGTTAGTATATCTCATTTACCTAATCAAGTAATAATTACAATGCATTACTTTGTAGATCAGCCCATCGAGGGAGAGTGAAACGGAGGAGTAAAACATAACTAAGATAGAGTAAGTATATATATATATATATATATATATAGCACTGAATATATTTGAGCTGGAAGTTTTAATATATATTTAATATGCTTAACTGAAAAGAAATATTGGCTTGATTGTTACTTCTTTTACTAAGGAGACACTTTTAGAAGGATCGAAATATATTGTATTTGGGAATTTATAAAAATATAGGTAGAGGTAATCAAAATAATAATAATGGTGAAAGAACAGGCAGTGTCAAAATGTAATGATAATCTAAAAGAATCTGAAAAAGATAAATTAAGAAATAGTGATAAAAAGGTTATTATTAATGATATTAAAGCCAAATGCAAACCGTTTTATTCACTTCATAAATCTATATATAATACGAAAAATTCTCAAAGAATAAGTAGACAACGAATAAAATATTACAAATCACCTACAGATAAACTGTTGTCACCATGTTCCAGGAAACTAGATAGTTATAGATCTAAATGTATTGTAGCAAAATCAACTCCTATGAAATTATCCTTTAGTTCTGGTACTGAATGAAAGCTATATAATTATTAAATATGCTTGATATTTTTTAACAATGCAATTGATTAAGTAGATCACCTAAATTATTGCAATTTAATAAAAGTTGTTCTATTTCTCTTTCATTCAAATTGTTTTCCTGGAATAATTGCATCAATAAGTTTTTCACAAAATATTCATCATCTAAATAGGTCTCATTGGATCCATCAGTAGAAAAAAAATCATGTTGAAAGTTAATAGAATCTGATAGATTTTTGATCCATTTGCTTAAATTTACGTTGTTTTCAATATAATCTTGTCTCTCTATCATGGATTGTTCGGTGATATAAATATGATACGGTGAATTAATAACTTTAGTAGGGGGAAATAACGTAATTCGATCAAGAATCATATACCAATTATGTAATGGAATAATTAATTTAGATAAGTTTAAATTTATTATAATTGAAGTTTCAGGATGTATACTAATAAGTATATCTTTAAGAATACAAAACATTTCATTTTGTGCAACTTTAAATAATCTATTTTGAATCTTTGTTTTATAAAACTCGTCCCTTGGATTGTCCAATTTTTTATTTTGTTTAGTTTCATTTATAATGATTTGCAGTTGTGTTGAAAGTAAGGATGTGTTAATATCAACCACTAAAATTTTTGGATTTAAATTATCCTGAACGATTTTATCATTTTTTAAATAGATCTTCCTGGTAATTTCCATCTTATGATAAAACAAAAAAGAATTGGTTTCGCCGATATTATATAATATCTTATCTGTACCTCTCTCTTAGTCCACCCATATTAATCTATTCAATTGAAAAGCAAGGCTGTACATGCATGTATATGTAGGTATGTAGGTGGGTAGATCTGGTCATAACAGTTATTCAAGAGAAGAAAGAAAGAAAAAAAAAAAGGGGGGGGAGGAGAGGAGATAAATGTGATAGTTTTTGTAATACAGCTGTTAGATTATAGAGCAACAAAATAATAGTAGGATAAAGTAATATATTTTAAAGCGCTAATAATAATATTAGTATGATATCATAATAGTATTTTATTCAAGAAGGTACATAGTGAAACAAAGATGAAAGGTTGAGAGACATTTAGAGCGCGGTGCTAGTTGACACCATTATAAAGGGTTTATAAACTTTAATTATATGGAGATACATTAGGATATTAAATAAATATGGTATCCCAACTTTTAATGATGAACTAATAGCTTTACAAAATGTATTTCTAACAGTATCCTGTATGCAACCTATTGGTGTATATATTTATAATGTGTAATTACATGTTTTAATAATTTGTGTTCTGAGGCTTTGGAATATCTACGGTTATAATATGTTTATAACACCCCCATTCTCGGTTTCAAGTCAATACAGTTATACATATATTGAAAGACCGAGAGATTATACATATGTACAGAAAAATTAGATAGATTCAGGTATGAATGTAGATAGAGATATTATGGCTTTATTTAGCAAAATGTTATTATTCATAACTGCAACGCGAAAATAATGAAAAGAAAGACACGTAAAAATCGATGAGATGCGCAAGTGTGGAAAAAAGAGGGGGGGGGAAGATTACCACTGGAAAGGTCCGAAGTTTCTTACACCAGGTTAATCCATCTTAAGGCATCGTAGAATATCGATGTCGTCTAGTAATATTGGTTCAAAAGTATCCTGTACAACGTTCTTTACGAATTATCGGCTGTCTTAAGATTATTTTCTGAACATAGTCTTATATTTTCAGTACTATTTTCTTTTTTTTTCTATTTTTTCACTTTTTGATAAATAAAGACAGGAAGATAATGTTTTTATGAAGAAAAATAATTTGTAAATATTCACATCCACTTGTTTGATTGTGATTCAATTATGCCATCAAATTTGTTTCGTTGCTTTAATTTTCTTGTAATAGAAGATGATAAAGAAAATAAGGACAATTTACAAGAGGTCACTAATCTTTTAAAGGATTTCGAATACAACAATATTTATTGTTTCCATGTGAAAAATTCACCTAATCTAAATAATTATAATTCTATTAAAAAATTTTTTATAAAAGAATATAACTATAAAAGTATTCATTTCATTATATCAAATAATGTGGATTTTCTATTTTATCAAGTTGCTGCTTTTGATTATTTGATTCCTATAGTGTCTCTCCAATGGATTGAACAATGTATTAGCAGAAACCATCTGTTAAGAACTTTAAATTTCTCTCCTGATCCAAAACATCTCTTAAAGGATACCACTATATATATAGTTAGGAACCCAACCATGACACACACGGATTATAGATTTTATTCCGAGATTGTGACGGCATTAGGTGGTGTTTGTTTAGATGTATTAACTAATAAAGTGACTCACATTATATCTATTTCATGTTTCGATCCAAATATGGTAAAAATATATCCAATGATTAAAAATATAGGGAACACTAAAATTGTGTATCCTACATGGCTTTTGGAATGTTTCAAAACATCTAAATATGCAGATGAAAGTAAACATAAGGTCGATATGGCTATAAATGATGATAACGATAACGACACTAGGATAAATATTAGTTATACACGTATTGACGAACGATTTGAAGATCTATGGGAAGATTTGGAAAATTCCTCTGAGCTTTGCTCACAGTCAATAAAGAAAAAATACCTTGAAGGTCATACCTTTATAATAGATCTAGATTTGTCTCTATCTTCCAAAATTTATAAATTTTTGATCCAGTTGATCAAGTTTTATGGTGGGAACTTTGTACCTTATATTAAACTTGATGATATAGAAAGTAATAAAAATATTGATTGTTTTATTGGCGAATCAATTAACACGAAAAGTTTTGAGTTGTGTAAAAAAAAAGGTATCTATACGGGTAACATAATATGGTTTTTCAATATTTGGTTGTTTGAAACATTAATTGATCCAAAAAAAAAGATGATTTGGAGTCCATTTAAATCTAAACTTTTTAAATCAAAAGATTTGATTCTAAGTCATACTAATTATTTTGGTCAGGAAAGGATATACATTCAAAAATTAACGGAGATTTTAGGAGGTATTACCACAACATCTTTATCTTCCCAAAATACACATCTTTTAGTTAAAATTCCCTTTGGTAAAAAATACTTAAATGCTACTACAAAAAAACCAAATTGTAAAGTGATTAATCATATTTGGTTGGAAAAATGTTATTTGGAGGGGGTTATTCTTGATACTGACCAAGATTTATTTAAAGATTTTGATATCTGTCAAAAAGGTTTATCTTATTTTTTAAATCAAATAGGTAATGATGACAATTCACATGAAGCGGACAAAGATGAGGAGAATGCTTCAAAAGTGTATGAATTATTTGAAAAGAATAACATAACTAATGATACTTTTTCATCAGGTGAAGAGACTGATATTGGATTTTCAACAGCTAATGAAAATCAAATTAATCCTTTATTTAATTATATGTCAATAGACCGAAAGGAAAATGTTGATACGAAGGAAGATGGATTAAATTTAAATAAGTTAAATAGCAAGAGTGGGTTTCAAAGTGAAAAGGATAATCTTGAATCAAACCAAGTGGAAAGCTCATTACAAAATAAAAAGGATAATAAGGTTGAGACAGAAGAGGATAAATATCAAGAATTATTTGGTTCATTATCTGAACCACCTACAAATTTTAATACAAACAGCATTAATGATACCGAACAAATTATTGATAATAATGATATAAGTAGTAACAATAATATTGATTCAAATAATAGTGGGATGTCACATACACCTTTGGTGTCTAAACAATCATTCATAAGTGAGGATAAGATTTCACGAGCAGATAGGGATATGATAGTTAATGAGATAGATAAATTAACCAACAATGAAAATAAATTATCAAAAACTCTGGATAAATCATTGACACAACCAACAGATGATATTCTTGAACAATATAATCCTACAGAGACATCATCTAGAAGGCGAGCAGCCAGAGCAAAAGCAGAAAAAAGATTGCATGAAGACATCGAATCATTGAATGAATTTGAAAGGAACAAAAAAAAGAAGAGGATTGGAGATCTGTTACCAAGTGAAATTGAAAAATTAGAGCATATAAAAGAGTTGAAGAATAAAGCTAAAGAGGTTGTTTTATCTATGAAGGAATTATCTCATGAGAGTAACAAAGAAGAAACATTAAAGAAGTTGAAACACTCTTATAATGTTAAAGCATTTGTTACTGGTTGTCACGATGATATAAATGAACTGGATAAAGAAATTTTATCACTTATGGGGATCCAAATCACTGAAGATTATAAATCAAAGTTGAACTGTATTATTGCACCAAAGAAACTTCGTACAGTAAAGTTTTTCAATGGATTAAGTTTTCATCCATTAGAATATATATTAACTCCAGAATTTATTACAAAAATACTTGAATATGTTCATCATAAAGAAAATCCAGTGGGTGTTATAAAATGTGAGGATTTCAGATTACAAGAAATAGATAATGAAATCTTGGAAAAGACAAAATTAAATAGTAAATTATTTGAGAGAGCTTATATAGCAAACGTTAATATAACATCAGATGTCACTGGTGGGATTGAAACGATTTCATCAATTCTTATGAATCATGGGATTAAGAAGGTTCAAAGGATAGGAAAAAGTCCATTATTGGTTAACAATCATTCCCATAAAAGAATTATTTTGAAAAGGGGGAAAGCCATACATCCACCCAGATGCGTTATTATAGCTGGTTCAAATTCTAATGTACGTAAACTGAAGAAACGATGGAGCACTATGAATAATGACAATATGGATGGATTGCTCGTTGTCACTTGGGATTGGTGTGTACAAAGTATTTTCCAATTGGACGTCGACTATAATGAAAAAAAAGATGTTTTATACAGTTCCTTATAAAAACACACAATATATAAATATAGATAGATATCCGAGTTAATAAACTCATAAAGTACTGATTCATAGAAAGAAATATAATGTACTATTTGCTTTGAGTATGTACCGTACAAGATGAGTGATTATTTGTTTACTTTCCTTGTGTTTTCGTTCTGCACCGGTTTATGTTTTCTTTTATTCTTCTGTTGTATTGCTGTCGTGTTTTATACAGACTTTGGTTGTAAAAAAAATAAAAGTGAGTTTCAGGATGGTAAGGCGCTACCGTTTGGTTTCAGGCCTGTGCCTTTTTTCTTTTCTTTTTTTTATCAATATTTGGGCGGCTAAAAATAAAATAATATTCATATCTTGAAAGTTAAAGAACAATTTATTAAAGTCTACATGCAGACAATTCTTCTATTAGTTTAGAAAAGTATATAAGACTGTATATTTGTTTGGGAATTATAAGAAAGATAGCAAAATACAGAGATTTGCAGAAGTAATAGGAAAAAGAAAAAGAGAAAAAAAAGAAGAAAATGAATAGTAAAGATGATGTACAGAGAGAAGAAATTGTGCCAATATGTGTATTTTGTAGAAAATATAATATTTCGAATAAAAGAGCCATGTCTATTGGCATTGATAATTCAAGTATTGAGGCAATGACAGAGCAAGAGTTTGAAAAAATTCTTTTCTTATGTAAAGAAATGGAAAAAGAGGAAAACGCAACTACATTTGTTTCTGAAACCGATGATACATCTGTTTTAGATTGTTTATCTATGGAAACAACTAAATTCAAGGCAAAACGTCCTTTAAAATCACTATTCCAGGAAGATTTCCAGAAAAATGGGTTCTCAAAAGACGACTGGAAACGGTCAAAACTTGGTGATTGTGTATATTCAAATATAGAAAACAAATATCAACTGAATAATACTTTACTGTATTCCGATATTACACTCTCAGAAGCATGCTTTGAATTATTAGAATCATCTGTTCCTCCGAACAATAATAAAAGCAATATGAAGCTTTTAATCTCAGATGACGTTGAAGAGCAGGAAGGTGTAACGCAGACTTTACTTTACACTAGTGAGTTGTGAATAACTTAAAACCTAGCCATTCGAGGGTAAAAACATATTTGGATAATACATGTTCAGGAAATAGAGTGCTGTAAAGGGGAAAAAATATCTGTACGTTCTATTTTTTGTTTGTTTATACCGATAATATAGACATATTTTTATATGACGAGATTTGTTAAATCGAAAAATATCACTAAAAATAACAGAGGTCGAAAAAGAAAAAAAAGGAAAAAAAAAAAAGAAAAATACCATAATAAAAATAGTTTGTGTTTGATTTGTTGAGGCTGGAAATATAAAGAAACCTCACTGTATCGCGCTTAAAATAAATACCATGTCGTATGGTAAAAGGCTAATACCAAGAACTCCTCGTTTCCTCTGTAGTTTATCAATTATATTTTCAACATCACATTTAATGTAGATTATGCATATTTTATTGTCAAAGAAATGAATCAATTTGATAGATTTATAGAAGAGACTGAACAAAAATTTAACATTGATACAAGCTCTAGAAAAACTTCAATAAACTTAATTCATCGTACTGAAAAATGTAAAAGAAGTAATAGTAATAATAGCATGAAACCTATTAATAATAACTATAGTATCTGCTCTACTGTAACTACTCAATCTGAGCCTCGGGATTCTGTAATATTGAATTCAGAAGGTTCCAGCATTAGTAATAGTAGTGGTAATAGTACCAAATCTATTCTAGTTCAAAAGCCATTAACACCAGTAAGAATTAATAATTTATGTGATCAACCGTTAAACAATAATGAGTCTGAAAAGTATATACGATATAGCATAGCTCAGGATACCGTTGATACAAACACTTTACAACCTGGTAATCAAAATGATCACGGATTAAGGGTAGTCTCATCTTCAAAGTCAGTAATTAGTAAAAGAAGATCATTAATACAGCCTATAATAGTACATAATGATGATAACCATAAGAAGAATATTTCAGGTGGTAGTATAGATATAAATCAAAATTCTCTTAAAAATATAGAAAGAGCTGTTGCAAATGAAAATTTGACTCTATCTTCAACTGATTTTAATATTACTAATAATTGTATTGAAAATTCAAATATTTTTTCCTCCCTAGTTGATAATAACAATGTTGATGACTTACTAAAAAATTTGGCCAATAAAGAATTAGAATTATTGGAAAGTAAGAGAAATATAGAGGAATTGAAAAGAAAGTTGTTACATCATGAGAAATTATATGAACAACAATATGATGACTTGAAAAAATTAAAGGCTGAGGTATCCAGACATATAAGTGATAACTCCATGATGAATATCGACAGTTCAAATATTTCGACCAAGAAGGGATCACCAGTTAGAAGGGAAATAATCCAATTTACTCCAGAGAAGCTTTCTCCTGTTATAAAAAAACAACCTGATGATATAAATATTAATAAAGCAGAGCCATCAATTAGTCCCCTAGCTGTAAAGAAAAGAAATGGTACAAAGATTAATATCCAAAGAGACACAACAAGAAAAAATTTATCAGATATGACAAAACATTCACACACTGCTGTAATTAAATTAAATCCTGTGGATTATAATCCGCCTAAAAAATCACAAAATAGAAATGAATCAATGTGGTCTAAACCGTTTGCACTTTTTAACCAATTTGATCAGCTATTACAAACTGAATTAGAAAAGTCTTTGAATTGGGATAATGGAACAGAGAATGCGTCAAGTTTTATTGAAGAGACAGATAAAGAGGAGTCTAGTGAGATAGTACGATCCGATCTTGATACTAAGAATACTGGGTATAAATCAAATCCAAATGATTATTTACATAAACAATCAGCAATTGATAGTCGCCAGTTACAATCTAGTGGCCAGTCTTTGACCAGAAGTGTATCTACATCGCTATGGGGGTTTGTTAATGATGTGAAAGAAGGTTTACTAGGTACTTATGAACTTGTGGATGATGATAAAAGTAGTTCACAAGACACCACCAATATGAAAGAGTTTAACACAACGAGAAAAAACGATCAAGTAAATAGATCTGTTGAAATGGCATATATTTAGTATATAATATATAAATTTAATAGAATATTAATGTTCGTTAAAAGTAGATATTGGACTTATATCCCATTTATTTTTTTTCTATTTTATAGCTTATCATTATTTTTGTTTGTTGTTTGAATAGGATAACAATTGGTATATTATTACAATCATAAATCTATTAAACTTATACTATTATAGATCTGTGGTTGTTGTTGTGTCTGTGTTAGATATTGTGAAGTTGTTAATTGGTTGACTTGTCCATTGGCCTGTATTTGTTGTCCTTGGGGGTTATTGACCAAAGAAAACGGATTATTAGAAACATTGTTTGGAACTTTATTGTTAACTTCATTATTAGACTCAGTATAGTTTGTTTTGGAGAATGGATTAATTTCTTGTCTCGATTGAATTTCTTTCTCTATATTATTTAATGCAAATGGATTGTTTGATCCAGTTGGTAGTGGAGGTATTTGTTCTGGAACAAAAGTTGGGACATTTTGAGTATTAGTCATATTTGAAGTAACTATTTGTTGTGAAGTAGATGTCATGGTTGGAATGATAGTAGGTACTTGAGTCATAGTCGTCGATATAGATGGGACTATAGAGATAGGGTCCTGTTGAGGTAGGACGGGCATCGATGAAGCTGTGTATAGGTTTGGTTGTACCGATGGTGTTGGAAGCACTTGAATTGGTTGTTGTATCGTTTGTGGAGTTGATTGCATTACAAAGGGATTATTTGTTATTTGTTGGGGGATAAATGACATTTGATTTTCTGCTGTCATAAATGGATTATGCGATTGTGAACCTGTTTGTGGTGGTAACAAAATGTGTTGATTTGCTAGTTGTTGCTCTAATAGAGCTTTCTGTTTTCTAATCTCTTCTAATCTCTGTTGAGCAAAAGTTGATGCCGATGAAAGTGCACCACTACTAGCGATACCAGTTGGGACAGTGGTTGTGGTTGCAGTTGTTGAGTCTTGATTAAAAGTGTTGTGAGTTCTATTATCTTCTGCTAGATGATCTTGTAAAGATTTGACTAACTTAGTTGTGATATGTTTGATGATTGGAATTCTAAGACCCACATTTTTTGCTGTTTTCAAGTATTTGACAACAATATCAGTAAGAGTCACGAATCTTTTATATAACTGTAAAGTAGTATCTGCTTCTGAATGAGATAATTCAAAAAACGATTCTAAAAGAGTAATAATTCCTTCATTTAAGGCATTATATAAGGGTAAAAGATCATAGACTAATAATTTAAATGAATATAAAAATAATTCATTTGATAATTCATAGGAAGTAAACCTTACTTTAATTAAAGCTTCCACTTGTAATTCCAACGAGTCGACTTGATCCAATGCAGATTGTATAGATTCATGGTTGTTGTTATCTATGACAATTCTCAAGGTTTTATAATCTTCTTTAACAAAATCTTTTTTTGTCTTTGAAAATTCTTGAGTTCGAACTTTTAAATAATTCGAATACTTCTGCAATAACTTAACATCACCAGAATGTGTGCTCTGTGACATTAAATTATTGTTAATATGGAAAAATTGGTCAGCATGATAAGATTCAGATAAATAATCCAAAGCTACTTGTTTTTCACCATCTCTGATTAGAAGATGTAAGATAATCAAGGCTTTATAAACGACCGTCCATGCAGAATCGTTGATTCTAGGTTGTAATGCATCCATAATTTCTTGAAAATCACCTGACTGAGTAGTACCTAATAGGATTGGGTCGATGTACTTGCTCTTTGGTGGAGCCATTTTAATCTTTGTGGCCCCCTTAACTAGTTTAACATAAGTAGTCATTTTAGAATGGCAATAATTGAAAGCAAACTTGAAATATAGACAAAGGAGATGTTAATATTAAATAATCACAACAGAAGTTGGTGTTTATCAGTAATAATAACTAGAAGGAATAGGAGAAAAGAAAAGTAAAAGATAAATAAATAAATATAAGTGAAAGTAGATGTGGAAAGAAAAAAACAGGCTGGTATCTTAAGGAAGGAAGGAAGGATGTGGTTACGGTGATATCATATAGGATATCACTCTAATAACAATAATAAATGAGCTATGTCTCCTTATACATATATATATCTATATATATATATCCTTGTGTTAACCCACCAATAGTTTAGTTTAGTTTAATATAGGTGCTTGTTCCACATGTACATTAATTGTTGGCTTGAAAACAATTACTATTCTTCTATTGATGTTAAATATTTCTGTTATCTACCGATTTGAATTTTAAAAATACGAAATATTATTTTGCACGGCAATGGCAAAAAAAATGAATAAGCCCTAGCTTTATTAATTAGGGTTCTGTCGTGTCAAATCCTTTGGGCAGAAAATTTTGGTGACAACACATTTTTTTTCATAAAGAGAGAGGTTATTGTACAATATAGAATGATTCCATTGGTTATCCAGTATCTAGATATTTAACTGTAGTATTTGTGGAGTTAATTTGTACAGTTATTTTAGGTTCAATAAAAGTGGTTGTTGTTATTTTTGTTTATTCTCTATTAACCAAAATTTTGTACATTTTCTGTTTTAACTTGTACATATATATATATATAGTGGGTATATAGTATGGGTATATTTTAAATTAGAAGATAATACATAAGCTTTTATTCTTTCCTTTATGATTATTTTTTTTTGACTGGAGTTGTGGCATTTTCTTCATTAAAATAATAATAATAATAATACAAATAGATAAATATTGAAGTATTAAAATAAATCACAACTAATTTTAAGAATAATTAAAATAAATATTATATATTAATATTCAAACATAATTATTTTTGAGTTAATATTGTTGGAAACAAAAAAAAATTTTTAGTAAATTATTTCTCACTTAATAATAAGGTCTCATAGAATATAAATGAAACCAAAAAGGTATATGGCAGTTTGTTAGCTCCTAATAAGTTCTGCAAAGAGAAAACAAGAAGAATATCTATTTTGAGTATAAAAAATAAAAGATGATAATATATGGAGTTAACATTTCATTTTCATTTTTCATTTTGGTTTTTATATTTATTTTTTGGATACTTTTTGTACCATTTTATTATTTTTATCTCTTGGAGAAAGATATTTTTTTTTTTTTAAAAAAGCTGTAAGCTTAGAAATATATAATTGGTAGACTGACAATGAGTTATACATCTTTGGAAAATAGTCGCCTAAAACAAGATCAATGCACAATGTTCTTGAAAAGTAATAGATTTTATATCTAATTCTGTTATGACTTAAATATTAAGTAGCTCAGTATTGAGGAGTAGCGCCTTTAGTTATTAAATAAATAGCATACATTTTCAATGTTATATTAATATTGTTGGAATTTGGAGCCTTCTGCGTCCATGGTAATGGTAGACATCGTTAAGTTATAGATGCTTTTTTATTTTATACTAAATACATGTATATACTTATTATATAGTGTATACAGTATAAATTCTTTTATTTACTTTGATTCTTCTTTTAAAGTTTTTCCTTTCTCTTCAAATCTCTGAAAAATACTGTTGGTGAAAAATAAAATGTCTTCCTGATATTATGGTACATCCGTGCACCACATAATATACAGAAAAATTAATTAAAAATAATTCTTATGGTAATGACAGTAATAAACTCTTATTCTCCAATACTAATTAAAACTATAGATAGTTCTAGATCCACTTAGAATCTTATGTAATCTTGATGGTAATGAGTTTGTTATTCCACGGTAGGCAGCAAGAATATGTAGCCATCTTAGTATAGTGGTTAGTACACATCGTTGTGGCCGATGAAACCCTGGTTCGATTCCAGGAGGTGGCATTTTCTTTTTGCAGTTCTGTAATATCCCTGATATTACTGTTTAGGGTTTTGTTTAGAAAAATGAGGGTTGACGATATCTTTCTAAACTTTCCTTTTTGGCAAAATTTTACAAACATACATAAAAACAGGAGTAACCAACATAAGTACAAGAGTGCAACCAAGAAGAACAACAACCAAGCAACGAATAAGAATAAGAAACAGGGAACAAAAAAAGTATTACATAAGTTTAGATATATAGTATATAAATGTATACTATTAGGTTATCTTAGATTAGGGATATAGATATATAGATATATAGGAATATTACATCTAGAGATATAGAAAGAGTCTATATCTTATATCTATCCAAGTGAAATATTATTGAGATTTCAACAAGATTAACTGTTATCAGAAACACATAATCTTAGGGTTATCGCAAGTTCTGTTATCATTATGGAGATAGTAGTACCACAGTATATATCGCAACAACCATATGGGCGAGTCTAGTAATGTTATTGCATGAAAGAGAGTGATATGTATGTAGTTTAATTTGGTATTTTATTTTTACAAACAAAATAAAAGATAGGACCATAATTACGGGGTTGGGTTACACAAATCACGTGAAATCATGTGATTAAAGCTCTGAATAAAATAGAATACAGAAAAGAGACATGGCTCTATTAACATAAAGAGGTGTGATAACATATATATAGGTAAATAGATCTGATTGGTTATGTTGCTCTTTGAAATATTCCTACAATGTGGAGCGAGAAAAAAAGTAGGGTTCTGTTAGTTAACCCTAACGGTGAAATTAGGGTTATATTTTTTTTCTTTTTTTTTTGACTTCGGTATAAAATGACTCACTTTAACAGGAGAGAAAAAAATTTTTTTTTTATTTTGGCGTGGGCTTTGCCTACAGGAATTGAATATGATTCAAGGTGACATTAAATGATTATTTTCTATATACGAAAGGAGTTTGTTGTTCCAAGCATTTGCACAGGTCATTTCACCCATCTGCTTATATATGCATATTAATATCAATTCTTGCAAATACCGGTTACTGTCTTTGTTTTATTATTGAACGTAATAATTCAACAAAAGTGAAAGATAACAACCATAGATAAATAAATAAATAAACATTTTTGTTCTCCCTTCCCTAACCTTCTAACTCAGTTTGTAATTACTATTTAATAATCCATCTGAAACGGATACCTACAAACGAGTTGATTGTTTACCTGACAGAACAAAAGAAAAGCAACAACAGCAAAGAATAGAAAATAAAAAAGCCTATTATTTACCTATATTCGTATCGCTACTTAGCCTAGCATATACATACAAATTCATGTCAAGTGCTTACGCTTTCAAGAGATTCTGGTCTAGCCCGACTGGTCCAAAGACTGTTCACTTTTGGGCTCCCACTTTAAAATGGGGTCTTGCATTGGCTGGTCTCTCAGATATAAGTAGACCAGTGGAAAATATATCCGGTGCACAAAACTTGTCTTTAATTGCTACATCCGCAATTTGGACTCGTTGGTCTTTTGTTATTAAACCACAGAATTACTTATTGGCTGCTGTTAATTCTGCTATCGGTTTGATTTCTTCTTATCATTTACTAAGAATTGTCGATTACAGAATACGGAATGGTGATACCGTTTCACAAGCAATTAATTACATTATCAATGGCCCTTCTCAACGGGAAAATCCTTTAAATGATAATAAACATACCAATACTATCTGATATATATATATATATATATATGTATGTATTAATGTATGTATGCTTATAAGAATACATAATTATTATCAATGTTATTATTGTTATTTGCATGGTTGTTCTGTTTTCCTTTCTTTTTTTTCCTTTGCTGTTTTTTTAGTGTAGTTCTCTAAGTTTTATCCAAATAGGCCATCGATTGCATCATAATTGATCTTCTTCGAGAAACTTGCACGTTGCAACATAGTTTTCACACTGTCTGCTGCCGTGAAATCACCTTTAGCTTCTGCTATACGTAATGCTTCTTGTAAACTAGTACGGTCTGTACCCATCGTATCTGATATACCTAATTGGGCCATCATATTTTGGTCTAGGCCTTCTGTCTTTATTCTCTTTCTTCTAGATCCGCCACGTTTACGTCTTTTATTCGTAGTTGTATTACCTGCTATAAGGTCCGCTTCTTCTTTTAGTCTCTTGTTTTCTTGTTCCAATAAATATTCTTCGTTTATGCCTATCCATATTCTTTCCTTTAATTTAGATGTTTCTTCATCTAATAAAACAGATTCTATCTCTTCATCATCCACATCTGATAAATTCTCTGGATCATCACTAACTTTAGTTAAATATTCCTCTGTCTTTGGTAATAAATGCAAATTCTTGGGTCTATAGGGATCTTTTTCTAATGAATAGCCATCAATTGCATCTTGAAACTTGACTTCTCGAAAATTACGACCTTTCTTCTTTAACTTTTCTCTCCTCTTTCTTTTCTCTTCGTCCCTATGTCTTCTTTTCTCTTCTTGCTCTCTTTTCCTTTGAGCTATCTTCTCTTTCTTTTTTTCATATTCATCATTTGACCCCTCTGTCTTGTCCTCCTCCTCCTCTTCTTCTTCTTCCACACTCTTTTCTTCTTCCGATTCACTCTCACTTTGATCAAGAGCTCTTCCTATCTCGTCTTCGTTTTCACTGTTACTCTCAAAATCATAACTGTCATCATGGATATTATATTCTATAATTTCAATAAATTTTTTCTTTGTTAATCTTCTACTTCTTCTTAACGGTACGGGAGATGAATCATTTACCACATTATTTTCTATATAGTCTTCTTCTTTTGATTTTTTCTTTTTCTTCCTTCTCCTATTACTGATTTCATTTCTTTTTGGTTTAATTTTTTCAGTATCTTTCTTTTTCTTTTTCTTTGTTTCTTCTTCTTCTTCTACTACTACTACTTTAGTACTAATACTATCTGTATCTTTATCTTTATCCTCTGTCTCATCGTCAGGAGTATTTACATTACTATTTTGCTTTTTTTGTTCTTCTTCATTTTCCTCATCATCTTCTCTTTTATCATTTAATTTATTTTTGTTTTCATGTAAGTCTGTATCATCAATACCATTGGACGCCCTCATTCTATTAAAATCTTTTTTTCTCTTTTCAGAGAACCTTTTCAAGTAAAATAATAGTTCCTTTGACGATAATTCTTGTGCAGATAACAGCTGGCATAAAATTGGATTTTTATTTAATGCTTCCTCACTCGTCTCATTGACTTCATTACGTTTGATTTGGTCTTTAATCTTTTTTTCTTTTTTACGATTCTTAATAAATGATGGAGGTCTTGCATTTGGATCCTTTATTATACTATCATTATTATCAATATTATTGTTATCGTTTTCACTTTCTGTAACCTCTCTGAATTCTTTAACGGATAATTTTCCAGCTCTTGTTGCTTTGAATTCATTTAATCTTTCTTGTAAAGTCTCTTCAGCTACGTGTGACACTGCCACAATTTCAGAATGGGTTCTTCTTAAATTATTCATACGACATGCTAATAAAACACATGCACCTGCAATCCCTGCAGGTCTACGCCCTTCAAACATCCATTCATCAGACATTTTTTGTGCTAATTTGACTGCATCTTTAACTACTTTAATTTTTTTATCACCGAGATCCAATTTTTCGGCAAAATGCTGTATAAAGATAGACGGATCAGCTAATGGTAAATTAGTAATATGTAGTCGTTTAACCATTTTCAAAAAAGTGGCGCCTATTGAGTACACACTAACTTGTAATCTTGAAGAGAAATCAATTAACATGTGATGTGTTTTTTCCTTACGGCATGCCACATAAAGACAGGATGCTATTATGTTCTGTGATCTTCTACCTTGAACGAAATTATTGGCTAGAGCCAGCTTATACCATTGGAAAGCAGCATCAGTTATATAATCTGGAATGTTTAGGGCATGAGATACGGCTCTTAACTTTCTCCTTGCATTGTTCAAAGTGGCTTCTCTTGATTCCAAAGCACTTGAACCACCATGTGACATAAAGGAAGCATGTGCTTGACCGGCACCGATAAAAGAACCTTGTACTATGGCAGCACCAGATGAAGTTTCACCAAAAGTGACCTCAGAGACAATTGGATTATCTTCGGAGACGACACCACAATTTTTACAGACCAAATCATTGTTTGCATTTGAAAGATCTCTTTCGAATTCTGTACTTTTACAGACCTTACAAACAGGCATATTTTATATTATTTTGTGTTATTTTATGTGATGTTATTGCTTATTAATAGCAAATTCAGATAAATAAATAGGTTGAGAGAGAAACAAACTAATTCAATGATTCTAATAATATTTTTCCTTTATTTTCTTCCGTGGCACTGCCATTCAATGATGTATGTGATATGATAGTAGAATACAATTGATTTAAGATGATCTTCTAAACCTTTTAACAATTACTATTAAAATGAAAAAAAAAGGAAAAAAAAATAAAAAAAATCAAATGTTGAAAACGCGTAAACCCACAGAATTTGGAGGAGGAAGCAAAAAAATAAAACGTAATTTAACAAGAATTCCGTATCCCGCCGCATGCGGAAACAACCCGTGAATAACCGTCCAGTGCCCCAACGGATTTTACGGCGGTAATACAAATCCTTGGCGGATTATGCCACGGAAAAGTAACGGAAATGCAGCGAAACCTGGCAAAAGTGGGTGAGGTTTTTCATTTCATGTTACACATAATACTATTCCTCTCTTATTAAGTAGCAGATAAGAAGGGCATTTAATTATGTCCAGTTTCAAATGATAATATATATATATATATGTATGTATGTATGTATGTATTACATTCTTTTATCATACATAAAGTTCTCCTGTAATGACACATGGATAACATGACAGATGTCGTGTATAGTGGTACCGTTATCAATAGCTATGATCAATAAAATAAGGTTAGTCTGTTTTCCAACGATTTTTCCTACAGACCAACCTCTACAATATTTAGGGCATTGAATAAAAATAGTATTTTTTTCCTTTTTTTTTTTTGTTTTTTTGCTCTTTTGGTTTTTCTGTATTTGGTCATATTGTAATACTGTTGAGATTTCGAAAATACTACAAATGAGATTATTCATTTTATGCTTAATAAGTATATCTTAACATGATTCTTATTTAAACCTTTGCATCTTTGCATGGATAAGTGTATTTGTTTCTCTTTGTGTCTTTGTGCCTTGCACCAATCATACACAATTTAGCTGTTCTATATACTAATTGTCAAAAATAAAAACAAAAACAAAAGAAGAAAAAGTCAATAAAATAATAATGGTCACCGTTTACGTTCATTCGGAAGCTGATAATTTACCAGAAAAGTTAGGTCAGTACATATTAAATCAACAAAATAAGACATTATCTAGATCGAACACTTTTAAGATTGCTATCAGTGGTGGTTCATTAATTAATGTATTGCGTCTCGGATTAATTGAGAATAAAAACATATCATCAAAAATTAAGTGGGATCATTGGGAAATTTATTTTGTCGACGAAAGAATCGTCCCATTGAATCACCCAGATAGTAACTATGGGGCATTCAAAGTTGCTGTCTTAGATAATTTAACAAACAGCAAATTACCCAAGGTTTTCCCAATAAATGAATCCTTGATTAATAACAATAACAAATCTTCACATATAAAAATTGCAGAAGATTACGAAAAACTTTTACCTAAACAATTAGATTCTTTATTATTGGGCTGTGGTCCAGATGGTCACACTTGTTCTTTATTCCCTGGTTTGAAACACAAATATTTATTGGAAGAACAAACTAAAAGAGTCATGTGGTGCCACGATTCTCCAAAACCACCTAGTGATAGAATTACAATTACCTTACCCGTCCTAAATGATTCAGTAGAGATTGCATTTGTAACTGAAGGCGAATCCAAACAATCAATCATGCATGAAATTTTTGACTTAAAAGATCTTAATTTACCAACTGCTTTAATTAACGCCCTGTATGGTGATAAAGTTACTTGGTTTGTCAATGATAAAGCCTTCGCCAAAGTTGAAAACAAAGATATTTAAACCAATAAATGATTTTTCTCATAAGAAATGTATATTCATGTATATCTATGTGTATATATTTATGTATATTTGATATTTGTATTTAACCAGTGAAATCATAAACATCCAAAGAATTTGATGGCAACCAATAAATCCACTTGTTATCTTCTAAAAGTTTCATGAATCCAGTAAGTTCTTTGATATTTTCAATTGTTCTCTTTGATCCAATGATAATCAGTTTGCATTTGGCTCTTGTCATTGCGACATTAACACGTCTTAATTCTTTCAATAATGCACCGCCATGTAACTCTTTATTACATCTAACCATAGATATTATAACACATCTCTTATCTCTACCTTGAAATTGATCAGCTGTCAAAATCTCTAACCCATTAATCTCATGCTCTTGTAGTTCTCTTTTTAATAATCTTAATTGTGCTCTATAAAGTGGCATTATGCCAATATCTTCATATTTAACTTCGCACCTTAGCATTCCTTCTAAACATAATTTGGTCAGTTCAACTTCTCCTTTATTTGTTATATTATCACCATCATATGTTTCAACGATAGTAGGGATCTTATCATAATTTAAAAATATAACTTTTTTTGAAGGTGTCAAAATATCAGATAACCAGTTATTATTATTGATATCGATATTATTGCTATCATCTGATCTCTTATATCTGGATAATATTTTTGTTGGATCACTAATATCTAGACTTTGATTATAAACTTCATCACTGCCACATTTTAACTTACCATTATAGATTAAATAATTTGATAATTTCACAATATCACCACACATCCTATATTGATATGTTAACTCTACTACGGACTCGGGATGTCTTTTGCTTAAAATCTTAAATAAGGATTCTTCTAGTCCATTCTCCCTAGCTATATTATTTTTAACTAATGGCGGCAGTTGAAAATGATCTCCTACCATTATAAACCTGTTACCATATCGTAATGGACCTAAAGCAATAGGCAAAGATACCTGACTTGCTTCATCGAGAATCACATAATCAAAATCTTTTGTTCTTAAGGAAAATAGTAAATCATTTATCCCTAAACACGTTGTTGCTACTACTGATATATTGTTAATTCGGTCAATATATTCCTTATACGTTCGAATATCTTCATAGTTTGGCATAAATTTTTGCGTCAATGGATTGACTTTGAATTTGGAACCCAATCTCACGATATTAATATCTGAATTTAATAATTTTAATAAAATGTTATCTACTGCAGAATGAGTATATGACGTCAATAATATACTCTTACCATTGGTGACCAAAATTTGGATTAATTCTGCAATAACAGTTGTCTTACCTGTTCCTGGCATACCTAAGATTAATGAATAATTATCACAACGTAATGCTTGGTCAATTGCTTTAACTTGATTTTCATTAAAACCATCTAAACAAGATTCATCATACACCACATGAGGATATTGATTACTAGAAACAAATGTAGGCGCTACTTTATCAATTAAAATTTTTCGCATAACTTCATCACCACCATCAGATCTTTTACTTATTTTCGTTTTGCCAGTTTTCTCATCTACAAGTTGAATTCCAGGTGTTACTGGTGGAAGAAAAAGATTTAATAAATTGAATCTTGATGTGGAGAGATCTTGTTGAATGTTATTCTTATCAATTCTATAATTGACATAATTTTGACTTTGAATAGCTTGAGATGTACTTGTAACAGGGTGAAGAACACTTATAACTGACTGGTTAATATTTTTTGAATTATCTGTCATAGTTTGTTTATTAGTAATTAACTGTCGTTTAGTCGATATAACTATTTGAGAAGCTGTTATTTCAATAACATATCCTTGGGCAAGGGCAAAATTTCCAACTTCATCACTAATAAATACAGGATCGTTTTGATATATTTGAGAATGTGATAATGGAGGGAATGCCTCATAATTTGGATTTCTCGAAAAAGTATATATGTATTGGCCTTCAAAATTTGAATCTGATGAGAAATTAGATATGACTAAATAAGATAATGTAATAGCATCCTCTAATTCTCTAGCTACAGAATCTTTTAGATATAATTGTTGGTTCTGCGATGTTATGCTTGATTCTTCCTTTGTAATCAGATCATTATATTTCCTAAAAAAGTAGCGATTTTCATGTAGGTTGGCTTTAAGATGTGCAGTTAATTGTGAATAATCTTCAACACCAATATCGTCTAGTGTAGTAGAATCACCGAGAAGTGTGTGTAAAATTAATGATTCTATCCTATCACCGCATCTTTCACAAAAACTACATTCATTTAATGGTGGAAGATCAATAATTGTCTCACCAGGTTTATTGATTTCTGTTAGTCTGTACTGTAAGAACATGGCAATTCTATTACGCAGCATTATTATATGTTTTATAGAATGCAATGCAAATGGGAATTCAGTCATCGTTGAATCTCTGGTATAATATAAAAGAAAAAAATTAAATGCAATATCATAACGGTCGTGTAATAGTAATGTATAGATTAGGCCTTGAGCCTCGTGTGCAATACTTCTTAATTTCCCAGTTTTCACTTCCAATGGAACTAGAAAATTTGAAGTTTCCCTTCGTGCAATAACAGTTGCATCAAGAAAACCTTTGAATCCATAGACAGGTGACCAAATATTCTCTTCAATATCTATAACATCTAAAATAGATAGAGGAGTTGTTCTTCGTGTACCTGAAATACTAACATAGCATCCAAAATTACTTTTAGTAACGAATTTATTAATGAACGTAAGAATATTGTTTAAATGCGTTTTAATTATTTCTTTTCTGACATTATCGATGGTTTCGTCACATACAATAATGGCAAAAGAATATATTTCTAATAATTCATCCAGTTTTTGTTCTATATACTCATTTGTCAATTTCATATTTTCTAGTTTGTATTTTAAACAACTTTGTAGTATTTCATGGACAATATTTCCAATTGTCATAGGTAAGCTAACTTCACCTCGAGTATCTTGAAAAAGAAGTTGAATAAAACTACTTCTTTGGCATTGAATTGCTGAGCCAATTGTGGTTGCTGATAATAACAGATCTGGATGTAGAATCAATAAATTGTCATTAGGTAGCTGTGTTTGTGGATCTTTGGCATCTGATAGTAGCCTCTTATTTGCAAAATTTTTGCCTTCAATGATGTGAACAATGTCACCTTCTTTAATTTTAAGGTATACCCATGGTGAACGAAGAATCACGGTTTCAGTTTTTCCAGCACCGTCAATACCTGTTAATATTTTTTGTTCTCCTATGTTTGGAATATTCATTTGTCTTATTGATACAATTACTAATCGAACAACACCAGGTTTATTATAGCACCATTTTGCGCGTTCTATATAATTGATATTGTCAATTTCCTTTTGTACATTGTATTTAATGACCATGGGTTTCTTGTTGTTTTTAGTAAGAGTGTTTTTTGCAATTACTGTTGATGTGTCTGATACTGATTTTGATACGTCAAAATAATCCAGCAAGGAATCATCTGAAGGATCGCCTGAAGGATCGCCTGACAGTACATTATTGGTAGATTTTTCATTTTTCAGTATATTATCATTATTCATATTTATTTCTGATGTTATTTTATCCTTGTTATTCTCTCCTACACCTTGATGATTCTGAATATAGATTTTTTTTGACATATTTTCACTATTAAAACTACAATTTTGTTCTAATGAAGGTTTTTTTGGTGATAAATTCTGTGTAAGCATTTCCATAATTAAATCATCATCTTCATCACTCTCAAGATAAGTGTCATTATGTTTACTAGGTATATCCTTTGAGCCTGTAGGAGATTTAACGGTTGATCGAAAATTTGTATTTATATCGATTTTTTCCCCTTTAGAAATCTCTGTTAAAGTTAGGTCTCTTGCATTATACTGTTCCCCTATAGGCAATGGAGAAGAAGGAATATCTTTAAATTTTTGAGATTTCTTAAGACTGCTTCTTAATTTTATAGATATGTCTCCTTTAATATCATTCAAAATGTCATCTATATCCCTAAGTAACTTGGTGTTTGTAGTCATTGTTTCATATTTATCCATGTTATTCAAATCAGTATTACTGTCACCTGCGAACATTTTTAGATTTGTTCCATTTATTTGTCTTTCTACTGTATTTACTGATTCTATTTCTAGTCCATTTTTTTTATGTGCCTCTTGTTGTTGTTCTTTGATATTAGCTTGTTTATTATGTTCAGATATGTTATTAAAGTCAAGAATACCTTTTAATCGATTATTGAATAGAGGAGTGGAGGAAGAGGGGTTTCTTAGATTATTATCTATTCTATCAATGTCATCAGACATTTCTACAGTGCTAGTAGTCTTATCAACTGGTAATTTATCATCAGGGTTGAATTGCCACACAACTTCTTCAGGTGGACTCATCTCGCCTAGTGATTTTCTCAACTTTACAGTCTCATGATCAATCATCGCAACACTATCCTTTTTTTTACTGATATTATCTGAATCATGTAAATTCTTGTTTTCTAAATCCTGTGAATTATTCTTTTTGTTAGGTTCATGTTTAATATTATTTTTCTCCTCCATTGGTATTTTCTTTGGTACAGCAGTATTCCTAATCTGTGAAACGGATATCGATTTTAACACACCATGACTATCAGATTTCTTTCCAGATATATTGTCAATCACTGCAAACTTATATCGTTTTGTACCTTTACTAGAAGTGTTTGTTCTTCTTTTATTAACTGTTCCTTTACTAATAGATTCAATTGTGGATGGATCATTAATGTTTGGATTTAATTCTTTCACACCATCATTTGAGATGGATCCTTTGCCACTTTTATTGGACTCTCTAGTCATGGATCATTAAAAAATCGATAGACACTTAATGTTTTTGTTTGCTCTCAGAATTAAGTTATTCACTCTGTAGAGATGACTAAGTGACAAATTAGTAGCTGGTACTTAGTATTAGACAGTCAATTTAATACATAGTGAAGCAAGAAATAAAATAGGAGCATTTGTGTGTTTGTGATATTTGTTTCTTTGAAGTTTCTCAAAGGCATGATTTTAAAAAGAAAAATGGCATCTGTATTTTCTGTTTGTAGTGTAAAATTCAATGTGCCACAAAATAAAAAAAGCGAGAGCTAATGACAAGAGCATATCGATAAAATATTTGGTATCTTAGGTAAATATATATATATTCTATGTATTCCAATATGTTTGTTTGCTTATGTGTTTGTTTGTAACAATATACAAAGAAGAATGTGAAATGGTAAACATTTTTTTATATTTAGAAGAAGAAGTGTAGTGTAAAGGGTAGCAAATAAATATACAAAGAAATCTAGAAACCAAAGTAACTACAAATGGTATTCTATGCAACACTCAAATAAAATCTTGATATAAAAAATATGTTATTCTATGACAAGGAGTTTACCAATATGGTAAAAAAAATATGGTCTATTGATATATTGTTGTGTCAGAATCATTTATATCTTAAAAATGCAAGAATTATTATTACAATGCTCATAAAATTATGAGTAGGTTCATGATTAACAATAATATCAATAATTGAAATAGTAACACAATTCGTGGTAACAATATAATGTAACATTACTCTTGATATTATTTTTTAGTAGGGATTATGGGTTTATAAGGAGTAAATGATTGTGTTTTAGACTAGATGAATGAAATGAAACAAACAAAGAACATTGAAAGAAATGATAACGTTTTTTTTAAAACATTGTAAGAATAATTGTTAGTAACTAAGCTAATATACACAGTAAAATTTGAAATAAGAAAATAAAATAAAATTGAAACATACTTTGGTCATTTTGATAAAACTATCAGATATTAATACCTCTTGTTGTGAAGAATCCTGTTCTGGTGATACATTAAGTTTATTTCTAGAATTATCTTTATTTTTGGTGGCATGTGTTCTATTTAAATTGTTTTTCTCTTTACTTCGTAACAATTCAACATAATCCATGAATTTATTTACATCGCCTAAAAGTTTTTGTCTTATTTCCTCTATATGTAATGAACTATTTTTTTTGACAAAACTAATATTTGATAATTTTGTAAGTCTACCTTTGATAACTTTTTGGAATTTTTTTTCTTCATTATTATATGTTAGTGATGAGACTAATTTAGTAACATTTGTGCTGGAAGTTAAGTTTTTATCTGTATTTGTCAATGAAACTTTTTTTATTGTATTTGAATCGCTTCCAGTTTCTATTGCCCGCGTAGGAATGGTTGGGGTTTTTCTAGTTTCCTGTTGTACTGGACCCACTGTAGTACTCATTACTGGAATAGATGCATTGTCATTATCTGATTCACTATCAGTTAAAGAAACTTTAGATTTGGATAACCAATTTTGTTCATTGGAGATATTCTGAATATGGAATTCATTTTCTGTCTGTTTTGATACTAAATTTGATTGTGATGGCACAGTTGTAATAGTTGGGGCAACAACATTTTGTAATTTATTTTTTTGCGACTGTTCTTTCACTGAATGGACGGTCTCCAAAAACGATTTGATCTTGTTCGGTGCACCAGGAGATTTGTATGGACGTTCGGTTGGTATACTATTGGGTAAATAAGTGTTATCAGGTAATTTTTTTAATAATTGTGGGGGTTCTCGCAACTCCATCTGATGAAAATTCGTTCGTAGAAATTTCTCACTCAAATTAGAAAGTTGATATAACCTTTGAGCGTCGTATCCTAACCTTAGTAATAAATATATACAATCTGATACTATGTCCTGAATATTTGGCTCATTAAGATTAGTTTTCTTTGCTTTCTTTATCCTAGCTAGAAGTTCATGTATAAGGCTCTGCGTTTCATTTTCTGTATGTGACTTTGTAGAATTGTCTTTCAACAGTTTCATGGATGCTTCTTCTCCCTTTTAGTATTGGAATTACTTCAAAACAATACTATAATAATTAATGTAGACAAACTTTGGGTAGTTAGTGTGACCTTTGATCATTAAATGGAAATAATTTGTGTTCAATACACACATCATTATGTACTCATAACTATGAATAGTAATTTTTCTTTGTATCTCTTACACACAAGTTTAGGATAGTTTTTTCTATATGACTGTCTCCAGTTTGTTTAAGCATTATATCAAAATAAAAATAAAAATAAAAATAAAAATAAAAATAAAAATAAAAATAAAAATAAAAAAAAACAAATAAATAAACAAGCATATAAATAAACTAAATTAATTAAATTAAATTAAATTAAATTAAATTAAATTAAATAAACTGCAATGATTTTATGTACAATTTTGTTTGTTATAAGATCCCCAAAATCTTGTCTATTGAAAAAATATGAAATAGATATTAGTATATACATTAATATATGTTGTAGGTGATATTATATGAATTTTGGTGCATAGCTTAGAATTAAGTATAAAAATGAGTGATATACTTGTATATATGTGAGTTTGTACATGCTAAGATTAACTGGGCTCTATTTATATAGTACTGCACTGTATTTTTATTTCACCATTGAACATTTCTTGACCTTGTTATTTTATGCAAACAAATCTTCTTGTTCTGCTTCAAGTTCTTCATTACCCGTCAATTGATTAAATTGCAAAAAGTGTACTGGACGGTGCAACTCATTGTAGAACTCGATGGGTATACCCAATTCTAAGTTATAATCTAGTTCTGCATTAAATGCAGCACCCATCATTGAGTAATTCCACATATCTTCAGAGGGGATCATGAAATTACCCATAATACGATCTGATAATAACAACTGTGCATGTACGCTATATGTTGGTTCAAAAGTTGAAGGCATATCATCGATAACTTCTTTGTTATTTAAACCCCAAGCTATACCCTCGTCACTTAAAGTATAAGCAGAAACAGATATGGAACCCGGTTGAGAACATACAGTGATATTCACTGGATCACACTTCATATGATTTTCAAACATATTAGCATGAGTGGAAACGTGATAAGGAGACATAAATTTTAGTGACTTGTCTTGAGTATGCATCCAACCAAGTAATTCTAATCCTTGCAAATTTGGATATATTGTCCGATCTGGTATTTTACTCAATTGTACATATTTGTGCGTGCCTAATTGAGGAACTAACGCGACCGTTCGAATTTCTTTGATGTTAAGGTGATCTTTTGGAGATTTACCGAATAAATAAACAGCAATTTGAATTTTAACATCAGATATTTCAATAAATTTTTGTAAAATATTCTTTGGTAAAACATAAATATTTTTCTCTTCGATAAATTCATCTGATGAGATGTAAATGTTTTTCAATCTTAAATATAATAGACTATTAGCAACTGCATTCTCTCTCCATTCATTTTTAGATGTGAATGTCTGGTTTTCATAATTAGATGACGTAACAACAACAATTTCTTCACCTTGCGCATTAAGTGTTTTTGTTTTCATAGTAGTAGTAGCATGGCTTGTTTCTTCACCACTTCTTCTATCTTCGGCTCTTGCTGCTGCTAACTCAGCCATTTTCTGTCTCTGAACTGATGGTGCTTTGATATTTTGACCAAGAATTAAATCTTTGATTTCTGTCTGTGTCAATGCAGCAATGTTAACATTATATTTTTTACCATACGCTTCTAGAATTAAGTCACGCATTTCTGTTTCGATTTGAATCCATTGGTCACTAGTGAATGATGGCCACAAATGATTAGGCTTGATTACAATAGTGGGATCACGTAAAAGAATCATTTTAGCCTTTTCCTCATCTGTTTTTAAAGCACGAAGTAATAAAATTAAACGTGAAAACGCGGTGTAAGACGACACACTTTTGGTCCAATCATCATATATATTAAATAACACCATCTGAGGTTCTGTAGCTTTTAAAACAACATCTGATAATTTATCAATCGAGAGTGCAGCAGAGAATGGTAGTTTCAATTCGGTAGGCCTAATAGCAATGTTTGGAAAATCAAGCATATGAACTTCTAATGGGTCTAACATTGCTTTTCTTGTTGCAATGATCTGTTTTGGTTGTTCTTCTCTGGGTAAAGATTTAATCAACGCACTAACTTCTTCAGCAGTCTTCCATTTTGCAAGTTGACTTAAACGTTTTTGACCCGACCACACTGAAGTATGAATAATTTTTAAAAATAGATGACCAGTTTTAGGATTCAAAATGAAAACACAACCATTGATAGGTTTCGTTGCAACATTACCCTCAAATGTTCTATGGACAGAGACACGGTATACATTAGTGTCATCTACAAATAACTTAATATCATTATTGAATAACTCCGCATAATTAGAAGAACTTAAATATGGTTCTTGAATATTGGATTGGTAAATTTGTAAACCTTTTCTAATACGTTCTCTTAGAACGTAAAGTGCAGGATTAGCTTTCATAATAGTTTTCATACCATTTTGAATCAGTGGTTTCAAACCACTAAACCAGTTACCGTAAGCATCATACATATTGTATGCTAAATCAATGCCGATCATTACACCCGTAGGAGATGGATACATACTTACATTATCCGTTGTATAATCTAAAAACTTAGCGCGAACATAACGTGAAATATCGTGGGAATCATAATCACCATATCTTAATTGAACATCAAACCACATTTTGTTTGTAGTAAAGGAAGTAAATTTATCATTAGTTGTATGTAGTAAAGATGGTTTTGAAACATTCCACTGATGTAAACATTCTAAAGTTATATCGGCTGCCGATGAATTCATCTTATAAGATTTACGAGGGTGTATGGTTTCCTTATTAACTGATTCTATCTGTAAAATATCCATCTCACCGTCTAGTATTTGACATATATCAAACACGATACTTTCATGAATCTTCTGCCATAAGTGAGCTCTAAAGATCTGAATTAGGGAGATTTTTAATGTAGGAATTTTACCGTGTAAAAATATACCTGTAAGATCAAGTTGAACAACAAAACCGACATACACATTTGCTCTATTAATTGTAGGAGACCACCATAGAGTAAAACGACGATTGGGAATTTGCGAAAGACCTGTTCTTTGAGCATGGGTTAATTTTTTGAATTGCATAGAATCCTCAAAGCCCGATGCTTTCTCCCAGAATAATCCTTCCCACGATGTGAAACCTGTACCTTTGAACAATGTGTGTTCTAAAATAGTTTCTATACCACCAAGAGCTTGGATTACATCCGTACGGTATGCATTTAAATTCCAAAGTTTACCATCATGATGAGAATTTGTCCACCAAAATGGACTATTTCTTTCCAAACTATATTGTTTAAAAACTTTACGAATTCTGTGACCACGATCATAAGCTAAGGTATGACGATCTTTTTGGAACAAAGTACTAATACGAGGAATACCTCGGTCCCATGATCCTTCTAGTTCTTCGAAACCTAATCTACGATTTTGTTCAATCGCTTCTTCTCTTTTAGCAGCATATTCAGCCCATACTTTTTGGGAGTCCAAAAATTCATTTTCCCATGTTGTAATATATCTGAAAATAGTTGGAATGACTTTTTCATCTTGGTGTGTCATACCGGCTCTAAAGTGAGTGATTCCAGTATCTGTCTGTTTAGACCATGTTAAATCAGATGTTGGAATCAATATATGTGATGCACTAATCATACCCAATCCACCAAGTTCTTTAGGAGTGTAGAATACCGCTGGAGGAAAACGCGTAGGCATTTTTGAATTAAGACCTAGTTTAACCCTATTCTGTATTCTTGTTTCTGATTTAACCAGTATGTCTAGTAATGATTCAGTTGCAATAATAGCCTCTCTAAAATATGTAAAAAGAGATATAACTGCTGTATTCCATTTAGATGCAATCTTAGTAAAAGTTGATGAACCTGCAGACATTAATATACCACGAATTCTTCCTTCAAAATGTTTGACTTGTTCATCGGAAACTTTCAGAAATGCTTTTGCAGTACGTTGCTTAGTTTCTTCATTAATTAGATCCCATACACCTTCAGCATTACTTAAAACCTCATCAGATCTTGATTTTGGTAATATACGAACTTCAAAACCACACATCTCGAATAATAAGTTAGGATTATGTCTACTATATACTGAGACAAATGATTTTTCCCAGACAATATTTGCTAATGACTGTGGAACCTTTCCTGTAACATCCCAAAATATTGCTCTTGCAAGATTGACATCTGAGCGCATCAATCTCATTCTAGTATCTCTTGGCCAGCATCTTTTATTATTATATCCTACGGCATTTTCAAAATTTGGATCAGGGTTTTCAGCTAAATAATCATCTGTCAACTCTTCAGCATCATCTTCTTCAAAGTGATATAATATATGTATTTTATCCATATATCTTGAATAAAGCCTAATAGGATGATTTAATTCTACTTCCTTACTCTTAAATTGCATAAATGCATTAGGTTGATTAACTGGGCCAGCAAAATCAGTCGCTCTGTCTTGACCTAAAATTAACAAGTCAATTATTAAACCATAATACTGATAAACAAATGATGCAAACTGAAGACCTTTTATTAGCCCATATTTGTTAACATGACTCATATCTTTAAAGTTGATAACAACATTATTTTTTGCAGTTATGTAGTCTGCCAAATTCGGATCCATAATTAAACGCAGTAGTCTGTTAAGTACAGTAAAATCAATTTTTTCAGCTAATTCTTCTAAAGTTGTCTCAAGTAGAACTGTACTTTCACCGTTATCAATATCCCAAATACCAGATACATTGTTGATACCTTGACACCATTTATAAACTAGTAATGGTGGGATTTCTTCATCACTGGGTTTTATCCAATTTGGGAACAAATTCCTTTTATCTGCTTCGTACCACAGATATTGATCTAAATATGCGTCTGTAATTTTTTCTAGGGGGTCTACAGTATAAACTGGTGATACGTACTGATAATGTTCGGTCATAGATATATCAACCGGTTTAAATACCCTTTGTGATAAAAGATATTTTTTTATTCTATTCAATGTATCATGAGGGTTATCATATGCCTCTTCAATTAAAGCTAACTCTTCTCTCTCAATAGTATTCAAACGAACCTTTGCTGAATAAACATCCTTTAAGTTTTCTAGAGCAAGAACTAGAATTTTGGTGTCGTTTTTATAAGTTAATGGGGGAAATGGAATTGGTGAAAACTCTCTAGATTCTAGCCAGTCTACCATGGTTGAAAATATACTAGAAGCTTGTTCTGGAGTTATCTCAGGACCATTTTTTTCAATCTGTTGCTGTCTCTCTTGTTCGTTTTTTAGCCATAAACGAGTCAGTCTCCCTAGATTTTTTTTGACAACAGTCTTTTCAATATGTGCACCTTTTTTAATTTTTTCTCTATTGTAATGAGTAGATGAGACCCATCCGTCAGCTTTGGCTTTAATATAACGTTCAATAATATTTTTAATAGGTTTAGGCATACCAGGAACATCCCATGGAATGTTAGCTTTCCAGCAACGCCATGCTTCACTTAGGTGTTGTAAAATAGTTCTAGCTTTGTTTTGTCTGATTCCTTCTGGGATCATATCCAATATATCGTTCATTACAGATGCTCTAAGTTCCAAATCGTAATATGCATCTGATCTTTGTTTTGTTGTGGATTTAATAACTTCGTTGCTACGACCTTCGAACTGACGAATTAGTAAGTTATCTAGCCAACGCTCCAGCAAAGGAATGATACCTCTTATAAAAAATATCCATACCCTCCACGCAGGTTGCCAAAATCCACAACCTGGACCTTTTCCAATAATCTTATTAAATCGGTAATAAACAACATGTTTAAGATCTTTACATGCACGAATTTGGTGCATAACTTTGTATTTGTAACGATATACACCAGTCAATTGACCAACATGATTCAAAATATAATACAACCCATCAGCTAATTGATATGCATCTATATTGCCCAAACGATATTGAATATGGGTGTCAACTATTAATTTAATCATTTTTAGTAGTTCCCTAATTAAATGAAACGTATTCCCGAATCTAGATTTCTTTCTCTCCTTAGTTGTTAAAGTTTTGGTAGGTTTGAGATTGAAATTATAATCCAAATGTAAATAAGTTAAACCTCTCCTATGTATCAAAAGATTTAACATATTGTGTCCTTGTCTACAAAGTTGCAAACCTGCCTCTATCCAATCAATTGTAGTTTGTTGAAAATACTTTGTCTTTCTTAAACTTTTTAGTAGAGGAGTATTTTTAACCTGTGACCTTCGTTTATTTATTCTTCTTTGTTTCAACTCATTGGAGACATAGTTCTTTAATAATTTTTGATAGGAGACTTTTACTTTTAGCGGGTATTCTTCATCTGGATGTTGTAAATACCATTGTTTTACTAATGCAACATCTTGTGCTCTTATAGTTTTACCACTTCTTCTATTAAATGGGAACGATGCGTTGTATAATGCAACTGCATCCTTCAAATTAGGGGTATTTAGTTTCACATTATCCATTAAGGGACGTATATTCGACAGGAATCCTGTATCCTTTTGTGCTCTTTCCTTTGTATATTTTTTAAGATCATCATCTATCAAAATAGGATGCAAGGATTCATCAAAATAAAATGCTGGTAATTCTAATTCATCATCATTACGATTCATGATACATAATAAGGGTTCTTGATATTTTTGTAATTCTACAGATCTTGGACGTGAATTATAAATATGTGGGAAGGCTATTCGATATTCACTTCTTATGGGGTTTCTGAAAATTATTCTATCAATTGCATTAAACTCATTGTAATCTTCTTCTTCCTCATTTGGATATAAAGGTTCAAATTTAGGTCCCCCAGGTATACTCGTATTCAGTGCTTTGGATGTTAAAAAGGATTCCATATTGAATAAGTAATCTTTATTTGTATCATATAATTCATGTCTGAGAGGTGTTGATAATCTATATAAATTTGACATAATAGGTAAATTTAATTTCCATTTTTTGTACGCACTACCTGGTACATTTTTGGGATGGTCTATTAATGGTTTATTGTCAAAAAGCCATGATTTCACAGCTTTATCATCAGTATCATCTAACTCCAATGAAATAGCTTCTGGGGGTTCAATATCTTTTATATAATCCGAATAAGACAAAGGTAAATCGTCATCATCAAAAGGTGGGAATCTCATTCTTTTAAAATGGGGTCTATCCCTTTTTTCTCTTCTCATGGCAATCCACATAGTAGACCACTGTGAAGTATATACAGGTTCAATTACTCTTGGTGATTCATTTACAAATGTGATAGCACCCGATGTATGGTATAATACTCGAACTTCCTTTTTCTGTTCCCAAGGTTGTGGCATAGATTCTAAAAGTTTCAGTATAGCATGAGGCATATACTTTAATGCATTTAGATAAGCCCTCTTATTGTAATTGAATCTTTTTGAAGTCATATCCATGTGAGATTCAATAATTTTCCTTAAGTGTTCAGCAGGCATATCAACTTTATGTGAATGGACAAGACCAGTTTTGGAAGATTTCTTGCGGTGTTTATTAGCATTGAGAAATTTGTTTTTTGCAAGTTTTTGTCGTTTGTTTTCATTCTCAACTTGTTTCTGAGATCTCTTAGAAGACTTCTTTCTAAACGCTTTTTGATTAGGACGAGATTCTGACAGAGTATGGGTAATATCATCTACTATATTATCAGCAAACCCTGGAGGCGGTGGTAGAGATGGCGATTCCAAGGAATTTATTTCTTCTAGATCTGGTGGTGGAGGTGGTGGTGATGGAGATAGTAGACTCTGTTTTTCCTCTATATCTTCATCCTCAAATCCTGGTGGAGGGGGTGGTGGTGGAAGTGAATTAGTATTGTTGTTGAGGACATTGTTTTCATCCTCCCAATCACTTTCAAAATCACTTAATCCTGGTGGAGGTGGAGGTGGAGTTAAATCAGGCATACTAACTCTATTGTAGTGTAATTATTAAAAAGAAGAAATAAAGTAAATTATAATATAGTATATTTATTCAATAATTTTTCACTAAAACGGTAAGGAAATCAAAACTATGTATATCCTGATCGAGGATGGTTAGATAGTTTTTGTTAGAAAATGAAAGAAGAATAACAAAAAATTAAATTTTCAATTCAGAATATTTTACAAATAGCGAGTCTTACTAGTAGTCTGCGTTGTTATGTATATTGTCATAGTTGTGGGTTAAGACACATTTTCTATTGATCATGGCTCTATAGAAAAATTATAAATGGTATGCATATTTCAACTTTTTTTATATTTTGACAAAATCCGCTAGGGTGATTTTAGTAATTGAAAAGCCGTTGTTTCTTAATATGTCGGAATGCATTACGGATAAAAATTTGAGCAGCGGTTTGTGTTTGTAGTTAATGAGTGAGATATATATATAATATCTTGAAGAATCAAGTACACTGATGCTGATAGATACTTAATTTTATATTTATACATACGTATGTTTGTATGTGTTTATATGCTATATAAGGTTGTGTTAATGAGAATAATAGTGCAGTTTTTACGATGAAGTTGTTTAAAAGGAAAAACATTATTTTAAGATAATACGACAATTTCTAGCTATATTTCTTGCCTCTTCAATCTCTTCGGATGTACCATTGGTTATATTAACAGCATGATTGTACGCAGTTTCATAATTTTTCATTCTCATTTCATGCTGTGCCAACCATAATCTTGCCTTTATTGTTTCGTCTGTTACTAATTCACCGGATGAATTGTCCTCAATTGCAATACATTTCAACATAGTCATCTTACAATTATCTATATCCATCATTTGTTCATATTGTTTGGCTAATCTGTACAAAAGCAATGCATCTTGACCAGGATTAGAGGATAGTTGATATGCTCTTTGATAACATTTAATAGCTTGAGTTGCATCCTTTAATACGGCATAACAATCAGCTACGGCTTGCCACATTCTACGATCCAGCGGTTTTAGTGTACAAGCTTTTTGAAAATAGTACAGAGAATATAGGTGCATATCCAATACTTCGTATGCTTGTCCTAAACCATACCATGCCTTGTAATCTTTTTCATTGATATCTACTGCTCTACGGTAACATTCAATAGCTGCATGTGAGTTTTTTAACTCGACAAACTCATGGCCCATTAACGTCCACGCACTAGTTGACTTCTTGTTTAATACCAGTGCTCTTCTGAAATACATGATGGATTTTTCGTGTTCCTGCCTTGCACTGTAATAATTTGCCACTATGCAACATGTCTCTGGTCTAAATCTATCCAATTGGGAAACGAACTGAGCCAAATACGTCAATTTCGAATATTTTTGCATCACATATAGTATATTCGAATAAATGTCTAGATCTTCTAGTCTATAAGGATCGTGTTTCACAATATCGTCAAAAATTATTTCTGCAGTGGCATAGTCCATATAACTATAACTTATCATTGCATTCATAGATTTTAAAAATGAGAAATTTGGCATTATTATTAACAAATATTCCAAGATTCTAAAGAATTCATCGATGTTGTTGCTGTTGTTGTTGCTATCATTAGTATTGGCATTAATACTGATACTGTTCTGATTGTTACTATTAATATTATTTTTTTTGTTCGATTGCGGTGTAGTATGGTTGTTGAAATTTAAACTTGTTACATTATCGGTTGTGTAAGAATTAGATGGTGTGGATAAGTCAATTGTGGAACTATGGAATTCTTGATATATGGCTAATTTGAAAAAATCAACCATTATATTGGAGTTTATTACTAATTGGGACGTTGTTTCATTGCTCTGTCTAATAACAAAATTATTCTCTATATAGCTTAAAAGTAACTGTGCTTCATCAAATCTTGATATACAGTTTAATAGTTCTGACCAACAACTCCAGTTATAATTGTAATACGATAAAGAATTTAAGAAAGCAGTTATAGCGATAGATTTATTACCTTGTCGTGTAAGTATCACTCCCTTTAAATAATATAATAATGCAATCCCCAATTTTGTTTTGTCTGATATTACATTATCGTTATCACTTAATAATGGTTTAATGTGTGTATCCATATACTCTCTTAATTCAGATAAAAGAAGAGACAGACTCGTTTGATGGCCAGTCTCTGACAAAATTGTGCTAGTAGTTAAAGACTTATTATTTTGTGAATTGTTATTAAACATTTCTAAAATTTGCCCATCCATTCTATTTAGGTCACCATTTGATGGATCATGTTTGCTTAGATTGTTGATTATTCTTTTATCTAATCTTCCTGTCATTAAAATGTTCTCGGTAGCTTCCATATATTTCTTATCCCATATTAAGAAATCTGTATAGAGTTTCAAGAATTTTAACCTTGGTTCTTTAACATCTTTCAAATAGAAGGAACACCTATCAAATTCTTTACAATCAAATAGGGTGGAGGCAAAGAGATAAGTATCATATTCTTCTTCAGAGAGACCCATCATAGGATCGATATTCAATGAACCAGTATTTGATTTAGCAGTAGATTTAAAAATATTATCAGGAGAGACTTGCCCATCTGACGATAATGAGATATTTAATTTTAAAGGAGAATCATCCTTGGTCATGTGTGGTATTGACGAATGGGGATCACCATAACTAGTATTATTGATATTATTGGTATTGTTATTATTGTTGTTGTTGTTATCATTTTCTGATGTTTTGATGATACCATTGAGTGCTTCAGCAGACCATTTGGAGGAATTATATAACTTCCATTGTGATAAATCTCTGACAGAACATCTCAGTTTCTGTTTAATCTCTGTTATAAAGTCCATTGTTAGTGATTCACTAGCAAGCATCACTTATATAATTTCGTATGCTTAGTTGGTTAAGGAATTCACTTAAGAGACAAGGTAGGGGGGGAGGGATAGTTGTTACGTTTATGTGTATAGATACGTTTAAATATATTTATTTATTTATTTACAAAGTTAGATGTATCTTGCAGATACATTGAATCTGTTGAAGGGTTTATACAATGAATAAAGTAACAAAACTTAAGAAGTTAAATAGAAAAACGCATAAAAAAACAGGAAATACAATAGGTCGAGTCGATGGATAGATACCCATTGTAATAAATATTCTGTATATATATGTATATAGGTATGTACAAATTCTGTTATTTGATTAATTGTTAGATAAGTGACTAATAGAAAGGTACTGAGAAAAGAACTAAGCATTAGTCCTTTTCTATGCAGAAAGTTGTGTGTGATTTCAGGCATATATTGCAAAGAAACAGGACGTGAAGAAATGTCAGGTATAGAAAACGGTGATGAGTATTTTGATTCCTTATGTGAATTGGATAATTATTCCCAAGCAAATTTTGAAAAGTTACAGGATGTTTTAAAAACATTGTTGAAGCTATTAAAACTTCAATCATCTACCATTGATACATCGATTACTACACGTAATGTTGAAAATGAAGATACAACCAATGCAATTGATGATAATATTATTATTAAACTTCTTGATACTCTTTCTAGAGACTTCGATTTGTTGATTGAGACATCTATAGCTTTAAAACAAGCTAAATATCAGGCTAGAGAAGCCCAGATTCAGTGTGCAGAAGCCATGGAGACTGATAATCATACAAGACTGAATAAGTCTCCATTTGGTAAGGATCTTACGGAATGTGTGGATGTCTTAGAATGTATCCAAAGAGATTCATTGAGATATACTAATTTAATAGACAGGATGTCAGTTGACCTAGTGAAACAGGTAGAAGTTTCAGACCCTAATGTATCCAGAGTGGACATGGAAAGTTGGAAACCATCTAAAGAATTGCAAGAGATCTTAGATCAATATTCTAATACAGATAGAGATTTATCTAAGATAGATGATGATTTGAAAGATTATTTGGATCAAATCAAGTTATCTAGAGCTAAATATACGCTTGAGAATAAATATCAATTACAAACAAAGTTGAATGAATTAAATAATGAAATTAATCAATGGAGAAAAGAATGTAATAACATGGAATCTTTGATGTTTGGTGATGATCCAAGATCCATGAAAAGTATGTTAAGGACAATTGGATCTTTAAAACAAAGATTGATTGATGAGAGAGAACAGGACTGTGGTACAAATAGTTCGGTTGACGATGCTGGTGAGCAAAGAAATAAGGAAGAAACTGTGTGATGAGTAGAAGAGCTTCCATCAACATGATAAGCAGATATAACGAGCATATATGCAGATACATATGTGATATGTGTGTATAGATATTGGTGTAAACTGGTTTAGCTATCACAAACGTATATATATGTATATGTAATGATGTAAATATATAGCAACAAAGTATTTTTTTCACTAAATATATATATATATATATAAATTTGGTTGTTTTAGTGTTATGTGTAAACTTCTCGAATATAATTTTGCAACGTAATATTGAGGGAATGTAACCGAATAAAAGAGGCAGTTTTTTTTTCTAATGCCATATGTACCTAAATATATAACATATACGTGTGTGTATATGCATGTTGGAAACTAATTAAGAGTAGGTGGAGACGATATACAAGTAGGTGTCAAAAGTATGGTATCACACTGTGTGGGAAGGGTACAGGCAACCAGACATTTAGAAAGATCAGTATGGTTTGGTCAGTTTCGGTGGATTCACAGGAGTAGAAACCCACCAGATAATGCACCCACATTGAATGAAAATGACGAATGGTTAAATCGATTGAATCAGAATCCCTATAGTAATGATGATACGATTCAACTTACTTCCACTAGAAATCTGTTTAAATCTTATAAACCTGCTAAAATGATCGATTTTGAAATAATGGAAACCAACGGCAGATATGGCAATAATATTAAGATTACTAGTCCATTGTTGAATTTCAGTTCGATGAATTATTTGAAGCAACTTGATAGACAACGGAATAAAGAACAACTGTATCGTCAAGGGAATTTCCAAGATACCAAGATAATTTGCTGTAAGAGTGGGCATGGGGGAGACGGCTGTGTTTCATTCTTTAGGGATGCGAATAGAAGAATAGGTCCACCAGATGGTGGAGATGGGGGTCATGGTGGTAGTATATATATTCAAGCAGTGAAAGGTTTAAATTCGTTGACCAAATTAAAAACTCGGTATGTGGCACCTGATGGTCGATCAGGACAAGCGGGTCAATTGGATGGAGCAAAAGGGAAAGATATATTGATTAAAGTACCTGTTGGTTCCACAATTCGTTGGTGTATAGATCCTAAGTTGGTAAGAGATAGAATTTCCCAACGTCTAAGTTCTCAATTAAATGTTTCAGCCTTATCAGTATCATTGAGAAATATTTTAAAGGATGAAGAAGTTACACTGGATTGTATAAAGACAGATTCACAAATTTCCCCGAATATCAAGCTTTCAAGAGAATCTTATATTGGACCTGAAATTAATTCTGTTCCTAAAGATATTTCTCCAAATTGGATCTTTAAAGATAAAACATTAGAATACCATATGGAAAAACATTGGTTTGTAGACTTAAATAATAAGATGAAACAATATGACAGAAATTTATTATTTGAAGAAAGAAAGAACGATGTATTCCCATTGTATGGTATTGATCTTGATGTAGACACAACTGGACCTATTAGATTATTAAAAGGTGGACAAGGTGGTTTGGGTAATATGCATTTTCTAACAAGTATGATTAGAAACCCACGGTTTGCAAAGAAGGGTAGACCCGGGCTGGAATGTTGGTTTCTTGTAGAGTTGAAGATTATTGCAGATATCGGATTAATTGGATTTCCTAACGCAGGGAAATCTACAATTTTGAATAGATTGTCGAATGCCAAACCTAGAATTGGGCATTGGGAATTCACCACATTAACTCCGAGTATCGGTACTGTATCATCAGGAATCATAGGCGCAGATGATACTTTTACTGTAGCAGATATCCCTGGAATAGTCAAGGATGCACACCTAGATCGTGGAATGGGATTAGATTTTTTGAAACATATCGAAAGATCCACATGTTGGTGCTTTGTTCTAAGTTTAGAGAGTAAGGATCCTTTACAAGATTTTATGATATTAATAGATGAAGTCGGGGGTATTGGGGGCGTCAAGAAGAGGGAAGTTCTTGTGGTGGCTAATAAGGCAGATCTTACAGAGTCCGCCGATACTATTGTTAGATATGACAGACTTTCTCAGTTCTGTAATGAACATAATTGGGATATCCTTCCTATTAGTGCATTGAAGAATCATAACATAGATTTGTTAGTACATAAAATGAGAAAATGCGTTACAACTATGTAAATACTGTAAATAGTAATATAACATTCATTAAGTTTTTTTTCATGTTAGTTTGAGACTGGGTTATTAATTGTGAGTTCCCAGTACCACATAATAGTGGTAATAATAGCAATTGTGCCAGTGGTGGCCACATCATCACATTCTTTTGCTTTCTCTCTCTCTTTCTCTCTTATTGTATACGTGTTTGAAGTTTTTTGTTTCTTTTCATCTTTTTGGATGATGGGAGGAAAAGTTTTACTTGGAAGAAAACAGAAAAAATGAAGAAAAAAATTTTTCTGCTATGCGTTATATACATAATATATGACTGTGTTTTGCGATGAGCATCGAATCTCATTGATTTAGAAGCAACTACCCGATACAGTATTCTATCCACAGAATTTTCACTTTAGTAAGTTGTCGGCCTGTGTAATATTCTATAAACTGGCCCGTTTGTCACTAACAATTTATAGTTGAAACAGTTTCTAGCAGGTAAGGACAAGAACCAAACAAACAACAGATATAAAATAAAATAAAATAAAATAAAATAAGCAGGTCATGGATTTTAATCAAGTACACTATCAACAACAACAACAGGTTCAACACAACGGATCCACAGTGCTATGTTGCAACTGTGGGACTCCAATAGATGGTTCTAGTGGACTGGTTATGTGTTATGATTGTATTAAATTGACCGTTGATATCACAGAGGGGATTCCAAGAGAGGCCAATATCTCCTTTTGTAGGAATTGTGAAAGATTTTTACAACCCCCAGGGACTTGGATTAAGGCTGAGTTAGAATCTAGAGAATTATTGGCCATCTGTCTGAGAAGGTTGAAGGGGTTGAATAAGGTTAGGTTGGTAGATGCCTCTTTCATTTGGACAGAACCTCATTCCAGACGTATTAGAGTCAAATTGACTGTACAAGGAGAAGCCATGGCTAATACTATTATACAACAAACATTTGAGGTTGAATACATTGTTATTGCCATGCAATGTCCAGATTGTGCTAAATCCTACACTACACACACTTGGAGAGCTACTGTTCAAATCAGACAAAAAGTCCCACACAAAAGAACTTTCTTATACCTAGAACAGTTAATATTAAAACATAACGCACATGTTGATACTATTTCTATCACTGAAACAAAGGATGGGTTGGATTTCTTCTATGCTCAAAAGAATCATGCTATTAAAATGATTGATTTCTTGAATACAGTGGTTCCTATCAGATATAAGAAGTCTGAGGAACTGATCTCTCAAGATACTCATACTGGTGCGTCAACATATAAATTCTCATATTCTGTAGAAATTATTCCGATCTGTAGAGATGACTTGGTGGTCTTACCCAAAAAATTGGCTAAATCAATGGGTAATATTTCACAATTTGTGTTATGTTCCAAAGTCTCCAATATTGTTCAGTTTATTGATTCATCAACTTTACAAACAGCGGATATGCCTGCTGATGTGTACTGGAGAAACCCATTTAATTCATTAGCGGATGTTTCCCAATTAGTAGAATTCATTGTCTTGGATGTTGATCCAACTGCTATTGTGAGAGGTAAACGTGTCCTAGCTGATATTACTGTGGCTAGAGCGGCAGATTTAGGTGTCAATGATCAAGTCTATTATGTTAGATCCCATTTAGGTGCAATTTGTCATGCTGGTGATTCAGTTATGGGATATTTTGTAGGTAACTCGAATTACAATTCAGAACTGTTCGATAGTTTAAATGTTGATTATATTCCAGATGTTGTATTAGTGAAGAAGAATTACCGTAGAAAGAATAAGAAGAACAGAAAGTGGAAGTTAAAGAGAATGGCTAGAGAACACAAAGATATTGATGCATCTGAAGATTACAGTTCTAGAGCCCAAAGACAGGAAATGGAACGTGCCGAAAGAGATTATGAATTATTCTTGCAAGAATTAGAAGAAGACGAAGAATTGAGAAAGAACATTAATCTATACAAGAATAATAATGCTACAGTTGTAACTAATACTACTGTGGATCAATATGGCAACCCAGTTGCTAACCAAGGTGGAGAAGAAGATGATGGTGATGATGATGCACCAGAAATTAATATTGATGAATTGTTAGATGAATTAGATGAGATGACGTTAGAAGATACACCAATGGAAATATAATAAAGTTGAAGGAAGTACTGTAGTGAATACCCGAAACACATCGGTTTAATTTTATTTTAAAAGAATTACAAGGATATATATATATATATATATAACTTTTCATCATCAAGGGATAGATACTAGAATATACATACAAGTGACCTTTGAACACATACATAAATATTTTTGTAAGACAATATCTGTACATTATTTTTTCGTTCTCAAATTAAACTTTATCTCTCTTATTTATCTCTTGTGGTAAACATCAGAAAAGATCCATCTTATTCCTCTGCTTAAGTGCTGGCGTTTGTGTGTCTTCTTTTAATGAGTAGTTACTTTAACTATGTATAAAATACGGGTTTGATAAATATAAGAAAAATATAATATATTTTTAGAGTATATATTTAATTTGTTGAGGACTGTTAAGAATGATACGAGCATACATTGTATAATTTTGAAAGTAGAAGAAACATCTAGATGGTTAAGAAAGTACGCATTGGTATTATTAGATAGTTTATTCTGGTTCATATTATATTTTATTGCTAGTTTCAATTAGTTAGTTTGTTTGTTTGTTCGTTTGTTCGTTTGTTCGTTTGTCCGTTTGTTAACACCTATTTAAATGGATTTGTCTAAAAACAATACTTCACGTTTAAAATATGTGTTTCCTGTAAATTCTTTTATTGACACCAGTTTCTATCAACGGTTATCAGACTTAAAGTTAGATACATTGAAATTGAGTGAATCGAGTATTCCTGTTAAATCTATACTTCACCTAGATAATATACCTAAACAAAATTCAGTAACACCCCTATTTCTAAATGGACAAAGTTTTGACGTTAATTCACAAAGTAACTATGGTGCTAATCAAGATACATTAATTGAGATTGGAGGAGAAATTTTAAATTTTAATAAACTAGAACAAATGATGACTTTAGATAAACAACAATATCTTTACGAACAAGGAATGAAACTATGGGAGGATTGTAAAAAAAACATCCATAAATGTTTTAAATTTTGTCTAATAAGTTTTGCAGATTTGAAGAAGTATCAGTATACTTATTGGTTAATGATACCTTCCTTCATTCTCAAGGGACTCATAATCACTATTGAAAAAGATTTATTAAATAGACAACTCAATGATGTTAGAGATTGGTTTTGTCAAACTGTGAATAGAGATAAATGGGTGTGTGTAATGAATAACTCAGTAATTAAAGATTATGACCCAGAGGAGAATATAAGTTTGAATGGAAAGATTGTTTTCATTAGAGATACGTCAAATATTGATAAAATTCCTTCAAGTGTCACCAAAAATATATTAACTACAATCAAGTATAATAATCCTAAGATTATAAAACTTAATGTTTATTTTGTTAGGGGTTCAGATAAAAAGAGTTTCGGATATACATTGAAATTTGATGATAATAATACACCAAATTTCGATGAATTTCTATTAAATTTTTCTGGTTGGGAAAGAACCACAGAGGGTAAATTATTACCAAGACAAATTGATTTATCTTCTTTGATTGACCCATTAAAGATAGCAGAACAAAGTCTAGATCTGAATTTAAGGTTAATGAAATGGCGTATTGTACCTGGCTTAAATTTGGATATTATTAAAGATACAAAAGTTCTTCTATTAGGTGCAGGTACACTTGGATGTTATGTAGCAAGAACATTGTTAGGGTGGGGTGTACGAAGAATAACGCTTGTTGATAATGGAACAGTGTCCCATTCAAATCTTGTTAGGCAACCATTATTTGAGTTTAATGATTGTGGTAAGCCAAAAGCAAAAGTTGCCGCTGCTGCGTTAAAAAGAATATTTCCTCTTGTCCAAGCCGAAGGTATAAATATATCAATTCCAATGATTGGTCATCCGATTACTAATGAATTAAGAGAACATAGGGAATTAGATATATTAAATGAATTGATAAAAGACCATGATGTTATATATTTGTTAACAGATTCTAGAGAATCGAGATGGTTGCCTACTGTACTTTCAAATATAGAAAGTAAAATGGTTATTAATGCAGCATTAGGTTTTGATAGCTATTTAGTTATGAGACATGGGATTTATGATAATAATGATAAGAACGCCAAATTAAATGGAGAATCAACTAGACTTGGTTGTTATTTTTGTAATGACATTGTGGTGCCTACAGATAGTATGAGATTAAAAACATTAGATCAAATGTGTACAGTGACTAGACCTGGGGTTGCTTTACTGGCATCTTCGCAAGCTGTAGAATTAATGGTTTCAATGTTACAAAGAGATAAAGCACAAGAATCTAATAAAGGACAATGTATCTTAGGAGAGATACCTCATCAGATTAGAGGGTTTCTTGATAAATTTGAGACTTTAAAAGTCGAATCACCAGCGTATACACATTGTTCAGCATGTAGTCACATTATTGTAGAGACCTGTAGAAATAATGTATGGGATTTTGTAAAAAATTCATTGAACGACAACGAATATATTGAAAGATGTAGTGGTCTTTTAGAAATAAAGCAAAAAATGGAGAGTATTATGGAGGATATTACGTGGATTAGTGATGATGAGCTATGAAAAAAGTTCATTTCATTTTATATACATATATATATTCATAGATAGATCAACCGATAAATATATAGATATGAATAGCTACATTTTGCATATTTATGCAATTGAGATTTTAATATGTTGTTTATTTTGAGTAGAGTATTTCCTAGTAACTCTATTCTTTCAAAAATGGTATGATAAATAAACTTATTTAGCTACAAAACATAAAACAGACGCAGAAGAAACAGAACAAAAACAAACATTTACGGAAAAATGTACACTTATCAAACACTTAAGACTTTAAAGAATAAATTTTAAATATCCTTTGATATACTTATAATTTAAAAAAAGTTTAACAACAAAGGAACAATATCCAAATTTGTCAGCCATTTTTATTGAAATTATCAAATAAATACTCATGAATAATTCAAAAGATAATTAAAATTGGATTAACAAATATTATAAAACATACTATTGATAAAATAAATAAAGATAATATATGAAGAAAAGACTACTTGAGTTGAAACAGAATATTACATAAAATGAAATAACTGGAACAATAAGGTGTCAACAGTTCTCAACCAATATAATGTTGAATACTTGTTGTTTAGATAACAATAAATGTTGATGAAACTCTTTGGTTAATCTTTTGCTTTTTGTAGGGGAAAATTATTCATTTCCTGAATAATCAAAGTTATGAACTTGTATCAAATTTTTTATTTTGTTTACACTTTTTATAAATTATTTTTAGCAAATAAAGAAATAAAATTTACATTTTCACTCTAAACATTCTATGTAATTTCATTTTATATTTATATATATATATTTATTTTTCTATTTTATATACAAGTGAACAAAATTTTTTTCATCAGTAGGAAACACATTAGTATCTTTATCAATTAATTACATTCACTAACTTCAACAATGCCTTAAACAAATTCTCTTATGAACATCTTTTTTATGTTATCCCATGAAAAAAACATCACATACACTCTTTCCATATACTCAATATCTTTACAAGAACTAATATTAATAAAACAGTAGGTTCCTAATAGTTTGAGTATTCAATAATATTCCTTGTAGTAGCGCTGTAACTTCTCATATGTTTTTATTTTTAACATGTTTCTTTTTATATTCTACAAATAACAAAACCTAAATTCTCAAAGCTCCTCAACATTCTCGTATGCCAATTTTTTGCTTTGTAAAACAAAAAATCCAAAATTATTGCGGCTGTTTGACTTTTCTACGCGTTCTGTTTTTGTTTTCATTTCCCTCATTTTCCAATTCTTGGAAAAAAAACCAACAAATAATAAACACAAATAATAAACACAAATAATAAATATTAATAATAAACACAAAGGCCATCGAACATCAATATTCTATATACAAGCTTCCAACCAGAATTTTTGTCACTTTTACACTTTAAAAAAATCATAAAGATACCAATAACCTCAATACTACAATAAAAGAAGGATTTAAATAAGAACAAAAAGCACTCTAAAGGAGAGAAACTACTTTTTTTTTTTTTTTTGAAATATCACATATGTATAATGGAAATAAGACCAGTTGAAGACCATGTGGAATTACTTACGGAATCATCTACGGTACAAAATGTAGAACTGAAGGATGCATTATTATCAAGACAAGCAAATTATGAGCCACTATCTAATATTAACCCCAAATTGATTTTATATCCACTGGATAAACTAGCTGAAATTTCTAGTAGTAATGATTTAATAAGAGTTCAAGAGTCGTTGATAGTACATGATTTGTTAGAGAATTTGATGGGTCTTAGTGGCACATATATTAGATATAACAACGAATATAATCCATATAATGGTGATGTCCCTGAATTTAAAATAGCTAAAAAATTGGATACTTCATTAAAAGCATTCAGTAAAAAAATTTTACAATATGGCAGTTATTTTGTAGCCTTAAATAATGCAAGTGAACGTTGGACAGATATTAAATATGGAGTAGTATTACAAAGTTTAAGCTATGAAATCAAAAATTTCATTAATGAGACTTATTTACCTTTGTTAGTTAATAGATTGGAAAAAATGTATTTTGAAGATCCTAATTTTTCTATAAGAGAATTCAAACAAATTCTAAATGACTCAGAGGTCGGTAATCAACTAACTTTGTTATATGATTTTATTACGAGGATTGAAGAAGAGATGATCAAACGACAAAATTCTGATCTACAACAATTGTCAATTGACAATTTCTTATTGGAAATGGAACAATTTAATCAAAACGATGATTTAACACCACTCTTTATTGAAAGGAAAATTTCACCAATCGCTAAGGGTGGTGCCATACTGAAAATACTTTACAGAATGATATTGGAATTACTAGGTGATTCTAATAGTGTACTTTTTTTACAAAATCTATTAATTAAGATCAGTGATAGTTACTATAAAACGTTACATGGTTGGATGACACAAGGTGAATTAAATGATTCATGTGATGAGTTTATGATTATCGATACTATGCCCTATATAAACAATATCAATATGTCAAATCCTATTGAGTGTGATAGAGTATGGCTAACACAATACGGTATTAGAAAAGATGGACTGTTGGACAAATTTAGTCTTACCAATGACCATAATAATAATAGCAGCAGTAGCAACAAACTGTTATTTAAGATTCTTTCCACTGGCAAATTTTTAAATGTGATCAAAAAAAGTCTTAATATAAACTACATACCTATTACACAAGAACAAGAAGATGAAAGAAATGTCAAAGTATCAAATTTTATGGAACTAATGGAAGGAACTAATTTTGAGCTTTATGTGGAGAAATGGTACAATAGAGCCAATAGATTATGTTTGAAATTACTTATTGATGGGTACCATTTACCAAAAATAATCGATGATTTATCTAAATGGTATTTTGGTTACAAGAATGGATATAATATAAACATGATATTAAAGCAGTCATTAGTGGAACTAACAAGGCGATATTCTGAGAAATATAGTAACAATATTGAAAATAGAATAAAAACAAAATTTGAAAACATTAAGAATGAGTTATTATTGTCAAATAATGTTAATAATAATAATAATAGTAATAATAGTAATACTAATCATCATCATACTCCTACCTCTATAGAATATGAGAAAGATAATATAATATTAAAATTATTAACAGTCCAATTAGATAAAGAATCGTTCGACGATATTATAAATCAATACATTAATAGTGAATTACAAACAATTGGTAATGCAAACAAATTAAATACATTGGATTCAATTAGGGATATGGTAATGCAAGAATTTGAGACTTCATTAAATAATAACAAAAAGAACAACAATGACGAAATGATGAATTCAAGAAATGATGGAACTGAGTTCTCGAAAATGAACCAGACCCAGACCCAGAACCAAAATAGAAATGAACAAAATAATATTTATTATATGAAATTTGATATCGGTATACCATATCCATTGAATATGATAATCAATAGATCATGTATATTACAATATCAATTAATCAATAGGTATTTAAATATGTTAAGGTATCATAACATGTTACTTGAAGAAACATGGATAGAGATAAATAAGAATACAATTTGGAAATATTCTAATTATAATAAGGATATTAAGAATAAAATAATCAAAAGAAGTCGAATCTTACATAATGGGATGAACAATTTTATTAAATCTATAATGGAATATTTCAATGAAGATGTCATCAAGAATGAGATGAATAAAATAGTACAATCTTTATCCTCATCCCCATCCTTCTCACCATCCTCACTGTTTGATAGGATTGATATAAATGAGTTACAGAGTCAATTGGCTGAATCATTAACTAATATATTGCATGATGGATGTCTAATTAAATTAATCAAAGTACAGTTACAAATATTTGATATCATTAATAAATTTTGTAAATTTTTGTTATCAATGAAGGATAAGTTGATTCAATTAGATTATAATTTATTTACAAGATATCAAGAAGAGGAGAGAGAAGAGGGAAAAGAGATGAGAAATAGGTTAAATTACAATGAAGATACCAATTTAGTTAAGCAATCCGAATACATCGAGTTTATAGAAGTGGTGTCAAAAAGTTTCAAAGATCATAGACAAACGTTAATAGAAGGATTATGGTATCATTATGAGGGTAAGATGCATCCTTTGTTTAATTATCACCATGGGGTCACTTCAACGAATGAATATAACAATAATATTGGAGTTATTTCTCATGGGTCTAGATTAATTATGTCCACAGTCAATGTGGGCAAGCAAGCAGTAATGCAATGAATGCAGTAAGAGCCATAAGTAATAAACAGTTGGACATGTATATACCTCTATCTACCCAGGCATACACACATACACATATACATACACATATACATATATATATATATATATATATGTATGTATGCAATTCATGAGCATCATATTACAGAATAAAAATATCGAAATATTAAGATATTTATTAGTAATAGATATTAGTAATACTTTACTAATGAGCTAAGCAAAAGGATACACAAATGAAGAGGACCTTTTTTTGTTTCCTTTTTCTCTCTTTCACTTTCCATTTAAAGAAAAAAAAAAAACAAGCCTTTGGGCCTCCACTAAAAAAACACCCATTCACCCGCACAATGTGTAGCTTCCAGTAATAAATAACCTCTCTCCTTTCCTCTTTTTCCCTTCCCCCCCCTTAAGGGAATAGCAATAGCAGTAGCAACATGAAAAACGGAAAGCGAAGAAAGAAAAAGAGGAACCCAACTTTGCGAAAAAACTGTAACGCCAAAAACCCAAAAGAAAAGACAAAAAGAAGAAGCCACAACCAATCTTGTTCTATTGTTGTGCGGGAAGGAAAACTGAACAAAAAAAAAAAAATAGAAAAAGAAAAAAAAAGAAACGAGGATCTCACTTTCCCAAACGGGTCAACGTGTCTTTTTCTCTGAGTTGCCTGCCACTTGTTTCCACTTGTTTCCACCAGATTCCATAACTTGTAACAAAAACTTCACACCGTGGAAAAATATACAATGAACGTCGTTTTCTTCAAAGTTTGACATGAGAGGCTATTTTTAATAATAATTCCATCCAATTCAATTCAATTCAAATCAAATGGATCCAATTCTATAATCATCAATTCAATCGATTAAAAAAAATACATTTGTTGGATTTTGTTTATTTTTGTTGGTTGTCACCAAATATTACCTTTTTGGCCTCAATCTTTGTTTTATTACAATTACAAGTTGCGGTTGTAATCATCATCTGTATTATTTATTATTCTTATTATTCTTATTATTCTTATTATTTTTAATTCATATTATTATTATTGACTGTGATATTTTCCCTTTGAATTACTTTTTTTTGTTTTTTGTTTTTTTTTTTTTTTTCTTTCTCAATTCTCAATTCCCTCTACTACTACTACTGGTATCATCAGGATCATCATCATCATTATCGTTATCGTCGTCGTTGTCGTCGTTGTGTTCTTTGTTCCAAATCATATTGACAGATAATAAATGTGTAGATTAATTTACCAATTAATCAATTCACGAAAAAAAAAAAAAAATAACTTAAATATATATATAACATATATAAACGTCCTATCCTACTTGATAACTTCAAATTCCAAACCGGATTTCTAACGCCTTTCGTCTTCCCTCTTCTTTCCTTTTTAGCCTCTCCTTTTATCATTCGAGAAGAAAACCAAGCATCTTTATATCATAAATTTGCGCATATAATCAACACCAATCCACAGGTTTTAATTCTTAAAAAATGGCTATTTCTAAGGTTTACGCTAGATCCGTCTACGACTCTCGTGGTAACCCAACCGTCGAAGTCGAAGTCACCACTGAAAAGGGTGTTTTCAGAGCTATTGTCCCATCTGGTGCTTCCACTGGTGTCCACGAAGCTTTAGAAATGAGAGATGGTGACAAATCCAAGTGGTTAGGTAAGGGTGTTTTACACGCTGTTGCTAACGTCAACAACGTCATTGCCCCAGCTTTAGTCAAGGCTAACATTGACGTCAAAGACCAACAAGCTCTTGATGACTTCTTAAAGAACTTAGACGGTACTCCAAACAAGTCTAAGTTAGGTGCTAACGCTATTTTAGGTGTCTCTTTAGCTGTTGCCAGAGCTGCTGCTGCTGAAAAGAACGTTCCATTATACCAACACTTAGCTGAAATCTCTGGTGCTAAGACCTCTCCATACGTCTTACCAGTTCCATTCTTAAACGTCTTGAACGGTGGTTCTCACGCTGGTGGTGCTTTAGCTTTACAAGAATTCATGATTGCTCCAACTGGTGCTAAGACCTTCTCTGAAGCTTTAAGAATGGGTTCTGAAGTTTACCACAACTTAAAGTCCTTAACCAAGAAGAGATACGGTGCTTCTGCTGGTAACGTCGGTGACGAAGGTGGTGTTGCTCCAAACATTCAAACTGCTGAAGAAGCTTTAGACTTAATTGTCGACGCTATCAAGGCTGCTGGTCACGAAGGTAAGGTTCAAATCGGTTTGGACTGTGCTTCCTCTGAATTCTTCAAGGACGGTAAGTACGACTTAGACTTCAAGAACCCAGAATCTGACCCATCTAAGTGGTTATCTGGTCCAGAATTAGCTGACTTATACCACAACTTAATGAAGAAATACCCAATTGTCTCCATTGAAGACCCATTCGCTGAAGATGACTGGGAAGCTTGGTCTCACTTCTTCAAGACTGCTGGTATCCAAATCGTTGCTGATGACTTAACTGTCACCAACCCAGCTAGAATTGCTACTGCTATCGAAAAGAAGGCTGCTAACGCTTTATTATTAAAGGTCAACCAAATCGGTACCTTATCCGAATCCATCAAGGCTGCTAACGACTCCTTCGCTGCCGGCTGGGGTGTTATGGTCTCTCACAGATCTGGTGAAACTGAAGATGTCTTCATTGCTGACTTAGTCGTCGGTTTAAGAACTGGTCAAATCAAGACTGGTGCTCCAGCTAGATCTGAAAGATTAGCCAAATTGAACCAAATCTTAAGAATCGAAGAAGAATTAGGTGACAAGGCTGTTTACGCTGGTGCTAACTTCCACCACGGTAACAAGTTATAAGTTACTCAATAATGAATAATAACAATAATTTTTTTTGTTTAATTCTTGTTTTTTCATGCTTTTCATCTATTTTTTTTTTTCAACAACCCCTCATTTGATATATTGATGCCAACCATTTACTGATGTTCGATGATTGATTACATTATATATTGCTGTTACGTGTTATAAATTTTTTTTTATGTATATTGTACATAATAAATTTTTATATAAGTTTTAAATTTTTGATAAATTTTATAACTGCAAGGCATTCTTATATCTCTTCCCCTCCTGTTTTTGTCTGTTTGGTATTTTTGCACCCTTATTTTTTGTTGTAATTGAAGAGTTATGACGCTGCATACATATATATATGTATATATGTGTATATGTATATTGATATAGATAACCTGGAGACTATGTAAGTGTAATTATCTTTTGGGGGATATCTGGATAAATGCTGTATATATCCATCACTACAAACGCATGAAACAGCTAAGTAACATTAAGTCATTATAGTCAGAGCATGAATCATCATACAGATATGGATATGGACACTTGTTCAATGAACATGTCCTTTACTTGGTCCTACAACAACACATGCATCATTTTTTCCTGGTGGAAAATCAATACAGGTTCTGATTTGTTGCTAAGCTGTATGACATTGGTTGTCTTATCAATTCTTTATGAATGGTTCAAATACAGATTACAGTTGTACAACAGCCATCAAGTATTGTCACTCCCCTTGAATAGCAATACTTATCCAAGTAGTGTTGTTGGACCAAATAAAAGGATGATCAGTAGCTGTCTATATGGGTGTCAAGTTGGGTTCTCCTTCTTATTAATGTTGGTGTTTATGACCTATAGTGGGTGGCTTATGCTGAGTGTTTTAATTGGAGCCACAATTGGTCATTACTGGTTTGGCTATAGACTACATTATATGAAACAGCAACAACAACATCAGCAACAAGCATCATCTCTTCTAGAAACAGAAAATTCACTGGCATGCCATTAATATATTTATAAGACATGAATTATAATCACAACCACAATACTGGGGAACTGGGCAACTGATAATAGTAAAAAAAATATATAGGTTATTACATTATTTTCTTTTTTCCCATCTCTTTCCTTCTTATATTTTTTTTCTTTATTATTTATGTAATATAACTAATATGTTTATATTATTTGTTGTGGATTAACTTCCATCACTTCTATGTAAATGCATATTCTGATTTCCACTTCACACAAGCCATTAATAATAAGTCGCTTGAAAAATTGCCTTCATCTTCAACAAAAGTTAAAAGTGTTATTATATCATCTCTTCTACATGTAGTTATAGTACACACACAGATAAATCTAGAAATTTGCGTTATTACATTTCCCTTTTTATTATTATTATTGTTACGACTAGACACTATTTATTATTATACCTATCTGAATCCACACCCACACACAGTTATCTCCACAGTTGTATATATACCTATTTATATTTATTTATCCACAATATTCATCTTTTGCACACAGAAAAAATAAAAAAACGATAGGGATAGAAAAAAGGACCCCCCCCTTCCAAGAAAAACGAACTAACAAATCAGTCAACCACCTAGCAAGTAATGATAATACCATCATCACTATTTACCTGTTATATTCTATGTCCACAAATTTACTAAAATTGGGTATTCTTTAAGGTTGGACAAATATGCAATTTTGCCGCTATTAAAGTTCTTTCCATCACGTATTCTCACAACTTAGCCTTATTTGGCCTGCCTGCCATCCAACAACCATAACAATCTCAACATAAGAGAAGTAATCATTTCTGATAGGAAATGGGCAGACGTTAATACGTGGTTGGTCAGAAATTTGTATACTATTAAAAGTCAATTTTCATGCTTTTGAAGTAACAAGGCAATTCATTCTAAAAATAACTCAAACAGATAACCCACAAATGATATGATCATTATTGTTATAGGATACAGTAGCTTTTGGTCAAGAGATCATGAATCAAACATCTTCTGTTATAAAACATGTTTATCCCTGTATCTTTGATAAAACAATCCATAAAGATATAACTCTTAAATCCAAGCGACACAGGAAAAATTTTTAACATTTTATTGAATCATGTCTTTTAAAATAAACACTAAATCTTTAAACTTTTTTTTTGATCCTTACAAATATCATTCCATTCCTTCTATTTGGATAAGAAAAAAATATAAAGGACTTACAATTCAATTGTGTTGAATTAAAAGTAATGACAAAGTATACAAATTACATAAAATAGCCATTTTCTATAGAGATCATAAAGAATCATTACCATTTTTTTAACATAAGGAACACGATAACATCAATACACTTATTGAATTGCATATAAGGATAAATAATCTACTATGAATCAGCACCAACATAAAATTCACAACATTGAACACACTCATTCTTATGCTTTATTCATATTTTCATTTTCATTTATATTTTTTTTTTCCCTGTCCTTTTACCTTCATTAATTTTACAAAAAAACTGTTTTTTTCTATTTTGGAATAAAGAAAGAATGCAAAAAAAAGTTTTGGAGATTCAAAAAGACATCGAAAGTCATTACAATACAATAAAGAAAGTGATAAAGCTGCCAAAAAAAAAAAAACAAAAGAGCCATTGCCAAGTAGAAATACAACTAGGGCAACGGTATATTAAAAATAAAACGAGAGTAAAAAGGTATGATATAATAAGAGTTATTGCCGATTGCTATTTAAATTTTTACATTACTACAGATATCATTTTATATCCTCTCCCAAGACTATATTCAAATCAACTCTATATTTTATATTCCTCTTCTGTTTTAACGGAAGAAAAACACAACTAAAAAGAATCATGGAAGAGAATACACCTGTCATCTCTGAGAAGCAAGAGTATTCCTGTGCTCGTTGTCGTCGTTTGAAAAAAAAATGTACCAAAGAATCTCCTGCTTGTTCACTTTGTTCTAGACTTCATGTACCATGTACCTATCCCGGTAGAGCACCTAGGAGAACCAAAAAGGAGCTGGAAGAAGCAATGAGAAGAGGTGAATATGTTCCCTCAAGACGTCGCAAAAAAACATCAAAGGAGAACACTCCAACTACTATAATACCCTCAACACAAGAAGTATTGCCCAAGATAGACCCATCATCCTCACAGTACAATATCCCATTAATGACTAAACCAAATCAAACATCAATTGTAAATAACAACCTTGTAAGAGAAAACAGTAATGTATCTTTACCCTCCGTTACTGCATTGTATAATGATGTTTATTCAAATATTGTGAGAACCCTTAATCATAATAATACGAATCAGACAGACAATTTACCATTATCTACAACAAATACCATAGGTACTACACCACCAGTAACAAATCAACCTACGAATGATTCACCACTATATGAAAATGTATCCACCCTAATCTCCTCTTTGAATTCGCCAGTGAATACAACCACTAATAATTCCACAACAGCTCTTATTGCTGAAAACATGGCTGTAAGAGCAGATGATAACAAAAATAACAGTATTATCGGTAATGATAATACCATTCATAGAACTCTGCCCATCAACCCTGCATCTGCAATTGACGTATCGACTATGGATAAAATTGACCCGGCTCCTTTATTATCTGCAACTCTTTTATCTCAACAACCACAAAATCTACTGACTACATTAAATGGAAGGCAGACTAATATGACAAATATTCCAAGAGTCTCTTCGTTACCATCAATGCCAATAGGACCTACATTATCCACTCCATCTTCGATGAATTTTGGTGTCAATAATAATAACAATAATAATAGTAATATAGATAACATTGATAGATACACATCAGATCCTAATTTCCAACAGAATAAAAGAACAAAGTATTCTTTAACATCATTAGAAAGTATAAGATTATCTCCTATAACAACAGTTCAACCTATATCCAATAACAATATTAATAATAGCCATTCAATTACACCGCTTTCTCCATCAAGTGTGAATAACAGTAACAATAACAACAGTGCTACTAATACTGGACCAACACAAATAAGTACCACTGTAACCACGCCTGATACCAAGTATATTAATGAAAATAGTTATAATCACGTTAATATGAACAACAGTACTAAAGAAGGAGAAAAAGAAGGGGGAGAAGAAGTACATGAACCAATGAAAAATACCACTCCATATAATATAGCCAACGTTGAATCCATCCCTATTGATTCTGCATCTATCGAGACTGCTACATTGGGTACAATCTTTAAAGGAGGACGTGTAGGGACATGGGTTAATGAAGATGGTAGTCAAAAGCCTATTGATAGAAATCTTTTAGATAAGTCGATTGCAGCGTACTTTAGACACAATCATAGATTATATCCAATGATCGATAAAGCCTCATTTTTAAAGCAAGTAGCAATGATTGAAGAGTTTGATTATGATAAATTAGATAAGATACACGATTCGGTCTTCATTTTTAGGCTTTATATGGTGATGGCTATTGGATGCACGACTCTTAGAAGAGCAGGAATGCTGTTAGAAGATGAAGAAGAATTGAGCGATCATTTAGCATTTTTGGCGATGAAGAAGTTTTGTCATGTGATAAGTTTACAAAACATAGAGACTGTGTGTTGTTTATTGTTACTGGGTATTTATTCATTTTTTGAACCCAAGGGTTGGTCTTCATGGACTATCAGTGGTATAATAATGAGGCTGACTATTGAATTAGGATTGAATCGAGACTTAGTCAAAGAGAAAATGAAACATATGACGATATTTGAAGTTGAAGCAAGGTATCGCGTCTTTTGGAGTGCATATTGTTTTGAAAGATTGATTGCTACATGTTTAGGCAGAGCCTCTGCGATAAGTGACGATGACGTTACTGTGCCGTTGCCACGTTCGTTGAATGAATCTGAGAAAGAGGACATTGATATCACAAACACGATGATACGTCTTAGAAGATTAGCGGGTAGAATCTATAAAGAGGTACATTCGACGAGTGTGTCTAAGAAGAAATTGACGGTGGAGGAAAGAATTGAGATAATAAACGGATTACGAAAAGAATTGGATACGATATTTGAGACGGAGAAACTGAAGATGAAAAAACATAATGATAAGAATATCAACAAACAGATAACAAACACGATATCGTTCCACAGTTCGGACATATGGTTAGCGATGAGACATTCGCAGTTGATGATATTATTGTACAGACCATCCAGTCTAATCCCTAAACCACCTATTGAATCGCTCTCCATATTGGGCAAATACTGTTTAAAAGCGTGGAAACATACGTATACATTGTACCAAAAGAAGTTGTTACCTTTGAATTGGATAACGTTGTTTAGGACGTTAACGATATGTAATATTATTTTGTATTGTTTGTGCCAATGGACCATAGATTTAATTGAGAGTAAGATAGAGATACGACAATGTGCAGAGATTTTGGACCATTTTGGATCCAAGTGGATATTTGCGAAAAAATGTGCAAAAGTGTTTACAAATATTAGCAATACTATATTGGAGATAAGTTTGAGTGACGGTAAAGTGCCAAACATGGATAAGTTGACTACGGAAGTGTTTGGAGCTAATGACGCATATCATGAGATTCTAAATGAAAATAATGTTGACGTATCATGGATTGATAAGCTGGTGTGAAAACAATAAAGAAAAAAACAAGATAAAATAAAATAAATATAGTATACAAATTTATTCTCATATAGATATGTGTATATAATAGATATATTTGATTTATCTTCTTAAAATAGAGGAAAGAAAGATGCGAAAAAAAGGGAAAAAACAAAAAACCCTATATTTCTGCAGATAAATTTACTGAAAAAGAGACAAATGTCCCACAGGCAACCCTAACAAAGAATCCAGAGTCCAGAAAAACGGCCCCAAGATCACCGAAACCCTATTTATCTGTATTTATGATCTTTCTTCTTTCCCTTTCCCTTTCCCAATCTCACGGAAAACGGGAAGAAGAGAAAAAGAAAACAAACGAAAACTTTCATCTTCGCAGGGCTTCTCGATATAATTCGTTTACAGAACAACATTAACCACTGCCGGCTTTAATTTTGCCTCCCTCTCCCTTCAAAAGAAAAAGGAAGGAAAAACAAAAACAACACATCACTTTTTTTTTCCCCCTTTTTTTTTTGTTTTGCTGGTGCCTTCCGATTTCGGGAAAAAAAGTTTCAGGGTAAATGAGATCACAAATAAAATAAAAAACGAAAAAGAAAAAGAAAAAGAAAAGAAAAGAAAAGAAAAGAAAAGAAAAGAAAAGAAAGATATGAATAATTACATAGTTTTCTTTTCTTTTTATCTTGACAAATTTATGCAAAAAAAAAAAAATTCGTTTTGGTTTTGAAAAATGCCACAGAATTCGTATTAAATTATGATGAAAACAGTAACAACAACAATAACAACAATGATACTAATGTGATGTTTGTATTGTGCGTGTTTTGGTCAGCAATCTAGCTATTTATCCATCTATAATATATACAGATATATCTATATCTATATCTACATCTACATCTATATCTACATCTATATATACACATTTTGTATTCGTTCCCCAGTTTGTTTGTCTGATTGTTTGTGTGCACTATACTATACTATACTATGCATTAATTGATCGATCTCTTTCTCCCTTCCTCCCTCCCTCTCTCTCTCTCTCTCTCGTTCTCTTTCCTTTTTTCTTGTGTTTGCTATGATCTACTGAAGTTCCAATTGTCCTTCTGTTAATGTATATAACCTCTTCTCTTAACCTTTTCTTTTCGTTTCTTTCTTTGCCTTGTTCCCTTTCACTAGTTTCTTCTTGTTTTGCTTTTGACATAATTTGATTTGACTTGTTATCAAAGAAGAAGAAGAAGAAGAAGAAGAAAATAAAAATATCAATCACACAGTAACTAAATACCCAACTTCTTCAGTCTACTGCATCAACTATAACACTCGTAACTGTGTCCTTCTCTGCATATAAACCATGTCCTTCGTCAAAGATTTCACCCCAATCGCCTTAAAGGATACCAACTTATTCAAGCCAATCCAAATCGGTGACGTTGAATTGAAACACCGTGCCGTTATGCCTCCATTAACCAGAATGAGGGCTCATCACCCAGGTAACATCCCAAACAAAGACTGGGCCGTTGAATACTACGACCAAAGATCTAAATACCCAGGTACTTTGATCATCACCGAAGGTGCCTTTATCTCCCCTCAGGCCGGTGGTTACGATAACGCTCCAGGTATCTGGTCCCAGGAACAAGTCGTGGAATGGACTAAAATCTTCAAGAAAATTCACGAAAACAACTCCTACGTCTACGTCCAATTGTGGAACTTGGGTAGACAATCCTTCGCAGACACCTTGGCCAGAGACGGTCTACGTTACGATTCCGCCTCCGATAACGTCTACATGAGCGAGGAACAAAAGGAAAGAGCCTTGAAAGCTAACAATCCACAACACGGTATCACCAGGGAAGAAATCAAACAATACATCAAGGAATACGTCCAAGCCGCTAAGAACTCTATTGCTGCCGGTGCCGATGGTGTTGAAATCCACTCCGCCAACGGTTACCTATTAAACCAATTCCTAGACCCAATCTCCAACAAAAGAACTGACGAATACGGTGGCTCCATCGAAAACAGATCTCGTTTCGTGTTGGAAGTCGTCGACGCTGTCGTCGAAGCTATCGGCCACAAGAAAGTCGGTATCAGATTCTCTCCATATGGTGTCTTCGGTACTATGTCCGGTGGTGCTGAGCCATTGATTGTCGCCCAATATGCACACGTTATTGGTGAATTGGAAAAGAGAGCTAGACAAGGTAAGAGATTGGCCTTTGTCCATTTAGTCGAACCACGTGTCACCGACCCATTCTTAGTCGAAGGTGAAGGTGAATACGACCAAGGTACCAACGACTTCGTTTACTCCATCTGGAAGGGTCCAATTATCAGAGCCGGTAACTTGGCTCTACACCCAGAAGTCGTTAAGGAAATGGTTAAGGATGACAGAACTTTGATTGGTTATGGTAGATTCTGGATCTCCAACCCAGATATCGTTGAAAGATTAGAAAAGGGTTTACCATTAAACAAATATGACAGAGATACCTTCTACGCTATGACTGATAAGGGTTACTTAGACTACCCAACCTATGACGAAGCTGTTAAATTAGGTTATTGATTCAATGGAATTCTTTTCAAAAATTTTTTTTCCTCATATGATGTCCTGTTTTTCTTATTTACTTTATATATATATATATATTAGTTAAATAGATACGAATGAATTATTATTTAATGTTATAAATATTTGGTTAGAATATGTTCTTATTTATTTATTTATCTGCTTGATTAACATTCGCTTACTTTTTTTTTATATATAGTAGTTTTCTGTTCAAAGAACGTTATAACGTCTTATAAATCATATTCAAAACAATCGTATATAATACCAATAGGTACATATATCTATTTATATTTATATTTATAAAGTCGAAAAGAAGAAAAAGGAAAAAAGACAAAAAAATGTGTATGTATGTGTGTATTTTAGATAAACATCAAATAGAGATTATAGTATTAAACTTCAGCTACTCATCTATACCTATTTTGTAAAATATTCACTTGCTGTTGTAATGCTTGATAATTACCTAGAATGTTTGTATCACTGGAAGATGCATTTGAAAGCAAATTATTCGGTTGTCCAGTAACAGTTGGACTATGTGAGTTACTTTTACTAAACATACCCAATTGATTTGGCATCCCTAAATATTGGCCTTGATTCGTATTCTGTTGACTCATAGTCATGGTTGGTACAGATGTCTGTAATGTGTTCCCTAGATATGTGTTATGGGGATTTGATTGTTGTATTGTATTTGCCATATGTATCTGATTTTGTTGAGGAACGGGATTCCCCAGATATTGCACACCTGGTTTCTGCTGCTGTACTTGTTGTTGTGATGACTGGGATTGGCTATTATACGATACTTGAGAATTAGTACTATAATTGCCAGAATTTTGAATCGGTTGTGTAGGGTTATGTAATTGGTATGGAAATTGTCCATTAGTATTGCTGTTATTACTGTGGAAAAATTGTCGAGAGGCAATATTTTGAGAATTATTATATGTATTCTGTTGTGAAATATGAGAGGGTGTCGTAGTTGCAGATGTCATAGAGTGTTGTTGTTGTTGTAGTTGAGATACATTACTTTGGTATGGTAATGCACTATTACTTACATTAGGAGAAGGGGTGTGCGATAATAATGACTGAAAATAGTTGCCTGCCACATTCGAAGCTGATAACAAGTTATTATTCCGAATTGAGCCTTGCGTTACTATATTAGTTGGCTGCAATTGTTGCTGTTGAGCTGTATGTTGAGGACTTAAATAAGTTGAGTTTGCCTTTTCTGTTATCGAATAATTAGATTGTCGTGTTAATATATTAGTTGCATCATTCATCGTATGTTGTGGTGAAGAGGGCTGATTAGATTGTAGTATATCATAACTATTATCCCCATACATACTTTGCTGTGTTACAGGATGAGTTGGGGTCTGTCGTTGTTGTTGTTGTGACGATTGTATATTTTGTGGGTGTTCCTGCATTTCTGGTCTATACTGAGTAAAATTCATAAATGAATCCTGAGATGTAGTGTTAGATTCATTCGATAACATATCTATTTGATTAATTGTATTATTCTGTTTTTTCATTAAATAATTAGCGGAGCCTGTGGCTGTCGGTTTCAACGGTTCAATTATTTGAGGTACCTTAGTATTCACAGTATTTGCTATATTGTTATATTGATATGATGTAGAAGATTGAGTAGCATTGTCATTTGTCATTAAATCATTAAAATTACTATTACTATTTGTAACACTAGCATTAGTAATCGTATTTGCATTGATATTACCACTATATTGACTTCTTACTAGATAATTAGCAGAGCCAGTTGCTGTGGGCTTTAAAGGTTCTATAGTTTGTTGAGAATTGGAATCCTGTGTCCCAAAATTAGTGTTATATTCTTGACGCATGAAATGGTTAGCAGAACCCGTACTTGTTGGTTTCAAAGGTTGTAGTGGTACTTGCTGAGCACTAATTCCCACAAATCCGTTTGCACCTAAATACGAAGGTGGAATCAAAGAAACAGAATCAGGACCTCTAATTTGTTTGAAATGTGATAAGGAATCTTGCATATCCTTTAATTCTTCTTTTTCCTCTTCAGTTTCTTGTTGTTCAGTGGGGATTTCAGATATCAACGATGTATTACGTTTCTTTCTTTCGGCCATTAGTTTTAGAAGTTGATCCATCGGTAATGATAAATCTAATGGACTATCTTCAGAAAGATTACTATCATCAGTTTTTTTGTCATTTATACTTGAATCATTAGTATTTTCTTGAGAGGGCTCTTGGAAAGTTATATGTTCTGAGAATCTGACTTTTTTATTTCTATAAGCTGAGTTTTTAATCTTTCTTCTGATCCTCTTTCTAGTTGATTTACCTGTTAGTAACAGAGAGGTAAAGGAATCAAAATCAACCTTAGAATCATTTTCTCTATTTTGATTATTTTCTTCTTCTTCTTCCACTTCTTCATAAACTTCTCCATCTGTTTGAGAATTTAAAATAGGTTTGGGTTTAGGTACTGTAGCTTTTTCCAGAATCATTTTTCTAGTAGGTAAAATGGATCTATATACAGCCAAAGAAATTAATCTTAGAACTGCAAAAAATTGACCAATATTTAATGCATTTTTACAAGTTCTAAAAATGGTGTATATTCTTTCTTTTAACTTTTCTGGAATAGCAAAATTGGTTAAGAATTTGAAAATATCATTTAATCTAACTAATTTTCCATGTGTTCTTGTTGTAATGTATTTGTACCATCTTAAATATGTACGCATTTCTTCGTGCGACAGTTGGACTTGAGACAATGATAAAGGAACTTGTAAATCCTCAGTCGTTTCTATATAGGATTCTTCACTATCATCATTGCCACCATTGGATGGGATAATTGCAGTTGATCGGTTACTGTGGCTACCACTATTTATATTTGTTGCCGGATGATTAGCCTTCCGTAGTAAATGTTGATTTAAAGGGATTGATGTGTTTGAAGTTGTTGTGGTGTCTTGTGTATAATTAGCAAAAGGATTATTTTTTTTTGGCATAACCGTTGTGGATTGTTGCTGTGTTTGTTCTCGTTGGGCATTATTACTTAAAGGTTGATTGTAATAAAATGATACAGATGGTGGTGGTGCCCCATCCTTTTGGATGTTTGGAGTACTTGAATTATCGTTAAAATTTAAACCTGGTACGTTCAACCAGTCAAATGACATTCTCAAATATAAGATGATTATAATAAATTTAAAACTAGAAGGAACGAGTGGGATGTTATAACTGTAAGACAGTATCTGGCAAATGGTTTGAAATAGTTAATTGAGGATGTATTGTTAAAATAAAAGTAAAGATCAGATAGTTAATAAAAGGATAAAGTAATATCAAATTCCAAAAATATACAATGTTAATAATGTCTTCTGTACATAAGAACTGTTTTGTGGAAGTTAGTGCTACTGATTTTTCTTTTCTCTTGTTTTTTGTATGAGTTAGCGCACTTTTTTTTGGATTTGGTTTTGATTCTTTTAAACCTTCTTTATGCCGCAGTTCACCAATTACTCGCTACAATTGCAACAATACGGTTTTCTGTTGATAAATACTATAAAGACACAACCACGCACCACATACACAAAATTGGTAAGAACAGTTAGAAAATTTATCTGAAGTATTTATCTGGAGTGTGACAGATGATATAGATACACATACTCTTTTTTGGTGGTAGGAATGACGAAGTTTGGGATTCAATTTACATTAATTACGAAAAGGTGTCATTTGAAAATACATTTAGAATATTAGTTATTAATAGTATATAGAGCACGCATATGTTTGTATATATATTTATATGTTTTCGTATTAAGTGTTCTTCAGTCTATAATAGTTTTTATAGTATTTTGTCCTTGATTTGCTGGCAAAGTAAAAAAAATGTTGATTATGTATAGTCAATTGCAGTTGTCATTTTACTCAACTCATTCAATCAACCTGTCAGTCTATCTAAATTATTTGATTTGTTTTTATAATGAAAGGAGTATTATGACTACTGATTTATAATACGTTGATGCAAGTCAACATAATATGTAGAAGGCTGTGTGGGTGTATTGTTAATTGAATAGTTCCTTTTGTTACAACTTTTTATGTGATCAAACCCCTTTATGCTGATTTCTTTACGTATATTAGTAATACTTGAATCTATTTTTTGGGCTATACTATGTTGTTTTACGAAATCCTCAGATGAAGGAATCCCATCAGGTAACATAATAGGTAATTTTTGTTTTTTGCCCGATTGAATATCTTTTAAATAATCCTTTAAACTGTATTCTTTACATTCCTTGTTCCTAGAAAACTGTCTTTCAGTAGTCTTTTTAATATATTCATTTTCCAATTTATTAATTTGTTTTGAATCACGCTGGAGTTGCATTTTTAAGAAATATTCCAAGAAATCTTTAGAATACGCCCTATTATATTGAGCAAAAACAGGTTCCCTTGGAGTGAAATCAAAACCTGAAACATCAATAAGTTTATTCTCATCAGACGTTAACAGTTGGGCCTCTGGTTTGTCTAGGAGTTGCAAAATATTTAAGGATTCGCCTGGTGGGATTGCCATTGGATTAGATGGTGTAATACAATCCATATCAACTTCCTTCCTTAATACTTTATCAATATCGATGGCAGAAAAGAATGCACAATTTTGTGGCAAATCATTGATTCCCATCTGTTCACAAAACATGGCTCTTGTCCAAATATTACTGACTTGTAAGGCCATAGCTACCCTGTATTTATCCTTCTCGGATGCCAAGTATCTAATTTCATCATGGATGGTGATACATAATCTTGCATTAAGGTTATACTTGGCAATCAGATAATTCATTGAACATAATAAAAGATGTAAATAGTCAACGCCTGATGATTGAATAGCCCAGTTGATTCGTGATGGGAGAAATGAGGACGTTTGTAAGTTTTTTTTTAATAAGGTGGAAGTGATACCACAACCTAGTGTAGGTGTCATAGGGTTTTCTTGTTCTGCGATGGCTTCCAATTTATTGAAAAGGATTGATTCAGAACCTCCATACCAATATTTCTTAAACATTTTGGATCTTTTAATCTTACCCTTTGTGTTTTCATATAATTTGAGTGCGGTTTGTTTGGCCTCATTTTCCGTGAGAGCGGGATTAAATTGTCTTAATAATTCACCTGCAAATTTCACGCCAGCTCCATAGATTCTACCATAATTGAATATTTTTGCTTCATTACGTGAACATCCAAGAAGAGAGGCAGTTTTACTATGTAAGTCGGTACCTTCAGCTTTAGTACCCTCTAGACACATCCACCCAATAGGAGTGCCTCCATGAATATTAAACACCGAGTCGCCGACTAAAGACGCTATCCATAACTCCTCGCTATCCACATCTGCACCAACAAAACAATAACCATCCGGTGCAATTACTTGAGTCTTTAATTCTGATCCGATTCTATTCTTTTTAGCATTAGATGCAGTTAACCAAGTTTTCTCTACAGCCCTTCTTGTTACAGTACCCATTGGAGCCAATTGTGGTAATATAACAGCTAAATTATTATTATTATTGATATTGTTATTAATATTTGTATTATTGTTATTGTGATTCTTAGAGTCTTGGAAATTAAATTGATTATCAAAATCTTTTTTACAGACAACGTGTTGATCAAAGATTCTCTCTCTTGATGACATCCAATAAGAACCTGAAGAATTCAAATTCAGTGCCTCTAAGGCCAATTTGGATTTAGAGGTCAAGATACCTTTCTCAAAAAAATGAATATAACCTTTCCCTAGTAAAGTTGTGGATCGAAGATTTCTGTCTCTGGGATTAGGTATTTTCATTAGTATCGTAATATCGTTGCTGTAATCATTATTGCTGTTATTAATGTTATTATTGTTATTATTTAAACTTGACATCCTTTGGTTCTGATATAGTTTCTGTGATTGTTCATCTGCCATTACATAATTTTTTTGAACAAATCTATCGTATAGATAGTTTGGTATAGGGAAACACCAACCTGAACCAGTAGTCCATATCACTGGGAACCCCTCCCATGACAATTTAAATAGGATAGGGATGATTCTTGTCTTTATTGTGATGTTGGGCACAGTAGTAGTATTGTTATGGAATAATGATCTGTACCATTCAGGATACCCTGGCTTTTTTTGGTTCTTATAAGGCACACCCCTTTTTGTCAATTTGGTTGGTTTTATTGTCCAATCCAATTGAGAAAGCCAAGGGTCGTTTTGGATAGTTTCTATGAATTGTTGGTCGGGTAAGTCTTTCAGCTTAACTATATCTTCGATGATTTGGATGATTTTTTGCTCGATCTCTATCTTTGATTTTTGGTATAGTGTCTCTGCAGAGTTAGTATAACTCTGCCATCTGGTGTGGTCCAATGGCAAGATACAGTTGTTCAAGTCCTTTAGAGCACCAAAGGAGACTGGGTGAGGACATTTCTCTAAAAACATGGGGAAGACCGCATCGAACACTTTGGATGTGGCGATGACGTCGGTTGCACAGTAAGTCATGAGTTCTTGGAAATTTTCGGTTATCGAAGATTTATCAGTTGTGGAAAAATAGTCTCTGTTTGTCTTATCCATTTCAATGTTACAATAGTGGTATGCTACGTCACTTAACGAGTTTAAACTGGAAACGCTGATCCATGGGTTGTCTTCCAATTCATACATCAAACTTTGTTCCAAATCAGTATAAGAAGAAGAGGAAGAGGAAGAAGAAAGTGAGTCTCTTAATTTTAGATTTCTTTTCAACTTTTTCAATTTTTCATTTTTTTTATAAATAGGTCTTTGTCTTGAACTTAACCCAGTGATGGCAATATGTAGGGATCTTGTATCCATATAATAAGCTCTTGGAGCAGTGAAGTTATATTCTTCCAAGACTTTGGATCTATCGAAGGCGACGTTATGTCCAATAATGAGCATGTCTCTATTCATTGAGTTTAAAGGGATCAAATGTTTATAGGAAAAGGAAGAATCAGAAGAACATAGATAAGGCGAACACCAGGAGTACCATGCTTTGGAAGATACGGCAGTAGCCATTATAGGGTAGTGAGACACATTATACATGGTTTCTGTGTCAAAAACCAAGGTATTTTCCAGTGGGTAAGGAACAGACTGGATAGAATCACTGGGATCTATTGGGTACCTGGTCCAACCAGGTTGAAAGAGCCATTTTGCAGGGATTGGGGGTAAGGATTTGAATTTATTTAGAGCCATTGATAGGTATGGATGAGACATGAAATGGCCCAGTTTCTGGAAGTGTTCGTCTAGTGAATGGCCTTGCAATGGAGGGAGGATGAAAGATATTGGTTCTGTGATCAAAGTTCTTTTGTTCAACAGATCATGGTTTTGCAAAGAGAGTTTAGCCAATTTTAATAGTTTATTATTTTCATCTCTTGTGAGGTCATTGTTGCTGTTGTTGTTGTGAGGAGTGTTGTTGCCAAATAACTGTTTGTGTAGAGACTTACTTAAATATTGGATACCTACAGGATTGATTCGTGGTTGTTCTTTGAAATAGGAAAATTGATTCGATGCTATGACAGTGGTATCGGTGTCAACGTTACTATTATTACTGTTGCTACTACTATTATTACTTGTGCTGTATAATTTTTTATTATTCTTTAAAAAACTGTAAATGCTTCGACTTGGGTTTGAACGTGGATGTAGATGTGTACATGCAGATAGATATGTATATATCAGTGACCGTGTGTGTGTAAAACTAGTTGAAATAGTATTTTGCATGACCTAAAAACATTCTACCTCAATATAATAAAAAAGGAAAAGAAATATTGATAATATACAAAATGAATGAAAACACACAACAAAAGGAAAAAAAAATTAAAAAGGAAAGGAAAGGAAAGTACCATAAACTATTGATATAGTGATATAAACAGCAGTTGCACGGTTGTATTAACCTACAATGTATAATATATCCCAATCCTCTATACCAATATCTATACCAATGTCTATATCTGCATCTGTTTCTATATCTATATTACTGTATTTGTATATTGATTTGTTTTATGTTTTGTTTTTGCGTCTACACAACGCATTTTCTATTATTTTTCTTCCACAGAGAGAAAAAAACCATAAAAAATAAAAAAACAAAACAGAAGAGAAAAGAAGAAAATGTGGTGTGTGGGTGTTGTGCCTGCACCCCTCTTTTTTTTTTCCTTTTTTTTTTTGTTTTTTGGGTGCATCGCCGTTTTTTTTTTTTTATTTTTGTTTCCAGGAAGATTTTGACGTTACTACACCCACATTTTAAATAAGAAACACAACACAACATAAAAATTATAGATATACTCACAGATATATTCATTCATACCTACCTGTTCAAACATGAGAGTAGTGTCTACGTGGTTGCTTGTGTGTATAGCTTGTCAATCCTTTTGATGATCTAATCAATCACATTAGACTTTTTTCCTTTTTTCCTCAATATCATGTAAGTAGAGTTTTGCACTGTTGGGATCTTCCAGTCCATTTCATTATTTTAGTATCTAATTAACCTGTTCTGGTGATTGTGATCGTGGTCTTTTTGAATGGTTTGGTCTAGTTTGATTTAGTTTAGTTTAATTTAGAGCTTGCCTTTTTTCTGTTCATACTAAAGTTCTATCCGTTCATCCGCCTACAACGATAGAAGATATACACACATAGACAAAAATACACACATATACATATATTTTCATTAATATATATTATATATATATATATGTATGTATGTATGTGCGTGTATGTTATATGGAAAAAAATTAGTTGATGTATTCATGCATATACACACAATAGTATATTAAACATTACTACTATGTCAAGCATATTAACTAAAATCATATCAAATTGGATGCCCTCCTTCGATACCTCCATAGATAGAAATCTAAGCAACTATTTGGCATCTAAATATTCATTCCTTTGTTTTCTATTCTTTTTACTATGGTTCTTAATTCTCCTACCTATTTTTAATTATCTATCTTCAAACAATATACATTTCTTTAAAATTTACCACACTTTCAGAAGATTTGTCAAAAATAATTGTTCTAGACTGCATCACTCCTCATTATACCATAATAGATCATTTAAACTGTGTTTTACTATCTGCTTCATCATTTTTTTCTGTTCTCTGTACAATACTCAATCAGATCTTTTACAAATAGCTAAACGGCTAGGTAGAATCCCCGCTTTGCTACTCCCCATCACTCTCTTTATGACTTTGAAACCCTCCCCTTTACCCAATAGCCTCTATCTCAACTTGCTTCCCTTCCATAAATGGCTTTCTAGATCCTTGGTTTTCTTTTCTTTACTACATTCAATCCTATACTTCGTCTACTTTGTTAAATACCATGTTTGGAAACAGAGGTTGCTCAGACTAGACAACTTTTTAGGTATTCTCGCACTAGCCCTCCTTTTCATAATCGCTTTGTCCTCCTTGCCCTCCATTAGAAGGCTTCACTACAGATTCTTCTACATCCTACACTACATTTCTACATGGCCCCTTCTTATAACTCTTCATATTCATTCAAGGTATAAAATAACTAAATACACTTTTTTGTGTCTAGCCATACTGCTTTACCAGATCGGCTACAGGTGCCTTCACACATCCACGATCAAACCTAGCATAACTAACATCTCACCAAACTTGACTCTCTTAGAGTTCCCAATGTCTCAACTGGCAAAACAACCGGTTCTACCGGCTTCTCATATTAGATTGGTTTTGAAATCCAAAAATATCTTCAAAAGAATCTTCTACCTTATAGTTCCGCTGACACACCCTTTCACTTTACTGAACTTGCCTGGCCAGAATACAGCCCGGCTGCTAATAAGAACCGGTAACTTCCCACTTCTAGCAAACCACGAATACTACGTCACCGGAGTCTACGAGCCTGTAATAAATTTCATTTCCACAACAAAGAACTATGGGATGCCCACAAGGTTCCCATTATTCTCCCACAGCAGTGAAAACTCGATAAGGAATCCATTCCAAGTCAGTTCAGCACATTTGAGGTCCTCTTCACTGCATTTCTTCGTGGATGCAAGAAGAGTGTTGATTTTTGTTGGTGGATCTGCCATATCTTTTGGGTTGCCACTTCTTAGCGTATTGAATTTTAATGGGGTTATGGTGAGATTGGTTTGGTGTGTCAGAGACTATAGAGATGTGAAAATACTGAATTATTTGAAGATTCACTATTATCAGGGGCTAGAAATCTTCATTAGTGGGAAGAGTCAAAGTTCGAACAACAATAATAACAACAATAACAATGATGATGATAATGGTGGTGATGATGATATCAAGATTGATTATTACGATTATGATCATTCTTGCTCCACTCGGGCAGATTCACAGACTTCTTTGTTACATGAACGTAATAATAGACTGAAATATACAGTAGATTCCATCAGTGAAGATGAAATTGATTTTACTGGAGCTGATTTGAATTCACCTTTGATTAAGATATTGGACTCCAAAAATTCCAGTAAAAATATGTTCAGGAAACTACAAGTTATAGAACCTCCTACAAATATGAATACTAACTGTGTTAATCTAAATTCTGATCCTAATCACCTTTGTACCGAGGCTAGAAGTGAGGAAAATGACGAAGAAAGGATTAAATTGCCTTCGTTTGTTAAAGTATCGTATGGTAGACCTAAATTGGATGATTCTTATTATGAATGGTGTTTACAAAGAGAATGTAACTCAACAGGGAATCTATCTCAAAACACTCATAATACTAACAGTACTAATCATACCCATAGCCATAATTTTAATAGTGACACCACTGCTGTTTCCTGTGTTGACAACCAGTGTTTGGAGAGTGATCTAGGTGATAAAGACGAAGAAATTCTGTCTAACGTTTGGGTTGTTGCTGTTGGTCCAACAGGATTGGTTAAAACTACGAGAAGTTGGGCTAATGATTGTGGGTTAAGATTTCATGGAGAAGAATTTACTTTATAGAACAGCGAGGGGAAACGTAGATACAAAAATTATATATATAGAATTATATATTTCCTAATTAATTAATACACATATAGTTTCTCACATCTATTCACAATTTCATATCAATATGGCATATATTATATCTATTTTCAAATAATTAAGTTATTTTGGTGGTAAATCCACTTATTAATATTATTCACAAGAAAATTCATATGTATCCGTAGTTTATGTTGCTTTTAAAAAAAATAAATTGTTTGAATCTTTGATTCTTAATAACTTTTTCAAAATATCGAAAATGTTGTTATAAGAAATAAAATATAAACAATTTCTTTATTAGAAGAAAAATAGTTTCCTATATAACTAACAATATAAAATATTCTTTTATTCAGAAATGCTGCTCATGTAGATGCCTTATAAAGATAATTATACTAATATGAAATTGTTGAAATAGAATGTTTTATGATAAAATAGATAGAACAATAAGATTTTAGCAGACACTAAACGATAAATTGTTGAGTAATAATTGTTGAGAGGTCACCAAAAGTTGTTGAGTTTATTTATTAAATATCTTACTGTTCGTAGAGGAAAATGGCTGAATGTTAACATATATAAAGCCAAGGATTTCATCATACATTATTTTTATCTTATTTACAATCTTTCTATATTATTATTTCTATGTTGTATATAAAGAAAGAAAGTGAAGAACTTTATTATAATTTTGTATACTAAATCTGTTTAATATAATATTGAGAATGTTTACTATATATCCAATGAATAAAGGCGCTCATTCCCAACAGAAATTGTACTAATTAGCAATTTTTTGATGACATTTATATTTACCATATTATCACCACAAGTACTGGTATAAATTTGGTAAATTCTCACACAATATCTCAAAGTTAACGTAAAATAATAATTGATCATATTTATATTATAACAAGAAATTAACTTTATTTTCCTGGAAATAAAGGAAATAATACAATTTTTCACATTGCTTCTCTAGAATATCCAATTAAGATTTGCTGAAATCGAACGTTCTAAAATAAATAGATAGACCAATTAGATTTTAGTAAATATTAATCGATGACAAAAAGTAGAAATTTATTGTTTGCTTATCAGTAGATGTAAACAAACCTTATCATTAATTTGGTGCCGTACATAGACGAGATAGACCAGATATGAAAATATATAAAGCTAACTTCTTTTTCATATCATGTTTCTTTTCTTGTCCATCTTTTATAAATCATCACCTATATATTATATGTAAATAAAAAGAACCGAAGAACTTTATTATAATTTTGTATACTATATATACATAAATATAACATTAAGAATGTATACTATTTATCTAATAACTAAAGGCGCTAATTCTCAACAGTATTCTATTTTAATGTGTACTTATCATTAAGATTCTTTTTATTTCTTTATTTTAACAGTGGACACTTGAGAGTTAAATAAAAGTGTGGCTCTGCTTTGTCGTCTTTTAAAGTTTGATTTCTTCTCGTTAATATATATTAATTTTAAAAAGAAAAAAAGGCAGTTTTGTAAGGTTAAAGACTGCATTGTTTCAAACTTTCCAGTATATATTAGCAAATTTCACTTAATTTTCTTTTCTAACATAAATCTTCTTTTTTTGATTCGATTTACACTATTCCTGTAACAACTTAAATTTATTAGAGTTAGTACTATTTATAAAACCAAGTGTTATATCTCACAAAAGTCGGTTTTTATATACTAGTTTTTGTGGTTCAGTTTTACTTTTTTTATTACATGAAATATGCATTGGTTGATATATCAACCTGTAAGGAGCCCTAACTGGAAATCCTGAAATACGTAGTCTGCGGGTAACGCCTAATGTCGAAGCAAAGGATTTGGAACAACCGAAACTCTGGGCCCAAGGTTGTGAGTGTATTCGAACAAACATATGATCGTCGGATGGATATTGGTGACAAATTACTACGAAGCTTACTTAAGAAACCCATGATTATTGAGAGATAGTGCCAGAGATAACTATCAGCATTAATATTTATAATCAATCTAATAGGTTAAGAAGAACAAGACGAATATCCAAGACTAATCTATTTAATAGTTAGAATCAACCAAATATATAATTTGTAAGTGTTTATATATATAATTAATATCCATATTTTAGTATACCACTTGAGATAACCCTTACACAACCTTGGAGGATTTGCTATTTGTAATGTAGATGGTGTCAAGCTATAAGAGGAATGTAGAAAAAGATGATTGGAATTATTACAGATTTGTTATACTTTTTTCTTAAAATTTACACTTAATGTCCCAATCATAAACATTTTAAAAAGTAAAAAAGATTGCTCACAAAATAAACAAAACTGAAAAAAAAAATTAATATAAAGATATAACTTATGAAACATTTAATTGCACATATTTTATTATTTAAAATAATTTTAAACAAACTGTAATATATTTTAAACTCAAAAACTTTAATTCGCACAAAAACCATACTACCTATAATGAAAATAACTATTTTTTTTTCTTAAAAATAAATAATATTCTCTATTGACAACATCTTTTTTTCTATCAATTTCTTTTCAAAAGTTTCTAAATTGTTAAATATAGATATAATAGTAGTATTATCGTTCAAGAACATATCTATAACGCAGTTATTGTTAAAATTGAAAATTCAAAAAAAAAAAAATTGACTGAATTTTTAAAAAGATTTGATTTGATTATGAAAAATGTAGTGATTCTGAATGAAAAAAAAAATTTTTTACTACAAATTTTTTTTTTCTACAATTGTAAAATAAACTTATTGAACTTTGTTTCCTTCAAATTAATATCCCCCAAAGAAGAATTAAAATTTTTATTATCTTTGTTTTGCTAAATTCTTAATAAAAAACAATAAATGCATCACCATCAATATTCTAGTATTGTTATGAAAATATGAAAGTTAAAGATTACAATATTATTAATAATCTCATAGAATTAATTATAGCTATAGAAAGATATATATTTAAAAAAAGAATTTGAAACTAAAACATCATACTTCATAAAAGTATATTCAATTGGTAAATAAATGTAAATCTGAAATAGAAATATTAGACAAAGTATATAATATTCAGGATATATATTTACGTTTACTTAAAATTAAACCTTTTGTCTGTCTATTTATAAAATATAACAAAAAAATAGGGAAAAACAAAAAAGCCCAAAAAACCAAAAATTTAAAGCAAAAACTACTAAGTCACCTAATAAAATGTAGTGGTAAAGAGGGAAATAATAATATTTCTATATAAATTCCACTGGCAATCCCGAAAAATTAATACAAAAAAGAAGATTGTAAACCACAAAATGATTCCTATATAAGTTATTTGTAAGGAACCTAACTGGAAATCCAGTAGATACGCAACTCCGAGGGTAACACCTGAGTGTCTAGGTGGAGGATTGGTACAGTCACGTGCGCAGTGGCTCGTATAAGGTATTGAATCTGATTGGAGGATTTCCAGGGAGTGATAATTATATCAGATCTTGTCAAGAGGCCTTTGATTATTGTGAGATAGGCTAGGGGTACTCATCTTATTTAAATACATTTTAGTAATGATATTAAGAGTTACATCTTAATATCATACAAGAACAACAAGAAGAAGTAATACAATATCAGGGTTATTAATTAGTAATATATAGAGCTTACGTAAGAGTGTTTATACTTATACTAATTGATACGATTCATCCATTTACATACAACAACTCTTACATTATTATTTTAGTCCCACATTAACGGATAATTTGAAAAAAGTAATGGTTTCCATTTTTTGTATATTAGTAACATTAAAAAAAGAAACAAAGGAAATATGAATGATATTGTAAAAAACAATAACTTCAGACATAAAATTATATCAGTACATGTTGATTATGTTCTTACCTGTCCTTGAATCTGTTATTTTTTTAAAAAATGACACAAAAAATTTTATATATTATATAAAATTTTTATACGTTTAATAGATAAATGTTCAAAACTTATTCCAACCATTAAAATTAAAAAATCCAATTAATACTTTAAGAAGGAACCTATATTTTTATTTTTATAAGCCAACTTCAAAAACAAAAGAAAACATTGGTTTATTCTTATGTATTCAGTTTATAGGCAATATATGGTCATATTTTTAACATATTTTGAGAAAATATTCAATTTTTCTTTTAAAAGATTCTTTCAAAATAATAGATAAAAACATTTCACAATTGTTTCTTAGCAATATAATTCTTCGTATTTATAGAATGTTTCGATTTTTTTTACAGGATGGAGCTTATAAAAGTCAATAATATGTTACCGTCCAACTAATTTCACCCATAAATTTTTAGTCTTATTGGGACAATTTTTCAACAAATTGGATTAGGAATAGCAGAGATGTTTGTCCTAATCGGCACTTCCTGTTTATATTATAGTATTTTTTTCTTTTACAAATTAGCATTATCTAAGGACAGTTTGTTTGGCGCTTATGGACTTATAAGGTATATTGATACCTTGAAAGAGATCACTGCAAGAGATACTAAACAGTATTATAGGTAAACGAACAAATATATATATATATATTCTGTAATATTAACTTTACTCCACCTATTATTATATGGATAGTTTAAATTTTATAGCCATATTTATTTAATGTTAGAACAACATATGTTACAAAGTGTTTATAAATTTTCCAAAAAGAAGAGTTTGGAAATATGGTGCTAACAATCTTTTTTCCAAAGTAAAAGTCAAAACCCTAATATAATACATTGTGACAACCCTGAGATTATTTGTTTCTGATAACAATTAACATCGTTAAAATCACAATAACACTTCATTTGAATAGACATAAGATATAGATTCTTTCTATATCTCTAGATATAATGTTACTACATATCTACATATCCCTAATATAATGAAACTAGATAATATACACTTATACACTTATACACTAGATATCTACTTTTATTTACTTATTGTTCGTTCGTTATTTCTCCTTCTTTTATTTATGTATGTTTGTAAAATTTTGCAAAAAGGAAATGTAATAGATGAAAACCCGATTACGAGAGATATACTCTTCTAGACATTAAAATAGATAGATATAGCTTGATTTATTGTCTATATATGACATATAAACTATACTCTACATAAAGAGTAAACTAATATATACAGATATACAGATAAACATAGTTATATAAACAAGATAAACAAGAAAAACAGGAGCGTCGTCGTCGACCAAGGCGTTCACCAGATCGATTATAGTGACATCCGGATTTCATATATTACAGGAAAGGTTAGAAAAATAACACCAACCCTCATTTTTCTAAAAAAAACCCTAAACAGCAACATCAAGGATATTAAAAAGAATCGACACCAGCAGGATTTGAACCAGCGCGGGCAGAGCCCAACAGATTTCAAGTCTGTCGCCTTAACCACTCGGCCATAGTGCCCAAAATGAACTACCATCATTGTGGAATAGAATAGTTATAACCATCAAGATTACATAAGATCCTGAATGAATCTAGAACTATTTATTGTATTAATAAGCTATACACGTGCTACAACATTAGATGCTGCATAATAAAAAGATTGGATTACATAAGATCTTGGCAAATCTAGAATTTACCTATTGTTTTATTAAGTCCCACGTGTATTACTAATCACCATGATTAGAGAATTGGGATGCAGTTCTAATCCAGTAGTGCACCTAAATTAATATAATAAATTTTAGGGTTTGAATCAGTCAAGTCATTAATGTAGTAATCTGAATAATCGATCGAGCTCCAGAAAACATATAAAAGGACAACGTTTTCAGGAGATAAAAGATCATCTTCCATAATCGTTTCTTGTAAATAATTTATATATTATGTATAAACAAAATAGAACAAGCAAGTAACAAGTCAAGTAACTTCGAATAAGTACATTAGCTCGATATAAGCCGCTTAATATATAAGACCGTTTTAGTAATTATACTATCGACTATAGTTGATTACTGTCTCGATTATTTGAATTACTATTAATATTATTTGCGCTTCCCTGGAATACACAAAGAACTTCACCACACCATACTACAACAGCAGATAAGCAATTCTTTCCGATGTAGTGTAACGGCTATCACATCACGCTTTCACCGTGGAGACCGGGGTTCGACTCCCCGCATCGGAGCTTCTTTTTTGCAACCTTTTGGTAGCATGTGTAATAATCCTTAGGCTATGCGTTTCTAATAATAGTTGATTAAAGATAATATTTTCAATAATTCATTTAGATATGTATAACATCTGATTGAGAGGTATTATTTCAGTTTCAAAATCTTTATTAGAAATTTTTATAAAATCAATACAATGAAATGCTATGGATTTGTAATAGAATATTAGTGGTGTTATAGGCTCTCAACATATTTATACTAGATTGTTAGTGCTATTATAACTCTAACTTATATTGCTTGATTTTACCCAGTCTTCATAACTAACAGAGAAGGTATAATATATAGTTAGACCTGCTGTTTATTTAAGTCTTTTTTAATAGAAGTCTTTGGAACTTTCTCTACCATTTGGTGTGGTAGATTTAAGTTATCCAGAATATCTCTAACTTATATTTTGACAGAATAACATAAACAAGACCAAAAACATACATTCTGGACCGCATATTTACCGATTAAAATATACTATAAATAATTGTTTATGTAAGAAACTTTCCTAAAATCTAATAGATACATAATCTTGCGGGCAATATTCCAGTGTCTGAGTGGAGGATTGGTACAACCATATACTCAGTGATCAGTTTAAGCTACTGAATTTATTTAGAGGTTTTCTGAAGAGTGATAACAATACCAGTTCTTACCCAAAAGTCCTTCGATAATTGTGGGATATGCCAGAGGTAATCATCTTATTTGAATACACCCTAGTACTGATATTAAAAGATAACTCTTAATCTCGTATAAGGTCACCAACACTAACAAAATTAAGTTAATAATACTACATCAAGTGTTGTGCAATTTTATATACTATTTACATAAAAATGTTTATACTTATCCTACTTATTTCAATTCATCTATTTATCGAATAAAAATTTCTATACGTTGATAGTATGAGGAATTCTATTATTTATAACAATATAAATATAATTTAGAATTGTGCCCAGTAAAAATTAACTACTCAAAGAGAATAAACCAGAATGAAATGGATAGAATAATGTGATCAGGATAGACACCAAACAATAAATTGCTGAATATTTGTTGTCTATATATCAATAAATGCCAACAATACTATTTGCTTAATCTTTTACTTTTTGTAGAAGAAAACTATTTAATATCCACACATATAAATTATCATAAATCTTGAAAAAAAATGTAATCCCGAACTCAACAGAAAAAATAACTTACCTTCACTATCCAGAGAGCTTATGAGTCATCAACCCATCTGGTAGAAAATTATAATAGATTATTTGAATTATTTATGAAAGGAAATTGAAAGAAATATTATTGATCAAAAGAAGTTTCACAGTGATACAGCTTCTTTATGCCTGTAGCTTTGTGTTTGTAATCAAAAGAAAAGTAGTAACTATTTTTTTCGCTTTAGAAATACTCTCCAAACTCGTAGAAACTAGTAATTGCTGGAATCGAACGTTCTAGAATAAATAATAGACCAATTAGATTTTAGTAAACATTAATTGATAAGCAAAAAGTGAAGAATGTATTATTTGCTTATCAGTAGACATAAACAAACTTCATCATAAATTTGGTGCCGTACATAGACGAGATAGACCAGATATGAAAATATATAAAGCTAACTTCTTTTTCATATCATGTTTCTTTTCTTGTTCATCTTTTATAAATCATCACCTATATATTATATATAAATAAAAAGAACCGAAGAACTTTATTATAATTTTGTCTACTAAATCTATCTAATATAATATTGAGAACGTTTACTATATATCCAATGACTGCAGGCGTTCATTCTCAACAGTAATGAAAAGCCAAATTCAAAATCAGAAATAAGCTACAAGCATATATATTGGATCAGTCTTAGCCTCATTTGTTGTGTCTCCTATTTTGCAATGAAAATTTGACAGTAAATTCCACAATATATTTTATATTATATAATTAATATATCTTCTGATGTAATATATATATATATATTATTTCATATATCTAATCATCTAGGCGGATAAAAATATCAAATGATATAAATAACCACTATATAATACTTTTATTTTTTACTTAAGTGATAATATCTATTAGTCCATAAAGTATATTTATGCATGTCAATTTTTAACATTGTTTAATGATAAAGCTCTTTTGCAAAATATCTGTAAAACACAACTTTATTAGTAATTAAATCAAGAGATATTTCATTGTTATTACTAATTAGATGTATTGGACTTCCATACAGATGTTAAACATTTTCTTTGTTAGTCTTAAGGAAAGAAGAAATTGCTTGAACTGGATGTGATTTGCTAGACTCTTGTAACTGCTCAAAAATGCGCTTTCAAACAACCCTGACATTCTTTCCATGACATTACTCTCGCTTTCATTGTCAACATTACATTGTTCTTGTTATTCTTATATTTTTACTACTTTTATACTATTTGCCCTATAGCTTCGTACGACATGATATACACAAGTTGTTTTCACTTTTTTTTCTCTCTTTCCTTGTTTTATTATTATTATTATTATTATTATTATTATTATTATTTTTTTTTTTTTTTTTTTTTTTAAATTCCTAAAACAAGTTTAAGTAACCCAAATAATTCTGAAGAGTACGTAAAGTTTTCAAGAAAGTCTATTAAACTATTACATTCAGCGTTGGCTAGAGTTTGATACATAGTCTCTTTGTTTCCTTGTTTCTTTTTATTTCTTTCCTGCAAGCGTATGAAACAATACTAATATTACCATCACTATAATATTTTTCAGTAAGCGTGCTATTTGGATTATTTGGTTTTCTTTTCTACTTAACTACAATCAATCAAATAAATATAATATATACAATAGAATATAATAAAATAACATTATAACCATATCTCCCATAAAGTCACAGTATTATCCGCATAAGAGTATAAAGTTAATCAGAATATGACACGCCAACAGTCACAGTTTGTAGGATTTGGTGTTCAGGTGGAATTAAAAGATGGAAAGTTAATTCAGGGGAAAATTGGAAAGGCTACTTCAAAAGGTTTAACCTTATATGACGTTGAATTCAGTGATGGTGGTACATCACAAGCTTTTAAAGTCAGAGCTTCGAGATTGAAAGATTTAAAAGTATTAAGTGTAGCCCAAAACAACCGTATTGGTAATAAACAAAATAGAGTCTACAATAACAATAACAAGAATGGTAGCATAAGAGAAAATAACAAATTTAGTGGGTTTAATAGTAACCAAAGCAGTACCATATCTAACAATAGCATTAATAAAAACGATATAAAACAAAATAATGGCAGAAACTCTAATAATAACAGCAATCATAATACTGGTAGTAGTAATAATACCGAAAGTGATAATTGGCAGAATGATGACATTAGAAAGATTAAAGAAAGTGAGGATTTTGATTTTCAAGGAAACCTTAATATGTTCAATAAAAAAGATGTTTTTGCACAATTGAAACAACAAGATACCGTTGATTCGGCGCAACGACTAATCTCACATAACAGAAAACCTATTGATAATAATTATAAAAATGGAAGAAATGGTAAAGATTCTTCTCTTGATTTGTTGAATAATAGTAATAATAACTTTGATATAGATGAAATGGTTATACCCAATGCTAAAAAAGATGCTTGGGACCAAATAATGTACGATAGCCGAATGCAAAATAATGATAAATTTGGATCTAGTGACAACAACGATGAGAATGAGGATGAAGATGAGGACGATGACTATGATGAAGAGTTTGAAGATGCAAACTATTTCCCTATCACAAAATCAATTAATATTACACATCTTTTACATTCAGCTGTTAATAGTACAAATAATGATTCAAGAGATGATAATAACAATGATCGAAACGGTAATAGTGAGTTACTATCTAAATTAGAGAAGATGATAATTAATGAAACATCAAAGACCGCAAGATCAAATTCCATCTCCAACTTCAATCCAATATTAATTAATCCCAAAAATAATAAAGAAATTCCAATGGCTACTCCAGTACAATTATTGGAAATAGAAAGATTAACTGAAGAGACATTTCATATTTCAATGAATGACTGCATTGATAATAACTTTGCATTAAATGCATCTTATTACATAAGACAAAAACTAGGTGGTGAATCTCGTTTAACTATGAATAATTCTAATCCTGAACCATTAGTTGTTGTGTTAGCTTCTGATTCAAATAGATCGGGCAGAAAAGCATTAGCCCTATCAAGATATTTGTGTCAAACTCAGCAAGTTCGTGTTTTAATGGTATTTAGTTGTTCAATGAAAAATATTGAAGAAAACAATAAAGTACTAAAGGCAAATATTGATATTTTTGTTAAATGTGGAGGGAAAATAGCTACGGATATAAAGCAATTAAAGACGATTTTAACTACACTAAATAGCCCGATTGAAATAGTAATTGATGCTATACAAGGGTTTGATTGCAATCTAATTGATTTTGATATATCACAGAATAGAATTATAGATATGATCAATTGGTGTAATGAAACTATTGAAAATAATAATGTCAAAGTATATTCAATAGATATGCCATCAGGGTATGACAGTGGATCTGGCTTACAAAATTTCGATGTTGCTATGCATAGAATTGATCGTGTGTTATGTTCTTATACTTGGCCATTAATTGCATTAGCCAATATGAAATCAATCATCGCAAACAGTAATCATGAAAATGACGGTAATATTATTTTAGTTGATTGTGGAATTCCACAGAATGTGTATTTAGAAAGAAATTCCTTACGTAAATTCCATAGTGTTGATACTTTTACCACAAAGGGGTATTTGAGTTTAAGTTTATAGATATGATTTTTTACTATTATCATTAATTCTTTTTTGCTAGTTTCTGTTTCTGTTTAGGTTCGACTTAAATCTGTTTATGTGATTTATATTATTGGCATTGCCATTTACAATTAATATTTCTCACTTCGGCAAGGGTAGAAATATATCATGTTTTCTTCTGTTATTTATAACAATTATATTTTACATTCGAGTATGCAATTGAAAAAGCGAGGGGGGATAAGGAAAAACGATATCTTTTTTGTTTTTTGTCTTATTTTTTGATAACTTAACAAATATCTACATAATTGTATACTTATATAACAATCTATAAAATATTAGAAACTTAAATGAAAGGGATGACACATATGATGCTAGATTAATCATAAGAAAGGATAATTATTACTTTATTAGAAAATTTAGTAAATTATGAATTACTGTATCATACCACTCTTAGTTAAAAATTATTTACAAAAAATGTGACGATTATATTTTGTTATGCAAACAAATATGCATGTACTTATTTTAGTAGAATCTGTTCTTTCCAATATCTTGATGTCTAACCTAATAATCAAGCAATTAAATATGAAAAAAAAGTATGTAATATAATAACAGAGATTTACTGAGGAGATACACAAAAATAGAAATTCGATAACAGAAAAAAAAAAAGCAAAAAAAAAAAATTAAAAAAATAAAAATAAAACTAGAAAAAGGACAAAAGGGCAGAAAAGCGAAATTTTAAGCTGGAAATAGAGTGAGAGACACAAACATAGGGAGAAACAGATAAGATCAACTAGAGGAAAATACTATACCTCTATTCTGTATTATATACAGACAGATAGACATTTATATTCTATTTGATTGTCCTGAGTAAACAAACTCATAACAGTACCAATCACCTATTGTTATCTTCTAGTAGCATTAATTCTTTTCTCAACTATTGAAAATTTGACCTTATTTTTAGCATTTTATCTATATATTTGAAGGTTGTTATTATTACTGGGTATAACCAATATTAAGAAGTTATAATTTTAGAAGTTAGTCTATTCTACATTCCAATTGAAGAATTTAGTCAATTTACTGTTAAGTCAAAGTAAATTACCATCATTACTATTATTATTTATATATTGAATAGCAAAATAAACTATAAGAAACGAAAAAAACTATATCCTTCCAACCTGTCGTTAGAAAAAAAAGTGTAAAACAAATAACATATTAAATGGGTGCTTGTTGTAGTTGTTATAAAAATCCTTCCATTTCAGATAATCTTGCAGGTGTTGATACAGATGGCAATAATTTAGGTGTCAATGGAGGTGGCACTGATGATACAAGCGTCCTTCCAATCGCTGATAATGAAAGGGAAGCAGTAACTGCTCTATTGGGATATTTAGAAGATAAAGATAATTTAGATTTCTATTCAGGTGGCCCATTAAAAGCATTGACTACTCTGGTTTATTCTGATAATTTAAATTTACAAAGAAGTGCTGCTCTAGCCTTTGCTGAAATTACCGAAAAATATGTAAGACAAGTTTCTAGAGAAGTATTAGAGCCTATATTAATTCTTTTACAAAGTGATGATTCACAAATTCAAGTTGCAGCTTGTGCTGCGCTGGGAAATTTAGCTGTTAATAATGAAAACAAATTACTTATTGTAGAAATGGGTGGATTAGAGCCATTAATTAAACAAATGCTAGGTGATAATGTTGAAGTACAATGTAATGCAGTTGGCTGTATAACTAATTTGGCTACCAGAGATGACAATAAGTATAAGATTGCCACGTCAGGTGCATTAATACCACTAACTAAATTAGCTAAATCCAAACACATTAGAGTCCAAAGAAACGCTACAGGTGCATTATTAAATATGACACACTCAGAGGAAAATAGAAAAGAATTGGTTAATGCAGGCGCTGTACCAGTTTTAGTATCATTATTATCATCAACTGATCCTGATGTTCAATATTATTGTACTACTGCACTTTCTAATATTGCTGTTGATGAAGCTAACAGAACAAAATTGGCACAAACAGAACCAAGGTTAGTCTCTAAATTGGTTAGTTTGATGGATTCTCCATCTTCAAGAGTTAAATGCCAAGCTACTTTGGCTTTAAGAAACCTAGCATCAGATACATCATATCAATTAGAAATAGTTAGAGCAGGTGGATTACCACATTTAGTTAAATTGATCAAAAGTGATTCAATTCCATTACTTTTAGCTAGTGTTGCATGCATTAGAAATATCTCAATTCATCCATTAAACGAAGGTCTAATAGTAGATACTGGGTTCCTAAAACCTTTAGTGAAATTATTGGACTATAAAGATTCCGAAGAGATTCAATGTCATGCAGTTTCAACTTTAAGGAATCTTGCTGCATCTTCTGAAAAGAATCGTAAAGAATTTTTTGAAAGTGGTGCCATTGAAAAATGTAAAGAAATGGCAGTCAGTTCACCAATCAGTGTACAAAGTGAGATTTCTGCTTGTTTTGCAATTTTAGCATTAGCAGATGTATCTAAACTAGACCTTTTAAATGCTGGTATTTTAGATGCTTTAATTCCAATGACTTTATCACCAAACCAAGAAGTATCAGGAAATTCTGCCGCTGCCTTAGCGAACTTATGTTCCAGAATTAATAATTATCAAAAAATCATCCAATGTTGGAATGAACCTGATGATGGTATTCGTGGTTTTTTAATCAGATTTTTACAAAGTGATTATGCTACTTTCGAACATATTGCTTTATGGACTATACTACAACTTTTAGAAAGTCATAACGTTAAAATTTTAGAATTAATTAAACAAGATGATGAGCTGGTATCAGGAGTGAAAAAAATGGCTGTTTTTACATCCAATAGGTTAAAAAAATCAGGATACGATGTAAAAGGAGATGATACACAAAAGAATAAAAAGAATAAGAACAATGATAATGATAATAATAATAATAATAATAATAATAATAAAAATACTGTTAATAATGCAGGACAAACCGTTACAGATGATGATATAGAAAATTCTGAGTTATCTGAATCTGGGGAAGATGCAAGCTTGGAATTATATAATATAACACAACAAATCTTGGAATTTTTACATTGAATAATAAAAGAAATTTATGGGAATAAAGATAATAGATAAAAAAAAACAAATATTTCAAGAAATTATCATTTGCTAAAACATTATTTATACAATATAATTTTTAAAAAATAGAAAAGTGACTTTAATATATATTTTAATTAGACAAATTCTGTATTAAGTACATGCAAAATAATTTATTAATTTTATTCTATCTTTGTGAAAATATATTATATGTCATTAAGTAAGAAAGTTTTGTTATCATATATGCATCCATAGAATTAATATTTAAATCTATAAGAACTCAAAAAAAAAGAGTGAATTGTTTAAGTATTAGAAAGAACAATGGTTAAGAAGCAAAAGAAAACCAATACATACGCTCTTTTTTTTCTCTTAATTTTTTTTCATTAATTTATATGCCACTATGAATTTGTCTTATATTATTTTTGTCCTTCTGAAGTTTTCTGTATTTCTTAAAAAAAACAACATTATAATATCTTGGCATTTCTCTTGGGAAACAACCCAATATATGAATGTTATTAAATAATGATAATGTGATAAACAATAACATTAAAACTATACAACTCAACATGAAAAAAAGGAATCCCTACGTTTTTTCTTTAATGGTAATATTACTATTAAGCCCTTCTCTCTTGCCTGTTCTTTCGATCATACATCATTTAATGCAACACATGTCACGCCTTTATGGTGACCACCATATTGCCTGACTATCTCTCTTGTTGATAGATCCCAAAGTCTAACGTAATGATCAGAAGAAGCAGTAACCAAATATGCACTATCAGCACTTAAAGCACAATCCCATACCCACCTTTGATGACCATCTAATGTAGATTCCAATTTGAAATTATCATCAACAGACCAGACCCTTGCAGTTTGATCAGCTGAACAAGTTGCCAGATGTTTAGCGTCTGATGATAAAAGAATTCTTGTAATATAGTTATTATGAGCTCTAAATTTGGTTACTGGCTTTAAATTTGATGCATCTGTATGATTTTGCATTTCCCAAACAAAACAATTTCCTTTATTATTTGCAGCCACTAACATTGACCCATCACTAGCCACAGATAATGATTGTAAAGATATATCATCTTCTGGTGTCAATTGATGGGTACATTGATTTTCTCCTAAATCCCAAATACGTATATTTCCGTCTCTGTCGCATGATATCAATTCACCTTGGTTTGGATGTATGACCACTTCATTAACTGGTGCATTATGTTTATAGTTTTTTGGTATGGATGGAGATCTAACATCCCAAACTTTAATAGTTCCATCCTCGCTAGATGTTACCATCCATTTATTGTCTTGTTGAAATGATAATGACGTGACGTTTCCTTTATGGCCCTCAAAAGACGCTACTGGATTTGGGTTGGTTGTTCTAATATCATATAATCTAACATTTTGGTGTCCTGCTGCGGCTAAAAATTTCTTATCATTTGTGATCTCCAATCTATTCACTTGAGACTCAGAATGCTGAATGGTTCTCGAGCAAACACCTGTTAGTGCCTCCCAAAATCTAATAGTATGATCATAACCAGCAGATACTAAAATAACAGACATCTTTTGATGAAAATCTTGGTAGTAATGGAGTAGTAGTAGTAGTAATAGTAATAGTAGTTTTATTTGTCTATTATTATTATCTCACTTACTAGGGATATATGTATATATATATGAAATGTCTTTTTATTTTCGCGTATCTACATACACAATATTATTACTACTCTACATTGTTTACCAGTTATTAAATTCAATTACCGTTTGTTACTATCTGTTATTGTGTTATTACTTCAATTTGTGGCATAAGTATTTAGTCAAACATTAACAACTTCTTGTTTTGCTTTTCATTCAATGATATCTCCTAGGGTTTAGTATAGAAAGGATTTTATTTTCCCAAACAATGTCTCAATTATTTGAGAAAAACAGAGATTAACAAGAAGAAAAAGAAGAGGCAAAAGAATAGCCTGGTAGAATTATTGTTAACCTTCCTCTTGAAATTTATCTTTCCACTTCTAGGGCTTAAAGAAGTTTTCCAGATTTTTCATATTTTTTTCCTTTCTTTTTTTTGCTTTTTTTTTTTCCTGTTTCTCCTTTTCTGCTTGCTGTCCTCGAGGAAAAAATGAGATCAAAAAAGAGGAACAGGAAACAAAAAAAATGGGGGGGAGGTAGAAAAGTATTTTGAGTGTTAAAGGGATTTTGACGAAATTCCTTTTCCCTTTCCTTTTCCTTTTTTTTTTTTTTTTGATCCAGAACCTTCTAGAAATTTTTAAAGGAGAAAATAAGAAATCAAAGGAGAGAGAAAGAAAAATAAAAAAGGAACAAAAGAACAAAAATAGTCCTATACCCCATTATATTTCAGGTAGGATCAAAGGTGAAATATAAGATAGGGAAAAAAAAAATATGTATATATATATATATATTTAGATCAAACGTTTTTATTGCTCTTAAGGAGTATCTCCGAAAGTCAAGGAAAAGTATATACATGTATGTGTCAACATTTCTTGCTCGGCAATTTCACTTGCAATTTGTGCAATTTCTTTTCTGCTCATTATATGTCGAACCCTTGTTTAAATGGTGCACACCAGTGTAACAACGATAATATCATTTGTTAAAAGAACTCTAGGAGTACGTAACAGCGTTTACTGAAGGTGTTATTCTAAAGTTATTTGAGTTTTTAATAATACATATACATACATACATACAAATAAAAAATGGTTAAAGATACTAAACTTTACGACTTATTGAATGTATCTCCAACTGCTAACGAACAAGAAATTAAGAAAGGTTATAGAAAAGCTGCTCTTAAGTACCACCCAGATAAACCCACTGGTGACACTGAAAAGTTTAAAGAAATTTCAGAAGCTTTTGAAATATTAAGTGATCCACAAAAAAGAGAAATATACGATCAATTCGGTTTAGAGGCTGCAAGACAAGGTGGTCCTACTTTTGGTGCCGGTGGTGCCGGCGGTGCTGGTGGATTTGGTGGTGCTCACCGTTTCTCTAATGAAGATGCTTTCAATATCTTCTCACAATTCTTTGGTGGTAGCTCTCCATTCGGTAGTGCAGGAGATGATAGTACCTTTTCATTCCAAAGTTTCGGCGGTGCACCAGGTGGTGGATTTACCTCATTTGGTGGTATGCCAGGTGGTATGGGTGGAGGTATGCGGTGGAGGTATGCCGGGAGGTATGCCAGGTGGATTTAGATCAGCTTCTCCACCTGTTCAAGAAGAAACCGTCCAAGTTAATTTACCTGTCTCCTTAGAAGATTTATTTATTGGTAAAAAGAAGTCATTTAAAGTTGGTGTAAAGGATCAAAGAGGTGTTCAAGAAAAGAAACAAATCGATATTCAGTTAAAACCAGGTTGGAAAGCGGGCACTAAAATTACATACAAGAATTATGGTGATTATAATCCACAAACCGGTGGTAGAAAGACTTTACAATTTGTTATTCAAGAAAAACCACATCCTGTATTTAAAAGAAATGGTGATGATTTAGAATGTGTTATACCCCTTACATTTAAAGAATCTTTATTAGGTTTTTCTAAGACTATACAGACAATTGATGGAAGAACATTACCTATCTCAAGAAGCTCGCCTGTTCAACCAACTGAAACTTCTAGATATCCAGGTCAAGGTATGCCACTTTCCAAGAACCCTTCGCAAAGGGGTGATTTAATTGTTCGTTATAAGATTGATTATCCAATTTCTCTAAATGATGTCCAAAAGAATGTCATTGCCCAAAATTTTTAAATGAATTTAAACATATATAGATTATAAAACAAACAAAAACAATAATAAAAATAAAAATACTCCAACAAAAAAGCAATATTTAAATCATCTTAGTATTAAAGATATGTAATATTTTCCTTTTATATAAATTTAACATGCATAAGTGTATATATATAGATATATGTATTATCATTTTTTTCAGATTCTAATAATAAACTTCATTATTAAAATATATATTCTATAGGAGACTAATTTTTTTTCACATAGGCTTTATAAATTTTTGGTGTCGCTGCCTCTTCTATACACAAATACATATATATATGTGTGTGTGTATTTCTATCATTAAGATTAAATTATATAGATTTTATAAATTGATCTATACAAAGGTCATTTAGATGCAATAAAAAAATTGAACTTTTTTTTTTCTTCGATTTTTTAATTGTCCATCAATTCTGCAACAGTTCTTTCTCCACTCAAAACATTTTTCATACTCTCCAAGATATCTTTAAAAGTATCAAATTCATGGTATGGAACATTTTGTTTCTTACAATAAGTAATCAAATCTTTACCACGCTTAGCAAATAATAAATCACATTCTTTAGCAGCACTTAGGTCAGAGATACCATCACCACAGTAGAAATATGTTGGTCTAACTTGACCATCAGCTAAATCTTTTTCAAAGTTTTCCTTATATAAACCAATAGTCTTTGATTTATCATGTCCAAATGGAGTCTCATCTCTGTAGACTACGGTCATTTTATTGTTTTCATCCAATTCAACATCGTTAGATACGATATCAATCTTGTCGATATGTTCTGCACCAAGCAAATTAGTTAAAAGATGTTTAATGATTGGGTGCATGCCACTAGAGACAACAATGATAGGAACATTGTTGGCTTGGGCCCAGTCAAAAGTTTCTTTAAAACCTGGATCTAATTGAATCTTCTCTTCCAATATTTTCACACTCTCTGGCAATGGAGAGGTAATTGAATTGATCATACGAGTGAATCCCTCTCTGAAAGAGGTAGTCCCATCAAGAACACCTTCGAAGATTCTTAGTCTTTCTTCCTTACCAAAACCTAAAGTGTCAGTTAAATAGTCATTGGAATCCTGCCATGTAACAGTACCGTCGAAATCAGTAAAAATAACAGCTTTTGGAATCATAATATAATACAATGCTCTAAGTTTGTTGGGTTTTTATTTACAAGACAAGACCGACATCAACTGTATGTAAAGGCATGGTACTGCAATAAGTTAGACTTGTGCAACTGATAAAATATTATAAGAAAAACAAAAAAAAAAACTTTCTTATGTCGAACGTCTTATTTTTTTTCTTTTTTTTCTCGAGAAAAGAATGCTCAATACTTTTGAACGTCACCGAACTTTCAATTTTGTATTTTTTTTTTTTTCATTTTTTCTATTCTTTTCTTTTTTTATTTTAGTCTCTCTTTCATTTTTTCTCCTCAGTGTATCACTGCACGGCGCTATTTCGGTTTTATGTCCTTTTTTGGCAGTCGTAGTCTCGACTCCTCTACCCCTTTCTTCTAAAAGGCTGATCTGGAATTTTCCCTTTCGCTAGTTCTTCAAGTAAGTTTTGTACAACCTGTCACAAAGTCCATTCAAGAAAAATATATAGTCACTGAAGGAGTCAACGCCATTATAGATTTAATTTTCCATATATATATATATATATATGTTGCAAGATTATCAATCTAATTTTAGAAACAAATTTCTAAGAAAAACATACATTACTTCTCAGAATTGTTTACAGTCCTTAATAAATAAACAAATTCACTGACATATTATCTCAACAAACAATCGATCAATCAAAAATATTAAGAGCAAAAAATAAGAAAATGAATTTAGTAGTATTTTCAGGTGGTACCGCAACAAACAACCTTACTCCGAGCTTTTATAATTTAACTGTGAAAAAGTACCACGAGCTGACTTTTGTTTTGCCCATTTCTGATAATGGCGGTTCAACCAGTGAAATATTAAGGGTTTTAGGTGGGCCTGCTATTGGTGACATTCGATCAAGAATTGTTAGATTAATTGAAGAAGAAACTTTGGTCAAAATTTTTAGTTATCGTTTACCTAATGATTATTCAAAGGCTAAACTGGAATGGAACGACATTGTAGAGGGGATCCATCCAATTTGGAATCATGTGTCACCATCTGTAAAAGAAATGTGCAGAGCATTTTTAATTCATATTCAATCAGAATTATTGAAAAAAAATAAAGGTTTACATAACAAATTTCAATTTGAAAAGGCTTCAGTTGGTAATCTATTTTTAACTGGCGCAAGACTATTTTTAGGAAGTCTGGATGCATCTATTGAGTTAATGATGAGGATTGGAAGGTGTAATCGAAATGTAAATATTATTCCATGTATCAATACAAATCATACACACCATATTTCTGCATTATTGACAAATGGTGATGTAATCACCGGGCAATCCCAAATTTCTCATCCTTCAAAGCCATCAATTAATAGATTAGCCTCTAGACATAGTACATCTTTACAAAATAAAAATGATATCTTCGAAGACATTACTAATATTCAGAATGATAATACTAGTGTTAATGACTCATACCCTAATCATGCAGAGAGTAAAACACCACTAGAAGAAATTCGTGCATTTTCCTCAAATGGGAATTACACAGGTCACAATCATCAAACTGCACAGAAAAGAGAAGAGGAACACGAAGAAGAAGAAGAAGAAGAAGAAGAATATGCCAATCCAGTTTATATTTTACCTGAATTAAAGAATTCTCAACTACATTTTAGTAAACAAGAAACAGATAACTTGTTACCTTCTCCAGTGAAAAGGATTCTTTATATAAATCCTTATGGAGAAGAAATCAAACCAACAGCTAATGTTAGAGCTATTGCTAAGATAAAAACTGCAGACATTATAGTATATTCTATTGGTTCATTAATGACAAGTCTTTTACCAATCATTATTTTAGGTAATTTAGCTCACACAATATTTGAAAAGAATGGAACTCATAAGGTTTTAATTATCAATAATAAGTATGACAGAGAAACATTTGGGTTAGATGCAATTCACTATATTAAAATGATTATTGACTCTATGTTGAGATCAATAATTAGCTACAGACAGAGTAAAGGGCTTCCTGTGACAGGTTTAAAGGATGCTCCATGGAATAAATTTATAACTGACATCATATACTTAACTGAGGGTGAAATTCAGATGGATTGGGATTTGTTACATAAGAAGGGTATTATAACACATGCTATTAATTCAAATAAATTAGAAAATGAAGATTTGGAAAATGTTCTAAATAAAATTCATTCTTCTGATATTTGTCAAGCACATTATTAAAGCTGTAAAAGCAATGTTTAGTTATATTATTTGTAAAAAAAAATTATATAACATGTAAACTTGTATTCCAAACTCTCTTCACTTTAGAAACAGAATCAGTTAAAAATGTAAATATATAATGAATAAATATTGCTTTTATCTTTTTGCAGTACATAAAAAGATTTAAAATAGTAATTGTAATGTTTAGGTTTGTGTAAATAGCCTTTATTGTCAAATATAGTATTTTTTTGTCTTTTTAACAAAAAACAGAGTAAATAATCGCCCATACTAATAATAATAGTATGGGCGATTATCATTTTTAATTCCCACGTCTTCTCCACAAAATATTGACCTGTCATTCAACACTATTCTTTATACCTCCTCTTTAGAAGCTGTAACTTTGAATATAAATATATTTGAATAAGAACTATTCTCATGATCTCTGTAATTAATTAATAATGGAGAAATATTAATGTCATAATCATAAGGTTTGAAATAACAGGCAAAAACAAATAGAAGTTTTTTAAGGTAGAATTCAGAGTAATAATTTTTTTTTTCTTGTAAATAATCAATCTTATCTAGTCTCAAGAGATTTATAACATTCTTTTGGTGTGGTTTCACTTAGATATTATCATCTATTCTTGTAACAATGATTAAAGTAAATGTCACTATTTGTATAGATAAAATCAAGTTTTTAGAGAGATATTCTCTTCATTTTTATTATTAATAATAGGATAAATATATTCATCTTTAATGATACAGGTAGTAATATTTGTATTTGTCGAAATAGAATGTTCTATAATGAAATAGATAGAACAATAAGATTTTAGCAGACATTAAACGATTAATTATTGAGAGGTCACCAAAAGTTGTTGAGTTTGTTTATTAAATGTCTTACTGTTCGTAGAGGAAAATGGCTAAATGTTAACATATATAAAGCCAAGGATTTCATCATACATTATTTTTATCTTATTTACAATCTTTGTATATTATTATTTCTATGTTGTATATAGAGAAAGAAAGTGAAGAACTTTATTATAATTTTGTATACTAAATCTGTATAATATAATATTGAGAATGTTTACTATATATCCAATGAATACAGGCGCTCATTCTCAACAGTATTGTTGTATTGAAAAAATAGGTTTGGATAATGCATTATACAATTTGTCCATAATTTGTTCCTTTTTTTTCTCTTCTCTTTTTGATAACTATTATTGATTATAGAATAGTTGTTACATTCATCGATTTTAAATATTTCTAGCATATTACCAAAATTAAACATAATAATAATAAAGTTTAAGATGATTTTCTCTAAACAAAGGCTACTCCACTATTAAAAATTGATGAAGATATTGTTACGATAAATCCAACATCATAAAACTGTGTGTAACATTTTTCAGATATACTATTTTCTAAAAATGACCCTAAATATTTAAGTTCTGCAAAAATTCCACCGTTTTTTTCACCTATTAAATTTAAATGAAGTAAATACAAATGTCAAGTTCCTTCGATTTTTGTTTTCATAGTTGGCAGAAAGAATTGGGATTAACATCTGATTTAAGCTAAAATAAGCATTTATACGAATTAAATTATTAAATGAAGTGGGATTTGACAAAATTAGCAGTTTATTAACTTAGTGAATCAATATTTCACCCTGAGGCTAAAAAGCTCTGTCTGTTAAACTTTAAGATGAATATTTAGTAAAAATTTTGAAAATTGTGTAGTAAGTTTAGATCTTTTAACAAATTTGATTACTTTATGGGGAACAACATTCTTTAAAAGCCACTTTGTTAAATTGAGAACAAAAAAAAATTGTCCTCTTCTGGAATAAATTTTATTATCATAATTTTCACATTGTGAAGATCTTGTGAATTTATTGAGTGAACGTTGTGTTAGATATTCAAATTTTTTGTCAATATTGATATTGTCATATATATTATAGGTTATCATATTAAAATCAAAGACACCCACCAATATATATGATTTCTAACTCTCTTTATTTTAAAAACTCATTAGAATCAATTTGTAAAGAATAAGGTCAAGAAGTGTCCAACTACTATTTGCGAAGTTGGAAATAAATATTAAAGATTTAAAAATATCAATAAAAAAGCATTCTGATATGAGAAGCACAATATTCGGTGAATGTTTTAATACATCCTTTACAAGTTCGGAAGTTAAAGTAAATTTTGCATCATCAAAGGTGTTAAGATATTCCATAAATTTCTAGCCTGTGAAAGATAATATTTTTGAGTGACATACTCCTCTTCTACTTTAACTAATTGATTTTTGAGTTTGTTGAATTAAATGTAGTCTGACACAGCTTCAATTGGAAATCTTCTAGTTAGATTGTTTTATCTTCATTATGCTTGACTGTTCATGTACTCTTTTTTTGATAATGTAGTTTTTGACTATTAATTGAGTTTAACTAATCTAATTTTTAAAAACTTATTCCAATAAATGCAAAATATCAGAATAAAGATAGTAGTCTAGTATTTTCACATATTCTGTATCAATTATATAATATATATATATTTATTCAGAATATTTTTCTGTCTATAAAGCTAAATGTGAATAAAACATTAGTGAGTTAACATAATTAGCCTTTTCTTTTAATCCAAATATGGAAATAGTAAAAATTCTATAGTGATGCAATAGCAAGATAAAAACCTTGGTTTTATATTACCTTATATTGGGGGAGTTGTAATTTTTTTATTTTGTATATTAATGAAGTAGCAGTGTTAGAACTTGACAACAAGATGATATCTTTAGATATAGTGCATATATTTTCTTTTTCAGTTCAATGGAAAAAGTAAAAGTAAGTTAAAATAGAGAAATGTACCAGCGAGAAAGGTGGGTTAAAAGTAATCAAGTGAAACAGTTAATTTCGATTTGATTACACATTGAAATCTTAGCCCAGTATTCTCGAAGATGTCGGATAAAACTGTTACAAGGTAATTGAAATATAAGATTTGATTAATATGCCGTTGAGTGCATTTTTAGTTTCATTAATTAGTGGTGCAGCTGCAGGCACATCAACTGATATTGTTTTCTTCCCCATAGACACTGTTAAAACTCGACTACAGGCCAAGGGGGGATTCTTCAAAAATGGTGGATATCATAATATTTACAAAGGTGTTGGAAGTGCCATTATAGCATCTGCTCCTGGTGCATCTCTTTTTTTTATAACATATGATTCTATGAAAGAATATTCCAAACCATGGATTCAACGATTTGATAGAATGCAACATCATGAACAATTCTCTGAAACTTTATCCCATATGTTGTCATCCTCACTGGGAGAAATTGCGGCGTGTACAGTAAGGGTACCAGCTGAAGTTATCAAGCAAAGAACACAAACAGGTCTTACAAGCTCGTCATATAATACTCTCTTGATGCTTTTGAAGAACAAAAATGGAGAAGGTGTCTTACGGAATTTATATAGGGGTTATAACACTACAATTATGAGGGAAATTCCTTTTACTTGTATTCAGTTTCCATTGTATGAGTTTTTCAAGAAGAAATGGGCATTATATCAAAGCAAGTCAAATATCTTAAAGCCATGGCAAGGTGCAATTTGTGGATCCATCGCAGGAGGTATTGCTGCTGCTCTTACAACTCCTTTAGACTTTATCAAAACTCGTTTAATGCTAAGTGATAAAAGCATACCTGCATTTCAATTGACCAAAACTATATGGGTGGAAGAGGGTCCACTTATTTTTTTTAGTGGTATAGGTCCTAGAACAGTATGGATAAGCGCAGGAGGTGCTATATTTCTAGGCATGTACGAAACTGTTAAATATATTATTACAAAAGATCATCTATTAGCATACTAGACACAGCAAAGTTTTGGCAAAATATGTATAGTAGCTAATTTAAAGTATCAAAAAAGATCCATGTGATATTCCTCATAGAATACTGTAGATAGTAGATAGGTGTGTAGAAGAAAATTCTTTTCCCTTTTTTATGTAAGACTGTTTAGTTTAAACAATGTTTAAACCAACCGTATCTTTACGTTTAATAAAAATAGTCTGTACTAATTAATAAACTTACAATGTCCATCATCCCTCTTGTCGTCTTAAATGATCTTCTAAATAAAATTGTCATCATTGTTATTATCGTTATTTTTTGACAATTAAATCGTCAGTAATTTTTTTTTCTGTTTATTTTATCCTTTCGATGGAATGAAAAATAGAGTATATCTGAACTGTTTAATGTAGAAGAGGACTTGCTCATTATTTATTACTAGCTCTATTGGTTTTCTTTCGTTACGACATGGTATAGTATTGAACACACCTTTGAGAAGTGATCAAAAATGAAAAGAACCACAGAAACTGTATGTAACAAAATATCTGAAAAGGTTTTCAATATGTGTCAGGTAATGGATGGTATTATAATTTAGGAAGAACTGTGATGCATCAATTAATGTGATTGAAGCCATTAGAAGGATAGATTGGATATTAATCTATTTTTTTTTTTTGGCTATTGGAAAAATTATGGTACAAAAGGATAATTATCATGTCCTTCATCTTTATTTGTTTCTATGCTTCTGGTGATTATACTGGTTTTTTATTCCATTGAATATTATTCAATTCTTTTTGTTCATTGATGTGTGACGCTCTGCTAAATAAGAATCCTGTTTGACTTCATTATTAGAATTATTATTTACTAATACGTTATATTTAAGGAAATAAATTAGACATTGCAAGAAAATATGAAGAACATATTGGTGTTTTTTTATTTAGTATTGATGTTGTTTATGTACAATATTTTCTAGCTAATGTTCTCTTTTTATTCATGGAATTTTCATTTTAGAGAGATTCTTATCGTAGTAGGTCAAGATCTCCATCTCGTTATGATTATCGTGATGAATATGAACGCGAAACTAGGAGAAGTTACCGTGGAAGCTATGGAAACCGTGAGAAAGAGAATTATAGAAGAAAAGATACATACGAAAAAGATAGTTACAAAATAAGGAACAATAATAGAGGGAGAGACAGATATTCTAACGACTGGGGCAGGAGAGACGACGGCAGATATAGAGAACGTCAATATAATAGTAAGGGTCGTAATGACTCTAGAATGGGAAGTAGATACCGTAATACAAGAGGAGATTATGGGCCAATTTTGGCTAGAGAGTTGGATAGTTCATACGATGAAAAGGTAAACAGAAACTTTGCAAATAGTATTTTTGTCGGTAACTTGACATACGATTGTACTCCTGATGATCTTAAAAAATATTTTTCTGGTATTGGTGAAGTTGTCCGTGCAGATATTATAACGTCAAGGGGACATCATAGAGGGATGGGAACTGTAGAGTTCACTAATACTAGAGACGTAGATGAAGCAATTCGTCAATATGATGGTTCGTTTTTTATGGACAGATCTATTTTTGTAAGACAGGATAACCCACCTCCAGAAGATAAACGTGATAGATTCCAAAGTAAAAGAATATCAAGAGAAAGTCGTAAGAGAGATAGTCGAGAATCATTTACTGTTTATGTAGAAAACTTACCATACTCTGTCAATTGGCAAGCCCTTAAAGACATGTTTAAAGAATGTGGTGAGGTTTTGCATGCAGATGTCGAAATTGACAGTAGTGGTTATTCAAAGGGAAGGGGTGTTGTAGTATTCCCTAATGAAGAAACAATGAAAAGAGCAATTAGGATGTATAATAATTATGAGATGAATGGAAAAACTTTAGTAGTTACTCCATCACGTTATGATTCAAAAGATTACCAAGAAAATTTTGACTCAGAACAAGCTACTGCTGTTGGTGTGGAAGGAGATATTGATGATGTTGATATAGATGCAGCTAATAGATTTACTGAAGGTTATGAGGCAGAAGGAGATCGTAATAATTTTATATTCTGTAGTAATTTACCGGAATCTACTGCTAAAAGTGATCTTTTTGATTTATTCGGTACAATTGGTAATGTTGTAAATGCTGAATTGAGATATGACCCTTTAGGTGCACCAACTGGTATTGCAGTAATTCAATACAGTGATATATCAGATGCGGATGTGTGTATTGAAAGATTGCATGGTTACAATTATGGTGGATGTGATTTAAATGTTTCTTATGCTAAGAAAGTTTAAAATGGCGCAATTATATGTAGAATATAGGTATATATATTGACGCTTGTATACTATAAAAAATATTAAGTGTTGATGATTTAAGAATATATCCAAAATTAAGGTAGTGCTGCAACTTGATTTTGTCTATTCACACACAATCAGGCTTATGTAAATCACTGAGGTATAGGCCTTAAGCTTAGATTTAAACAATTTGTTATTTGTTTTTATACTATAACTTTTCTTCAAATTATACAGTTGTTATTCATTCATGTTTACAGGTCTACTTGAGCATGAATACTTTATATATATTAGGGCAAATATTAAATAAAGAATAAATCCAAATAAAAAAATAAAAAAGAAGGATTAGAGGAAAAGATATATCTTCACAGATTTTTTCAATGGTCATAAATTAGATACTTCCTTAAATTTTATCATAGTTTTTCTTTTGTTTTGTTTTTATGAATAGTCATGTAAATAGATTATATAATGTTAGAATGGATAGAACATTGAAGTAGAATATTCTAAAAAATATATTCTTTTAACAAATCAAGATTGTCAGTCATTATATAAAAGTTTTCCGAGTAAATTTGTTTATGTAGCGTTCCAGTTTTTTGAAAAATAGATGACGTTGTTTCCAAATAGTATCAATTGTTTTCTTTTCTTTTATGAGATTGAATTCCAAGCCTTAATAATTATGATAATGTTGTTTGATTATATAAAGTACTAACCGATATCATTTGCTATATACATGTCACATAAATATACACATGGTGCCTACTGAATAATTAAAAGAATTCATTAGTAAAAAAAGAAAATAAGACTTGGTGATTATTTAACAATCAGACTTTTGCATTTTTCTCTGATTGAAGGATTGAGTTGATTTTTCTTTTGAGTTTGTTCTCTTCTCTTAACGAAAGGAAAGATGAAGGATTTATTGTTGAATCTTTGATTTTTTTAGCTGTAGCAACTGGTTCTTCTGTTAAATTATGATGTAGTTCCTTTTTCAACTTCTCCTTTTCTTCCAGCGATATAAAGTTTATCAATTTGAACTTATTGTCAAAGGATACGTTATTGTCTAGATATTTACAGGTTGAATTGATTTTGTGTTTGTAAGTGGATACCTTTTCCAAAGACCATTGTTCACGTTTTCCTTGAAGATCTACTTCTGACTTCAGATATTGTTGAGAATAAAATTGAGCATCTTTGAGCAGAAACCCATTTCTTAGCAACATTCTTAAACGAACAAGGTAATTGGCTGCAATGTTGGTATCAACATTTTCCACACTAATTATATCTTTCAATGAAGATTTAAAATTGTTTAATAGTTTTAGTCGATCCTCAATCCTTTCATTATACTTTTTCATAATAGAATCCTTAACTAAATATTGTTTTCTACTTAATGAATTTTCTTCTTTTAAAGCAGCCTTTTTGTTATCCAATAGAATGTGTCCAAACCGTCTGACCCTGGGATCAAAATGTGGTCTGGGTAGTTTTATATCTTCTCTTAAGGATACACCAACAAATTTCTTTCTTGGATGGAAAGGGTCAAGGTAATATCGTACAAACCCTGGCTCTAAAGCGAAAAGGGTGTGGTCTTTACCAATTCCAACATACTCCCCTGGGTAAATTTTAGTTCCTCTTTGTCTCATAATAATTTCACCAACTTTTACTCGCTGACCATCATATTTTTTGGGACCTAGTCTACGCCCTGCAGAATCCTTCATGGAAGTTCTAGAACCCGCCGCCCTTTTCGTAGCAGTTCTGATTTGAATATATATTGGGGAATTAGAAGGCTTAATAATTTGAAATAATGACAGCATTACGTACAGTACTTTATCAGGATCCCTGTGTGTAGCCTATTCAATCTTATTAAAACGTCACCTATCCTTCACACAAACAGTAAGGAATCCGCAGGGTAATGATGAGAATAATAGTGTTATGTCTCTGCTTTATCTAGTTTCTCTTTGTCTTTTTATATTTTATTTTCTTCCTAGAGATCTACTTGAGACAATCGTACACCATTACTTGTATTATCCTTTTGAAAACATGGGAGGAACTATTTTTGTTGTGGGTTAAAAGAAAAAGGAGATTTAAGAGAAAAGAGACGGCTTTGAGAACGCGGGAAAAGATAAATCTGCTAAATTTTCTTTATTTTCTTTTTTTTTTTTTTTTTTTTGTAACCACCGGGCCTCGAAACTCCTAACTACTTCCGTTTTAGATCTCGTCAAAAAAAGAAAAAAAGAAAAAAAAAAATTAGAGAGAAAATATCTTGTAAAACACAAGAGATGTTTATGGTCATTTCAGGTATTGTAAAAATAGATACGTCTACATTAACGTCATGTGATGTATATTCAGCCCTGTAAGAATTTCTAGAGAAACTGTGAGATATAACTAGCCGATATATTTATCGATATTTAATATGAATGATCCTAGCTTGCAGGAATTGGACTCTTCTCCATATACCCCAAAGGACTCTATCAATATTAGAAAATTCTTCAAGGTCCATCAAGCATGCAATCAGCTCTTGGATGCTGTAAGGGTTATCTACAATAATTCTTTAAGTGAAGAGGAAATAGAAGTATTTTCAAACAGCACTAATAAGATAGAAAATGCTATTGCAGAAAGTCCTGCTACATATATAGCATCTTATTTAAGTGATATCAAGTCCACTATTGATCTGGAATCAATATTTCAACATTATTCATTTAATGGAGTGAGTTCGCCAGTTCATCATTTTATTCATTATCCTGTAGTATCAGATCCTACACTAGAAACATTGGCATTTATTCATAGAAGTTATCCAAATATGAATGTAAATTTGACTGAAACACAAAAGACTTTAATGAGTAATGAAAGATTGGAATTTTTAGGTGATAGTTGGTTAGGAGCTTTAATTGCATACATTATTTACGAAAAATATCCCTATGCAGATGCAGGTGCTTTATCCAAAATGAAAAGTGCTATTGTTAACAATAGTAATTTAGAAAAAATATCGACTAAGTTACGATTTAAAGAAAGACTAAAAGAAAATATTCCAAGATTTTCGATGAAATTTAAAGATAAATTTTCTAAGTATTATGCGGATTGTGTAGAAGCCTATATTGGTGCATTAGTTATTGACCGATTTTCAGTTGAATTTAAGGAAATTGCCGATTGGTTGGAAGAATTGTCTCAAGATAAATTTGCAGAACTAGGTCCAGAAATGTTAAAAAAGCCTTTGAATAAAAATGCCAAAGGTGAATTAGCAGAATTATTACAATTTAATAAGATTGGTGCAAAAATATTTTATAGGAGAATCACTACAACACCACCATTTACTGTAGAAGTACTATTAGGTGACAAAGTTCTAGCATTAGGTACTGGTGCTAATGTCAGGGAAGCTGAACAAAGAGCAGCCATGGAAGTTTTAGGTAACCCAGATTTAATTCAGAAATATTCTCTGTATAAAATAGAAACTAATGATGTGGCAAAACATTTAGTAGAGGAAATTCCAATAAGAAAAGGCATATTACCAGGGCATAAGGTTGATGATATTGAAACACCGATTTCAATAAGGCGTTCATTAATTGCAGAAAGATATAATACTAAAAATTCTATAGAGAGTAGTGTCGTTTCTGAGTCTGAGAAGTTTAATTCTGATTTGGAACAACAAGATTTGATAAGTATCAGTTCTGAAGAACAATATAAGGAACAGAATAAGGAATTTAGAGGAGTGGATAGTAGTATTGAGTGTAAAGCTCCATACGATATCACTAATATAGATGCATTGGCAGAAGCAATTCTGGAAAAAATGGGTACAGTTCTTCGTCCAATGGTCACAGGTATTGTTTCTGATTTGGAGGAAACAAAAAATGATAAGTTTAGTAAATCTACAATGTTAAAGGATGATAAAAAAACATTGTTTTTAAGACCAATTGTCTCTAATATTCCATCTTTACCACCTAAACCGGTTAGAAGAAACAATGCAACATTAGTAGCTAAAACAACAGAAAAGGATAAAGCGGTAACTGATTTGAAAAAGAAATCAGATGAACAAGCTAATAAAGCTTTGTTGGATAATATTCCATTTGATAAACAGGCATCTAGTACTTTATATACAACTTTGGGTTCAGTAAACTTATTTCCCACGTATGAGATCATAATGTTAGATTCTGGTGGATTTCGTTCCACTTGTAGTATTATGGGTGTCGGAACAGTTTTGGCTGAAGGTATAGGTAGAAGTAAAAAAATTGCTCAGCATATTTCAGCCAGTAATGCCTTACAAAGCGAAGCACTACAAAAAGTTTTAAGAGATGCTGTTCAAGGATAAATGGTAATGGGTTATGATTGTCGGCTATTTTGGATATTGATAGATGTTGCTGCAGAATAACATATTAATACATACAAGAGATATTAAATAGTATTTTTTTTAGAATATACTGTAGATTTAACACATATTAAGAGTGCTGAAACTCATTTAGAATCAGTGGAATCCTTATACGGGAAATTTTCACAGATTAACTTGTCAGGAAAATATAAACAATTAAGATTCAGAAATTCGAGCGGAAAAAAATATAACATTTGTTTTATAGAACCAGCGCTAATAATAATTCATAGTTGAGGTTATGAATATTTACTTATGTGTGTGTTATTATTCATCGTCACAACATAACTTATTGGTATGTATAAATGTTTATTTTCTTGTGTTATACAAAGCATAAATATTATGTATTAAGACTATATGATGATAACATATAAAGAGTGTTAAAGAATTTTTATTTACTTCTTTACCTATGAATAAAAGTTTTCAAATAAAATTAATTATTACTTAAAGTAATTATTGAATTTTAATAACTTTCAGCAATAGTTTTCATGAGTTAAACGTAAATTTCTCTGACTTTTTTTAACCCTATTCAAATATAACTGTCATATATTTAATATATATGAATATATGTGTATATTTTGTAGAAAAATTTACTGTTACGAAAAGCAACTTTGTTTAAAATTTTAATGTTAATATCATGGTATACGAAGTACTCTCTCAAGCATAAAATTTATCTTTTATAGTAAAAATTTTCAAAAAATATTGTAATATCATTATAAACGTTATTAAAATAAAATAAAAACTTCGGAAATAAAATATGAAACTATATAATATTTTAATATTATAAAAATTTAATATTTTAAATTATCCACGTGTCCATTAAAATCGTGTATAGCGATAGAAAGCATTTCGTTATTTATTATTTTAAATTTTATTAAAATATGATTATGTTATAATGTGTATTAACTATTCTTTTTTATTACGAGACAAAGATTTTTTAAATAAAAGAATGAATATTATAAAAGAAGCGTTTTTGTGTAATATATAACTTTCTATTATTTCGTATAGGAAAAATAAAACAGGTTTAAACCTTAGTCATTGTTGTAGTTCTGAATTGGTATTATATGCCTTATTTTAATGAAAACAGATATGATTAAAGAGAAGAAAGAAAATATTTAGTATGAAAAACTTTATCTATACTGTAAATAAGATAAGAAGTAGGCAGAATATGTGGAAATAATAATAATTGTTAGATAATGGATACTATACTTATTATGTGTCTGTAATGAAGAATGGTTTGTTATTTGGTTGTCTTTAGAAGATTAGAAGTATTCTATTAGGAAAAATACTTTAAAAGGAGGAATACATTTATTCAAGATTGATGAGTCTAGATATAAATTTGTATAAATTTTCATTCGTATCTTGATATTTTCAATGTACTTATAAATTATGTAATTATTTAACTTAAAATATTCCTAACTTTAGACAATTTTGAGTTGTGCATTACTAGAACAATTACTTTTCTATTATAATTTATGATATTTATTCTGTAATTCATTTGAAAATAAATGTTTTTTTAAAAGAGAAAATTATTTCTTGTAAATAGGGAAGGTAGAATAAGGAATGGGATATAAATTTAAAATAAGCACTATTAAAGTGTATATAATTGTATATCTTTTTAATCACTTTTAGTTTTAAAACAACAGAAGAAAAAAGAATATAAAATGTATTTATTTACAGTTTTTGCACGTGGTCATTATTTATTTCGTTTATTGATATTTTAAAATATATTTGTCATAATATGTAAAATGCTTGAGAGCAATTAACACAGGATGCAAGGTTTAAATAATAATTTGAGAAAAATAATAAAGAAATATATATATGTATACTAACGTCTTGTTTGGGTTCTAATCTTACTAAAAAATTATGCAAAATTCTCCATAATACTATCAAAGAGGAAAAATGTTTGTTTTGTACATTCAATATAACGGAGATAAGATCAAACAGAATAAAAATAAATCAATATATTATGAAAAATTGTTAAAAAGTAAACATGTATAAGTAGACGACTTTACTTATTAATTTTCCAAGCTGGATGAATGATATATATACATTATATCGTATGTTTCTTTTATATTTATATAATTATTAATTCTTAAATAAAAGATCGAAGGAAAATTACTCTACATATTAACATAATAATAACATGTAATATGATCACTAATGCTAAAGACATGTGTACTAACATTATTCATCCAGAGAAAATACAAATATAAATAGCATTTGCATTCCCATAATCCTTTTTTATGATAAAAAAATCATTAATTGCGCGTTACATAAAAATAGAAATTAATATTTAAACATTCTTACAATTAACAATAACTTAACAACTTTGTAATTACAGTAGGTTAGGTAATTTTATCTAGTACTAAGAATAATGTTTTCCTTTTTAGTTGTTTTAGAGTAAAACAAATAGATTAAGTAGCTTTTAGCAAATATTAACCAATAAAATGTTAAATACTTATTATTTGTATATCATTAATTACAAATGAAGATATTTGATAAATTTTTATTACTTATAGAAAAAATGGAACAATTTTTAACATACATAAGACAAAAAGTTTTTTTGTCATGTTTTCTTCGTTTATAAATTTTTTTCATGATATTATTTCCGTATAATATATACAAAAGAGAAGGTAATACATTCCCTTTAAGTTTTTGCATAATAAATATTTAATAATTATAATTGAGAATAGATATTATATATCAAAAGAATATAGGCGTTAATTCTTAATGCTTTTTATAATTTACCGTACAGATATTTTTTAGATGGATTTATAGTTAAATTTGTATGTTCTAATAACAGTTCTAAAATAGAAAGTCTGGAGTATTACCAAATAAGAATGATTATTGAATTTTGAATAGAAAAGCTTTAGTTTAACATGGATTTTTAAAGGTGATCTGACTATGGATAAAAATACATTAATTGAAAAATGAAAAATACAGAACTTTTGGTAGATCTTTAGACATATTTCTTATAAACAACATTCTATATACTATTTAAAAAGAATATAAAAATTATGCGGTACTACTTTTTTTTTTGGTAAAATATGGTGGAATCCCATATATTTTTATGTTTGTAAATAGAGTGATATTAAAGTGTTAAAGAAAAGAAATAGAGCACTTAGTAAAAGGCAGGAAATAAATGAAAAAAATACTCAGCAAATTCATATAAAATATAGAAAACATCAATATTATATGAACCAAGCAAGTTAATTGACATGATTAATATATATATATAGTGCTACTTATATCTATGATTTGGACATTAGCAGCATTATGTATAGGTAATTCGAGTTGTTTGTTCTGCTTTCTTAAATGTTCAATTCTATGTACATATTGAATAAAATTTGTGTATTATTACATGATTTACTAATTTGTTAGTTGGTTTAATAAAATCACATTTCTAGATATTTTTATGAGGAAAATACGGTTTTTTATAGAATAATTAAAAATATCGTCTTATAATTTCTTCATTAAGACTGAAATTTTAATACTTTTGTAAAATATTTGCCTTTTCTTTTTTGGTAAGTATGTAATTTCACATTATTTTTTATCAAGTTGGAATTATGACTTATGAAAATAACTAATTTTAAAAACGATATTCTATCCATAAGTGCACATCAAATCATTCAAGAGCCTTTTGTTTTATATTTCATTAAAAAAAAAAAAGAAAAAGAGAAAAGATCATTCTTTTTTACTCTATTTGTTGTGATTTCTAAAATTTCAGATTGAAATGAAAAAACAAAATTAAAGGTAATGATTCCAATGTTAGAAAAAAATGCTACAAAATAATACTGAAAATAAATGATAGAATATATATTAAAATGGAGAAAATTACTAGGCGGCTATTTTTTACAAAATAGGAAGTATTTACCTTAACACAAATGTTTGTTAGCGTAATAAACTATATCTAAAAAACTATTTTTTTTTTATTTTATTATATAAACAAAATTATTGTTTTATTTTTTTTTTTTTCAAATTTTATTTATCAGTTTAAGAAAAGTATAAAAGGAAGATAAATATTTTTTTGTGGAACTTTATTCTTTTTTTACTAACCTCTTTCTCTTAAAAGAAATATAATTTATATACATTTTAAAACTGATCTATTATTATTATATAAATTATATTGTTATTTTTAAATAAAATGGTATATTTTAATTTTGAATTTAAATGTTTGGCTAAAAGTTCTAAAAATAATGAGTTTTAAATTTTTTTGAGTGAGGATATATCTTTAGTCATTATATTAACATAATAATTACTATTGACTAGTTATTTTTATATAAAAACAATATAGAATATCGTAAAACTACAATATGTTTTTTTTTCCAATGCTATTTCACTGAATTTGTTTATTTATAGGGTGGTCGGCGGGTATTTTGTGATAGTTATGTTGTGACTATTACCAAAAAGTTTTTATGTTTGATGATCTTTTTTGAGATTTAACTTTTAAATAAGTATGCTATTTATTAAACTAATATTTTACATAGATATTTGGCCTAGTTATATTTTTATAACTATTATCTCTGTTTTAATATTTTAATATGTTAGCTTAACTTTCTTTAAAGAGTTAGCAAATTTTAAAAAATAATAGATTTAAAAATAGTTAAAAATGATTGGTGGTCCATTTTTAATAATTTTTGTTACCTCCTCAAACATGGAATTTTGTAAAATAAAAAAAAAAATTCGCTAAATATTGATACCTATGTAATATATATTAATATACGTTATTTATCTATTAAAGAAATTAATGTCATTATGTTTACTATTTAAATTTCTGTCCCAGTTTTTTTGTTTTCTTTAAATGCAATATTACTATATATTTATACATCCTTAATCTACGATAACGAAATAGTATACACTTATATACAATCTATCTAATCTTATCTAATCCTTGGTTTCTTATTCTTTTCTTCTTCTTGGTTGCTCACTTATACTTATGTTGA